TCTGGTTCGTTAGCTTCAGGGGATAGCTCGGGTTCCGGCTCGTCAAGCTCCAGTGGTGAAACTAGTAGCTCGTCAGGGACTGGTAGCTCTTCAGGATCCGGCTCGTCAGGGTCAGCTTCGTCTGGGTCTGGCTCTTCGGGCTCGGGATCTTCAAGTGCAGGGTCTTCAGGTTTTGCTGGTGATACTGGTTCGTCAGGGTCAGGCTCATCAGGCTCAGGGGACGGCTCGGGTTCCGCCTCGTCAAGCTCTGGCGATGGAAATGGAAATGGTACTGGAGATGGTTCTGACTCTTCAGGGTCCGGTTCCTCAGGGGCAACAGGCTCAGGGACAACGGGTTCAGGGACAACGGCCTCGTCAGGCTCAGGTAATGACTCTAGCTCGTCGGGTACTGGTTCGTCAGGTTCAGGAACAACCAGTTCAGCCGATGTTTCTAGCGGGTCTTCAAGTACTGGCGATGGTAGTAGCGGGTCTTCAGGCACAAGTGGCCAGTCTGGCGGGTCCTCAAGCACTGAGGATGCAAGTAGCACACCCACAGGGGATACTTCATCTGGTGGCAGCTCGTCTTCCGGGGATACCACCTCTGGGGGTTCAGGGAGCAGCGGAAGCAACGCATCTTCCGGGGACGGCTCTTCGAGCAGTACGTCAGGCACTGGTGGAAGCGGCACAACGTCCGGAGATCCCGTAACATCCAGCTCTAATGGCGCCTCGCCTGCAGCCACGGGGTCGAACGTGAGTAGCACGTCCTCAAGCAGTACGCCATCGAGCAGCACGACTTCAAGCGACGCATCTAGCACCAGTGGAAACATGCTGTCGCCTGGGGCTTCAGGGTCCACCGGGAGTGGCACCTCTTCGAGCAGCACCTCTCCAGGGACCGCCAGCACATCGGGGCCAGGCAGTGACGATGGCTCTGGCACCTCTGGATCAAGTACTGGCTCGGGCGCTAGCCCGACTTCTGATAGCGCGGGGGCATCTGGCAGTGATGGTTCGGGAACGACGGGGAACACTGGTTCGGGAGGCTCATCGACTGGCGATGACAGTGGGACTGGATCGGCTTCTGGCAGCAATACCAGTGGAGGCTCAGATTCTAGCTCAGGCTCAGGTTCTAGCACAGGCTCCAGCTCCAGCTCTGGTGGAGGGGCTGGGTCCACAGGGTCGAATAATGGATCAGGTTCATCCAGCGATGCGGGGTCTGGAAGTGGTGATGGTTCGGAGACCGACCCTGACACAAGCACGACCAGCCCACCAGGCGCTTCAACGAGTGAATCAACTGCGCCGAATGATGTGGCTGTCAGTACCGTGACCACAACTTTGACTATAATCTCCACAACTTCCACAACCTTAACGATTACAGCCCCCCCGGTTACCTCCACCAGGGTCAGCGTCATCGTTGTTGGCTTCTCGATCGCATTGAATCCAAACCCGTCTGGGGATAGTCTCATATTAACTCTACCACAGCCGCAGGAGACCACCGTTTTTGTTACAGTCACTAGGACCGTTGCGCAATCGACGATTTCCTTGACTCAGACTGTCACGACTACGGTCGAGCAGGGCCCTCTTCTCAAGTCATCGACAACGGAAGCCACCGTGACGGCTTTGGTTGGAAATAGGACTGTGACGGAATCATTGGACCCCACGACGATCGTTTCAAGCGTCACGGCCACTGAAATGGACATCAAAACTGTGACCACGACTCTCAGCTGCGTTCCAGCATCGAAACCGACTAAGCGTGGATTGCTCAAACCACGATCCACCACCTCCATCCGTCCCTCGACAGTGGACAACAGCCCAAAGACTACAACAATTATCGTCAACACAGTGACGACAAGGACATTCTCAACTGTTGTTCCCGGTGGCACAAGCTATATCACGATCACTAGGACAACAGCTGTTGAAAGCCCTCCAACGAGCAAGCAAGAGTCTCTGTTAAGAGCAGACGGCACGTCAACCCAGAAAGAAAAGCCCTCGACGGCCTTGAATGATTCTTTATCCTCCACCATCACAAAGACAACCACTCGCACAGTCGAAATCACAATCCTTCCATCTCCAGCTACCATGGTGATTACGAAGTGGATCACTTTCCAGCCAACATCCACAGACTCTGGCATAGCATCTGAACTGAAGACTGTCACCCACACGAGAATGCCTTCTGCCACGATCACTTCCCAGATCACCTTCACATCGACGAAGACTATCAAGACTATTTCCACAACCTCGACCACCTTCACACAGACGTCCGAGAATGCGTCCACTTGCAAGACTTGAACATTATGATTCTAGTGTGTATATGCTGGTGTTTCTTTTGTTCACCTTTCCTTTATTTTCCTTTGTTGATCTTTTGTGACTCGTCATTAGTGGGAGAGGGAGTCAAATAATGTATAGGTGCACAGTAATAGTAGTGTCGCTGTGGTCTAGTTGCTTTCGCCTAGGCATTTGATTGTTATTTTTCTGTCCGATATCTTCTCACGTTATAGTGACGAATGAATGCCAGTCATCGCTTTTCTTCCCCTTACCCAAACCCTGGTAAGCTATTATGTGCCTAGCCTCCTAGCCTCACAGGCAGGACCACAAACCCAGTATTGTCAAGATCGAATTTCCTGCGCATTACGAGTGCTTTGTTACGTATCCCTATATCCTGCTTGCAGCCCACGAGAATCACGCGCTCCAAGCTTCCCATATCTGCTTCCCATATCTGCTTCCCATATCTGCTTCCCATATCTGCTTCCCTCATCTGCTTCCCTCATCTGCTTCCCTCATCTGCTTCCCTCATCTGCTTCCCTCATCTGCTTCCCTCATCTGCTTCCCTCATCTGCCATATCCAGAGGCCATCCAAAAAAAACCCCTTCAACACGATTCATATCCTAGGCCGTCTCAGGCCTCAAATACCCACGCCTCGGCGCTAGGCCAGGTCCCATGGCTCGCTGCCATTGCGCCCGAGACTCGTTTACTGATTTTATCTTTCCTAACCAACCGCGATCGAAAGTGTCTGCGACTCACATGCAAAATCCTCAGCGACGTGACGCCCTTGTGTCTTTCACGAGTGTTTCTGTCTGCCAACCACCTCGATATCGAGGTATTTCATGCTATTGCAAACCATCCTCAGTTTCGGTATCAAATCGAAGAGATAATCTGGGATGATGCGCGCTTTGTTTCAACGCCGCCCCTGTCGGATGACTACCGGTGGGAGATGATACTGGCAGGAATTCAAAGCTCGCCTCAGCTCCTCGAACTGGACTCTGATTTTGACTCTTACTCTGACTCTGAACCCAGCTTACCCCGTTGGTTCAGGAAAGAGTGCGAGAAAAATATCCAGTTCATCGACGGTAGGAAGGGAGGGGACCGGGATCTTCCCCACCACATTGCACGACAGAAACAGGTTGACGCGCAGATGTCCCTGCATGATTGCTGGGAGCTCTACCAAGATTACATAGAGCAACAGGATGAGGTGATATCTTCTAGGCGCGATGAGAATGCGCTTATGTACGGCCTCGACCGATTTCCAGCCCTGAAAAGAGTCACTGTTACACCCGCGGTCCATGGGTGGCTTTTCTCGCCATTATATGAAACGCCCCTGATAAGGTCGCTGCCTTTCGGATTTAACTACCCAATCCCACGAGGGTGGCCAACACCCAAATTCTGCGAGATGGCAACAATTCCGCTTACATGGTCTCGGGCACCAGAGGCCTACAAAGGGCAATGGCACGGGGTCAGAATTGCTCTCCGCATTCTCGCTCAACACGAGCACAAAATATCGGAGCTAAGCTTTGATCCATCTTTACTCCTCACCGGCATTAATTACTCCATGTTAGACCAACCAAGCCATGAATACAATCACTTCTTAGCTATCATGAAGCGCCCGGGATTCCACCATTTAAACCTACCTTTATTCGTCGGCGTAAATGGAACTCATGACTGGGCCCAGAAATGCAATGGATTCCTTTATCGCGCTCTCAGGGAAGCGAAGGACCTCGAATATATCAGTTTATCAACCACAATCAAGGCTTGTCTACTAGACCCACCGATTCTCTTGAAGAATGTGTTTCCTGTTGAACACTGGCCAGCCCTTCGCCACTTTGGTCTCTGGCGCCTCAATGCCTCGAAGTCAGATATTGTCGATCTACTAAAGCTCCTCCCGAGAACGCTGCGCTCTCTTGATTTGGGTCTTCATAATTTTCAAATTGGAGGGGACTGCTGGAATGACCTTCTCGAGGCTATACGCATAGAGCTTCGTCGGTCCGATGAAACCATCAAACCAAGTGTGCGGATTGTTATGCCGGGATATGTCATGATCGGAAGGGGCGTCTGGCTGGAAGATGAGGTAAATGAATTTCTGTACGGCTCTGGCGAAAATCCCATGCAGGGACAGAATTCCCAAATGCCTAAGTTTGGGATGGGAACATTCCGTGACCTGTTCGAGCCAGAGTTTACACGGCCTAATTTGGAACTTCGGCAACTTTCAGAACTAGGCATCGTGGACATAGACCGGGAGTAGGCATAGATATCTTTGCGAATATGAGCAAACTACTCTATTCACACTTAGTTCAACTCAGAAATTGGCAGTCCCAAACTCGGCTAATCTTGCACGCTCCTTCTATATGCTCCCGGTCGTCGTAGTAGCTGCTGCTCCAGTGACACCAACACAGACGTATTCACTGTCCTGTAGCCCAGAGCAATCGGTATGGACCGCAGGGTTCCAGCTATAGATTGCCCTTTAGCCCCATCACAAAGTACTGGCATCAACGATTTGACATTCCGTTTAAGACGCTGCTTTTCATTACATCGTAATAAGCCTATTGGACGATCTCTCTATTAGTTAGACTATATATACTACTGACTCTACGATAAGCCTATTATGGTAATACTAGTCTGAGGACACCTACATGAGTCTACTCGAAAATAGAATAGCTTACCTTAAGTAATCGTCCGCTAGAGAAATATTTTTCAAAGTGTGAGGGCTAAGTTTGCTTTTCTTACCTTTAAGCGCACGTATTAGAATCCTATTAAACTAGACCCTCTAGACTTACACCCTCCCACCATGAAATCCGAGAAGAGATGATTCTGGTAAAACCTCTCATGACCCCGATCAAATTGTCTCAAGATTTGACCTACTTAGGGGGGTGCAAATCGTGTCCCCCTCGCCAAGACTGGTTTACCTACAGTATGAGTCCCACCCCCCCTACGGAATACGAGGCGCGAATATATTTAGGCCTTGGCGCCCCGGACCGCTGGCGCTTGACCAAGTGACTCCCCTTTTGCGGTCAGTCATTAGCATTTCATTGGTTCAGCTGAAAAGGGGCTCTGTGGGGAATGACTGTATTCATTGTGAGGGATTTCGGCGGCCTCGAGAAGCAGTCTCCGTCACAATCTGACTTGGTAGGTTTCCTCCTACCTGATTCACGGGTCCTGCCATTTTACCACTGGATAATTTTTCATCTGCAAGGTGATTTGTACTCGCGAAACAGTCATCGGAACTGCCAGACTCGGCCATGCATTATGCCGATCGCTCCCCTCTCTAGTTGCCCTCGTGAAAATGGAACCCCACTAGAAGGGATTGACTTTCCTTGACTAAATAAGAGAAAACCGATCTCATCACCCAAAGACCGTCAATTTCAGGACTATCTCAGCCCAATTCACTAAAAGACTTGACGTTCCAATTCTAGTCGTAAACATGCCGGAAATGGACGAGAGCTTCGATGTTGTCCTGCAAATCATTGACTGGGTCGGTTCCATCTGTTCCATCTCCCGCGGTGATCCCTTCACTCCAAATCTTCAGCATAGTAAGATCTTTGATGCTGACTTTAAACGGTCTAAATTATAGCTGAATCCAGTCGAAATCTACAATCTGAGCAGAGCGAATAAACATTACTTTTCGCTTCTCGCGTTGCCTCTGACTCGGAAGATGCTGCGCAAAACGAAGGCATCGCGGAGCGGCGGGTCGTACCTGCATCTTGCAGCAGCGAAAGGCGACATCAGTTTACTGCAGCGACTAGTGAACGCAGGCGGTGATCTCCAAGCTATGGACACCTTACAAGACACCCCCCTCATCCATGCCATACGGTCGGGATTGATTGAAACATGCAAATGGATACTGGAGATGGACCCTAGGACCATCAAACACCCGTCTGAAAATGAATTGGATCCGCTCCTTCACGCAGCCAAATCCAAGCAGTGGAATATTGCCAGGGCATTGGTCCTAACTGGCGCAGACGTACGTGCTAGCGGGCCCGGTTATGGTTTCACTTGTCTTCACTACGCGGCAAAGGATAGCCAATACGAGCTTGCATTGGCTCTTATCGAGCGGGGTGCAGATTTGGAAGCGAGAAATTCACATGGGAGTACTCCTTTAGCAAGGGCAGTGAAATCCGAAGACGAGCAAATGGTCCGGCTGTTACTGGAGGCTGGGGCAAATGGCCGAGCAACTGATAGGGAGGGACGAGGGATGCTACACTTAGCAGCGACGGCGGGAAATCTGACAATCGCGGAGCTTCTTTTGAGCTTCGGTGTCGATATCCACTATCATGATGATCTCGGCAGGACTTCGCTTCATTATGCGGCGAATTGGGATCAAGAAGATTTCTGCGCTTGGATACTGAATTCTAAGGATCCCATCGACATTAATGTCGCAGATAATCGGGGCAGAACGCCGCTTCACTGTGCTGCATCGCAAGGAATGCATGATATCTCTATGTTTTTACGTGGCCATGGCGCAGATTGCAGGCAAGCAGACTTGGACGGGCTCACCGCGATAGACATTGCGATGATGACCTGGCATGGACATCTTGCTCACTCATTGGCTTCTGGAGAAACTATTGTAGCTTCCTCGGACGATTCATGTTCGAGTGAAAATAGCGTGAACGGAATGGTCTGCCCAGATTGATTTAAATGGAAAGAGGTAATTTAGATGTACATTGGTGGGATCCTGACTATTGATGGAGTTTTATGCCTTTCGGCCGTGTTGGCTTCTGCAGGACCAGCGCCCTTCCGACTCCACTGCCCGCACCAAAACCCTGAAAAGGCTGACGAGGGAAATATGTTTCTCATTGTTGCTGACGGAGTTCTTGGATTAGAGATTCACATAACCTACAGCCCTGATGAACATCTGCGTCCTCTTCAACAAAAAACGTGATGATCCTCTTTCGGTAGAGTTCCTCCATGTTGGGCTCTCTCGTAGCGTAATGGATCGGTGGCCTTCTTTGTCTTTATGACACATGTCTCCCCCGAGCTCGGAAAAGAAATTGATCACATCGATCAATAACAACGGCGATATCATAAAATGAGCAATACTTTGCCCCTTGTTGTTAATTGCATTCGGGTCACAGTCGGAGTCAACAAGTCATTTGAATAAAGGTCTGCGATAGTCTGCAGCTTTTTATCCGTAAAACCATTGATCGCTAGCCACCGATGTAAGCGCTATGGGATCCACGGAAGAATTGAAGAAACAAGGAGGCCAGAAAGTGACAGTTCGTTTCTTGGTTGATGAGATAATGGGCAATACGGAGTTTCGATGATCTTCAGCGACGAGCAAGTCCAAAAAGCCGACAGTTATGGGATTAATCTGGGCAAGTCCACATTCCTGCCTATTTCGAGTTTTCTGAGAGCTCGAGGACCTGCTGCCTTGTTCCAACTGACGTCTGACCCACAGAAAATGTTCAGGTGATACTGTAAGCGAACTAATCCACCCAACAAGATAGCGTATATCTGGCAATCAAGGTTGCATACTCAATTCCAACCATGAGTCTACGACGATGGGGGGTAGCCATTTCCGTCTGGATGATGGGCACAGTCGGGGTGAGTCTCTAACACATAGTTTTGGACAGCCACATGACCCAATTCTGCCTACCATTTCTCTCTCTCGTCACTTCTCAGATGAATTTGCAACAAGGCGAGGTCCAGTGGAATCAATTTGAGAGATGAAATAATGGAAGGAAAGAGCAAATATCATGGGACAGATTGAAATACCCCATTGATGGCTAAGATACACGGTGTTACGACAACGGTAATACCAAGAATACCAACTTGCTATCCAAAACGCAAAGAAAAGCGAGCCACTCAGTAAACCATCTTCAAGTAAATGAGCCTTCACTACTAGAGGGCGTCATTTGATGTTTGTGGATAGGACACCTCTCTGAAACGGTGTCGATCCTTGTTCTCTGCTCGGGGTTGTGGGTTGAAATGGAGCAGCCACCGGTATCGCATGGTCCTTCATACAGCGCAGGGCCGAGGCACCCGCAAAGTTGGTAAAGCTTTTGCACCCCAAAGCACATCTGCTGTTCTATTAATGTTTGCACGTGTACCCCGGATAGGGACGAATGAAGTCTGAACACACAGTGTTGGAATCCTAATGCTCGACGAGAATCTGTCAGAGGCGTAGCAAAGCTGCTGTCCGGGATGTTTGAGTGAAGAGGTGGGACCTCTCAATTATTTATCCTCGACGGGGTATATCGCCGTTGGGTGCTTAACGGTCGGACCTGGGTAGATTTTTGGCGTGGTGCCTGTTCTAGGCCGTAAACTTGATACATTACGCTTTTTATATGCTCGAGCACATTATGCTGCTTCCAAATGTGACAAGGACGAGGAGGATCACTTCCAGGAGCCGCGCGTTGTCCCATTTTCCTACATCATCGTAGGTTTCTTCCCGTCGGTCACCAGCGATAGTATCAGCTCCTGGAGCTGGGAGTAACCAAATATGCCGAGAGGTGCAATGTCCGGGCCACTTAGAGGCTTGGATAGTCTTGAGGCTGATTATGGGGCCCCAACGGGTTCTGTACTGCAGATTGGAGGGTACTCAAAATCTATGTCATTGGTAATATCCTCTGGCCCCCAACAGCTGCTGTGACAAATTAATTAGAGGCTCATTCGCCTAGGCTGACCAGAGCCTCCATTATTGGCCTAATATGATCGAGCAAGGGAATGGTCGACCGGTACCTTGGTGTGGCGCCTTTGTCTGCGACACTACACATGCACTTGAACGGGTCTGGGGTAAAGGGACTGGCGGTTACACACCGTGTATTATTGGCCATTGATCCGACAGAAAACCACTCGTAAAATGCTACGCCCCCTTCCCTGCCTCCTGCGTGTGATCAATGAGGGCAAACCCTTCAGTCTGCCCCAATTCTGCCCTCATTCTGCCACCAATCTGCCTGCCACTGGTGAGATTGTTGAGAGTATATGCCGAATAACAGAGTCGGGCGACATAAGAGAGTCAGACTCAGACTCCCATTCTTTCGCAGCAGTATCAAGAACAGTGTTTCCTTCCCAATCTCGAATCCGCCAATCGGCACCGCAATTTAAAAGATACTTCATCAATCTAATTCTAGCGTCGTCTTGGTCTTCGCCATTACCAAATCCGCAGAGTAGGTGCAGGGGAGTTCTCCCCGACTTGTCTTGCGCATTGATATTGACGCCTGCTGAAACAAGATAGGTGATGGTATCATTGACATCCTGGTCCGGCACATGATCTCCATAATATGTGCACGTCTCTAACATTGCGTCTGCTGCTGCTGCGAGGTCAAGGTGGACCTTTTTCTCCATATAAAGCTCACAAAGCACGCGAACTGTCCCGGAATAAGCCTCGCGGATACAGGTCTCAAATCCTTCCTGAATATAACCATTCGATGTCCAAAATGCTGGTGGGTCTTTGAACCCCGCAATCAAAATCACTAGTTCTGGACACCGGCCCAGAACGGCGATATCAAACGGTGTTTTTGGCTCTCTATTGCGAATGTTGTTTTGTGCCAAAGGATTGGCTCCAAAATCGAGGAGCAGCTGTACCGTGTCTGAGCTCCATGTTCCGACCGCGGAGTGCAGGAGTGTATCTCCATCATCATAGAACCTGGATTTCTCTGGAACCCAGGGTTCAGGGACATTTTTGAGAGAAGCGATGGGCTCGTTGATGTCGTAGCCGTGGGGATCCGATTTCATTGCGCGGAGGAGGGTCTTGCTAACCCCGACACGTTTGTGCAAAATAGCTGAAATCAGGGGCGGATGACCATATTTGTTGGCAGCGAATACATCTGCCCCGTTGGCGACGAGAATACTAACTAAACGGTCGTACCCCCGGCGACTTGCATAATGTAATGCCGTGTGCCCATCAGGTGTACAATGAGAAATATCCCCACCAGCATCCCGAATAGCGGATATCAATTTTTCGACGAAGGTTTGTGAGGTATTTGCGTGCACAAAAGCCAGGATAGGTCTCCCATTGGCCGGGCTGAGGATATCCGCACCAGCATCCATGAGCCTCGCGGCTATTGCCTCTTTGCCCTTGTCAAGGGCTGTATGTAGAGGTGTCTCGCCATCAAAATTTCTCACGGAGACATTAGCACCATTTTTCAGGAGAACATTCATCAGGGCCGTGTTCCCGGCCGCTGCAACATGGTGGAGGATAGACCAGCCCTTAGCATCCGATGCGGCGAGCAGTTTCTCCGAGTTGGTATCAAAGTAAGCGAGAATGAATTGCGACCGTAACCTTGCAATGCTGAATCTGGCTTTTGGAAGGACGGTACTGAAAAATCCCCTGTCATATAAAAGCCGGGTCCCGATCCAAGCCAGGAATTTTGATGTGCGGATGAGCCTTGCGAGGTCTGACAGGGGGAGATGTTCACAGACGGCGGAAAGGACCTCTGGAGGTAGTGATGAGAGGGTTAGTGGCATCATCGTTCAGTGTATTTGGCATTTTCCAAAGTGCAGCTGATGTGAAAGAACGGGGAATCGTTGACTTGGTTGGTTTGCAAGGACCCGACTTCCGCCCCAAATGGGGAATTTCGGGGGCTGGGGAAGAAAACCTTATTTACGAGGTGTTCTTAATTTGGGAGATCAAAACATACAGAAGTTGACTTCGGTTTCCATACAATTTTCTTCTGCATTGCGCAATTTTAGCTTGATAGTTCAATTCGATTGTTTGGGCATTCATGATTCCGGTCCTGATCCTCAACTGCTAACTGAAATGGACAGAGTCCAGAAACTCGCAATGGAGCTATATTACACTACAATCTCAACTACCCGATAAACAAACCCGCGTCCTCATTATTTGCACATTGGATCAATGGCAACACACTGAATATTCATCCCTCACATTTCAAATGCCAAAGGTAGAAACCCCTCTGAATGAGAATTATCAAGCGGCCATGGCCAATTTGTTAGGAGCTCCGGTGGCAACTGGAACTCCATCAAATCATCCCCCACACCTGCGCCCACCGGAGTTGGATCGGATTGAGAATAAACGGTCTGTTGTACCATTGCTTCCGGCTTGGTATTTACCTGTACAGAGGAAGCGCCATTGGGAGGCGCTGGCGGTACTGAGAAATTGGCTAGCTGGGATGTACGCATGTACCCGTCGATTCGGTCAACCTGGGAGCGTAGGCGTTGGCTGGCACCTGCTGAGCGGTGGAGGCCTGTCTCCAGACGGTGGAGGAGGTCTGCCAATTCCAGTCTGCGGGATCTGATTTAGAAAACAGAGTCCACTTAACGAGTATCGGAAAAATTAACTTACAGTAATGTCCGTATCCTCTGATAGGAGGTGTAGGACAGACTTCCCTCCATGACTGAACCAAGGATGTACCCAATCCCCCCAAGGTGATGAAGCTAATGTGGGTTAGTGAGATGAACAAGAACTCTATAAAATAATAGGAACTTACCAACGGTGAACTAATGGCCTTCAAATACTCGATCGGAACGTTGGAGAATACGCTTAGCAGCTCGCCAGCCACATCGCACTTCCGATCGACCCCGATCTCCTCCGCAGATAACAGAACCATTCGGAGAAGCTGCAGAGTCGCCTGAATATTGGCAGACTGGAAGCCAAACAGATCCTTGCTCATGTCCCCAGTTATTGGCGGGGTCTCACGAAATTGCGGCGGTAAAGCATTATACATCGAAAGAACTCGCTCCATGACAGTCGGCTCTGACATGAATACCGGGCCAAATAGAGGCCATACTTCGGTGGTACCGTTAGCGGAAGAAAATCGGCGTCGAGTGCCATCCACCACGTGCTCGAGCATTCGATATAGATCAGTCGTGAAATTCCAGCCGTGCATCCATGATACTGGTTGCCGAGACACAATCGGACTATCGCCATGGCTGAGTGTACTAGACTCTGGCGATACCGAAGGTAGGCCGTAGCCATAAGGTGTAATGAATTCATCGTCCACCTCGCTAGGATAGCGTACTAGAGAATGAGCTTCGCGGTATCGGATGATGCCTCCCCATACAATGCTCGCGTAGATATCCAAGGTGTAGATTGACCAGAACTATTCGATCCGTTAGTCACGCACGGGCAGCTTCAGCTCGAGAAACAAACCAATCTCCGCCGCTCCTCGGTCTCAATAGGCCCGATATCCTTCGGCCAAAGCTTCTCATCGTGAAGTCCCTCCATAGTCGTCAAAGTGTAATATATGCCAGAATACTTTTGCAAGTTCTTGATTTGGCCATTTTGGATACTAGCAATTGCGAGTATTGCACACGCTCGCATATAATCAAAGCCTCTTGCGAGTGCCAGATCCTTTGGGAACGAATCCTTGGCAGCTGTGTAAAAGGCCTCTGACGGGGGCTCGAGGAGCTCTTCGCGGTGCCATCGAGTCGAGTATAAAGCGCCGTCGCGCGCCCGCCCTGAAACCAATGCACATACCGCCATAGTGGAGGCGAATAACCCTGGGTTTCTGAGGTGCTCGTGATTATTAATTCTCTCGATAAAGGACTGCTTATGAAAGAGAGGGAATCTAGAAACCAGATTAGCCAGTTCAGAAGAGGGCGACACGGGAGAATCAGGCGAGTCATACATAGGATAGACAATCTCAAAGTACACCTGGACAAGGTTCCTGATCTGCTGATCACTGGCGATAGCGAAGGCTTTCCATGAGTTATGGAGGGCACCGTCGTCATCGTATCCCTCGGTCGTCGACCACCCCGTGTTAAAAGAGGTCCAAGGATCCCCTGTCAAAGATGGCCGGGACGCCGTCTCCTGATACACGGAGTTCCTAGCCGCAGATGATCCAGAGGCCCTATGTGGCGCAGGAATTCGACCGATCGGAGGCGAGTCTCCCGACACTCCTAGAACGGGCGTCTCCCGTACATTCACCTTGGCCCCGGCTCTGACGCCTCGCCTTTTAGCAGGGCGATCGTAGGTGCATGGGACATCGAAGTCTGCGCAGTTCTGGCATCGGCCTAGTGGGTCTTCACCCTTGACACACTTGATGCTGCGGCGATTGCAGAAGTCGCCTAGTACGCGGTCAGTGCAAGATGCTTCAACACGTAATGCTGGTTCGGATTCGGAGGTTTGCCAGGCACAGATCGAATGTGGAGCCGGGACATTCCGAGAGAATCTGGGGAGCAGGACATACAGGCCTTGGAGACGCGCTGTAGCTTTCGCGGTTTTTGCGACATTCATTCGTCGGCTCAGGCCAACGCCTAAAAGCTTGCTCCTGGTCGCGAAAAAGGCTCCCGCGAGACAATCCCTGCGCGGGAATGGAGAGCGGGGTGGGGTTCTGGGGCTCCGTGGGGTTGACGGATCGCGTTATCGACTCGCAGGGGTAGGGCCGAAAGGTGGAGAAAGGGCAGCAGAAAGGACTAACCGGAGAATTCACGCTTACATTTACCGATTTGCTGAAAACGAGTGTTCCATTGTAAAGATGCCTCGTGCTGGCGCCTTTTTTGTACTGACTCAGCAAGGGTGTCATAGACTGTCACTCGCGACGAATCGGCGGCCTCGATTTTGATCACGTGGTTTCACTGGCGAAGTATCATGACTCTTAATTTGTCTCATAAAGGACCTATACAAAGCCTACGGCCACCTAAGGGGGCAGATGGCCATATTTCTTAAGTTATTTGAAGTAAAATTTACTGCTTTTCTTCCGTCCTTTACCCTGATAATCCTAAGTAACTTACCATCTCTTGCTTACTACGTAGCTAGGATCAACGTAGATATTAACTAGGAAACTCGTCCCGGAGACTGTCCAGGAAATTGTCCAGCAAATTGTCCAGGAAATTGATCTAGGAAACTATGTAGGAGACTATACAACATCAGATTGCAGAGTATATCTATATTTCGCCTCTGGTAATCTCATTTGTCAGTTAACCTGAATCAATTTCAACCGTTTCCCTACTTAGCAAATGGTTATATGGGATATACATAGATTGTATGGGAGAACTGAATTCCAGATTCTGCCGGTTCTTGAATTTCTGATAAAAGCGTGATGGTCGTTTCCCCCCATAGTTCGCTGTATAAGGCGAAAAGAAGCTGGACCTCGGCTTCACAAGCACAAAGAGGGCGCCGCGGCTAGCCGCCAAGAAAGCTGCTAGCGGAGTGCTTTTCAATGAATTGACCTTGTTCTTCGTTCCAATGTCACCAAATACCTTGTTCACCTCATCTTATCTCGCGCCTTCACGTATTCCGAGATATGCCAGTCTCAATTTCGGCCTCTCTCCTCCTGACTTCGCTGCCCTTACTAGTTTTCTCGGAATGGCAATCCAGGTCACATAGAGGTACAGCTATCTTCAAAATGCTTTCTTCAATTGCTTTCCTTAGCAGCCCATTGCTTTTGTCATCCACGGAGTGGTCAGATTATCGCCGTCTCATTACACTCGGTCTTGGCTTTTCTTTGCTAGGCGACTTTTTCCTTATTCCTTCGCGCCGTGAATTTTATCCCTTGGACAGCAAAGCTACAGCTCGCGACAAATCAGAAGAGCTAGGCAAAGTATCTATATCTTTCCAACTCGGTATCGTCGCCTTCGCGGTAGCTCATATAGCCTATACTTGGGCCTTCCTCCAGGATTCCCGGGAGACCTACTGGACCGTTTTTGCAGCTACGTTCGTAGGGACTCTTGGCGCCGGTAAATGGTTGGGTGTCATTTATCCCGGGGCCCATTCCTCACTCAAAAGCAATGCACTGGACCTTCATATTTCACCCGATATGAGACCATTGGTAGCTTTTTATGCTGTTATTATTGCTACAATGTTTGCTGCGGCCACCTCTACGTCGCCATCGACCGTTCCATTGGACTGGTCGCGTTCGCGAGCTTTGGGAGCTGCTATGTTTGTTGTCAGCGATCTTTTTGTTGCGAAGAATGCTTTTGGAAGATCCTCTGGGCCCAACAGCCGTGGTGTGCTCGAAATATCTATGGGCTATGGACTATATTTCTGGGCCCAAATGGTGATTGCAGGAACAGTGGTAGCTTAAGACAGACATTTCTGCAACCGATGAGACACCTCATTCAAGATATATGTCTATAAGCAAGGCCCTGGATTACCATAGCGTTGTAAATGGCGCCTTCGGAAACAGACAACCACAGAGAGAGGGGGGCGGGAGAAAGAGAAAGAGAGGTAATGTGCATCATAAAAATTATAAGACAAAATTGTTATTCAAAAAGCGATGAGCCGACTGGATTTCCATTGTGCGTCGGAGATGCAGGCAGGACGGTGAAAGCTTGTAACTCGCACTACTGTAATACCTCCATAGGCCCATCATTTGGCCAGAATCGCCGACAAGACGCGAGATCAACAAGACTAGAGAGTACGGCTTCCGCGTCTTAATTGTCGAGGCTTGGATATATCCCCCGTCCCTTACCTGCCTAATGTCTGGAAAAAGAACGCAAGTTTTGTTATAGTCCATGTACGAACAATTCTCGAAACGATATCTCCTGGATGCTTCACACAACTATACTATTTGCTCGAAAGTATAAATAAGTATGGAAGACTGCCTTCATATCGACATATTGCGTTTCAGAATCAGGAAATCTTAACAACATCTTAGCCTTTTACACCTTATATATCGCAGATGATACTCCTAAAGGCCGAAAAGCCTCTTACAACAAGAAGAGTCAAATATTTCAAGTCTTAACCACAGATGGGATGTAGTCAGTCATGAAAAATGGGTCCAAGCAGTTGTACAAGCTCATACCAAGACACCAGTCAAGAGCTTTGCTCTTCGGCGAGGGCGTATTGCGGCTTCTTGCTTGAGTAGTCCTACTGCCTGCTTGATATGCCCATTTTATTGATATACACCCGCAAGTAAATGCTGAAGTCTATTTGATCATAGTGGTCTTTGTTAAAAATCCTCTGTTCTACTGCGTTAATATGCTGTAGTAGCCCTGCTGGCTGATAGCTAACACCGTGAGTATGTGATGGAGATTTCTCCTTCCTGCCGGATGTTTCCGATATAGTTTTGGCAGACCTTTGCAAACTTTCTTTGTCCAAGATCTAATTAGGCCCTTTTCGGGTTTCTGTGTTGTTTGTTTTCCTTTTCTGCTTCTCCAGAGTTCCACGGCAGATAAATTTGCTTCAATATCCGAGCTTTCTTCTTGCTTTGCGGTGGAAGATCGAGTGTGCTAAAGGTAAGTGTCCTCGCGCTCCAGATAAAATACCCTAATTGAATGTGGAAAGTGCCAATAATCAAGGAGCTCACACACTAGGAAACTCACTTTAATGGTGGACCTCGTAAAAAACGTTGACAGCAATCCGGATTGGTCGATACAGTTTTTCCATTCTAAAAACTCTACGACTGTCCATCAGACAGCCTTTATACCCATCAACAATGCCAGGAAGCGAGGTCATGACGGTTTGAGCAACGACCCACTTCTATGCACCTCAGTGGTGACGAGGTATACAGGGCGGGAACTAACCTGTCCTCATGACAACCATTCTCGCCAGCTATGCCGATGATTCAACGCAGATTTTGTCGCGGGCCAAACCTACCATATTCAGTGACCTTTTAACTTGATCTCGTGGACGGTCAGTCAAAGATCGATTTCGGAGGATTTTCAGATACAGTGACAAGTACACTAGTTTGACATGCAAAAGAAAGAAAAATACTTCCTACTCTATGATGTGGTCTAAAACCTTCCCCTGCGTCATTATTCAGCCCTGTGAATGCGAGCGGTGTTATCAAGGGGGCCATATTTAGATCGGCTTTATCTCGGTGCCGACGTTATGCCGAGTTTCGCCCCCCGATGCGGCACGGATTCACCGAGCTATGTGCGAACGGTATCGCAAGCTGGGTCTTACAAGATTCGACAGGATCAAAAAGACCTATTAAATTGCATCATGCACCATATCAAGCTTTGCATGCTGGGGATCTATCTCGGAGATCGTTCGGCCAGGAACCACTATCTGGTACCATGTCCAAATCAATGAAGCTTCTCATGCTTATAAGAACAGAGGTATCTGCTACCTGTTTGCCTGCTCCTCAGATACATTCATCATTCACCTAAGACCCTTGAGACTTCAACATGACTGCATCAACGATACCCGAGTCTCAAGAAGCTCCCGAGCCCGTGCAAACATCACACCTTACCAGGGTCGAGACACGAGAAACCCTTCGCAATGTGGGAATCTCGGAGCATCCTGCACCATTGGACTACAACTACCCTGAAGTTGGGCGAACGGAAAATCCACTATTCCCTGAAGAATATGTCATCGAAACTAGCACCGGTCTTGTTCCACAAGCTACATTAGAGCAAGTTCGATCTCGAGCCTCGACATCTACCGCAGCCACCAGACATGACAACCTTCCCAACGACCCAGAAAAAGGGTCCGAGAAGTGCACTGAATATGTGACTTTTACCATCGGAGATCCTGAGCACCCCCACAACTGGTCCCGTGTTTATCGATGGTATATCACACTGGTTGCCTCAGCATTGGTGGTGTGCATTGCATATGGCTCGTCAATCGTCACGGGAGGTCTGGGATTGATCCAGGAAAAGTACAATGTCTCGTTGGAAGTGGCTATCTTGACTTGTTCGATTATGGTCTGCGGCTTCGCGGTCGGCCCATTGCTTTGGTCTCCCTTGTCCGAAATCATCGGCCGCAGACCCGTCTACATCATTTCGCTGGCGCTTTATGTCATTTTCAACATTCCATGTGCGCTCTCACCTAATATTGGAGGGCTCCTCGTCTGTAGGTTCCTGTGTGGTGTCTTCTCTAGTTCTGGTTTATCTCTAGCTGGAGGTACCATTGCTGACGTTTGGAGCACCGAGGAGCGGGGCATGGCTATCGCCTATTTCGCCGCTGCACCATACTGTGGACCTGTCGTCGGTCCCATCGTCACCGGCTGGATCAATGTTGGGAGTGGCCGATTGGATCTGTTCTTCTGGACAAACATGGCCTTTGCCGGCGCGATCATGATCATGGTCGGCCTCATTCCCGAGACGTACGCACCTGTCATTCTGAAGCGACGAGCAGCCAAGCTTCGAAAGGAGACCGGCAACCCGAACATCATCACGGAACAAGAACAAACTAAGCTTACTCTCCGTGATATTGCTCGCACGAGTCTCATCCGCCCGATTACAATGATCATAACTGAGCCAGTCCTCGATCTAATGTGCATGTACATTGTCCTCATCTACTCCATGCTGTATGCCTTTTTCTTCGCCTACCCAGTCATCTTCGGGAAACTCTATGGCTACAACGACGGTCAGATCGGCTTGATGTTCATCCCCATTTTGATAGGCGCCGGGTTCTCACTGCTGACCACCCCCGTCATCGAGAAGCAATTCAAGCGAATCTATGACACGCGGACACCCACTCCCGAAGATCGACTGATCGGAGCCTTGATCGGAGCTCCGTTCATCCCAATTGCATTCTTCTTGCTCGGTGCCACGTCGTTCAAGCATATTATCTGGGTTGGTCCCGCTTCATCTGGCATTGCCTTCGGATACGGGATGGTCCTGTGCTATTACTCCGTGAACAACTACATCATCGACTCTTATCAGAAATATGCTGCGTCTGCTTTGGCTGCTAAAGTGTTCTTGCGGTCCGGAGGTGGTGCTGCTTTCCCATTGTTTACTACCCAGATGTATGACCGTCTCGGGCTTCAGTGGGCCTCTTGGTTGCTGGCATTCATTGGGGTTGGGATGGTGTTCATCCCCTACGTCTTTTATATGTTTGGAGGAAAGCTTCGCGCAAAGTTGACGCGAGATTAAAAAGTCACGACCATACAGAGTTGCTGGTAGTTGGTGGGAGTGGAAGGAAAGCTAGAGTTGGGGATAGACATAGAAGGAGGTCGTTGAAGTACGGCATTTACTTAATTCATAGAGGTCTCTAACAGACATCTACATTACATTTAATAAGATACTTTTCATAATCTTTTTTCCTTGTCTTAGACATGTATTCAAGAATACTTTGCTTCATTCTTCTATCCAACCTCAATCTGTGGTTTGATCCCACAAGCTTTGGACGGTGACACCTTGAGCCCACTTCCCATCGGTTTCATCTTTCTGGACAGTGAAGCGAACCGTTTTCTTCTCCCCTGGAACCAGGGTAAAGGCATTATCGTCAAAGTACCCGACAACGCCAGCAGGATAGTCTAGCCAGGTGTAGAATGAGACGCCTCCTTTGGCCTCCACAGTATACGTGTTATTTGACGAATCATGAGAAAGTTGAAGCTTTGGATCCACAAGGGAGAGCTCCTTTGGGAATACGGTAGTGGCCTTTTCGTGATGGACGAAGGTGGAAACAGAATCTGAGTTGGGCATGCGACCACGAGCAGTCAGAGATAGCATAAGGACTGCATCTGTTTTATCAGGGATAGACAGCTTTGCTGTGTTTGCCTCATAGATCTTGGTGGTGTTGAGTCCGCCAACAGTGAACTGCATGCTCTTGGGTGTGCCAGCATTGCCTGGGATCGGCTTTCCAGACAAATCAACCCAGGTGAGGTTCACAGTGCCAAGGGCAGTTTCCCATAGATCGGATGTCACGTAGACGGACAAATCTCCGCTAGTGTAGTTCCAGAAAGGAGAAACAATGACGGGCTGGTAGATATTGCGGGCCACGTAGTGGAGAACCTTCCAACGTCCATCATACTCAATACCCGCCCAAGTAGGCGCCTGCCAGATATCCTCCAATTGCCAGTAGAGAGAGCCAAGCTGACGCTCAGGCATGCCACTCCCTCGCCGATAGAAAATTATCTCAGATTTATACATGTCGGCTTGGAACAGCTGAGTTGCATGACACCAGGCGCTGAATTGTTCAACGGGGTCTTTCTTGTGAGGAACCGGATAGTAGCGTTCAACGGCCATTGTCATCTCACCCATACCTTTCGAGGAGTTTCTGAGGTTATGAGTGTCGGTAGTTCCTGGAGGATAATGATGGTTGCGAAGAACAACTGTGCTGCTGTTGAAATGAAGGTCTTCCGGGTCCACGGCCTGTTGCCAGGTCTGCAGACTTGGCATGCTGTGGTAGCCAAATTCATTGGCGAATCGTCCAACCGGATAACTGCCAAAATCAAACGCAACACTACTATCATAGTTGTAGTGATCGGTGTCTGAGTAGTAATGACCGGCTGTTGTATTGTCGTAGCGTTCAGCCATCGGAACCGGGGCAGACAGATTGACGGAGAGGAAGCCATTATTTGTGCTACTGGGCATGTACGAGATCGAGCGGGAGTTCTCATAAACGAGAGGCAGTATCAAGCTGATAAAGAGTTTCTCATACTCACCAACGTAGAATGAGTATTTATCAGGCGCTGCTCCCTGGACGATAGGCAGCTCCAGACTTTCAAGTTCATTGCCACCTGCCCAGAGGGCCAACGATGGATGGTGGTTAAGCCTTCTAACGTTATACGTGACCTCCGCGGCAACGTCTTCGAGGAATTTATCATCAGATGGGTAGAGCGCATCACTGAATTGAAATTCGCTCCAGAGAAGAACTCCTTGCTCATCAGCAATATCATAGATGAAGTCAGGCAGGTAAGCACCAGAGGCCCACACTCTTGGATAAAATATCAATGTTAGCGGCTCTCATTGGAGAAGACTGGGATGTATCGGGAAGGTCTACCGTAGCATGTTTTGATTTCCGGCGATAACCGCACTGAACAGTCTTTGCATCCTTTCTTCGGTGACTCGCGGCCAGAATGCATCTGGAGGGATTAAGTTCGATCCCTTTGCGTAGAATTCTTGCCCGTTGACTTCGAAATGCCAATTTGCACCCGGTGCAATACCCTGAGCAATCTGGTCATCGGTAATGTTGAGTCGGTTGAGGAATATAGTCCTGAATCCAGTACGCTTGGTAACCTCTGCCATTGACTTCTGTTTGCTGTCCCGGATAGAGATTGTCGCGTAATACAGGTTCTGCTTGCCCAGACCACTTGGCCACCACAACTTTGGCGCATCAGCATCGATAGTGATGCTACCTGAGATTGCTCGGCCGGAAACCGAAACATTTTCAAGTGGACCTGATTTCAGAATCTTTCCGGATTCGACGTCTGTGATCTCAAGGGCCATCGTCAACTCTTTCGGAAGCGACCCGAGGAAATCAATACTCGCGTTCAACACCCATGGCTGTATTTGGGAGGGAGGGAGATGATTGATTTGTCCCTTGCGGAAGATATCTAAATCAGTGTTCAGAACGTAGATGCTTTCCTCACTCTCAAATTGCACTAGGTATGCATCTCTCCATGGGCCGGCAGGAGCAAAAGCGGGGCCCCAGTCCCATCCAAAATCGGACTGTTCTTTGCGAATGTACCATCGGTTTGGAAATTCGTAGATCTGCTGTGGACCGTACGGCCATTCTGAGAATTGTCAGAATAAACGATACTACTTGACGAGTTCATGAGAAGAGCCTACTTTCAGAGTTTGGGTCGCTGGCAATTGCATTCGCGATCTTAGGGGCGCTGCCGAAGTTCAAGTCCAAAGTCGGATCCCCTTTGCAACTTTTGAGAGCTTCGGAAATATCGAACGTGTATTGGCGAAATTGATTATCGGTCGTACCGACGATTTGTCCGCAGAACTCAATCGTTGTAAAAGTGTCCAGGCCGTTGAAGACAAGCCAGGATGACTTCGCTTTTGTGGATCTGCTATACGATTAGTGGGGTTCATAGACCTATAGTCGCGAGATATCCTACAAATCATGCAGGGGATGACTCGAATATGTCCAATTGTTGTTACATATCCAGCGCTGATTGAAGTCATTCAGGCCGTAGTATCTGTGAGGCGGTGGGTTAGTTTGGACCCTTGGGAGTCGAAGTATGAACTGACGGATCGTCTGCTGCTAGTTAGTCACCGTGTCTTTGACTGAAGACGATCGGGAGGCTTACCGATAGCCTTTGCAGCAAAGAGATCCAGATGCACCTGCGAAGGGAGTTTGCCGGGGACCGAGATATTCAAGGCTTTGCTGCTGACCGTCCAGCCATCACCAGTCAGGTCGACAACCTTTTGAGCCAACACGGGATGAAGAATGTGTGGCAGTGCTGCCAAGGCTAAATGTTTGTGTAAATGCATGACTTTGTCGCCCACCAAAATTCCTTCTCGATGTCACTGAGCTGAACACCTCTTTATCTGGACCGGGGCTGGGGCAGTTCAGTCGATTTATGCAGCAGGAAGTTTGGCCTCGGCGTCGGCGAAATAGCAGTAAATTACCCAATGGAGAAAGGACTTTTCACACAACCGAATCGAGGACGAATGATTCAGTCGCCTTGGTGGAGAACGGAAATTTGACGACCCGTGTTGTATTAATTAATCGTGACGCCCAGGCTACGGTCGTGACATATTGTTTGCCTGGACTTTGAAGTACAAGCCAGAGCTCGTCAAGGTATCGGTGGGACCTCGCGCGCGGGGAAGAAAGCAACGGTAGCAACGCTGAGTTGCGGAGAAAGGGGAGATCTCCACGGAGTTTTGGAATCGCGAGTCGCTGATTGAGGATGAAGTGGCGGGAAAAGAGCAACGATCTGCGGTGCTTGAATGCGGAGACCCCGGAGACTGCAGACTCGCAAGGGGTGGGAAGAGGGGGTAGATCATAGGGTGGCATCTAAGGGAAGGAATGATAGTACCCTGATGGCAGAACAGACGCGGTGAGTCGGGTATTAGCATGAAGAAGTGTCATCATTTTTAAACAACAAAGTGCTTAAACCAGAAATCTAGGGCAGTCTGCTCTTGTTGCCAGGAATAGATCCCTTGATTCTAGTGCACTGGCCAACTCAAGCCCCCATGAGGCTTTTATGCACTGAACCGATCGAGGTCACAGACTCTGTTTCTATTTCTAAATGCTATATCTATACGCTCGCTCAAAATTCTCTCAGGCTGCCAAGTTCTTGTACATGAGCTTGATATCGCCATGGGAAAAGCCAAGCTTTGTGGTCAAATATCCCTCGGCGCCACTGCCGTATGTGGAGCGGAAGGTCTTCAGGAAGGCCGCCATGGCCTGCGCCCGAACACCACTCAGCTCTAACATGCCGATCGCTTCGGGGCGTAGATGGTCGGTACCTTCGTCCAGAGCCAGAGCCTGTGTCAGATTCTCTCGCACATTTTCCAATCCCGCCCGCGTGAGAATATAATCCTTGATGATCTCGTCTTGAGGCCGCCCCATGAGGAGCAGTACCAGTGCTGCTAGAACGCCCGTGCGATCTTTGCCGGCTAACAAGATCAATGCACTTCGATTAGCGACCGTTCAACCAAATCTAGCAGAGCCTGCGACCGTGCGACGATTCGAAGATCATGAAACAAACATACCGGAACAGTGGAAAACGAACGGATCATCGGGTTGATCCCTGATATGTTTAAACACCTGGGTGAACGCTGGCACACATGCCTCAAGTATACCCATGTACATCTTGACAAACCCACTACTACCATGGTCCTCCCCAGCAAAGTCGCGCAGATTTAGCGATGCTGGCCTGGAGCCGTAGGGCATCCAGACTGTGTCAACTTCTTCGATTTGGGGAGGAGGGGCCTTTTCTCTCTCGCCCTCATTTCGTAAGTCGAAAATCGTCGTAATGCCTAAGTCGGCAGCCAGCATCGCTTTTCCGTCTTCCGTAATGTCCGACAAATTCGCAGACCGGTAGACATAGCCTGGGCGTATGTTGTTCTCATAGCTTAAGTCTCGGAAATTCGAGACTCCGGAAATAGTGATGAATGGAGGCAGGGAGATGATCTTAGAGACGGTTGACTCCGGAATCGGTGTTTTGATGTCCGTGTTTAGCACGTCGTGGAGGTTATCGGTGTCTATCATGGCGTGATGTCAAAAGAGTCTAGGGCATTCATGGAAGGATGGGGGAAAATTGGGGAATTATCTTGTGGATAAAGTACTTTTTGAAGTACGATCCCTTTCTGGGGAAATCTCAGACATTCAGGTTTACAACGGCTATGTCATAGTACCCATCTGGCCATTGTGCAAGACAAGGAAAAGCGCCGGTGAAGGTGGAGTCTCATTGCTGTTCTACGCAAAAAGGTACCAATTACAATAGTCAGGCACGGCGGGTAACGATGTCATCGTCTTCAGCCTCGGTGCAAGTGGGTCTGAATCTCTGCCCGAGCCAAGGGCCGATAGGGAACGGATGCCATGCGGAGTAGATGAAAACCTAGAAATCTCCATTTCGTGTGCCACTTAGATCAATCATGCACGAGACACCTTAACTACTCCCCAAAAAAAGTAGATTCAGGCCTCCTTCGAATAACACCGGCGGACTATAAAAGGCGGGTGGCCATGATTCTAAATCGCTTCGAAAGGCAACTCACATTGTTTCGTCCGCCCTCTATCAAGATGAGCCCAAGTGCATTTTCATGGTTACTGCTTTCCGCAGACTCGCCCACACCGCAAAGTGACAGTCTCTGCCGCCTCGCTCACTATTCAAATGCGTACTATTGTGGCTTCTTCGAAGTCCATCGCGTTATACCTTAACCTCGATGAAGCACCGCTTTGCGCAGTGCTTCCTCGGCAAAGCTGCCACATGGCATGAGCAGAGTCTTTCCGACGCCGACCGAATGGCGTACACCTCCGCACCGATTATGGAAGCATGGTACGATGCGCTTCGCGAGCGATTCTCGATGCCAGTCACAGAGGCGCGCGGGGTCTATAACAAGCTCGCGTGCACGCTTTACGATGTGTACGACCGAAAGGATCCCGACGAATTCCTGCAAAAAATAGTGGTCTATAGCCAGGAAGCCTGCGAGGCGACCACAGAACAGGCACAAGCCCAAGCAGCCTACAATAAGCCTTGCGCCCTCTCTACAGCTCACGTTAGCGCCTCCGACAAACCAGACGACTATCACGGAATTCGCCAGCAAGTCAACGCGCGGAAAAGCCAATGGTTCTCGTAGGTAGTTACGAAGGGCTGGCCGAGTGTATAAGATGACGGTGGAATTAGGATTATAAAGCTGCTCAGGGAGATTAGCTAAGAGAGTAATACTAATTTCAAAAGATTCTGCGCTAATATATATACTAGATCCTAGTCCATATCTGCTGAGCACGGATATAGTGATCTTTTTGGCCTATGTTGGACATTAGGTAACCTAGGTTGATTTCATAACAATTAACTAGGAAACCATCTAGGAAACCATCTAGGAAACCATCTAGGAAACCGTCTAGGAAATCATCTAGGAAACCGTCTAGGAAACTGTCTAGGAAACTGTCTAGGAAACTGTCTAGGAAACTGTCTAGGAAACTGTCTAGGAAACTGTCTAGGAAACTGTCTAGGAAACTGTCTAGGAAACTGTCTAGGAAACTGTCTAGGAAACTGTCTAGGAAACTGTCTAGGAAACTGTCTGGGAAACTGTCTAAGAAACCGTTCATGGTTCAAGTCGAATTGTGGATTTTCCGACTTGAAAAACCTTCCCTCTAACATGGAAGGCATTGCCATAAAGTCCTGCAGTCGCTGGACAGGAAGGAATTCGGCGATTTCAGCAGACCGACTATACTTTTTTGTTCTTGTTCATTTTATTGGTTAATATCTACTTTCATTCGCTCATATACCTTTCCACATGGCTTTCCAATACGCTAAAGTCTCTTTCTATTACATCTCCTGCTACATGCCCTGCCACAAAGATACACAGATAGTTCCGCTAGTTTATGACGACTGTCACCTTAGAAAATAATCAATCTATGACGCCATACGCTCAGCACGGCGTTGAAGTTGCTTGACCATATTTATCCCGACTTGGGTAGCCTCATCCAGGTTCTCTTCCGGTAAACCCAGTAGCTCATTTTGTGCCTTGGCCGAGCAATCACTCGGCTCATCCGGGTAGAACGCCCTTGCGTAGAGCATTTTACCAAAGCCAGCCCTGTTACCACTCTTAACAAGCGCCAGGCCATCTTCGTATCGCTTCTTGGTATCCTCGTAGGTAACCGTCCAGTCAGCGTCACTAGTGCCCGTGACGCGCTTGACGCTCTCGAATATCTCGTTTTGGCCGACAACAAAGCTCTTGACATACAGAGCCTTGTTAAGCCACTTCGACACCGTAAGGCTTTCGTCGCTTTCGTCGTCAGGAAGCACTTTCAAACCCAGCAGTTTAGCCACGGCCCGCCCAACCTGCGACAATGTCGATACCGAGTTCTTGGTGTTGCCATCATCATAGATCGTCAGAGATCGCTTGTCAAAGTCGAACCCGAAGCGCGCTTCACCACCAGCTAGGCTGTAATCATACCAAAACCCACAGCACACGGTAATCCACTTCATACCGAGTCTCTCAATCTCATGTCGGTTGGCCTGGGCCACGGGCCCCAGCATGGTATCCTCTCCGAGTTTAACTTGTTCAAGATCGCCAGCGTAACTATTGGGCATGATGTAGGGGACACCAGCCTTAGCGGCAGCCTGGACGAGCCTGCTGTGGGTGTCGCGAGGTGCAGTGGGAGATAAAGTGATGATCAAGAACTGTTGGCCCTTGAGTGCAGCGACAATCGTAGCCTCGTCATCATAGTCAATTGGGGCGACGAGGACGCCCTCAGGAAGTGTGTTGCCACTGTCTTTTCGGGAGAGGGCCGTCACTTTGTGTTTGCCGGTTCCGAGGAGAGCGGCGACGAAGTGAGATCCAACGGTGCCTCCCGCCTACAGGCGCTTGTTAGTTGCTGTCAATGTGATGTTGAAAAAATGCACCTACACCAACAATAGCGACTCTCTCAATAGCGTTCTCGAAGCCGACGGGCTGGTTCTTGGCGTACTCAGGCATTTTGGCTCTTCTTGAATTGGATATTGGAATTGATGATTAAAGTATATGAATTGGGATGAGGTGTAATGGCTATTCTTGCTTTTCGAACTTGTAGGTGTCAGGGCTATTTCTACTTGGAGTCGGTATTGCCTGTCCATTTATACACTTCCCACCCATTCTCTCCATCTCAGCCTTGTCCGACATGATGGAATTGGGCAATTCCGAATAGCCAAGTCCGGACAGATTCAGATTGAACATCGGGATTGATTTGGCTAAACTGTCGGGCGGAGATACCGTTGCCGGTGATTATCCCCCACCTCGCGGCCTAACTCCGCAATGGCCGCACCGCAGCTACTGTACGTGAAGCGGCGTTAAGACAACTGTTTATCCTCCAGATAATATCCAAAAAAAATCCCCCAAACTCAAGCCAGTCACCAGGCATCTTCAAGCTCCTCTCCTTATCATCAACCTCGCGGTCTCGTTTTCCAAGCTCTCTTCGGCTTAGAAGTACTCAGTAATTACACGATTCTCCTGATCCCGTTATATTTCTGGTAGGTCCCGCCTCGTGTAAGGACCGGGGGGTTACCTTTGTAGAGACCTTTGAAAAGGGAGGAAGTTCAAGGGTATTTTGGCTAGACCTTCTTTCCGGTCGCTAGATTCAGACCGTTGAACTGCCATAGTAACACTTGATGTACCGCTTCTGTTGAGCATTCACTCTCTATGTTTCTAGATTATAACCATTTGCTTTTAAGCTGTCTTGGGCGGACAAGAGAACGAAACCTCAGGTTTCGATCCTAAAGCTCCACGGCAGAATGGCTGATTTACCATACCTGGCTAGAGTTCTTCTACGTTGTCTTTGGTTCTGGTTTCTGGACTGCATAACTCATGGAAAATTAGTGCAGCCGCTTACGGATTGTGTAGCATGTGTAAATGTCGGTATCCCGCTCAGCCTTGGCTCTTACGCCTCGCGCCTTCCGACGCCACATCTGCGACGCTAATAGTACAGATCTCATTTCCACGTCACCTATCCGATATATCCAATTGGAAGATTCTAGCTACCCTTCGGATGGAGTTTCGCGTTGTTCTTAAGCGGAGGGGACCGCGTGGTTTTCCGGGAGCCAAGCTGAACTGACACCCTTAATAGGACGATCTGCCCCCACATCGTCCCATAGCACGTTATCCTGTCAGGAAAAGAACACGCATCACAGCAGAGGAAAATGTAGAAACAGTCTTGTGGTATTGCACATCTCTCAGCTATGATCTGAGCCAAGTTTTGGGCAATCTCGCTACGCGAACAGGTTAGTAGGCCGCTGTGGGATGAACTCAACATCGTGTTCAAGGCATCCATCCGGTCGACCCACTTTGTCTCCACGCAATCGAATCTGGAACCCCATCGCCTCCATAACCTGGGACTAAGCCAACAACATTGGGGAAAACTCCTGTGGGGGAAGTAGTCCCTGGCGTTCTTCCCCAGACAATATTCCTCCAACTGGAAAGCGCCGGTCATCACGCTGTGGCACCATAACGGAGTGATACTGAAACATGAGAAGCCTTAAAAGATGGCATCTCCCCAGATCGAGGTGCCTTATCACGTTCAAGGTCCTGAAGGCCCGGTTTATAACAAAATCAGCAGCAAGTCGCTTAGAAAGCACACCTAATCATGGCACTACCCCCAAAGTGGTACCAGGTACGTCTCTAGCTTTCCGCCTTAACTCCAGCGGTTCCCTAAACACCTACAGTTTATGGTATGTGTGTTTGCCTCTTTAGGCTCCGTACTTTACGGTTACGATCTAGGTGTTATTGCCGAGGCTATTGCTAGTCCCTCGCTGGTCAACGCTTTCAATGTCGATGCTACGAAAAGTGGAGCTGTCACGTCCGTGTTTACGGGAGGCGCCTTTTTCGGCGCCATTTTCGCGGGTCCACTAGGTGACTATGCAGGCCGAAAGATCACTATTCTCGTCGGGGCTGTTATTTTCCTGCTGGGAGGGTATGTCAACGAGATTCAACAAATTGATTTGCGGCGCACTTATGCTAATTAAACAAGAGGCCTTCAAACCGGTGCACAGAGCATTGAATTCCTGTATGCTGGGCGGTCTATTGCTGGATTAGGGTGAGATAGTCAAGATTCCTGGATTCCCTCGGGTAAATGTAAAATGCTAATCATATACCTATCGCCCTCTAGAGTCGGCATCCTGGTTATGATCATCCCGCTCTACCAAGCAGAGTTGGCTCACCCGGATATTCGTGGTCGTATTACCTCGCTACAGCAGTTGATGCTAGGAGTTGGATCTCTAGTGGCTGCGTGGATCTCCTGGGGCACCTTCATCAACTTCGCCGATGACGATTCACGCCAATGGCGTGTCTCCCTTGGTATTCAGATGGTACCTGCCGTCTTCCTCGCCGCTCTCATCTTGCTGTTCCCCGAATCGCCTCGTTGGTTGATTGACCATGGCCGGCTCGACGAGGGACTGCAAACTCTAGCTCGCCTGCACTCGGGCGGAGATGTCAATGATCCCTGGGTGCGGACCGAGTTCGATCAGATCCAAAATTCTATTGCGAACGAGCACGAGGTGGAGGCCAAGTCGTATACTGAGCTTTTCACCGACCCGTCGTGCTTCCGTCGCCTCTTCCTGGCTTGCTCGATCCAAGCCGCTTGCCAAATGACCGGTGTTAGTGCTATACAGTACTTTAGCACAACCATTTTCAAGCAAATCGGTATTGCTACCAATGATACTCTCAAGTATCAGGGAATCAGTTCTATCCTCGCTATCATCGCCCAGTTTTGCTGCTTGCTGTTCATTGACAAGACTGGTCGTCGTTGGCCACAGATCATTGGCAATCTGGTCAACTGCGTGTTCTTCGTATGTGATACACGCCCTTTCTAGATTTCGAATGTTACTGACCCCTTCAGATCATTCCCACAATTCTGATTGCCAAGTTTCCCCCTGGGACCACCCACAACAACGCCGCCAGTTGGGCATTCATCATCATGACCTGGTGCTACAACTTCTCCTTCAGCTCAACCATTGGCCCACTCACCTGGGTTATCTGTTCCGAGATTTTCGACACTAAGACACGCTCCAAGGGTGTCTCTATCGCTACAATGGTTTCGTTCGCATTCAACACACTGATCGGTCAAGTGACCAACGTCGCTATCGAACGAATTGGTGGCTGGCGTTTCTACATTGTCTTTTGCATCTGCAATTTCACGAACGCGATTTTCTTCTGGCTTATTCTGCCTGAGACTGCCAAGCTTCCGTTGGAGGACATGAACGCTTTGTTCAAGACGGAGCCGTGGATTGTACCCGGAACTCAGAGTCGGAAGTTCACGGAGCGAAAGCGTGTGGGCAACAGTCTGCAGATTGCGGCCAGAACTAAGCAGGAGAATTTTGGTCTGGTGCATGAGGAGGAAGCTGGCGGTGTTTAGCTTCGTTCTGGTCAAGCTCAATTGACTGTCACTCATTCTTGTCACTAGAGGACCGGGAGGTAGAACGGCGAAGCTTGATCTTAGACTGATACCATTAGAGATTGAGACAGAGATAAATTCGTAGTATTCATGACGAAACTCGAAATATCCGAGTCCAGCCCTTCTTCTTCATTAATAGCCTGGCATTCTGAACACTAGAATATTTGCACCACTAAAATCATCAGGCCTAGCCCATGTCAGCCCTTGACGCTCAAGTTTTCATGCCCAATGACCAGCGAAGCATCTATATGGTCCCGGTAAGATCGCCAAATCATTCCTTGAGGTATTGGTCTAACCATGCTACAGCCTGGCTAAAAGCTTGCTCTTTGGCAAACTTCTGTCGAGGCTTCGACAAATCACAGCGAACCGAGAATCCATGCTCCACATCTGAGAACATATTGATCTGATATGGAAAATCGAGACTATCCAAAATCTCTTCACTCTCGTGTCGTTTAACAGTTGTGAAGATGAAGTCTCGTACTAAGATGAAGTATCAGTCACCGAAGTAGACAAATAGACCACAGTGCTTAAACTCACCCGCAGCTGCAATACTGAGCGGTCCTTTGATACCCTTCAGTTCATCTGATTCGACCATCGTCGGATGCGCCATGAACCCAGCATCCAGCTTACCCGGCTTGAGATACCGACAAACATACTTCCCACCAAAGCAGTAGCCTACCCCACCGATACGCTTGCAGCCGAGGCTCTCGCGCATCTCTTTTAGTACAGCATCGATAATAGGATCTGTCTGTGGGGGTAAGTGATTTTTCACCCAGTCCATGACGTTGAAGCCCGCCGGTCTGTTCAGCGGGACAGCATCCCCGTCGAACAGATCCGGCATGACGACAAAGTAGCCCTTTGCAGCAAATTGATCTGCGATAAGTTGAGCGTTAGAAAATTTGTGCCCGATCACGTCGGTCAAGATAAGGATAGCGTTTTCGGTAGATTTGTCGGAGGGATATGCAAAGTATGTTGAGACTAGAGGGATTGTTAGATGTGGTTGATGTGATCGTGAGAGTATATGATGTACCATGACCGATATTTTTGATCTCGCCCTTGGCTTCACCATCATGAAGAGAGCCAATTGTACAACAGTGAGAGAGCGAGTTAGATGTCATTTTATGGAAGGAGAGAGGAGTGTACTGTTATTCTAAGAGAAATCTGGGATAAAAGGTAACGTGAACCAACGTAGTCCACTTTTTATAGCTATACATTGGCGATAAGAATGGTTGAATACGATAATCGGACATAAGCTTCTAATGTATCTAAATCCAACTAGATCCGTAAAGTCCGCAACGCCGTGAGCTTTCTAGTTTATCACAGCCTCGTCCTTCCAATACGATCCTCTGGCTGTGATTGGCTCAAACTGCCAGTCGTGTTGGTAGGAAAAAGTGGGTCTGTCCGCGATCTCTCGCGAGGCCGAAAAGTTCCCTGGCAGCTGCGCTCCGATCGTCGTACCAGGTTCAACTTTCCCCTTCAATTCCTCCCACACAACTCACCATGTCGACCCGCTCTGCCTGGCGAGCCTTGCACTACAGTGCTAAGCGCCGCAATATCCAACCGGCTACTCCGTACCGCTGCTTTTCCTGCACCCGCCAGGCCTTCGACCAGGCTAGACCAGACCATGAACGCATGACACACTTTGGCTTCACCAATGTGCCCGAGTCCGAGAAGGAGTCGCGAGGTATGATCTCCAGTCCTACTTTATCGCATTTCAATTACCATCGTCACCATCTGAATTGATCCCCACGCTAACGTTATTCTCCAACAGTCGGCGCCGTCTTCAGCTCCGTCGCCTCTTCATACGATAACATGAACGACCTAATGTCCCTGGGCATCCACCGCCTCTGGAAAGACCACTTCGTGCGCTCCCTGAACCCAGGCACACCTGTCGCCAACCGCCCAGCCAACGCCAAAGACCAAGGCTGGAACATCCTCGACATCGCCGGCGGGACCGGCGACATTGCCTTCCGCATGCTCGACCACGCCACCAACATCAACCACGACCTGCAAACCCGCGTCACAATCAGCGACATCAACGCCGATATGCTGGCCGAAGGCCGTAAGCGCTCCATCGCAACACCCTACTACAACACTCCCCGTCTATCCTTCGTCGAGGCCAACGCCGAACACATGCCCCATATCCCCGACGCCTCAATTGACCTGTACACGGTTGTCTTTGGCATTCGCAATTTCACGGATAAGCAGGCCGCGCTGAACGAGGCGTTCCGCGTGCTCAAGCCTGGTGGTGTGTTTGCTTGTATGGAGTTTAGTAAGGTGGAGAATCCGGTGTTTGATGCCGTGTACAAGAGGTGGAACTTCAGTGCTATCCCCTTGATTGGGCAGATTGTTGCTGGGGATCGGGATAGCTATCAATATCTCGTGGAGAGTATTGAGCGGTTCCCGAGTCAGGAGGAGTTCCGGGGTATGATTCAGAAGGCTGGATTTATGATTCCTGGTAAGGGATATGAGAATCTGACTGGTGGCATTGCTGCTATTCACAAGGGTATTAAGCCGGTCACTCAGGTTTGAGTAGTGAGGTCTGGTCTGGCATTGCTTGGAGAGGATGAGATTCGGAATTAGTGGGGGATTCAGATCTTCCCTTTCCTTACCCATCGGTAAGTGGAGAAGGGGATTGTACACTAGATTTTGATGTTTCTGCAACAATTGTATTATTTCGATTGCCGATTTCTACGGATGTTTCAAGAAGTGCTGGACCCTGTAAGATATAGCTCGCGGGTCATTTGGAGCGTATGTAATGCACTATATAAACTATATACGAACTGGAAAAACAAATATCGACAAAGAACCAAGTCTATGCGAGAGCCCATACCGGGCAGAAACAGGCGTAACATCGTCAACCCATGTGCAACCAATGCAAGTGGTATGTGCAGAGTGGGGAAATAAAGTAGATACGAGAAGAGAAGTAAGATATGTCCATGTATGGAGATACCCATCACATCAAGCATATCACATCCAGTATGTCTAGTTCCAGAGCTTATTCACTCCAAAGATCGTCGGCCTCCATCACTCCAATGTAGCTGGTCGGAGAGGCAATATCTTTCACGACGGCGATAACTGATATAGGGTGTGGGCCATCTCGGGATGTGGTGACGAGACGACGTAGCTCGGCCAGTGGGGTGGACTCGGCCACCAGGAACCAGTTGGGCCGGGATACGGATAGCGGTCGGCCAGAGTCTAGAGCCACGGCATCAGACACGCGCAGGTCGACGTCCGTATGTCGTGACAGAAGGGACCGAATTCGCCTAGGCGGGACGAGTTCAGATTCAGATAGGAAGACCCATGATTTGGCGGTTGGGTGCTGAATAGCTGTGAGGAGTATGTCCAGTAATCGTACATCGCTGGCAGGTGATGCCGAGGCTGTAGGGATTTGATCGAGAGGAACGAGCATGTCCAATGGTATTGAACGTTGTTCGGGGGGTTGTTGAAGATTAAAAGGTGGAATAGACGAGCCGTTTGAGAAATCATCCCAGGGCAATGATATAGATGAAGAGGGAGAATCAAAGGCCGTCGTTGACGCTCCGCTAGACGGTGTAGTCGATGGCGTCGCTCCGGCTGCTGCTGCCGCTGCTCCAATTGCACCTCCGGGATGATAACTGCGGAATACATCGGCAGGGGCTCGTCCCGAATCAGTGTGCAATTTCCGTGCCGTAGCGATGGCCAATGCATCTCCCAGACACAGCGCTACCGTTGTCGATGATGTCGGGGCACTGACACCCAGGGAAGCTTCCTCTTCCTCATGTATTGGCGCCGGTAGAAGAATTCCCATGCCAAGCGGGCCATGCAGGGAAAGTAATGGACATGCATCGGGCTGAGTATGCGATGAGAGAGCGATAATAGGAACTGTGGTGGGAATATACGGGAGCAGGCATAACAACTCCGGCGAGCGACCAGAGAACGAGATAAGGAGCATCGTATCGTTCTATTGGGCCATACAATTAGCACGTCGCTCCTCTGATTTGCTCGAAATCGAGATTTCTCCAGGTTTGCATTTCCCGCAATGCAACCCCATCAAAAGCAAGCGTGCGAGATGCAGGTGGCTTACCGGTCGAACCAATCCCAAATCCCCATGCAACGCCTCCGTCGGATGCAAGAAAGCACTGTGAATCCCCAGACTATTCATCGTGGCCTCGATCTTCCGTCCGATCTTCCCACTCTTCCCCACCCCGCATACGACCAACTTGCCCCCCTCGCGCACCGTATACGCAATCAAGTCCACCGCGCGCGCGAGATCCTGCTGGGCCCGCGCATCGTTCTGATAAAGGTGTTCGAGGTGCGCCAGAGCCGCACGCTCGGTGGACATGACATGGAGAGCCGTGACGACCGTAGAGGTATCATTGTTGGAGGACGCTGGCTTAGGCAAGGGGCCGTCGAGGGAGTCGGAAGGCGTGAGCGGGCGCTGTGTCGCGTCGGAGGACATGGCGGGTGGCAAGATAAAAGTGTCAATGGCTGCGTAAACCATGATCCCGTTTCCTTTTGGGGGGGAGAGGGAGCTATAATGGCTTGAGGATGGGGACAAGCGAGACAACTACAAATTAAGCTCTTAATAACAAAAAAAGACCGCGTCCCTGTCCAAGGACGGCGGAAGGAGGGGGACCAGGATTCGATCCGGGAAAATGTGGAGGGGCGATGGAGCAGATGCGTCGATTGCGGAAGATAACAGGCGGGATCGGGCGATCGTTTCAGCCGCGTATGGTCACCTTTCTTCAGCTTCTGCAGGCGTAGGATAGCTATGTAGGAGCTAGGGGGCAATGCCTGGTACGTTTCTTATGGGTCCCGTTCTTAATCCTAAATCGGGAGCTTTTGATCTCAGATCTGAACGGGGAAGTCGAGGCGTAATTTTGTTTTCCATCGGGATCGGACCATCTGGCAGTCCCCCATGCTGATATGGTGTCATCGCTCGCGCGAATCGCATGAGATTACTGATCGGTGCCCGTTTTAAGTAAAACCGATACTCGGAGATAAGCTAGTTAGCTATGGTACTGTAATTGATTTACCTTGACGGATATACCAGGTCTTCTCCAATGGCCTAGATCTTGAAGCCTAACCTGAACCCACTCGACGTAGAAAGTCTTTCTATCTCGTTTATTTCTCGTCCCTGGTTCCGGCGATCTATGACGCATATTTACAATAGTATATCGCAGAATGGGACCAACCAGCCGCTATGTACATTTTCCCAGTTAACGCTCTCGCAGGCCTAGCCCAAAAGTCGACAGCTATAGAACTGCAAACACGGTAAGGACCGCACGTCGGGTGCCAGCCAGGTCGCAAAGAGCCCGAGCATGTTAAAAGACGCAAAATACCAGCCCAGTATGAAATCAACGCCGGAAAATCCATAGAAAATCATTAATCGTCTCAACTCTTCCGCACATCGTGCTCTCAGTACTCGTCAAGCGGATGCGATTCCACCCAGGAGTCTGGCCCGCTCATTGACGAGCGGTCACCGAAAAGGTATGGTCTGAGCACGGGGCGAGCACCTGACGAGTAGGAAACGTCGCAAGCGCAGGCAAGAGATGCAGACAAGATGGGGTATCGTATCGGGGTCATGGTTCGCTCAAGGCGGAGGGTTTTCGTTCGTGGCCGTACAGCTAGATTGTAGGGATGAACCCGACGCTGGATCACCCTGACTTGCCAGTCTCTTGCCTATCCTTACCCTTCTCATTCGAAGTGCCGTCATCCTCATATAAATGGTGCTGCTCAATGTAATGGATGACGGGGACGGGGATAAGATAGCGAACGCTCATCTCACGCCGGAGGAAGAGTCGGATCTTGGTGCTGCTCACGTCATTCTGGATGAGCTGCTGGATAACGTGGATATTCTCCTTCCATGGCTGTAGACTCGCTAGAGCCTCGTCGATATCCGTTCCACTTCGCTCCACAATAAAGGACTAGCAAATGTTAGTGAATCGGACAAGAGGTTTGTCAAAATCGCAAATCATGGATTCACGTACGCCATATTTGCCCAGAATGTGATCCAAATCCTTTTGACTCCAAACACCGGGGGTGGACATGGTATGAATCAGATCTGCACCGGCAAGAAGGGCAATCCGCACAGGCTTGCGGGTGCCATCTCCAGCCTCGACACCCCCACGAACAATATTGATCTCGTGATCAAAGTGGTCTAGCACGACGGCTGTCGGCTGGTATTGCTTCTGATTCGGCTCCCAGGTATCCACCATCAACCAGTCCGAGGTTTGATCGACTGCCAATTGGCACATCGCAACCCTAGCAGAAAGGAAGGAATATGTCAGCCAGTTCATTTCTCAACGTCTCCCATGCATGGCAGTAGAGCCTAATTACCGATGCTCCGCACTGGCCAGTCCAGCCTTGCGATAGGCATCCGACACGGGCGACAAATAACCACCGATGAGTTCAAAGTCCGTGCTGAACTTGACGTAATCGGCAGCCATCTCAAACATGCGCAGATGCAGATATGTGATGGGCGAGAAAGAGCCACACGCCACCAGCAGCAGCGGAGTCTTCTCCGGGTCATTCATCTTGCTCTTGAGACGAAGGTCCGGCAAAACGTAGTCGCCCATCGGCGCTGGAGGGATGTGCGCAGGCTGTTGGTGCACATCGTCACTCTGCCCGCCGACCATTTCCGTCGTCATGGTCATCGTCGAAGGGCAGTGGGTTTGGAAGGAGAGAAGGGTGATGCCGTTTGGCGGGGTACAATTAAACGGGCGATGTAGGTTCAACGGTCGGGGGAAGCGAGGGGGGTTGTTTAGAGGAGATGGGGGGCGTGAGGGCGTTTGAGGGCGGATCTTCCTTGGGGAAGTGGGGAGAATGGAGAGAAGAGGGGGGGTCAAGAAGAGAAAACTCGCCCGGCGGTGGCCTGCGCGGGGGGGGGGGGGCAAATCGGGAGGCGGAAGAAAATGCGCCGGAGATGATGAAGGGGGAAAAAAGAAAAGTTGGCTCCCAAGTTGAAGTGTGTCGTCAAAAAGAATAGGAGATGATTCCAACCGGTCTCAAGCACACTGAAGGGAGAATTCCAAAGGCTGACGTGATTATTGAGGCCTCGGTGAGTCAATCGAGAGGCCTTTTCTCTTTCTCCATCGGCGTGTCTCCGGTCGCCGACTCTGGTAAAGCCGGGCGGGCCCCGCCCGAACGGTACTCTATGCAGTGCTCTATACTCTCTAGGATTAGTTTTTTGTTGGAGAAATATGCGTGGTATCATTATATCAGCGGAAATAGCCTTAAGATGACTGTATACTAGACAAAGTTGAACATTGTGCAGAGTAATCGTAATTCCCTTTGCCGCGGATGTTCGTCCACTCCTCCAGTGTCTTCCGAACATTCTTGAAAGAGACGGGCTTTGCTGGAAACATGTCCATTCGGTTTTCAAGGGCCTTGGGCTCATGCTATGAGCTGCGGAGACCCCGCGAGCGCAAAGATCTTGGCCAGTGTCGAGCCTGGATACGCTCTTTCTCCAATGCACGAATCGCCCGGGCTGCTCTAAATCCGCTTATTTGCGGCATTGGTAAGTCACTGTCAGATACATCAGTTTGGTATGTTTACTTTTAAAGCGGGAAAGAAACTCATCAATGACGATGATGGTAGTTTTCATCATCTTGATTATTGACGGCTCAACCGCCAGACAGCCATTTCCAGCACAACCCAAGGTTAGCAGCTGTCCTTTCTTCGGAAAGGCCAGCATCAGGTTGAGACTGATCTTATTGTCTTCCATAACCAAGATTCGGACGTCATGTTTTCCGTGGTTGATTCCATAAGAGCTTTAGAGGCAAGCTCGACCGGGGAAGTTAAAGAACGGGTTCTCTTCCGGTCGATCTCTTCGTTTGCTGGCGGTTTCCTGGAAGATTGAATCCGCGATGATCGACCTGGTGGGAAAGTGGCCAGGCCGTTCGTTCCGAAAGAATATTTGTATTGGTCTCAGACGGCATTTGCAATGATGATGCTTCATCCAGCCACTCGAAGATATACCGTCAGAGCTTATGAAGGCCGCATGGGCGATCAATGATCTATTGTACTGGAACAGACTCACGACCGACATCTTGATCGCTGACGACGAGCAAGGCTATCCTCATAGTTCCAGAGCTTTGGCTGATCGCAGTCTCATTGGTCAATTCATCGGCCACAATAAGGTCAATGGGGTCAAATGACATGGAAACCGACCCGAGACCATACCAGTCGGTGACATAGCGAGATGATACTATCTTGTGCAAATGGCGTCAACAGCTTCCCGCGCTAAATTTCCTCCAGAATTTCCTTTCCAGTGCCAGAAACTGTCACGTTGACGTTTCACTCCTGCTTTCGCTCATTGTTTGCTGAGCGCTGATGAAAATTCGGGTTTCTCTTCCGCCTCCAACCGTGGGCAAATCTGGCCGGTAGGGGTATATTTGAGCGCATTTCTGAACAGATTCATTATGGATGCGACGCATAGCCCCGGGAAGGGGTGGTAAATACCATCTGTAGGTGCGATATCCAAATCACTTTGGCGTTGGGCTCAACAGCATGGAGATCTTCTGGGAATTCCGGCGCGGCAAGAGAAGTATCTAGAAGGTCCAGGGACGTAGTTGATCTTTGATTGTACATATGTCCCAGGAACACGACCTCCGCCACTTCGTCTGCGACCACAAAAAGGCTGGTCGGTTTGTACAGATCGAAATACACCGCAGAGAGGAGTGGGTTGTCAAGCTCTTGGGACAGAACCTTGCGTCGTCTCCGTCTTCGTGACTTTCGTTCTAGAGACGTGATCTTGCTGAAGTCAGGACTCAATTCATGGTATCAAGTAATGTTCGGCCACATGTATTGGTGGTCTCTATGAGTGAATTTCATATTGGTCTAAGTTCGTTTCTTTGAGCATTTCAATGGCTGCTATGACCCTGTGCAGTGGAATGTGCAGTTCTTGCCTATTGGTTGTAGTTGGTCAGTTTGATTCTTTAGAAAGTAAATATGGCTGGAACTGAGGAAATATTTCCAAGGACATCATCTTGCGGGCTCCTCGGCCCTATTGGGTTCCATGACCGCGACTCGAGCGTCTGATTTCCAGAAATGGTGATAAAAACCGATGATGATGCTGGGGGAAACGCGGGGTTGTTGATTTTTTTTTATTGAAAGGGATGTCGAATGTCTAGGACATAGAATAGATTTTATGAGGTAGGCCACTCACCACGAGGAGGATCAAGGGAGACCGCAGCCATCAAATTTTGCAACGAAGAAGTCTCGAATTTGGTGAAATGAACGTGACCTTTAAGCTCTTCGTGTAATCTGGGACGATATAATGCATACTAGTTTCAAAAGGCGAAAATATGAAAAATACGTGAACTGGCAGACTCGTAAATTTCTGCCCCAGGATTGCCTCGGTTTCCCCACTTCAACGAGTGTTTCTCAATGAACGAGGACAATCGCGTTAAGATTAAACGAGCCAGGTCATAGCGAAGCCGACCACGAAAAATGGAGTACATAGTATTTATACCGAGTATGACACTGCCTTGGATGCTCTCTTCCAAGTTTTACTCTGGGGCAGGGTCCCGCCAATCAAATTCGTGGAAAGGAGATCGATCTTTGAACCGGTTTCGCTCAAGTCTACTCCGTAGACGATTGCCAATCTACCTTTCAGTCACATTTAGAATAGTGTATATTCAGCTGAGGGCCGATAGATGGGTACAATAGACTAAAGAATGGCATAGTTGCACATGACTAAGATTGTATGAGGGAGGGCAGGTTATAAGCATCGATCGATCTAGGGGCGATATGTATTCAGGACTAATTCCCGGCCTGCCTGTTCAGCCATCCACATCTCTATCCACTGGGCCTATTACACGGTGAATGGTCCCGTTGTCGATATGGTGATGATTAGAGGGGAATTGGTGGATGATATCATAGAATAGAGGAGTCCTGAGCGGTTTTGGGATATAGGTCGTTTAAGTCGGATTTGCTTAGGGTGATGCCCCACGCCCTGAGGGAGGGAGAAAGCATAGCGTGTTGTGACGAAACGTTCCAAGGACAGTGAACACTGTACACTTTCGGATATAGCGATTAACATTGCCTTAGGTACTCGACGTGGAAGGCTGTGGGCTATCTCGCACGAGTTGATCAAAAACCAATTGACAAAGTAGCCAACTCGAAGGACTCAACTCTGGCCACGGACAATGGATCAAGAGCCAATACTTACATGGATCTGTACATCCATTTTGACGCATTTGTATCCGTAATCAGCCTCGGCATATGAAGAATAATAACAGTGGCAAATTCCTCCTTATTGATCAAGACGTGGGCAAAAGTGAAAGGGATTGGCCAGTATTACACTCGTTTCAGCCTTAGCTACTATTCAGTTATCGGGAATTACGAAGCCGCTACTGTGAGCCGGAGGATTGCTGTGGTAGAAGCAGCAAGCCATTCATCAGAATTAGGGCCATGGGTCGAAAAAAGAGTGCGCCAAGGACGACAAGATTATGCAGGGACTCGGCCTAATCAACGCTCGTTAGTGGTTCATACAGCCCTGAAGCCCTCATTCGTCATAGGCGCAACAAACTAACTCTTGCAACATATAAAACACTATATTAGTGAGGTACATATTCCGTATTTTAGGGTTTCTCAGTGTGTTGTAAAGGTTAATGATGGTTTCAAAGATATCAGTTGTGGTCTGTTGTCTTTTCGGACTAGAAAAGCGCGGCCAGATGCTTGAGGTACTACTGTACATCACAACCCCACACCAGTATACAGTACAAAATGGAAATATAGAGAGCATCAGCATAATGACAGTTTCAAAACCATGCAACGTGTCACTTCCAGTATTAAACGTCAAAGCTCGTTGTCAGGCGATCTGTAAGGGGTCATAGAAGGTCACATGATCAAATACTGATCATCATGAAACAATTTCAAGCATGCGCGCACTCTGCAGTGGGCAAAATTTCAATCTGTTTCACTTCAAAATGATCCACTAATTATTGCAATGGAATCTAGAATTGACAGAGACCTTCGAGGGAAGCAAACAGAATGGATTTTTCGTTCTATGAGGAATGAAAGGCACACGTGACATAGGGCCATATCCGGCGACCCACGCTCGCTCAGGCGATACCATGAGTGGCGGATAAATAGTTATCTCGGAAGTCTGGACTCAATCATGGGCAGGTATGAAGTTCTCGATCATAATTTCTGTCATTCACCAAAGACTCGTTTATGACCATTATTCACTCACGAACTGCGATCTCAGAGATATTATAGATGCATGGTAGAGTGTCTTTGTACGGGTCACACAATATGCTTAACGGTCTGTAGAAGGTCAGCTGGCTCACCTTTTTTCAGCTTGGAACATACGTGAACTTTTGAACTTTGGGATCATTTTGAATGTGTGGAAAGATATCCGACTGTACAAAAGTTTGATCTTTCTAATTACAGCATCCTCTTAAGTGCCCGTCAACCTGATGTCAATCAGCCATTCCATCTCTTGAGAGTATCACCTGACGCGGTTGTATAGATACTGTAGATATACGACAAGATGATCGGGCATGTTAGCTCGTAATTAATTCACTCATAAGCTTTGGTAACTCAGGCAAGAGATTTCGAACGGGCTCATAAATATTTGAGGAAATTTAAGCCCTCCACCGACTATTGCCAATAGTCAAGAATACCATTGATCGTATTGTTTCATGGTGGCTCAAGGTCCGTGGTTCTCTTCTTTATACGAGTCCGTTCACGAACCCATTCGACCCGTCCGTATAACGACGTATCACAAGAAACTTTTCGCTGGCATTTCAAACACTCGTCTCTCCTTAGACAGCCTGCATATCGCGGCACAATCTCCAACAGAAATAGTGGATCCGTGCCCAACTGCTGACTCTGACCGGGCGTAATGGCAATTCACAAGGTAGTTGGCACCAATAGCCGGTACACGGTCAAGAATTGTGGGGGGGAAATAAGTGTCCTAATGTACTGTAGAACTATTGCAATGAATTACTAAGTAAACTCGTTCAGTGATTTTCAAATCTATAATGGAGCCGTCGTATCTTATATCATCCAGGTTGCACCTGAGCTCGTCCTTCCGCCTCCGAAGTCGTCAGTCGTCACAATCCACCACGTCAAACACTCCCTTCTCCTCCCTCCTCTCCACCCTCGTCTTCCCTCGCCCACCCTCATAACTATTTTCCACTTTCTTCCTATCGCCCACTTTTCTGCTCTCGTCTCTACTTCCTGCTTGCCATCGTGATATAGCCTCGACGGCGGTACGGACCACGCAGACAACTTTACAGCTTTGCCGCCCCAGTCGGAATCCACTTCACCTCTCGCCCCAACTACTTAGCCGAACCTCCCTTTCCCCCTCATCCTCATCGCCTTCAACCCCTTCTCAACCCCAAGGCTCGGTGATTGAATGGCGGAAACGGTGTCGACGTCTACTTAATCAAATCCCTCCGATCCGGTAACTTATGGCCAGGCAAAGGCCCTCCGCCAACCGTCAGGACCCTCTCGAGGATTATTCCGTTTCCCCCGCAGGAGCTTCTTCCGCCTCTTCTGCCCTGAGGTAGCTACCCGCCCTTCTCTCCTCACCGTTGTTTCTTTCCATACCGCATCTCTCTACTCTCATTTCCACCGTACCGGTCCTGGAGGTCCTAGAAGCAAGATTCTAGCGGGTCACTGTGTCCTCCTCGCGTGTGCATGTGGTGCCATCAACTCGGCCCCAGGCGTGATAGTTCCGACCGCGGGGGATTGCCATCTCTACTCCCTCAAGCTTCAGCCTCATACACCCATACCTTCACCCTTTTTCTCTCCCGGTCATTTCAACCATCTCCTCACTCGCTTTTTTGGGCGATTGTGACCCCTCAAAGCTTCCACCTCTGCACCTCTCCCCACAACCGTCCATAAAGCAGTTTCTCATGTCATCCAGGACGACTCGCTCCTCTGCGAGACTTGCTACAGACCCTCCTCCCGCCGACGCTGACTCCGGTTCGACTTCCACTCACGCCGCTGGTTCGGCCCCCTCTCGGAAACGCAAAGCTTCTGGTCGCCGAGACCGACATCCAGACGCCCAAAACCAGCCGCCCGCTCCCTCTTCCCCTCGGCGATCGAAAAGACAGAAGACCACCGCCTCTCATCCAGCTGTGCCTGCTGGTCCCGCCGCCTCAGTCTCTCGCCGATCCACCGCCACTCGTGGTCGAGCAGCGATGTCACAGCCGGGGTAGGTAGTTCCGCTGGCCTTGTGGGGCTTGTCAGTTTCATATCTCGACGCTAATGTTGAATCTTTTTCCATAGACCGTCTTCTCGCCCTTCGGAGGAATCAAAATCAACTACATCGCCACCCCCCTCACGGCGGAGATCCAATCGGAACGGTGAGCTTATTATCTACCTTTTGAACCTTCCCCCCCCCCACACATCCACGGATACTAACATCTCACTACTTTCAGATCGCCTCGCCGCAACTCAGTCTCCACCACCGCGGCGGTCGAGAAAGCGGGCCACCAAGTCGAACCCCGATGCAATAATGCGAGACGCGGAGGAGGATATGGAGGAGGAAGAGGCCAAGGATGAGCTGGAGGAATCTCCAACCGGGGAAAGCAACGACGACACTAATCACTCTGCATTTGACGATGAGGACCTGGACCCATTTTCGAGTAGCCTGTTTGGAGGCCGTGGACCGATGGGCTTGCAGAGCACACTTCGTGCACTCAGCGGAATCATGTCCGGCATGTCCAGTCGTCTCCGAGATATCCTCTGTAACCTGAGAGCGAAGGACGATCCTTCCGTTCAATTGATTGCCCTCCAAGAGTTGTCGGACCTTTTGCTCGTCTCAAACGAGGACAATCTCTCTGGCCAGTTTTCTCCAGATCCCTACGTCAAGGAATTGGTCACCTTAATGCAACCAAATCAATTTGGCGAAGAGAATCCCGAAATCATGCTTCTCGCATGCCGCTGCCTTGCAAATTTAATGGAAGCTCTACGAGGCTCAGTCGCCAATGTCGTCTATGGTGGCGCCGTTCCCATCCTTTGCCAAAAGCTATTGGACATCCAGTTCATCGACCTTGCTGAACAGGCCCTGAGTGTGCGTTGTCCCAAAAAAAGACCTTCTCGTAAACTATCGTCAGCATTCAACTAACTTCTTCGATGCAGACCTTGGCCAAAATTTCCGTCGACTTCCCCGCCTCGATTGTGCGAGAAGGCGGTCTTACAGCCTGCCTGACGTATCTTGATTTCTTCCCAACCAGCACTCAACGGACAGCCGTCACAACTGCGGCTAATTGCTGCCGAAGTCTTCCTCATGACTCTTTTCCAGTGGTGCGGGATGTGATGGGTACCTTGCTCAATGTTCTTTCTAGCAATGATCCCAAGGTTGTCGAACAGGGTTGCCTTTGTGTCTCTCGTATTGTCGAAAGCTTCAAGCACCGCCCCGCAAACTTGGAAGAATTGATTAGACCTGCCATGCTCAAGGCTGTCCTTCGCCTCTTGCTACCGGGCACTACAAACCTGATCGGTCCGCACATCCATACCCAATTCCTTCGGGTATTGGCAATCACGGCGAAAGTCAGTCCACGTTTGTCGATCGAACTCCTCAAGATGGATGTTGTGGATACGCTTTACCAAATCCTGACCGGTGTGTCGCCACCTCAAGACGTGGACAGCACGGGTGTAAAAATGGACAGTGTCCTGGTCATGCAGGCATTGATCCACCGTCCTCGCGAGCAGGTCTTCGAGACTCTCAACGTTATTTGCGAATTGCTGCCAGGTGTTCCCAATCGCGAAGCCTCCAAGACTGACAGCGTGCTCAGCTCATACTTTGACAACAGCATGTCCATTGGCCTCAAGTCGTCCAAGAACAAGGATACCCCAGAGGAAAGACGGGCGTTACTGGATGATTGCATGTCTGAACTGAAGCGCTTTGCTATGATTCTATTCCCGACTTTGACCGATGCGTACTCGAGTACGGTCAATCTGCATGTTCGCCAGAAGGTCTTGATTGCGCAACTTAAAATGCTGCACATTCTGGAGCCCAACTTGATCGAGGATGCTTTGCGCACGGTTCCTTATTCATCGTTCCTAGCTTCCATCCTTTCGCAGAAGGATCACCCGTCCCTAGTATCGCTCGCTCTTCGTTGCGCTGAACTTCTCTTCCAGCGTCTTGAGCACGTTTATCAGCATCAATTCCATCGAGAAGGTGTCATTGCCGAAATTGTCAAACTCGCCGAGACTCCTTTGTCTGGTGACCAAGAATCAGCAACCCCAGCCGAGGCGAAGAAGAGCTCCACAGATACCTCCGGTAATGCTGATGGCGAATCTGAAGGTCCCCAAGCAGCCACCAACGGAAGGGACGATGATGCTGATAATAATGATGGTGACGACTTTGATGACGAGGATGAGGACGATGAAGATCAAGACGATAACGAGGAGGATTCTGATTCGGACAGCTCTTCCGTCGATGGTCGCCAGTCTCTTGCCAAAATGGATAATGCTCTCAATGACCTCGTCATTCGCGATGCTCAGGCCTTCCTCAAAATTTACGAAGACGGCCAAGGAGCCACCATGCGCGCCGAGGCTCAGAAGATCCTGATGGAGCTGCAGGGACTGGCATCCAACATCCGAGCCTTTTACTCTTCCGGCAATGAGACAGAGGGTGTCACTCTCTTCCAAAGCCTAGCCGCATACTTTGATGGAGACGCACTAAGGAGCATCACGAGCTCGGAGCTGCTGAACTCGGGCATCATCCAGGTTCTCTTGGACGTCCTCGCTGACTTCAAAACTTCTGCCTCCATCCGCCATGCCAGGGCAGCCTTCTTGCAGGCGTTCATGGGTACGACAATCTCCGAGGAAGCCCAGAGCCAGAGCACTGCAACCACTCCCTTCAGCGTACTGATTCGGAAATTACAAGACTTGCTTAGTAGGACTGAGCATTTCGAAGTCATTACCGTCAGTCATAACTCGCTAGAGAACACCCGCAGCAATGCTGCATACATGCTCGGGAAACAGCTTCGCCTGAGACTGGTTGCCGAAGACGGCTCTGAGGTACCTCGCCCTTATAAGAACATCATGGTCTCAATCCATGCCATCGCCACTTTCAAAGCCTTGGACGACTTTCTTCAGCCACGAATCGCCATGTCGGAGCGTCCTCGTCAGTCTCGGACCCGGGACTCGATTCTCTCCCAACTTGCGCAAGCAGCCAACATCCGGGATCAGCTTGCTTCGTCGAACTCACCCCGACCCCCTGGTGAAAGCCTCCCAACTCGGCCCGCAGCGACTCAGGGGAATGCCAACGATTCGACGGAACAGCACCAAGATTGTGGTGGGTCAGGAGGTAGCCACCGACATCAACGCACGCCTTTCCACGAAGGAGACAATGAGCATGACGACGAGCCACTTGAGTGTGCTGATGAGCGGCAACTGAGCGATGATGACGACGAAGATCTTGACGAAGGTGACGAGGATGAGGAACTCAATGCCATTGTTGATGACCTTGAGGACGACCTAGAAGACGACAATATTCAGGATCCTACGGCTGTCAACTTAGAGGTTGGATCCTCGGGCAAAGTAACGGCTCGCAAGGAAGACGGTACTCGCATCGGAACTCCATCTCAGTCCACTCCGGCATCGAAACCTACCTCGTCAACCCCCAGCACCGCTTCATCTCGCCCCACCGATCAAAGCTCAATCGCCACTGCTGGACGTCCACATCCTTCATACGCCGCAGCGATGGCATCTGTTCCCCAAGACTGGCACATTGAGTTCTTTGTGGATGGCAAGCCGATTGCAAGTGACACTACCGTCTACCGGGCAGTTCACCACAACCGAGAGCATCTAGACGAGGCCAACTCTAAGAATGTCTGGTCTGCCGTTCATACTGTCACTTTCCGCCGCGTGCCAGGCCCGCCCACGCCCGAGCCCTCGACTCTCGCCGCTGGTGGACAAGATGCTTCCTCGGAAGACAAGAGTTTGGAAATGCCCGCGTCCCTCAGCAAAGACGTGACCACGGCTTCGATTCTTCGCTTACTTCGTGTCCTCCATGAGATGAATGCGACTATCGACGACATTCTGACGGAGACTCGAGACCACACCCATATCACACCCGAACCTCTAGCCCAATTTATCAACACGAAGCTTACTGCCAAGGTGAACCGCCAACTTGAAGAACCGCTGATTGTCGCGAGTAGCTGTCTGCCTAGCTGGAGCGAGGACCTAGCTCGATTGTTCTCGTTCTTGTTCCCATTCGAGACGCGCCACTTGTTCTTGCAGTCTACCGCATTTGGTTACTCTCGTGCTATGATGAGATGGCACAACTCGCAAACGACCGAAGATAGCCGTCGAGACTTGCGCCGTGACGATCGACCATTCCTCGGTCGCTTGCAGCGACAAAAGGTCCGCATTGCACGTTCCCGCATTCTAGATTCAGCTATGAAGGTCATGGAACTTTACGGGTCGTCGCCTAGTGTGCTCGAAGTGGAGTACTTTGAAGAAGTTGGGACTGGACTGGGTCCTACGCTCGAGTTCTACTCCACCGTTTCCAAAGAGTTCTCAAAGAAGAAGCTTAAGATTTGGCGGGAATCGGATGCCAGCCCTGCCGTTGAGTATGCCTTTGGCAAGCGTGGACTATTCCCTGCCCCAATGAGTGAAGAGCAAGCTGCACAGGACACTGGCAAGAAGCAATTGAAACTTTTCAAGATTCTTGGAAAATTCGTCGCACGGTCCATGCTTGATTCACGCATCATCGACATCTCCTTCAACCCGGCTTTCTTCCGCATTGCCGACACACTCTCCTCTGTGGCACCCTCGCTAGGCACAGTCAAAGCTGTCGATGAAGACCTGGCCAAGTCCCTCATCATGTTGAAGCAGTTTGTCAAGGCCAAGGATGCCATCGAGAATGACAAGACCCTGTCCTCGCACCAAAGAACATCGGCTGTGGAGAATATTCGGGTTGATGGAGTTCGGGTCGAGGACCTGAGCTTGGACTTCACCCTCCCCGGTTATCCCAGCATTGAACTGACCGAAGATGGGTCCAATGTTCCACTTACCATCGAGAATGTTGACCAGTATGTGGAGAGCGTCATTGACATGACCCTTGGTAGCGGCGTTCAGCGCCAAGTTGATGCCTTCCGCGCTGGCTTCTCCCAGGTCTTCCCCTTCTCGGCTCTTCGTGCATTCACCCCGAACGAGCTCGTCATGCTCTTCGGACGAGCCGAGGAGGACTGGTCAATTGAAACACTCATGGATTCCATCAAGGCTGATCACGGGTTCAACATGGACAGCAAGAGTGTGCGCAACTTGCTTCACACCATGTGTGAATTAGACCCGCAGCAGCGCCGTGATTTCCTCCAATTTGTTACGGGTAGCCCGAAACTTCCCATCGGCGGTAAGTTGATTCTATCTGAGCCAGTTCGATGAAGCCAAACTAATTATTTTTGACTACAGGTTTCAAGAGTCTTACGCCTATCTTTACGGTCGTGTGCCGCCCGAGTGAGCCTCCCTATACCGCGGACGACTACCTGCCAAGTGTCATGACCTGTGTGAACTATCTCAAGCTGCCCGATTACAGCAGCCTGGATGTTCTCAAGGAGCGACTCTCGGTGGCCATCAAGGAAGGACAAGGAGCATTCCACCTCTCCTAGATTCTACACCGAGCTAATGATCCCCACTCTGCACTCTTCCTGCAAACCCCGCCCCCCCCCCCCTATTCTTTTCCCTAAAATATTGCTTGTCCATGCCAGCTATACTGGCGCAGCAAGCTCCTTTACCCTTGTCTCTCTGCTTATCCTTCTGGAGGGATAAGCGGGATGCTTTTTTCACGATGCGACGACGAGTGACTTTGCTTTTCACAAACTCCATTCCCCCCCATCTTCAGGTTTTCGGCAGGGCTATTCATTCTTTCTTCTTTTTAACCTTGTTTTCTCACCAAATCATTTGGGATGAAAGGCGTCAAGGCGGTCTTCGGTTTTTCTTTCCCCCTACAGCATGATACTGATACTAGATAGCAATGGATGGCCCTTTTCTATCATCAATCGCTTTGTAATGCTCTGTACAAGTCTATCATTAAATAGTTAGTCTATGAATATGGGGGTCTGATCGTCTAGCCTCTATCTGGCAGTTGACCTGGATCAGGTCCTGTAAACCGACACCATCGACTGTCAGGTGCGTTCATGTTAGCAAGTCTCCGATCTCACAGCACGTCTCCCAAGGAACACTTACATCGGCAAATTTAGGCTCCACAAACAAGGCTCTCGCCTCGGAAACCCTCACGGCGCCTTCATTGTCCTCACTCAACAATTCGACATCCGGTACCAAGTTCTTCGCATCAAGCGGCGTAGACAACGGCAACGGAAGATAAGTCATCTTGCCCTCAACCCAAGCCTTCCTCCCCTCAACCTTGGTAGTCTCCGCACGCAACACATACAGACGATCCGGCAGCGCAGGCTTTCGGAAATCAACATTCAAATTCGCCGTCATGCCCAATCCGCTCGGGAACGCAGCCGAAACACATCTAGCAAAGACCTCATCAAACAGCACCGAAAGTAAACCGCCATGGACGAAGCCCGGATGACCACAGAGATCACGGCCAATGTGGAACACCGAGATGACACTGCTGACGTGCGCGGCTTTTCCAGATTCGGTCTTCGTTTTCTGGGAGGATGTCCACATATAAGGGGCCAGGGCGAGTTTACCACTGCCTGCTAGACTACCCCCAACGAAGTGATGCTGTCGAATGGCTGGTGGGATCGCGAGATGTGGGCGGGATTCCTTGTATGCCTTTCGCGACTGGCGGAGAGATTGGACGAGGGGTAACTGGGAGATGACGGCGTCCAGACTGGTGGTGTCATCTTGGATTACTGCTTGAATCGGCGACGAGTTGGTCTGTGATTGCGTGAAGAATGGGGATCCCTCTACCGGTGGTACTGGTGTCTGTGTTTGAGGGAGTGCTTGTTCATGGACCACGGCTGAGCGAGAGGGGCCATGTTGGTGAAGACAAGACTCCAGGACAGCGGGCAAGGACACGGGCTTGAAATTCTGAATTCTTGAGGGCCGTAACAGCCATTTTGTAGCCTGAGCCAGACTAGGCATTTTGGCGGCCATTTCGTATTTAGTTGAGCTCTATGAATGAGAGAGACACAGGGTTAAAAATCCATCATTTCAAAAATGTGCAAATACCGACGACTCGACTCGCCGAGAAACTGCCGATGAGCTAATGCACAATAAAATCTCCCGCCACGTGGGATCACGACGATCAGCGTAGCGCACGGTACAATTTCGGATTAAACTCGTCGCCGTATATCGTACGAAGTAAAGATCCGCGTGATATAAAGAGACCCGACTTGACAAGTGTGCGGATTACGCCAGATCTTTTTCAACGGAGCTAGCAGGGGGACTAGTTTCTCTAATACAATACGCCTATGAGATCATTTTCGGCACTTTTCACCGGGTATCCATCTTCTCAATGGGGCTCGATTTTTTTTTTCTCTTGGCCGGTCCCAACTGTGGGGCGCAAATGGCCGACTTTCGGCGGGATTCTCGGGGAGGCGCCGAGGCGATCTCGGGATGCCGATTGCGATAAGATAAGCTGCCACGCGATCAGTGATCCAGTACAATAAGAGTAGCTTGTTTACTCGAGACAAAGTTAGGTGCGAGCATTAATGCTCAATTCGACATGATGAGTCTCAGCATGCGTTCATTTTGGTATAAACATGCGGTTTCTAACCTAGCGCTATAAACAAACAGAGCCAGCCACGGCTAATTCCAACTGCAATAACGAACCCACCAGACCGCCTAGAAATCCAATGGAGCCAGGTGTCCCAGGAAGGAGTTATTGCCCTCACCCCGCAGGAGAGCCTCAATATCAATACGCCCAGCGGTGAGATACCGCTCACTGACACCGATATTCACGCGCTGGGAAAGTTGATGCTTCAACTCGGCACGAAGCCCAGCTAGTTCACCCTTGGTGATGCTACTAGCTTGCTTTTCCTTCTGATGGCGTCCACCACCACGACCACGGCCCTTGCCCTGGGACTCATCAAATTCATCACTGTTATAATCAACGCCGAGATCCTCAGCTGCAGCACGGAGCCAATTGTCTTCCGAAGAAATCTTCTCTTTGGCAAGGGTCGAGTCTGTAATCTTCTTGGCGATCTCTATGCGGGGGCGCACACGGGACACGACTCGGCGATCGATATCGAGGGATTCCAGGGGCAGCTTCTTCATAGGTCCCTTCTTGCCATCTTTGGCGTGAACCTTGGCAGCCAGACGGGCCACACTGACAACCTCATCCGGAGAACAGATAATAACACTCTTGCCAACAGCACCAGCACGAGCAGTACGTCCAGATCGGTGGACGTAGGCATCTGCCGTGCGAGGTGCATGGTAGTGAATAACGCAGTCAATGCCCTTAATGTCCAAACCACGTGCCGCCACGTCGGTGGCAACGAGGATAGAACTGGGGTCTGACGTTGGTGATGAGAATCGCTCGACGGAGCGAAGACGGGCTTTCTGGGCCATGGATGAGTGAAGAGCGAGGGCGGGGAGTTGCAAATTTTGCAGTAATTGAGTAAGACGGCGGACTGCAGAAATGGAGTTGGTGAAAACAAGGGTTCGGTGCTTGGGGTAGTACAATAGAAGGGAGTATAGGTAAAGATCCTGTCATATAGTTAGCGCCCAGTCAAGACTCAGCCACAAAATCATTGCTCACCTTCTCCATGGCGGGACATTCAACGATTCCTTCCTTGAGGCCCACGGCCATTTGCTGAACAGGGTTGACATCAATGAACTTTGGCTTCTCTTCCCGGAAGTTCAGCTTCTTGAGAAGATATTCCATAGACTCTTTCTTGTCCATCAAATCGCCTCCGGTCCAACGGCTCTTGCCGGCCAACTTTTGTTGCAAGTCCCGGTGGAACGTGGCAGAGAATACGAGTGTTTGGCGAACACTCGGCTCTTCTTCCGCAGTCTCCTCCTCTTCATCCATATCGGGGAAATCGCCCTGTTCCTTGCGGTCCAACGCACCCAAAATTTCTTCCACCTCCTTGAAATGACCCTCACTGAGCAGACGGTCGGCCTCGTCAACAACAAGGAATTTGATACCCTGCATCTTGCGGATCAAACCAGAGCCGGTGCTCAGAATCTCCCATACACGACCCGGGGTACCAATGACGATATCAGCATTCGCAAGCTGTCTCTGCTGTTTTTGGATAGACAAGCCACCGGTCACAAGAGCAATTCGTGCATCGGCATCTGGGGCATTTGTGATCAGGTCTCCAATGTGTTTTGCCAGTTGATGTGCCAGTTCTCGTGTAGGTGACAGAATAAGTGCCATGGGGTCAGACTTGGGCTTCTCGCTCTCGTCTTCCTTCTTCCCTCGCTTTTCCAGGTAGTGCTCAAGGATCGGGATACCGAATGCAAGTGTTTTACCGGAACCCGTCGAAGCCTTACCAACCACGTCATGACCATCGAGAATTGCAGGAATACAGGACTTTTGCACGGTAGTCGGTGTAGAGAACGTGAGCTTGGAGAGACTTGTAAGAATCTCCGGAGAGAGTCCAAGTTCAGTCCACGCAGACACGTCCACGCCGTCATCCTCGCCAGCCTCTTCAAGCGCCGCAAAGGAAAGACCGGTCTTCAGATTTGGGTCCCGTTTGGGCTGTGCTTCCTTGGCCTTGACCTCCTTGGCTTTCTTCTGCTTTTTGTTTTTCGTTTCCTTCTCATCATTTGCGGGCTGAGCACCGGTGGCCGGGACGGCAGCGGGCTTCTCATTCGATTCACCGTCGCTGAGACCACCCCATTCTTCACCGTCGTCTTCGGCAGATGGCTTCTTTAGGATCGACTTCCTATGTGGTCCTTCTTTGGCCTATAAGATTGCGCCTGTGTTAGAATCATCGGGTCCAATGATCATGACTTGGTACCTACCTTGAATTGAACCTCTCCTCCTCCCGAAGACCTGATAATGTCTACTCCATCAATCTCCTCCAATCCCAAGAAACCAGTCGCATCTTCCAATCGATCGGGCAGGGCAACTTCCGTCCAGTTGAGGTCGTCAATACCGACAACGCCGTCCCAGGAACTGTCGTCCGAGACTGGGCCAGACTTTGCGGCCTTCTTGCGCTTCTTAGACTCCAGCGCCTGGGCCTTGGAGTCTCGACCTCTCTTTTGTCCCATGATCGCAGTAGCACCTGTTTCAAATGATCGGCTTGTGTATTAGGGAAGCTGAGAAAAAGCTCATCCGAGAAGTCGCAAGAGAAAAAAAGCGGCAGAAACGTTCCGCCTCGGAAATCTTATCGGCGGTGCTCCCCACGTTAAAATTACTCCGCGACAAAAGCCCCGGAGCCCACCAGAGGCCAATTTCCATTTTCCATTGGGTCCCTTTAGTCCCGTTTTTCAACATGGGCAAGTCTTCCAAAGATAAGCGCGATGCTTATTATCGCCTGGCGAAAGAGCAGAATTGGCGCGCCCGCTCCGCCTTCAAGCTCATCCAAATCGACGAGCAATTCGACCTTTTCGAATACGAGAATCCAGACAGTGTGACGAGAGTCGTGGATCTTTGTGCTGCACCTGGAAGTTGGAGCCAAGTCCTCAGTCGTGTCTTGATCAAGGGCGAGAGCTTCGGGCGGCGGGCGTGGATCGACAAGAAGCGAAGAGAGAAGGAGGTTTTGGACAACTCCGATAATGCGACGACGAGCACTGACAATGAGCCCGAAATACCGTTTGGAGAGAGCGACCCAAGCTCCGAATTGAAGCCTCGAAAGAACGTCAAGATTGTTTCAATTGACCTGCAACCTATGGCACCCCTCGAGGGTATCACCACTCTCAAAGCCGACATTACCCACCCTTCTACCATTCCTCTTCTCTTGCGTGCGCTGGACCCTGAAGCCTACAAATCATCTACACCTTGTTCCGACTCAACGTCACAAACTCCACTAGCGATTAAGCAACCTCACCCAGTTGACCTAGTCATTTCCGATGGTGCACCGGACGTGACAGGTCTGCATGACCTCGATATCTATATTCAATCACAACTGCTATACGCGGCGCTGAACCTTGCAATGGGAGTACTGCGGCCGGGCGGCAAGTTCGTCGCCAAGATTTTCCGAGGTCGGGACGTCGACCTTCTTTATGCGCAATTGCGCACCGTCTTTGAGCGGGTCAGTGTTGCGAAGCCACGTAGTAGTCGTGCCAGCAGTCTGGAGGCCTTCGTGGTGTGTGAGGGATTCATTCCTCCTGTCAAGGAGGACGGTGTAGTCGGTATGGCAGCTTTGAAGAACCCTCTATTCGGCGGGGCTGTAGCGCCCAAGCCTATTTCTGAGGATGGAAACGTGGCCGTCGAAGTGCGTGAGGAGCTAGATGAAGATGCCAATGCTCGTCCATTGCTGGCACAACCGTCCTCCACCAAGGAGGTCTCAACGCCTGGTCATTCAACTGAAGTGCGGCATCTGCACACATCTCCTTCCGGGGATCAATCCCCACCACAGAAGCTCCCCAGTAAATTCGCGGTGGAGCACCGGTGGATTCCCTCTTTCATCGCTTGTGGTGATCTCTCTGCTTGGGACTCGGATGCAACTTATGCTCTGCCACCTGACTATGTCACGTTGGACCCGGTGCAGCCTCCCACGGCGCCTCCGTATCGGAAGGCTTTGGAATTGAGGAAGCAAATGGGTGGAGCTTATGGAAAGACCAAGCTCAGGGTAGCTAGACCGTCATGACGTTCTCATGCGACATGCAGTTATGAATGAATAATATCAATATAGAAACCTTGCACAAATGTACAGTTGGGACACCTTAGTCGGGGAAGTTGGCATGGTCACGAAGGTTGAGCAACCGTTCCTGCTCAGCACTGCGTATGTATGCGAGGCATGCGAGGCATAGGTTGCTAATCCCTAGGGCTCACTGCAAAGAAGTACCATGTCCGCAAATCCGTCCTAGGGTTTCTCCTTAGACTTCCAATGCCAGCTTTGCTTCGATGGTCTAGTTCAAATTAAAGTGGATGGATGGCCCCGGTATCGTCTTCCCTCGTTGAGAACTGATAATCGCTCTACAAAAAGAGACCCGCATATTTACCACCGATTCCTACTGTCGGGGCCCATAGAATGTATCTGTCCGGTAAATTCATGAACACAAAAAATGCTCACTGCCAGATTTGAACTAGCGACTTCGTGATTACTAGTCACGCACTCTACCAACTGAGTTAAGCGAGCTAGATGATGATCTTGCCATTTAATGTTTTATGAACCAATCAAGTCTGGAGACTATCTATGTTTTGCATAGCCTTGTGCGCCAAATATATGTATCTGCGACCGACATATGTCTGACCATAACCTCGATGAGCATCCACCTTCCGATAAAGAATTCACATGCTCGTCTCTTAGTGTATGTAAGGTGATGAAACTAATTGATCACCGAACAAAATTACAGCAGACTGCGCCTATTATAATAAAGTATGCAGTGAGAAAAAGGCGAAGTCTACCTAGATGTTTTCTACATTTCGAGGATTACCACGAGAAGAGAGATGACTACCTAATACCATCTTGTAGCAAATCAAAAGATCTCCGATCTACAGTGCCAATTACAGAAATAGAAGATAAGAAGTCAAAAATCTTAGATGCATTTTGAAGTCTATGAAACGGCAGATTCGCTAGGCCAAATCATGAGGATCTAAGGGGTAAAGCGGGGGAATAGGTAGCAACTGAAAAAGCTCATCATCAGATCATAATGCCAACACAACACGTCTAGTACACCTCCAGAACATAGCGCTCCTCATCCTTGAGCTTCTCAATCTCCTTGCGGGTATCGACCTTCTTGCCATTGGCCTTGGCCTCGGTGGCAATAGCCTCCTCCAAGACAGCAGTGACATCGGGAACGGGCCAGGTGGGGCCGCACAGGTAGAAAGCACCCTCCTCACGGATGTATGCCTTGACAATCTCGGGAAGAGACTGGCGCATGCGGTCCTGGATGTAGATCTTCTCGGGCTGATCACGAGAGAAGGCTGCACCAAGGAGGGTGATGACACCGGCGGCCTGGTAGGCCTCCCACTCCTCACCGTAGCAGTATTCCTCGCGCTGGTGACGGGAGCCCATGTACAGCAGGACGGAACCAATCTCCTTGCCCTGGGCCTTCTCGAGAGCGCGGTGCTGGATGAAGGCACGGAAGGGAGCAAGACCGGTACCCAGACCAGCCATGATGAGAGGCTGGGTCGACTTGGGGGGCAGCTTCATGACACTGGACTTGACGCTGACGCTGACCGGAGTGCCGGGTTGCAGGCGGCTCAGGTAGCGAGTAGCCAGACCGAAGCGGTCGCGGCCCTTGGGGTCGGTCCAGCCGACAGCGACAATCATCAGAGCGACGATGGTTGGGCTGACCTTCTGGCACGAGGCGATGGAGTACTCACGGCGCTTCAGAGGACCGACAATACGGACAATCTCGTGGAAGTCGGGGTGAGCAGAGGGGTACTCGAGCAGCACATCGGCGAAGGTGATGGTGTCGACCTCGGCACGACGCTTGAACTCATCGGCACCGGTGGGACCACCGAGGGTGAGGAGATCAGTCTTCTCCTTCTCGTCGGTGGCGAACTCAGCCAGAGCCTCATAGAAGCGCTTGGGCGGGCGACCGAAGATGTCGACATTCTGCACAAGGGCCTGGTAGACAGTGCGGTTCTCGAGGACAGCAGGGTCCTCACGGCTGGAGACCTCAACAATCGCATCGGGGTCCAATCCGTAGAACTCAATGAACTTGGCAACATCCTCGGGATCGTTCTCAGCGTGGACACCCAGGGCCTCACCAATGTCATAGGTGAGACCAGAGTCACCAAGATCGAACTCAATGTGGAAGATGTTGCGGTCATAGGTGACGGGGGTGAGGCGGCGGTTCTCCTTGACGTGAACGGTGAAGGTCTTGGTGGCCAGGTCAGGGCGGAGAGCGCTCGTGGTGTCAAAGGCCTCCTTGAAGGCCAGACCACGGGCAGCAGTCTCCCAGTCCTTGAGCAGAGTTGGGGGCTCGGAGTCGTCCTTGTCGAAGAAGACAAAGCTGTTGGCAGAGATGTCCTTGGGGAGCTCAGCGATCTCGGTGACACTCTCGGGCTCCTTCCAGGACTCAGGAACCTCGATTTGGCGCAAGACCTTCTCGAGGTCCTTGGTCACAGTCTCCAAGGTCTCGGCGTTGGCGGAGATGGAAGCCAGCTTCTTGGTAGCAATGCCCTCCTGAGTGGGAAGGGCAACGCGGATGAAGGAAGCCTGCAGAATCACGGTCTCCAGAGAAGAGTCCTCAACAGCCGAGGAGTCGACAACGAAGAGAGAGATACCGCGCTGAGCGACAGCCTGGCGGAAAGCGGCAGGCAGCTTCTTCTCGAGATCTTCGTCCTTGACGCCAGGAGCGCTGATGATAACCTTAGCATTGTCCTTGACGGAAGCAAGGACATCAACGTCGTTGAGCAGGGCAATGTTTCCAATGTAGGAAACATCGGCAGCAGTGACGGCATAAGGAGCGTTGATGATCTTAGCACTCTTGCGAATGTCAACGCGGATGACACCGCCCTGGACTAGGTTGTCATGAACCTTGCTGACGGTGACATTGCTTGCGGAGTCCGCGGCAAGAGCCTGGCTGAGGGTAAGAGAAGCCTCCTCGGCAACAGAGTTGTCAACATCCCAGAAGGTGTACTCCTGGACGGTGGCAGGGTCCAGGAGCTGCAGAGGAGCGGCCTCGTTGGTGGCGCTGTCAACGGGCAGGATAGGCTTGTCGAAGATGCGCTGGAATGCAGCAGCAATGTTGATCAGGTCCCAGCGCTGAGAGCGAGAGTACTTGATCTCAACGGTGGACGGGGCGTGCTCGCGGCCGGTGGCAAAGGTCAGAGCGGCAAGAACATCCTCGTACAGGGTAGAGTGAACACCATCCTCCTGGACGGCCTGCTCACTGGCAACCTGGCCAAGAACACCGACGGTCTTGGTGGACTGGGGAAGGACACGCAGGAACTCCTCCTCGACGAAGGGGCGGTAGACACGGACATTGACAACACCGATGTGCACGCCATCCTTGGCCAGAGAGCGAGCAACCTGAGCAGCAAGAGCAGCCTCAACGGTACCGAAAACAACGAGAACGGAAACGGGCTCGGCGTGACCGTGGTACTCAAAAGCACCGTAGTCAGTGCCAAGCTCGCCGTTAAGATTCTTCAGAAGCTCCAAGAGCTTGCCCTGAGCATCGAGGTGGCGGTTGCGAGAGTCATCAAGAGACTTGCGAACATTCTCGTAAGTGCGAGACAGACCCTCCTTGTCTAGGACATCAATGACACGCGTGGTCTCACGGCCGACACGAACACCATCATAGATGTGAATGGAGGGCAAGACGGATGCAAGCAGAGTGGTAAAGAGGGCCATGTGCTGGGACTCGTGAGCGGAGCCGCTGGAGATCAGACCCAAGCCGAGATCCTCAGCGAGAGAAAGAGCCGAAGCATAGTCGGAAACGAGGCCGTCCTCGCTAGTGTAGTCAACGGCGGCGACGTGCGCAGCCACTGGGCTGGCAACGGAGTACAGCAGAGAGAGCTGCTCCAACGCAGAGCGCATATAGGGAAGGGTAGCAGAGGAAGCGACAATGCCCTGGGGAACGTGGCGCTTCTTCAGGTCAAAGTCCTGGGAGAACAGATAACCTAGGGCCAGGTTTCCGGCACCCTGGCGGGTCTCGAGGGCCTTGACAACGGGAGATTCGCCATTGGTCTTGGTCTCCTGGGCTGCTGACCACTCACGCAAAGCAGCATCAAGGTCGAAGGTCTCTGGGGAGTAAGAGAAGATCTTGTCGCTCAGAAGATACGCCACCTGCTGAATGAGGGTCTGGGCGGTGGTATACGTAGGGCCGGAGAGGGCAGACAGAGCCGGATTCGTCGCACCCATCGTGATTATTTGTTCTTGTCTGATATTGCGACCACAGCAGCAATATCTACAATGGACAAGAAGGATATCACCACAAACAAAAGGATTAATGTGGAGGAAAGAGAGGGGGAGTGACTGGAAACCCATAAGTATAGAAAACCCCCAGGGCATCTTGCCCAAAGCGGCCTAGCGGAGAGCACGCAATCACGCAATTTTCTTATCGATAGGCAAGTCCCGATGCCGGATGGCGACTTTCTTATCGATAAGGAAAAACTGTGGAGCTGAGTCAGGGTCTTGGCATGTCCTGCACAACCTTAATTAGTAATACTTTGCACAATTAGTTATCCAGTTGTACTTGGGCTTGACACGGGCTCATGTGACGAGGAATATGCCGCACCGAGCCTCGGTCGAGGCGTCAAGACTGGGGACAAAATGTGGGACTGCGGAGAAGATCCCCAAGGAGCCGTGCGGAGTACATAATTAATCACTCCTCTTGCGCAGCCCTACAAACATTCAAGACATTTCAACATCTCATCTTCATATAGACGTCACTTTTCATATCCATTCACAATGGCCGAAAACTCACCTAACCCGGTCCCCTTCTCAGAGCCGCCATATCTGCGTGGTCTCCCGTCTCCGTATATCACACCAGCCCACCGCGAGTTCCAGAAGCGATGCCGCAAATTTGCATGGGAGAACCTGATTCAACATGCTATGGAATGGGAAAAGGCAGGCACCGTGCCAGAACATGTCTTTGATACTTTCTGCAAGCACAACATGCTGTTGCCAAACATGCCTGCCCCACTTCCCGTGGACTGGCTGAAGCGCCTGGGAATCAATGATATCCTGGGTGTCAAAGTCGAGGATTGGGATTACATCTACACTGGAATTTACTGTGATGAGGTAAGTGTGATTAGCTGAGAATACATGATTCTCTAGGAGATTATTATGACGCTAATCCGTGACTGAATGTATAGCTTGCTCGTTCTGGCTTGAGTGGCCCCGGTGGATCTTTGAATGCAGGCTTTGCCTTTGGTATTCCTCCCATTGTCAAGTTTGGCAGCAAGGAACTACAGGAGAGATTCCTTCCTGACCTTCTTACTGGCAAAAAGCGTGCCTGTATCGCCATTACCGAGCCCGAGGCTGGTAGTGACGTTGCGAACATTGTCACCACTGCCACCAAGAGTGCTGATGGCAAGCATTATATCATTAATGGAAGCAAGAAATGGTAAGAGACAACCAATCTGTAATTTAAAAAAACTCCTACTCACCATTGAATAGGATCACAAACGGTATCTGGTCCGACTATGCGACCATGGCTGTCCGAACTGGTGGCCCCGGCCCTACCGGTCTCTCGGTGCTAGTTGTGCCCCTGAAGAACCACCCCGGCGTCACTATGCGTCGCTTGAAGGTCTCCGGCCAGATTACCGGTGGTACTACTTATATCGAGCTCGATGATGTCAAGGTTCCAGTGTCGAACCTCATCGGCAAGGAGGGCCAAGGCATGCGCATTATCATGACCAATTTCAACCATGAACGACTCGTCATCTCGGTCGGAGTCACCCGTGCCGCCCGGGTGGCTCTTTCTGCCGCATTCTCTTACTGCCTCAAGCGTGAGGCTTTTGGCAAGACTCTCATGGACCAGCCCGTGGTCCGACATCGTCTTGCCAAGGCTGGTGCTGAGCTTGAAACTATGTGGGCTTGGGTCGAGCAAATCCTCTACCAGCTCTGTCATCTCAGTAAAGAGGAAAGTGACATTCAGCTTGGTGGGTTGACTGCCTTGGCAAAGGCAAAGTCAGCGATGGTGCTCAATGAGTGTGCACAGGTTGCTGTGCTTTTGTTCGGTGGCAATGGTTTCACGCAAACTGGTCAGGGTGAACTTGTTGAAGGTGAGCTAATGTCTAGAGTTTCTTGAGAGATTCCAAGCTAACAATGTTAATTCTACAGCCATTCTTCGAGATGTCCCTGGTGCCCGTATCCCTGGTGGATCCGAAGATGTCTTGCTCGATCTGTCTGTGCGGCAATTGGTCAAGATTTACCAAGCACAGGAAAAGAAGCTGTCGCAGAGCTCCAAGATCTAAGCCGTTTTGGAAATTGCAAAGTGTATCACACATGAATTCTGTCTATATATGTCCAAGCTTTCACATCTCATTTATATACCACTTGAAGGAATGTTTTAGTATATTAACAGTCCCTTTCATCGACGGACATGACTTTCTCATGATAATACTCATGTAGAATAGAGCGGCTTCGATGATTTAAAAACAGGTTGCCAAAATTAATTCAGCTTTGCAATAGAGACATTGAAAGGTAATGCGCAACTCTCCTCGAGAGTGCAAGGACTCCTATCGAGGTTACAGACATTTTCCTAGGCATGTGGGTCGAGTAGTCAAACCCTCTTCACTCTCCATACTGAGTGGGGGGGCTGGTGGCTCGGTCGGCTTCGCAGGAAAGCTTAGCTCCGACGAATGACGAAACCGCGAAGACCACAGCCACTTTCCCTCCTACTCCTTTCATTGACACTCGCAACCCTCCACCTGAACAATACCAAAGGAAGAAACCATGGCGAATGTCGCGTTGATCGGATGCACAGGCATGGTGGTACGAATATCATTTCTAGCTTTCATCGCATAAACAAAATAACACCAACGACCCCCACTAACCCAATCTCCATCTGCACAGGGATCCCACATCCTCACCAGCCTGCTGTCCAACCCGAGCGTCAGTCGCGTCGACACAATCTCCCGTCGAACGCCCCAAGTTGCTGGCGGCGCCCCGCAATCCAAGCTCACCACTTTCGTATCCGACAAGACCGAAACTTGGGCCGGACAGCTTTCGTCGCTCACGCCTACCCCGGAAATCTTCATCTCCGCCTTCGCCACCACCAGGGCCAACGCCGGCGGATTCGAGAACCAGTACAAGATCGAGCATGGCTTGAATGTTGAACTGGCGCGTGCCGCGCGCGACGCGGGCGTCAAGGTTTACGTGTTGATCTCGAGTGCCAACGCGAATAAGGCTTCGTCGATCCCCTACACGCGCATGAAGGGTGAAATTGAAGAGGATGTGAAGGCGCTTGGCTTTGATCACACTGTGATTGTGCGACCTGGTCTGATTACTGGTACGCGGGAGGAGAGTCGCCCCTTGGAGGCGTCTATCCGATTCATTGCTGGTTGGGCTGGAAAGCTGCACTCGGGATTGAAGGATGGCTGGGCGCAGGACTCGGATGTTATCGCTCGAGCGGCCGTTAATGCTGGTTTGAAGGCGCTCGAGGGGGATGTTCCTGCCGGTAGTGAGAAGGTGTGGAACCTTGACGGCAGTCAGATTATTGCGCTTGGAAAGGAGGCTGCTGGCTCGTCTTAGTGTCGGTGATGTTGATTCGCACGGTTAACCTTGATTCCCCTTCAAAACAAATTTTAGTCTTACTTTTGAGCATTTCTTAGGTTTGTTGATGAAATTCACAGTATGTATGCTATGAACAGAAGAATGTCAAAAAACTTAAAATGCAAATCATGATACCACGAAAAATCCCATATTCACAAGTCCACCAGTTCTCACTTGACAAGCCGACCATCTCTAGGGAATCCTTCCACAGTCGAGCCTCGTCCTCAGGGCAATAGGCATGGGGCGCCGCATCCCCGCTCAAAGGGTTCTTATCATAGTCTCCTCGAGCAGCTACAGCGCAATTGTCAAGGAATAGGCCACCCTTGCCCTTCAATTCCTGAGAAACAGCGCCCCAAACGGTAGTTGCAGCGCCTTGCTCGGGGCTCTTCTGATATTTCTGAACCACTAGATTTTGCAACAGTGCTTCGAGCTCCGCCTCAGACATGTGTCTCATCAGAGAAGTTGCAACAATTCCCGGGTTCAGACTGGTTGCATGCAGCCCCTGCGATCCGTAACGGCGCTCAATCTCATTTGCCATACACACATTCGCAAGCTTTGACTGGCAATATGCAGCCCCGGGATCATAGCCGCCTTTCTGATAATGGTAGTTGTCTGACGGCCCTGGAGGTATGGTCCATGTGGATCAATTCCATTCGGTGCGGATCGAAGATGTCACCAAGGGCATTCTTTGCTCTGTCTAGGTCCCGGGCAGTCAAATATAGAGTTGCGCCGGTTGCTGCGAGGGCACGAGCAGTTTCGACACCTCGACCGGAGGAAACGCCGGTGATGACGATGGCTTTGCCTACAAGTTTGTTTTTAACTTGCTCATCATGGATCATTTGCATGCCCCCTGAGGGTTTGGATGTGCAGCAGAGTATCGAGACATAATTGATGACAAGGTTGGAGTTTATGATATAGATAGTTAAGCCAGACTTTATTGATCGTGTTATTAGAATATGCAATGCTGATTTCCATCGCGTCGGACAATTACTCCCTTCTTATAGCTTTGTCTTCTCTCCTTTAATCCTTACTAGATATCGGCTTTCGGCTTTAGTTTGATGCTCGCAAATGCGGGCTGACGGTTAGGTTATATTGCTCAGGTGGGCCCCCCCACGATCAATCAAAGCTTTTAAGATGGCACACGGCTGAGTCTGATATGTCCACAGCTCCACTGCTGACGCCTTTTGCCTCTTGGGGATAGATTGATAACGGATTTCGGGTTTCCAACTCATTGGAGTCAATCGGGCTCCACAAAGTATCCACGTGGACAAATTTGATCCTTTGCCTGATTGTCTGTTCTTCTACCTGCACAATTAAAGTGTCCAAGGCTACGCTCATGCCGGCCAGCTTCCCGCGGCGCAATCCGGGGCCGAATCCTCCGAGTGAGACTGGTCAGCGAAGACTGCGCAAAAAGATACATAGACTTAAGAATCCAGCTCGACAGAATCGGGACAATCACTGCTCGCCGACAATCTACTCCACCTGATTCACTATAATTCCTTCCGCGGACTATAAAACCAGAAAGTCATGCTAGGAACGGCAACTATTTCCTGGTAACCAAACGCTTTGCCAGACCTATTCAACAAGGCATTGCCTGGCTTCTCAATCGTGTTGCCCGTCGCCCCTGGCCTGCCAAGCACTCTACGTCCATCTGAATCACAAATGAACATCGTACATTCGACCTGTATCGACCTAATACCCTTCGCCGCAATGCGCGAGAATCTCGTCCGCTGGGAAACCTGTTTTTATCATAAAGACTCTGTGCATGATCTTCTGGGTAATGCGGCTTGTTCAGAACTGCTCTCGCAGCCGCAATATTCACGTTCAGCAACGCCGGTACGGGAGAATTACTCGCTATGTGGTGATGATATCCTAATAAAGCAAAAATTAAAGTTATCAAAGATGACGACGAGGTGACTGCGAATAGGAATGGATCAATTCTTTGGGGAGAGCCATTCGATATCAATAGCGGGGAGGTTACACCGGGTTTGGTGCGCAAGTGGGCGTAATGCAGGGTTGGGAAGAGTTGATTGCTTCTAATAATCGGTGGAGGATTAGAGTGAAGGAGCCACTACGTTTCTCGATAGGTGTTGATGATTTGGAGTAATTCTTAGTGATGCATCGATAGCCCTAATGTACATTTCCCCAAGCTATGCTGTAGGTCTATCTGCAGTGCCATCCCCAGTGTGACTGACTGCAGTTACCGGCTCACCGATAAGTAACATGAGTACCGTCCTCTTTCACTTCAACCCTACGACGCTTATTCGGTTGCCCTCTCTTGCTCGTCTCTTGCTTATCCGCATTCCTCGCCGGCCCTCCTTCCTGCGGCCCTCGCCAGGCATTGGCTTCCTTATTGGCACCGCTCACGTTCAAAGTTCCCTGCTTTCCCTTCGACTTGGCCTCTTGCTCGGTCGCCTCCAGCTCGCTCTCGGGAGAGGTATTAGAAGGATCAAAGGCAGAGTCATGTTGGGCGATTTGGTCATCTGTACCAGTTTTGGTCGCCTCTGATGGTTGTGGATCGAGTGCTTCGCGGTCAAACTCTCTGGTATCGGGGGGTTGCTTGCAAAGGCGAGGAGCGGCAATGAAATTGCGGCGCACGGTAGCTGGTCGGGGTAGGATTGCAGCAGAGTGGCATGGACAATTGGGCCGTATAGCCTGTCGGCCGCTGGACATGAGGCTCTTCCACATATTGTTTGTTTGAATTCGATGGTGTTGTGATTCGTGTTGGGATGGTCTGTATGCAGCTGCAATTGGATTGCGTTGATTTGCGTGATTGATTGAGAATAATCAAGTTGGAAGGGTGAGAGTACAAGAACGGAGTCTCGATACAATTAAGAATTTCGTCGTGGAAAATGCCATTCCAGAGCTTCCTGTAACCCTGTTCTCGGCATCTGGAGAGAATCATGCTGACGTCACATAACCATACTCCATGGACATCCCTACGGACCACTAGCTACTTTCAGTAATCAGCTAGAATAGGAAATTGAGCATGCGAATATGGTCATCATGGCATAGATAGAGAGATAATTAACATAAATCAGTTCATTTCTTTTCATTTCACGATATTTTGAGATATTGCTCATCCTCAAAAAGGGCAAACGCTGCCACGTCATTCAAGGCCGAAAGGCGTCGTTCTCCATCTTGTCCCAATTACGAACGTCCTGCATAGAGATCAATTTTTGTTTAGTTTTGTACGAGGAGCAAAGTTCAGCTCAGATTTCCTGCAGGATACCATTAATGGAAAAGAGGGTTGCAAAGCCCGGTCTGGATACTTGCGTCAGTCGCACCGCCTTGATACCAAAAGGTGGCTTGCATCAATATTGTCTTGGATGTTGAGTGATCTGAATATTCGTCAATAATGGGAAAGGTCATTGACGCTATACCCGAAAGATCGAGAAAGGGATGCAAAGTTCCGTGCATGGGTTCTACGGATATGCAGAGACGGAGGACTCCACAGGACTGAGGGACTCATGGCATCTATAGTAGCAGCATGCAGATGCTAGGACCTGTTCACCATCTATCAACCAATAGCCTTTCGGGCTCGGTCTGCCTCGGCGTCAGAGTCCATGATATGCACTAGTCGGCCTGGCAAATTGAGGGTGGGGAAAGTTGTCGCTAGCTGCAGATGACCAATACCCCCGTCCGGGGGTGTTATTGGCCGCTGTGGTCGGCTCCCAGTGAGGCTTCCACCATCGCCGGGCCAATCTGGGTGAGCCAGTCCAGTCCAGAGGCGGCGGCCCTCTGGCTTCTCGGTTCCAAACTACACATAGCCTGCCACCATTTGTCGCCAGGCAGAGGCATGCGCGTGGAGGGTGCGGGAGCCTCCGTCCACTCTAAGATCACGGGATCAGAGGAGCCCAGCAGAGTGGGAGCATGTATGCGGGTCTAAGAATCCAATTTCAACGTTGAAGTATGGGAAGGAAAGTCCACGGCGCAACAAATTCGCCCAAAAAGGGTACTGGTCGAATCTCAAGGTCTCTGAAAGTATCTCCGCCAACTTCGCTTGTTGGGCAGAAAGCAAGCTTGCGAATTTTCATGACTTTGGGTCTGATCCTTGTCCGGCAGAGGTCCGGGTTCACCCAGTATGGAACAGGACCTTTTTTTTTCTTCGGTGGTAAGACGGGGCGAGAGGCAAAAGGAGCAGGGGGGAAGCTGATTCGAGAGTTTTTGAGCCTGATGCAACCAGCTTGCCGCTCGAAAATGATCAATTCGCGTCGATATGACGCCCATTGAGGCTGTTCGCCGCCATTCAGGGATGTCTCGCTGCCAGCTCAACAAACTTGCCATGGATCATCGTCCAAAATGCAGGCAGTGGACGTGCTAGAGAGCGGGCGTCTCCGATCATCGTGCATCGTATCGAGGGACAACCACCACCCCTAAGGTCTCCTAACCAGCAGGGAATGCAGCCACTTCCACATCAAAACTGGATATGGAGACCCTCCTGTACCAATTCCCATGACAGGGATGAAGGCCTGGATCTTTGTGTGGAGCATTCTCAGGATCCAAAGATATTCGCAGCTTCTTGACCCACGGCCTTTCTGGTCAGCCTCTGCTACCAGGAATCTGTGTACCGAGCCAGAAACAAGGTGCCACGTCAGAGTCTCCGAGCTTTGGTGCAGCTGCATGTGGTTCACTGATATGTGGAAAATGTCACGGTTCGTGTCTGCGACGAGTGCGGCACGGCATCCTAGGTCCTATCGTTTCCGCCCGAAAGAGCAAATGGACGCCGGTAGACCATACACAAGAGTGAGGGCAGATGCAGGACTCCCCCTCTGCAGGAATCAACGATCAGCTGAACGAAAGCGGATGCCCTTGATCAACCCATAAGTGGTTAAAGTCCTGTACCGCCAGAAACCCAATTCAAAGGGCCGTGTCCCTGAGTGCGCGATGTACCACTGGCAGAGCCTCAGTGACGCGACTGTTGCCACCCGAGTGAAGAACTATTGGCTCAGAAGCACGGAGCGGAAAGATGCGGCAGGTTGTGGGACGAGGGTCAGGCCTCGATCCCAATATCCTTGTCATCATGGCTCGGCGAAGGAACAGAATGGTGAGAAGGGGCCACTAAGTCGGGTTGCAACCCATTTCTGAGACCATGCCGAGTGGCCGTAATTGCCTAGGTGCAGGAGGCGTAATATTAGGGAAACGGGGCAATGATGCGAAGGTGCATCTGCAGGCAATCACACGGACGGTAACGACAGATAGATTTGTTCTGTCGGTAGACAAAAGTGGTGGGGACCCGACGATGGTGTCAAAGCCTATAACGATTGGAGTATTGGACCAATGGAAAAGCAGACTGGGATGAAGAATATGCTGTGGTAGAGCATCCCAATCCAGGTAGGGTTGCAGGGAAGCCGAGTGTTGTCGCAATCGGGAAAGGTATCAGCATTTCTTTTCTTTTTTTTCTTTGATTGGAAGACAAGGTTATCACGGAGTGACGATGTCTGAAAATTGCATCAAATTGACAGCTGGCAGAGGCCGAGAAGCAACTCAGCTATGCAGGATCGTCAATGCAAAACGCAACACGATCACAGGAGCCTGATTCCATGCGAACTTCATGCACATGGAGGCGGGGAAATGGAATGGCGAAGGCATAGTTGCAGCAGCTAGGACTCGAAAGAGGAAAGCTAGCAGCCATCAATTGAGGGATTTTCTACCCGTTGTGAATCATCATGGGGATAGAAAGTCGCCACGACCGATAGCTGCATGCATCCTTGAAGCAACCGTTCATCCTAGGTGGCTCCCTCCAAGAGAACTTGAGCATCTTACAGTCTCCACTCATGCGGAGGAATGCCCACAGCCAACCGGATAGACCTCGACCACGTTGAGATATGGATTGCGAGGGATGGGAAGACACGGACGTTAAGCCGGCCCACATCAGCAAACGTCGATCCCAAGAGGGACACACGAAGGTTGGAGGACCCAGGCGACGAAATAGAACTGTCAACCGAAACATAAATAGGACCATTCGGATCCTCTGGATGGTTCAGAATCATCCCCTTGAGTTTCAAAATCATAAGCTAGAGTCATCAATTCAGGTCCATAGCTTTACCTCCTCATTAAGCTTCTTGTTATTCGGACGTACCGTGAAGCTTCCTTTGGTAGCACTTCCGAAAGGCCTTTCACGGCGTCCACTCAGGGTGACCATTTCAACTGGTCAAGTGAGCTTCGAAAAGAAATCAAAGCCAATCGCGAACCCCCCCTCTATCACCTGAAACAAATCCTCGGGTCCGGGAGTAAGTGGGTTTGATCAGACCTGAGAAGTGAGTGGCACTAACGCATCTGATAGGCATGTGTTTTTACAACCAGAAGCGTTTCTCCTGTGGAGACTGGAGCTGGACCAGCTTCGCCCACCGGTGCAATTACGAGTACCGCACCGGCGAAACTTGCGGAATGAGGCTCGTTAATATGACTGAGAACGAAAACAGCAAGTGTCGCCTCTGCGAGAAGATTGAAACCAAGTTCAGGCGGCGAAGCGCCGAGCTTGATCGTCTGGAACGGTGGAAGCGAGAAGGTGCGACTTTGGTGGCCTCCATTGACCGGTCCCACAAGCTCATTATGGAGCTGGATAAGGAGATTTGCGCTCTACAACGGGAACGCGAGGATCGACGTCGAACGCTGCTGAGATAGCAGCACTCTGTGTCTTCAAAAATCAGTGCCTTTCATTCAGCGAGCAGCGAGTGTCTTTCTTCAATGTTCCTTGTCATTTGGTCGTTTGAGTTCTTGCGTTTCGGGTCCCATCGATTGGTGGATTGTTCAAGGCGTTTCATGTTTCACCACGCAGAATATAGTCTGTGACATCAAGTCTGAATCGAGTGTGCAATGTGACGGACAAGACCAATTTTCTGAAGAGTTTGAACGGACCCCCGTAGAAATTTTCTCATTGGATGTGATGTGGTATTTGACCCCTTTCAATAGGCTGACAGCATCCAATGGATATATTGGTGTGGACTAGTCATGTTATAAGCGCCCTGGTTCCCTGGGCGAGCGGTTCGCTGAGACGGCTCCGTCTCATCGAAAGAAACGGAAGCTTGAACTGCAAATCCCCGAGCGAAAGTTCTAGTAAGCTATTGGAGCCCAGTGAAATTTTGACGAACTGTCACAATGGTAACAGAACGAGTCTGAATGCTGGAAGGTGGGATGATGAACCCCCTCATGCACCTCCGTCACGTGGAGACACCACGCTTATGTAACCTACCAGGTGCCAATAGGTAGAGCTGCCTGACCGAAGGTTCGTTGGGCAGACTGCCACGAAGCGGAAGAAGAAAGGGTCTTGTTCGTTGAGCTTCTTCATAAAGCTGAATAACTATACGATCAGTCTGTCAATAGCAAGATGGTTGGCGTATTCGGGTAACTTGTCTGTGCCTGAAGGGAAGAGGTGGGTCAATACCAGAGCTAGTCATGGAATGGAAGTACAGTGCCTGATCGTTGTATCTACCTACCGCATCTGATCCCTGGGCCGAAGCTCGCAATAAGGCATTAACATTTGGGAGGTATCGAAATCCGAGACAAGCGGTATTCCATGTTTCGAAAATGCGCACTGAAGCTGACGGTCATTCGGCTTCTTGGGTGGTTGAGGAATCAGTAACAGAAAGGGCGGCGCGGGAGTTATTTATCTTCAGTCTGCCCAGCATGCGAATAGGCTACGGGCTTCAATATGTACCTAAGATCGGAGAGTTTACTTCTATTGGCCCAACATAGGCAGCTATTGTCCACGAGACAACTTGAGACTACGTGTACCTACGCCTTACCTGACAAACATCGTCAAGTGGCCAGCAGATCAGTATAGCAGGCTCTGACACCCAGCCGTTGGATGTATGCCACGTCACGAGCAACTTATGCGCAATATAGCTATCACAAGAGTGCAAATATCCCGTTAGGACATGGACTGGGTGGGTCAACACGGGTATATCGATGGAGTGCAGGTGTCAATTCTCAAGTATCTGAAACACAAGCAAAGGTATTATTCTATTTTATCTCACCAGCCTCGGGCTCATCATCCACCTTGGCCAGCCCTTGTTCCCGGAGAAGCGCATCAATCTCATCGGCACTCCAAAGGTGGTGGTAGATCTTTCCGTCCTTGGTCTTGCCCACCGTTGCGAACTCGACTAGATGATGGGAAGCCGTCTGTTAGTAAACTGGATAACAAAGCAGTCAATTTCGGGCAGCGGAGGGCTCGGAGACTCACTCTTCTCACTGCTCAGCTTTGTGGAATCCATCGTCTTGCTCAGGACCTTGACAGCCATTGCACAAGCCTCCTGCAAAGTGGAATCCTCCTTGTAGTCTTGCTTCAGCAGACTCTGTGCGCTGGCATTGTTGGCGCCGACGCTGGTGGCCTTCCAGCCTCCGTAATTTCCACTCGGGTTGCTCTGGTACAACTGGAACTGGCGCAGGTGATCCCACCCAGCGTAGATGAATGACACACCGAACGGACGGAGACCACCATGTTGGGTATATCCTTGCTTCAGATCACACAGTCGGCGCACCAGCTGTTCGCAAGGAATGTCTTCGTTGTAGGTGAGGAGATAGCGTTGGGCATTTTGACGTGCGTAGTTGATGAGGATATTGGCGTCGGCGTTCATACCAGCGACGGCGCAGATCATGTTACTATGATCGACGTCAGTTTGTTGCCACAGGATTTCTAGATATGAAAACAGGGAAGACACGGGAGCCCAAGGTATTTCGACGTACTCGTTGATGGTATAGAGCTTCTCGGCGGAGGTATCCTGCTCCAACAGCTTGCTGGTCACCTTCCTCTCAGCGGCAAGGACAATGCCGTCCTTGGCTAGAATACCGAGAGCAGTACCGGCATGTGAGATGGCCTCGAGGGCATATTCAACCTGGTACAGTCGACCCTCTGGGGAGAAGATGGTAGTCTGCCCAACAGGCGTCATAGGTTAGCTGGGAGCTGTGCCAATTGCACCGCAGGAGAAGGCCCAAGGCCGGTAGGCTTAACCTACCCGTGAATCATATCGCCGAGACATCTTGCATGTAACAGAAACGCAATATCGAAATAGTGAAGGACAGGAATGGAGGATCGTGAGGAGGTAGAGGGTGGATGAGAAGGTCGGAGTTGGAGACAGTTGAGCTCCAGGGAAGTTCCAGGCAACTCGCCCTGGCGCGTCCTCTGTCATCCGCCAAGCTCGGACCACCTCACCACACCAAAGCTTCACCAGCGGCTTTCTCTCTCTCAGCTTTGGGCCACGCGAGCTGGCATTTTGACCTCAACACTTACGGTTTAGCTAGTCGCTGCTACAATGCTCAAGTCTACCTACGCCCCTCCGCCGCCTCTCCCCCCGGGGTGGTCGGAGCACCGGGCGCCTTCAGGTTTGTCCGCCTCTTGCTCGCTGGGAAAGGATTTGGCTAATTGGGATGAGCTACCAGGTCATTTATACTACTATAATGCTGCAACAAAACAATCCACATACAAGAGACCACAAGCGCAAGATTCTCAACCTGCGCAACCTGCGCCTCCTGCGCAAACCGCGGTAGAACCCTCGCAATCACTCCCATTTTATTCGCCTGAAACATTACCACCATTCTCGTCGACGCCATATGGACCGGCTAGTTATGCCCCGGACGCCGCGCAATATGGACAACACCAACACCAACAACAAGGGCAGGGTCGTGGCGGCTTCCGCGGGGGAAGAGGCTATCATGACCGCGGACGGCGGGAGCCCCAAGATAGGCCGAAGTCTAAGCATTTGATACCGCATTGTGCGCCTTGGGTTTTGGTGAAAACCAAACTCGGCAGGCGATTTGTGCATAATCCGGAAACAAATGAGAGTTTTTGGAAAATTCCAGAAGATGTTCTCAAAGGCGTGGTTGAATATGATCGCCTCGAGCGCGAGAAGAAGGAGAGAAGAGAGCGCGGCGAGAAGTCAGAGGAGCCCGAGGAACACCAGACAAGTATTGCAGGAGCGCCGACTGCATCTCGACCAGAACGTGGGGATGCGGCGCACGAAGAGCCCTATGCAGGCGCAGAAGATAGCGATGAGTACGAAGAGGTTGAAGTTACGGACGACGAAGATGAAGAGGAGGACGAGGGCCAATTGTCGAAGCGGGCACGCACGGAAAGCCCTGGAATACGGGACCAGCCGTTGGAATTCACCGAAGAGGATATGGAATTCCAGCTTGCGGCCATGGGAGAAGACTATGGTCTAGAGCCAGGCGAGTACGGCGAGCCCGGGGAGGACTGGGAGGAGGGCGCGGAAGGGCTTCCATTGACAGCTGCCGATGCCGAGGCACTATTCCGTGATTTGCTCGATGACTATCATATCAATCCCTTCTCAACGTGGGAGAAGATTCTTGAAGAAGGCCGCATCATCGACGACTCAAGATATACCGCTCCTTCGAACATGAAAACCCGCCGTGAGATTTTCTCTAATTGGAGCAGAGACCGCATCAAGGACGTCCAAGCACAGAAAGAAAAGCAGGAGAAGCAGGATCCTCGTATTAAATACTTGGCCTTCCTCCAGGAATATGCAACGCCCAAGCTGTACTGGCCCGAGTTTAAGCGAAAATATCGAAAAGAGGCAGAGATGAAGGACTCGCAACTGTCGGACAAAGAACGGGAAAAGCTCTACCGTGAATATATTTCCAAGCTCAAGCTCCCTGAAAGCACCCGCAAATCGGATCTTTCAACCCTTCTCAAGTCGGCTCCATTGCACGCATTAAATCGCTCCTCGAATGTTGAGGCTTTGCCAGCCACGATCATTACCGATATTCGATATATCTCCCTTCCAACACAGGTCCGAAATCCTTTGATTGAGGCCTTCATATCTACCCTACCGCCTCCACCCCAGGAGCAGATGACTGCAGAGCAGCAAGAAGAGCATGGCCGAAAGCAGCGAGAACGGGAGAAACGCGAAAAGGCTCTTGCAGAGCGAGAAAGACGGGTTGAGGAAGACAAGCGGAGACAGCGCAGCGACCTTATCCGGGGCAAGCATCTACTACGAGAAGGCGAAGCCGAGATTGCGGAGGCAATGAGGGTCCGAAAAGATGGCCTGCGTGGTTACATGGAAGTTGATGAGCTCCCAGCCAAGAAGTAGGAGAAACCAAGCAACGACTGAAAAATGCGGGGTTTGGTACCTATCGTATCACGATATAGTACGTTCATAGTTTCTTACCTCGAGGGACTTTCAATGAAAACAAGCTCTGTGATTTGCAACTTCTCTGATGGTATTCAATTTAGGAGGGTATCACTGTATATTAAAGGATTCTATATCATTTCATGTAGAAACCGTCATTTTTCATGGTACAATAGAAATCATTTAAACCGCCAATCATCCCAGCCGTCATCTTCTTCGTCCTCACTTTCACTCTCAGGTACGCGTTGCTCGTCGGCCATGGGGATATCCCGGGCTTGGTCCTCAGCGCGCTTTTGCCGTAGTTCCTCACGCATATGCTTCAGTCTCCGTACCCGTTCCTCAAGCTGATCCATTTCATCAAACTCTTCCTCCATAAATCGTGCAGCGTCTTCTCGTTCGCCCTCCAACTCAGCCTCACGGGATTTTGCTGCCGAGGCCTTGTCGCTTTCTTGTTGTGCGGCCAATTCTTCGGCCGTCACCGGAGCGGCAGATATCGTGGCTTCTGCTGAGATTGCAGCCAGACCATGTGGTGTTCTGGTTGGAGCGGCGACTTCGCGTTCGAACGCGGCCCACTCGTCCTCATCCACGGTCTGTGATGTCTGCTGGCGCGTAGCGGGTATAGATACGGGCTTTGATGCTTGTGTCGATGTAGTCATTTCCTGTGCTTCCTCGGCAGGAAGTTCAGGACCGTCAACTTCGTCTTCTTCGACAACTTCCAAGACCTCATCCTCAGCTGTGTCCTCCGTGTCATGCACCTGGGAAACTTGGGCGTTCGCCGCGGCCTGAACAGCCTCAAGATCTGTTGATCGCAGCTTCTTCCTCATCACCCCGTCGCCGTTGTCGACCTTGCGCTTCTTGCTGACGCGGTTGCCGGTAGTATTTGGTTGTGACGCGCCCTTGCGCGATGCTAGTTCATTCCGGAGGAGCGATCGCACGTCCGCCATAGTTTCGAGAGGCTAAATGTAGCCCGGCCGATATTTTCAGAACGTGTTCAGAAGAAACGAGGTGGGTCAAGAAAGAAAAACGAGATTGCGATCACGGCCAGTTTCAAGTTAATTCGAAAGTGGATTTTGCCTTCAGGTGGGGAACCTGGAGAAGCTCATCAACTTTGAGGCTGCGCGGCGTCCACGGGTGGCTGGTGTATCACGTGATACATGACATAAGCATCTCATGAGGCAAGCCACTTATTCATCTTTCCTCTCCTGGATCTTCCCTCCTTCGCAACCCCTCCTGTCACTCACCCTTTCATCGCTTAATCGATTGCTCTTGTGTGTTCAACAGAGCAACAGTAGCTCATATTGACATCGGCGACTGTCAAGAGCCTCTCAAAATCAGAGGGAGCCCGCATTTGAAATCTCACGCGACCCCGCTACAGCCAAGTGTCGCGACTGACGCGCAGCAAGGGATCGCAATCAAAATCCAAAACACGACCCGGCGCATCACTTGCCACCCATCGTCCTTGGTGAAGTTGACGCTTTCCAAGTCTGGAGACGGCTTCTGGTGATCAAGTAATACCGGGGATCAGGCAGCGACGTTGCTCTTTCTGCAGCGTCTTTTCTTCTGTATTACTTTAGCCTCCCTTTTGAAATCGTAGAGAGACGGTCTTTTGCGATCGCTGGGTATCAAGTGCAGACATCTTCATTTGTCCAGCAATCACAGAATTTTTATTATTCATTGCGCTGTAGTACAAAGAGGACACCAAGCCTCGCAGCCTCTGAGCCATGGCCGGTAAGCAGTCGTACACAACATTCGTCCCTACAACCGCCACCGTCAGACCACCCACAGGTGGCACGAAAAGACGACAACACGGGACGAAAGCATCCTTAACGGAAAACACCGTGCTAACGATGAAGCCAGACGAACCGCGCCGCTCCGGTCGGGCCACCAAAGGCCAGCACAAGAACCTCGAACTACCTGACGCTCCGTCGAAAAAGGGCAAGAGCAAAAGCCCGAAAGACCAAAGAGACAAGTCCAGCAAAGCCTCCGCCGAGCCTACCCCCGGTCCCAGCGATGGAGAAGAAGAGGAGGAGATTATTCGATGCATCTGTGGAGAATACGAGGAAGAAGAAGATGTCGAGCGTGACATGATCTGTTGTGATCAGTGCTCTGCGTGGCAGCACAATGACTGCATGGGATTGACCTTCGCCAAGGGCCAAGAACCTGATCAATACTATTGCGAACAGTGCAAGCCCGAGAATCACAAGGTTCTCCTGGAAAAAATTGCCAGGGGCGAGAAGCCTTGGGAAGAAGTTGCCGAGAGACGGCGACGGGAGGCCGAGGAAAAGAGGTCTAAGAAGAAGAAGGGCAAGAAGGGCGGCCGGAAGAGCCAAGGCAAGACTGAAGTCAGCACTCCAGCTCGCGCTGGAACCTCTGCCACACCAGGACCTGGTCTGTCCCCTGTTACTGCCGCATCTGCTTCAGCCGAGCCGGAAAAGAATGGGCATGGTGGCGATTCACGACGATCAAGCACCAACAAGCGCAAGCTTGAGGAAAGTGTGGAGGCTGATATGGTGAGAAACTCTCTTGCGCTACACAATAGGAGAATGATATGCTAATCCGGTTTACTACTAGGGCCCCCAAGTCAAGCAGCAAAGAGTCTCTCCGCAATCTACCACGGGACCAGTCTCAAAGCTCAAGGCAGAGTCTCCCGCAGAGACCCCTGCTGGGCTTACCGTGGACTCGCTTGTGAACCCAGCTCGCAAGAGTGCAGCTACTGCGCTCATCAGACTATTTGTAGATCAGATCACTGCGGCTCAGAGGAGAGGCTCATACACGCTGTCTGCTGGACACTCTGCCGAAGATGCTGCTCGGCAACTTGGACTCTCTATCGAGGATGCCATGTATCACAATTTCTGCGGACGTGCGGGCGAGCCTACCGAGCCATATAAGTTGCAATTACGAACGATTCTGTTCAACGTAAAGAAGAATCCTTCTCTACGGGATCGATTGCTTGTAGGAAGTTTGTCCCCGGAATCTCTGGCTAGGATGAAACCGGAAGACATGGCTAGCGAGGAGTTGCAGCAAAAGGATGCAGAGATCAAGAGGGAGTCTGAGCGACAGCACATTATCGTTCAGGAACAGGGACCCCGAATTCGACGAACACATAAGGGCGAAGAGCTGGTTGAAGACGAAACCCACAATGCTGCAACAGAGTCGGTCTTCTCTGCTGGCCCTCGCCGCGCCACCGAGGTAGATGGCAGCCCAGGAAACCAAAGCCCACTTACTCCGAAGGCCCAGCAGTCGAACAGATTCCAGACGGACATTGGCCGCGGTCATTCACCTACGGGTGGACATCATGATCATGTCTTCCCCGAGGTCTCGACCAATATTCGCGAGCCTGTCCCTCATGGTGGCAAGATCCAGGCCGATGCTGAAATTGACCAGCTGCTCCGCGACGACGAGCCGGAATCACCTCCTTATTCACCAAAGGACTTCAATGACGATGGTCTCGTCTGGCGCGGCAAAGTCGCCATGGTACCCGTTTCGGAATTTACATCCTTTGCGAAGCATGTCGGAGGTGCTGACCTGAGCGGACGAATCCCATGGAGCCAGCTAGCGCCTCCAACGTTGCTGATTGATGGTCGTATTGACATCCAGCTTGCCAGCAGCTATCTTTGCGGTCTTCGATTCAGCTCCTCCACAGACGTCTCTGTGATTGCTATCAGCAGCCCGGATCTGCCTGGCGAGCGAGCGGGCTTTGACAAGCTATTCGACTACTTTAAGAATCGCTCGCGTTATGGTGTGATCGGCAAACATCCGTTGTCGGCTGTTAAGGACACCTACATCATCCCCATTGAAGCCGGCACCACTACGAAACCCGAATTCATCGAGCTGTTGGAAAACAACACTCTCGAGGACGTTATCAAGGAGCGCACCCTTCTCGTTGTCTTCGTCGTCAAGACGGGCGAATCCAACCCACCTTCGGTGCAACCGCCATCCCATCAGCCTAGCCAGGAACCAGGTGTCTCTGCAAGTCCGCTGACGGCTGCTGGTGCAACACCTCAGCAACCGCCATTGATGACTCCCGGACACGGCTCAACTCCTCAGGTGGCGCCGACACCCCCCACCACTCTCGGTGGAGCTGCCCCGAATTCCGCTGCGTATGCTCAACAACCAGCTACACAACCAGGCCAGCTCCCAGGATTCCAGCAACAAGCACTCACCGGCGTGGCCGCCGCTATTCAGGTGCTGGGCGCGCAAGTTAACGCGCCAGCCATTCAACAACTTCTTAAGACGGCACCCAATGTCGACGTGGCGCAGTTGAATGTCGTTCGCGATATCCTGGCTCGCCAGCCTACAGCAGCCGCCAACTACGAGGCCCTCATGCAGGCGTTGTTCGAAACTCAGGCGAACGGCCACGTCCGTGCCGCGAATGCTTAGCCTCTTTTTATTTGTTTCCTTGACGACTACTGAAGGCGCTTATCAATTTTACGTTTGCACTGTACAGTCGATATTTCAAGTCATTGATTTCTGGGGGGCCACACTGGATTTCAGCAGTCGGTGTTTGAGCCTCGAGCTCCTGGGATATGATTTCTTTTCTGGATGGACGCGGGATACCCATAACCGGCAGTCGTGTATCAGCCATGTTGGCTTATCCGCAAATAAGGCCATGTTTATTCATCTTTATTATTCACCGTGTAGGAGCTACTGCTTCAGGCCATGTCTTATTCCCTAGAAGGGGGAGCGCAGGGTCTCAACCCAAAGTGGGTCTCCATGTGTCTTGAGTTTTATTGCGTTGAACGAGCTAGTCAATTTGAGTTATGAATGATGTATATCGGAGACGCGCCACACACGGAGAGCTGGTTCTATACTGTGCAATGTAAATTAATCTGATTTTCCGTAGTGTAGCAGTTAGGTATAAAACATGATAAAGAGGATGTTGTTGAGCGCATGGCTAATAAATCTCCCTTCGCCACTGAGCATTATCGCACGAAAACGCCTGCGCTATGCAAAAAGATCCGAACCCGAGGAGAGAGACAGTGAGAGAATGGAAAGGAGGCGTGAGCGGCAATCTACCACCTTCCACCCCGACGGCGAAATCCTCCCCCTCCCCCTCCGCCGCCATAGCGAGGGCCGCGCCCGCCAGATCGGCCACCAGCCGCATACGGATCCTCTTCCTCATGATGGCGAACAGGTGGTGCGCGGCCCTTCAACTCCGCGCTGAGCTTCTTGAAGCCCTTGCGCATGTCCGAGTATCCCATATGCATTTTTCCGAAGAAGTGATCCGCCAATCGTCGGTCGTTATCAAGTCGACTGAGGTAGGCCCCGCACACGTCGCAGACTTGCAGCTTCTGGTGGCCGGATGGGCCGGAGGTATCTTGGAGGTTCTTCAGGTCGCGCTCGGCAGTTTCCTTCTGGTGTTTCGCGGTGCGGATCTTGTGCATCTCATTCAAAGCCATTGAGACGGAGCCCGTTTCGCCGAGGACGGAGACCTCGAGAAGGCCAGTGTTGATTGTGTTGTTGAGGTCGGCTATTTGCTTGAGCTGTAGAAGAGTTAGTAAGGTCATCCGGGAATTCGGGCCATACTCGACTGGAAGTGACCATACCAGGTTGTTGGTTTGGCGGATCTCATCCGGGGTCTTCTCCAACCGGCGCTGCGCAGTCTCGATTCGCCGGTCACAATCGTCAATGTATTTTTGCATATCGCGCATGTAGTCAAACTCAAAGCCCCATTTCGCCTTTTCCGCGGGAGACGCAGTTTCGTATTCCGTTTTCAACACTTCGCTATGCACCTTGGGGCAGGGTCCGAGGTCTTGCTTGGTATTGGTGAAGAGGTCGTGCGGGCAGGTCCCGACGAGGTAGGAACGGCAGACTTTTGGATCCGTAATGGAGAGCTGGGAGTTGCGACCCTGAGCGCCAGTCCCAATGAGCTGGTCAGCTATCAAACGAAGACCCTGTTAGCTTAGATCGGCGAAGTGGAGGGACGTTGAAGCTCGTGGTGATGATCACGAGTGGGCTTCAGACAAGACATACCTCCCATGAGCTGTTCCAGCAATTTTCTCTGCTCCGCCGCCATGATTATTGCCGATTCTTGAAGGTGAAACCGAGAGCAACACGGTGGAGAACTCTTGGAGACGAACGGTTAAGTCTTGCGGTTTTTTGATGCTGGCGCTAGGAAAGGCGGAAGGCGGTGAGCTGCGACAATCAATAGAACAGATGGACAGTCAGTTCCTGATGAGAACACTCGATACACTCGTTGCACTGCACTTGCGTCTGATGTCCCGATCGCTTGGCAATTCTCAGGGTCTCTCCTGGTGACGCAGCGTGTCGTCGGTCTTGGATGTCTAACCTTGCCGAGGCCCTAAACCCCTTCTTACCTGCATTGGACATTTCACGGACTAGAGGCACCGCAGACCGAGCTCCGGCATGAAGTGATGACGGTCTACTCACTCTTTTGTTTCCTGCTGGCCTTTGCTGTCACGCTATGGAGCTCGCCAGTTTCAGCATCCTCGGACTATCATGAACAGCTATTCCTCCAACCGCTCCCTCAATCCTCTCTCCTAGCCTCGTTTAATTTCCGGGGTAACACCTCCCAGCAATCGTTCGACAACCAGCATTTCCAATACTTCCCACGGGCACTGGGCCAGATTCTGCAGCACGCTCACACCAAAGAGCTTCACCTTCGTTTTACTACGGGAAGATGGGACGCACAAAGTTGGGGTCCCCGGCCATGGAATGGTAGCAAGGAGGGCGGTACTGGTGTCGAGCTGTGGGCGTGGATCGACGCGGCAGACGACGAGGAGTAGGCTTTCCTGGAACTATCTTTGGGGTATACTAGATCTTACGAGTCTAACTATTTGCAGAGCCTTTGCAAAGTGGATTACTTTGACTCAATCGCTATCCGGCCTGTTCTGCGCCTCCTTGAACTTCGTCGACTCGACCCGCACAACTCGTCCAGTTGTTTCCTTTGAGCCCACCGGTGATCATCCGAATGTTGATGGTCTGCACCTTTTGCACGGAACTCTTCCCGGAGAAGTCGTCTGCACGGAAAACTTAACTCCCTTCCTGAAATTGCTTCCCTGCAAGGGCAAAGCTGGAATTTCCACCCTCTTCGACGGCCATAAATTATTTGATGCAGCATGGCAAAGCATGTCTGTGGATATGCGGCCCATCTGTCCCTCGGATGGCGATTGTATTGTCCAGATTGAGCAGACCGTGGACATGGTTCTGGACATTGAACGCTCAAAGAGACCCCGGTGTACGTTGGCCTTTACCCATATCCACTTGCTGTTCAGTCATCAGTTGCTGACAAAGATATAGCTAACCCGATTCCACGTCCTGTTCCAAATGAACAATTGCTTTGTGACACCTCCAAGCCGTATAATTCGCACGATACTTGCTACCCTCTTGAGAAGGCAGGCGGAAATGCCTGGAGCCTGCAAGAGGTGTTTGGGCGAACCTTGAATGGCGTTTGCCCTCTTGCCAACTCAGACGACTCAGATAAACAGCTGTCTGTCTGTCTCCGTGTGCCTCATGAGCGCCAAGTCTTTCATTCTGAGGGTGCGGTGGAACACAAGAAAGCGGACGGGTTCACTCGTTGCTTCTCTTTATCATCTTCCCAGCCGTTCGATCTCTCGATCCCGGAACAATCCGTACAGACTGAAGTTCCTCTAGAGGAACCAGTCCTCCATGCAGAGCGAACTATTGTTGGCCATGGCCAGGAGCGTGGCGGCATGCGAATCATCTTCGGCAACCCTTCCAAGAACACTGATGTAGACTTTATCTTGTTCGAATCCTTGCCCTGGTTCCTACGGCCATACATACACACACTGCAGGCAACGATCACAGGTCCCGATGGGGTCCCGCGCGAAGTTCCTGCATCCGAGCTTGTGACTGGCACATTTTACAGACCCGCGATCGATCGTGAGCGCGGTACCCAGCTGGAGCTAGCATTGTCCGTGCCAGCTGCTTCGACTGTCACGTTGACTTATGATTTTGAAAAAGCCATTCTGCGATACACGGAATACCCGCCAGATGCCAATCGTGGATTCAACGTCGCGCCTGCTGTCATCCGAATCCTCAACGCGCCCGATAGCGCCCCTATCTATATCCGATCGACCAGCCTACTCCTGCCGCTTCCGACTCCTGACTTCAGTATGCCGTATAACGTGATCATTCTCACTAGTACTGTGATTGCACTCGCATTCGGCACTGTCTTCAACATCTTGGTGCGACGAGTTGTGTCGGTGGACGAAGCGGCCGCGCTCGGCGCTCAGAGCCTCAAGGGTAGGATTCTGGGTAAGCTGGTGGCTATTCGCGACCGGCTCAAGAAGAAGGAGACCAAGGTTGAATAGTACGCTGTACGATGATTTATCTCTCTTAGTTGTCATAACCTCTAGCATTTCATCCGGAACCTAAATCCTAGAATACCAAGCACATAATCACGATCATTAATCTTGTACATACATACACGTATCCCCAAGCACTTGGCTTTATTCAACTGCAAAGCAGCATTTATTCGTAAGATATTCATCAATAGCAATTATAGACCCAGGCTCATACAGCGAACTCATGACACGACCAGACTAGGGAGTGTGCTATCGTCGCAGTAGAAGCCGTCGTTGTTCGATCTAATGGGACGGTCCACTCGCACTGTGCCATTCGATTAGCTCCACTCCACGACGACAGAAGTGCCAACAGTGATGATATTGAGACTTACCCCGGGATGATGCTCTTGATGGTCTGCCATCCTGGAAGAGTATCTGACTCCCCTGGCTTCTTGCCCATAAAACTATGGTCCTCGGTATCACAGGTTCGTCCAATTTGTTCTTTACCCGATGCCAGATCCGCCCGAGCGAGAAAGTTGTTCTCTGCGCGAGACTTCTGATCTTCGAGACCAAGGAATCCTCCAATGGTAGATCGCGGATTATGAGCCTATTCGTGCAAAGGAAAGAACTGGTCAGTCCGGAAATCCAATCACAGAGGACGCCTCGAGAGCGCTAGAACCGTGTGATACATACGCCTATATGGCCTGGTCCCTCATTCAGAAGCTCGTGGGAGTTTCCATCGCCACCTGAACTAGACCCGCCACTGACATTGTTGGCTGGCGTGGGCTGAGAGCCTGAACCGCCAGAGACGGAGGTTCTGGGATGGTTATCGGGTGATTCGGACATGTTGATTACTGGAAGTAATCTGAAGCTGTTAGCGTTTGACAGCTTATCCAGCGACTGGGGCAAGTTCGTTGAATATTCGCGAATACTTGAGAATACACAAGAAACTGTAAAAACAACACTGATTCGTAACTCACGATTAATATCTAGACTTGTCGATCGCGCTGTTTCTCAGGTCCTTTCTTGATCAAGCGGGAGACACACTCGATTACGGATAATATGACGGAGATCATTGAAGTGGGGAATTTGATATTTCGTGACTTTATAGCCGATCACTCATTGACCTCATGGGGTTTCAAATCTTGGAAACCAAGCCACTGGGCGATGAAGTCATAATGAGTCTTGAGCCATCGGGCTTCCAAGGGTTCAAGGACGTCCCAACGCGATTGGTGCCCGCCCTGAAGGAGAATGGAAGTATAGCTGAGTCAGCTCTATAGACTTCCAATCCACCATAGGTAACATAATGAACATTGACTATTTACTGCAGTATTGACTAGTCAGCTGATTGACGAATGAGATTGAACGCGAGTTGGACGACAAGACTGATTGTACAAATGTGAAAGAAGTGATAGACTAAGAAAAGTAGCTCCATGTGATGGGTACATCAAGGTATCAATATCGTCGCTAGTGGAGGTGGGATTTCACAGCTATCACTCTATGTCGAACCCGTGTGATTCAGGATTAGTTGCTTGAATGTCATGTTAAAAGCATACTTTACGGTATTCTGGGTTCGAAATTTCGGTGATATGGACAGAATCGGCCCGAGATGGCAGCGCTTGTGTCGCTTAACTAGTACTTTTTTCTTTGAAACTCAAGAGATGCAGCTATACAGTTGTTGAATGTGGCATCTCAGAGACTCTTTTCCGTAGATTAGACTCGGGCGAGGACTGGAAGAGCGCCAAGGTTGGCTACCAATAAAGGAGCTTTATTTCTTCTAGGTGGTGTCGTCTTGAATGACATGTAATGAAATCCGAGGGAAGACCCTGTAAATTGAACTATCCGACTCACATTGGCTTATCGGGAAGGAGTTCCCGAGTACACGAAAGAGTCGGTCTACATGCCGTCGTAAAAGAACCTTGGCATTTCCCCTAGTGAACACTCGACCCGCACACGGTCAGTCTTGCAGCAAGCAGCGAGTAAGTTATGCATGATTCGGGCAGCAATCAATGCTGTCAAAGTATTACTCTCAAACAATGCCTGCCATCGGGCCGGGCGTTCGTTGAGCCACGGCTAACCTTTGGCGGAGAATTGCCCAACTTTAGTCTGAGAGCTAGCGACATGACATGGTGTGATTTGCGCTAAAGATACCATCATGAAAAACGACATTTGCCAATTCTATTGTGCATCCACCATAGCTTCACACAGTCCCTGAATAAGCCTGGAAGATTGGCCTTGGAAAAGAACGGCTAAGATCCACAGCAAAGTCACCTCGGAACATAAACGCAGCCCGATGCAATGATCTAAAGGAGGGACCCATCGGAGCTCCCCGTGCCCTATAGGCACAGAGTCCCCAAACGGTCTAAAGAACGGTAGAGCTCGGCTATCGAATGCCGATTCAGCCGGAAACGATCACCTCATTGGCGTGACTAATACATAAAACCCCCGTGGGGAAAGGACCTCCAACTTGGAGTGATGGGGTAAATTGCCCGAACCTATAACTAGTCTCGCAGGGTTCCAGATTATTCTCCGAATGATTTCTACAGTCGCATCGGAGGCGTGTGGAAATGACTGAGAAGGTGACATTCCCCGAACCCGAGTATGAAGCCGACAATGTACAACCGGAACCCACGGTCGCGGATTCGAATCAGCTTAGCCACCTGAGTGACGATGGCGCTAAGCGGAGAATTAATGGGGGCACCCTGGCGTGGCTGAATGTGCTGGCGGGATTCTGCGTTTTTGTAAATTCTTGGTGAGTTTATCCGCTTTGAAGTTGTCTCCATCTCATATCTGACAAGTCAAGCTGACCGATCTCATGCAGGGGAGTTTTGACCACTTTTGGCGCGTTTCAAGAGTACTACCAGACTGAACTGCTGCCAAGTCAATCACCCTCTGCAATTTCCTGGGTGGGCAGCATTCAAGCAACGTTGATCCCCATGGTCGGCCTGGTGTCGGGACCGTTGGTTGACTCGGGATATTTGCGCCCGTTGATGATCGCGGGAAGTTTCCTCACGGTCTTTGGATTGATGATGACTAGCCTTGCTACGGAGTACTATCAGGTGAGTTCCGAATTTGTGGATAGTCACGTCAAACCTCTGACTAATTATGGCGATGATCAAAGGTTCTCCTTGCACAAGGCTTCTGTGTCGGAATGGGTGGTGGAATCAGCTACATTCCAGCCTTGACTATGATTTCGACCAGTTTCACTACGAAACGACCAATCGCGATTGGTATAGCGTCAATTGGATCTAGTGTCGGAGCCGTCATTTTCCCAGTCATGTTCCGGCAACTCCAGCCCAAGGTGGGATTTGCTTGGGCAGTCCGAAGCATTGGCTTCGTGACTCTCCTTATGGCTATCGTCGCATGTGCTATTGCCTGTCGCCAACCGGTTCTGAAAACACGTGCACGAAGTCTGATCGACTGGACTGCTTTCCGCGAGGGACCCTTCATGCTGTTCTCTATCTCCCTGACCTGTGTGATGCTGGCATATTATGTGCCCATCTTCTACGTCGCCTCGTACGCCCGCACTGTGATCCATATGACCACAAGTCTCTCCTTCTACATGGTCGCCATTGTCAACGGTACCTCTGTGGTTGGCCGCGTTGTGCCCTACCTTCTTGTTGCATATGTGAAACCGATTACAATCGTGATATTCGGCGTCGTCGGCTCGGCCATTGCCATGTTTACTTGGATTGCGGTATCTAATATTCCAGGTTTCATCGTTTGGGCTTGCTACTGGGGTAGCTTGAGTGGCATCCTTGTGACTGGACCTACCTCGATCGTCGCTCATCCAGTCTTCTGTCCGGATGTCAAACTGACCGGCACTCGACTGGGCATGATGTGGGGAATTTCTTCTTTTGGCGCACTGGCAGGAACACCGGTAGCGGGTGCGTTGGTCAACCTGGATAACGCTGATTTTCTGCATGCTCAGGTCTTTGCTGGATGTGTGATGGCGGGTGCCGTCCTGTTACAAATCTGGCCTGCTCTTAAGGTGTTTCAATATGATCGAAGTCACCCGCGGAAATGAAAGATGAGGACTTAGCCTGTGTTGGATGATGAGGGCTCTTGAAATGAACTGCACCTGTAAATAGCATCTGCATCAGTAGCATAAGCATAAGAACATTTACTATCATTATTTAGCGTCGATAAGACGAAGATGTGATATCATAAACCAGTAGATCCCACGTGGAAATTTGATCCCAGAGTTACGTCTCTAACGATCCAAATGAGCCCTAATGAGATGAAAGCGCTGGCCAGGCGATATGGCGGATTCAGAGTCTGGCAACGGTCGAGGACCAAGCAATTTGCCATAATCTCTTGCCGGAATACTAATACAACATAATTTTGACGTATAAGTAGCTATATAGACCGGATAATGTTTAGCCGGTGGGGCTGTCCTATCTCGGCTGCCGCTGCTTTTATGAGGGCGCTCAGGCTCAGGCTCAGTGAGTGACTAAAGGTCGGTGATCATTTCAGTGCTTGCTCACCCTGCAGCCAGTCCGGCAGATCATCCTAGTTCCCGCCTTGCCAAGCATTAAGTCGATTTTCGGATATCATTGACTGTGCTCAAGTTAGCGCGAGCGGTCGGCGAAGACCAACTTCAGGCCAACGTATAAGATCGGGACGGATTCCGTTCCGGTTGGCTATGTTCTGCATACAAGAAAGAAAGTCTATTAAGTAGTGTTGAGTCATTCAGGTCAAAGACCAGCTGAGGGCATAGAGAGGATGGATATACATGGAATGGAATGCCAGATAAATCTTGTGGATTTGTTCAAAATCATTTTAAACTGCCTGAATAAAATTGTTTTGCACATAAGAGTTGGTGAGCGCCGACCCTAACCTTGCTATAACTGCTACTGAATATTGAATAACCAACGCGCATTTCGGAAAAGGCTTTATGGGAAGGATGTTGAATTTGGGCTCTGCATTTTCCCACTTCCGAAAAAAAAAAACGACGCAGTGCACTAAAAGTACATACGCGGTCTTTGGCACAAAGAACGAGATCGATTCTCGGATAACCGAAATGAATATTTCACCCGGTGCAAGAATTGTTTGTGTCTATAGGAGGGGAGGCTGAAGCTGCACATTGATCTGCCCGGAGCTCGCCGTACGTGCCGGAGCTAGTAGAGGGGAATGTGTGTAATCGTTTTCGTGGCGGCCTCCCCGGGCCAGGGAAGTTGGCTCGCCCCGGGCCGAGCCTCCATACGTAGCTCGCCATATCGGACGTCCGGCCGCAGGCTTACGGGGTATGAGGAATCGCTGTGGAATATCTCAAAGAGCCAAATATAATATGCATAAGAAGGTGGCTTCAAGCTTGAATCAAGCATCTTTCTTAGTATCCATAAGTTCTGACTGGGCTTCAACCACCCCTAAACCGCCCTGTCCTAGATCCGCCAAAATGCCATATTTGAACGAAGATCATGTGAAAGAGGACTGTACCCTTGAGCCCATTGCAGTGGTAGGCATGTCTTGCCGCCTGCCCGGGGGTGTTGACAGTTCATCCTCCCTATGGGACCTACTCGTTCAAAAAGAATCAGTCCAAACGCCACGAGTCCCAGCATCCCGATTCAATATTGATGCCTACTTGCACCCAAACCTTGAGCGCCCTGGGAGCTTCAATGTTCCCGGAGGTTACTTCTTGGATAAACCAATTGAAAGCTTTGACCCAAGTTTCTTTAATATGACGCCTATTGAAGCCATGTGGTTGGATCCTCAACAGCGCAAGATTCTCGAAGTCGTCTATGAGTGCTTCGAATCGGCCGGCTTGACGTTGGATCAAGTTTCGGGCAGTAACACTGCGGTCTTCGTCGGCAGTTTTACTAGTGATTACCAGCAGATGTCAATCCGCGAGCCGGACTTTCGCCACAATTATGCTGCCACGGGTGTGGATACAGGCCTCATCAGTGCTCGCATTGGAAATGTTTTTAACCTGCAAGGACCAAGGTAAGTCCAGTTATTACCTTAAATTGGGGCAATGAAAAGTCTGACCATCCTTACCAGCTTTACAATCAATACCGCATGTTCCTCGTCCATTTATGCCGTTCATAACGCTTGCCACGCACTCCGTGGAAGAGACTGCAATGCCGCTGTTGTGGGAGGAGTAAACTTGATCATGACAGTCGACCAGCACATGAACACTGCAAAGCTGGGAATTCTGTCGCCAACCTCGACTTGCCACACTTTTGATGCCTCGGCCGATGGTTATGGTCGCGCGGAAGGTGCTGGTGCTCTCTACTTGAAGCGACTGTCCGATGCCATTCGTGACGGGGATGTTATTCGAGGCGTAATTCGCTCCTCTGCTGTAAACACCAACGGCAAGGTACCTGGTATGGGAATCACTCACCCAAGCAAGCGCGGTCAAGAGCGTGTCGTGCGCTCTGCTTATGAGAAGGCACGTCTAAACCCCGATCGCACCGCATATTTCGAATGCCACGGCACAGATACACCAGTGGGAGATCCTATAGAGAGTCATGCTGTCTCGATGGCCATGAACGATACCCGCAGTCCGGAAAAACCACTTCTTATTGGGGCCATCAAAGCAAACATTGGTCATAGCGAGGCTGCCAGCGGTATCTTTGCCGTGATGAAGGCGGCTATGATGACGTGCTGTCATTCCCGGTGTTTGTGGTCTGAAGAACCTAAACCCAGCAATCAAGGAAGATGAATGGAATATCAAGGTTAATGCCAACACAATTCCATGGCCTGCAGACTTCTCTGAGCGACGGGCAAGTGTATCATCCTTTGGTTATGGCGGCACCAATGGCCATGTCATTGTGGAGAGCATCGAGTCACTTTTCCCCCCACTATCAGCAGCATGGTAAAACTAAGCTTGAGGCTTCATATGATCACTCGGCTTCAAGGCCTTTCCTTCTGGGATTTTCAGCCCATGAGAAAACGACCCTAGCGCGGAACATTGTCGCACACGCCCAGGTCGCTGATCGCTACTATTTGGCAGATGTGGCTCACACACTACTTCATCATCGTACCAAGTTCACCCAACGCGCTTTCACAGTCGCCTCAGAGACCAATCTAGCTGATGCCTTTGATGTCACTCAGTTCACCTATGGAGTTGCTCCGAAGACAACACCCCCCGGCGTTGGATTTCTATTCACAGGGCAGGGTGCCCAATGGGCGGGCATGGGAGTTGACGCAATCCAAACTTTCCCTTCGTTCCGACAGACCATCAAAAGCCTGGATAAGGTTCTTCAGACCCTCCAACCTACACCTACTTGGACAATCGAGGAAGCTCTGCTGGCTCCCGTTGAGATTAGCCGTGTATCCGAGGCAGAATTTTCGCAGCCCCTGTGCACTGCTGTGCAAATAGCGATAGTGAGCCTTTTTGCCGAGTGGAATATCACCCCGAAAGTGACCGTAGGTCATTCCTCGGGCGAGATTGCTGCAGCGTATGCTGCCGGGCGTATCTCTGCTCCTGTCGCCATCATTGCGGCCTACCTGCGTGGATTGACTGTGGCCCAGCATGCTTCTAATGGTGGCATGCTGGCCGTTGGTCTTGGACCAGAAGAGGTGCTTCCATACCTTGAAGAAGGTATTGTCATAGCTTGTGAAAATAGCCCTGCCAGTGTAACCCTCAGTGGCTCGCTGAAATCAGTCCAGGCAGTCAAATCCAGACTGGATGCAGATGGGGTTTTTACTCGGGAGCTGAAAACAGGCAAAGCCTATCATTCCCCTCAGATGGACCCCGTTTCACGTATCTATGATACAATACTTGCAGATTCCGTGAAAGGAGTTGATACGGAGCCAGTCCTACCTCGGGTGGCCTGGGTCTCGTCTGTCACCGGCCAAGAATTCACCGCAAATTCGGTCCCGGGGTCCTACTGGAGCACCAACCTTCGTGAGCGTGTACGCTTCAACACGGCAGTTACCGCAATTCCAAGTGTCCTCGATGAGAATGAGAGCATCACAATTATTGAGATTGGTCCTCATGCTGCCCTGAGTGGGCCATTCAAGCAGATTCAAAAGGCCGTACAAGAAATGGCACGGTTCAACTACCTGCCCACTTGGGTCAGGGGAAATAACAGTGCTGTCCAACTTCTTCAGACTGCCGGGTCACTTTGGATTCAGGACTATCCCCTTGACCTTCACCGTGTCAACGCAATGGATGCCAGTCTAAAGGTTCGCCGCCCTCGAACACTAGTGGATCTACCTCCCTACCAATGGAATTACGATAACACCTTCTGGGCTGAACCTCGTCCAAGCCAAGAGATCCGCAAGTTGACACATCCTCGTCATGACCTACTCGGTAGTCAGATTGCCGGCCTTTCAGATCGTTCTTGTGTGTGGCGCAATATCCTTCAGCACCGAGACATTCCCTGGTTGGTGGACCATAAGTTGGGAAAAGCCAATGTATTTCCCGCTGCTGGCTATCTGTCTGTGGCAGCTGAAGCTTTGCGCCAAATTTGCGAAAATGAAGAGGTCTCTGTGCCCGGCATTACCTATCGTGATGTCGCTATCAAGGTCGCCCTGATAGTTCCAGATACCGATGATGGAACTGAGATTCAAGTCCGCCTTTCAGCAATTACAAAGGGCAAGAGCATGGACAACTCCACAAGTGGGTGGTATGAATTTGCTGTTGAATCCATCCGCGACGGAGCATGGGCTCTGCACTGCGAGGGGCGAATCGCGACGATAGCAAGCTCGGAGGTTACTCCAAGACGGCATCAGCACCCCGTCCAGTCTTCCACATCCAAACTTCCTCACCAAGTTCCGGGGAAACGCTGGTATGATGCCTTCCACCGTGTCGGCTTCGAATATGGCCCGAGTTCTCAGCAGTTGAGCAGTGTCCGAAGTAACGGTCATGATCGCCATGCCGCCGCCCAGGTACAGATCAACATAGAGAGCGGACTAATCAATGGCGAATCCAGATACATCCTGCATCCGGCTACCATCGACGGTTGCCTGCAACTCATCATCATTTCCATTAACAAGGGCTTGCATCAAGAGATGCCCCACGGTGTTGTGCCAATTGAGATTGAGGAGTTAACGCTCTGGTTCCCAGACGAAAAGGAGATTGGAAAAACTGGTCAAGCTGTGGCATGGACTGACCAGGTTCGCGGCCGATACTTCGACACCAACACGAAGCTCTTTACTCCTTCGGGACAGTTGGTTCTTGATGTCCAAAACCTCCGATGTGTCTCTTATGAGGCTGCAGTTCCGCAGGTAGATGAGACCGTGGAGCGTGCTCCTTACATGCAAACTGTCTGGAAGCCTCTGATATCCACGCTAGACACTGCTCAAGCGGTAGCTGCCTACCCGTCTGCGCAGTCAGATGCCGACTCTGTGGCTGCAGTGGTAGAGCTAATAGAGCATCGCGCCTCCCTGGCTCATCTTATTGTTCTGGGTCGGCCTAGTAAGGAAGTCCTCGAGGCAGTATGGTCACGTGTCAATGTATCTATTGCTGTGACCATAATCGATGAGTCAATTGAGTATCTGGACGACCTTTTGGTAGAGAAATCTCTGCTTCATGTCTCTAAGGTGAAAGTGGACTCACCTGACGATTGGAGTAAGCTCGACCTCGCCCCCGCCGATCTTGTGCTTGCGGGACTACACAGCGGTGTTGAGGCTGCCCAGCTATTGGCTGCAGTGACTCCCTTACTAGCGCAAAGTGGCAGCCTGCTGGCCTTGGTGTCTCCTTCCTCTACCGTGGATTTCGTTGAGCAGCTTGCGTCTATCGGGTTGTCGGCCCCTCAACTGCTCTTCCCACTTCCTAGTATATCTGTGGTCTTCTCCCAGAAACTCGAGAGTCCTAATGGAACACCGTCGCAAGCCTCTCGAGTTGTCACCTTCTATCGAGATGACAGCGACCAGCATGTGCCCATATCGCTAGGGCAGCGATTAGAATCAAAGGCAGGGGTAAGGGTGCAGCAATGGGCTCTATCAGAGGTCACTGAGTTAACCCCTCAGCCTAACGAAGTATTCCTCATCCACGATGCGGATGGGAAACTGCTATCAACTTTGACAGAACAGACTTGGGATTCTCTGAAGCAAATTATGCAGTCTGGAGTTCCAACTATCTGGTTGACCTCTGGCGTCAACGAAGGCCAATGTGTTGAGGGAACATCGTCTCAGGGCTTCCTTCGTGCCATTCGGTCTGAGCAAGCAAACGCTAGAATAGTTCTGCTTGATGTGGATAGGAATGAAAGCCAAGGCAAGATTGCCGAGACACTTGCTAGCCTAGTGGACAGGGTTCCGATAAAAGATTCGCAAGAAGAGACCGAGTTCTGGCTCCACAACTGCATCCTTCACATTCCACGGGTGATACCTAATGGCCACCTGAACGATATCTGGTCCGGTCCAAGGGGGGAAAAGATTCAGCATACGCCACTTCCTCGAAATCAACTGCTTGTGGCTAAGCCGGTGGTAGGAGAACTTTTCTTCTACGCCACCGAGCTTGCTAATCTTGCCGCGAATGAACTTGAGCTTCAGGTCAGGATGCACAGTTGTTTGAACATGATTTGAAAACTGTGTCAGTCGAGTCGCGGCTGGTTGCAGGTACTATCATCCGGGTTGGGGCTGAGGTTGATAGCTCGCTGATTGGATCAACTGCCATCGCATATACATCCGGTCCACTCAGTACTCTTGTGAAGACTACGTTGACCGCTGTTGGCATTTACCAAAAGAAAGATTCCAACCTCAATATTGAAAATGCCGTTACTATTCTCCCCGGTTTTGTGTCCGCTATCAATGCTATTCTTGGAGCTGCCCAGGTCTTAGGCAAGACACACCATCTAATTCTTCTTCCGGCATCTTACTCATTTGTTCAAGCGGCCGTTCGCTTGCAGAGGGCTCTCGGATTTCAACTCACCATCTTCAGTGCTGATGAAGAGCAACGGGAATTAATTTCCTCCTCGCCTGGACTTGGCACCGAAACCCATCTCGATGTTGCTGATGTTGACCGTGTACGCGGGATTTTGCAAACTTCCTCCAATCCAGCCGCACACGTCTCTATTGTCAGCTATGAATGGGACACCCTTAGCAGGGACGCATGGAGATCTATCCCAGCTCTGGGCCGATTTGTGTTAAACGGCACTGTTTTGGACGAAGCACCTGATGCCGTTCCCTTCCAACGAGGTGCCTCTTTCCAGTCTATAAGTATTGAGAGCCTTTACAAGAGTGAAGGTCCAATCTTGGGATCTCTGATAAAACGTGCTCTCCAATTGTTGGAAGAAAGCAATGACCTCCTGTTTAAAGGGGCAGTGCAGCACAAGATTACGTCGCTTGGTGGAAGCATTGTCGATGCTGCGAACTGGTCAAGTGGATCTAATGTTCTGCAATTCAACTACGACGATCTCCCAGTTCAGGTATGTTACTCAATCCTTTCGAACATCGTGGTCGAGCAACTTTGAAATTAATGGTATTTGATACCAGATTCATCCTGCTGCAAGAAAGCTTCAACTCTCACCTGACGTGGCCTACCTCTTGGTCGGCTGTCTTGGTGGCCTTGGCCGAAGTCTCACGACATGGATGATGGAACGGGGAGCAAGGGATTTTGTTTTTCTGTCTCGGTCGGGTGATGATAAGGCTGAAGCAAAATCAGTACGTTTCCATGATGAGACATTCACGAGCGTCTTGTTCATAACGCTAACATATAGTAGCTGGTCAAGTCTCTCCAGGTAGCAGGGGCCCAGGTGCAGGTTTTCCGCGTCGATGCTTCGGATGTGAAGGGTGTCACAGAGGCTGTGAATCAAGTCACATCTCAGCGGTCTATCCGTGGAGTGGTACATGCCGCAATGGTACTACAGGTAAGCTACCAGATTCATGGTTATCCAATTTATTTACCTTAACACAAATTGTAGGATGGGATTTACGATAGCATGTCATATGACAAGTTCCAAGCCGCCCTTGTTCCGAAGATGAACGGCGCCAGGAACTTGCACGAGGTGCTACAGGGACATGCACTCGATTTCTTTGTCATGACAAGCTCTATCTCCGCTACTCTCGGTAATCCCGGTCAAGCCAACTACTGCGCTGGTAACAGCTATTTGGATGGCCTCGCGTGGCACCGCAATCAGCTTGGTCTCCCTGGCGTCTCTCTCATTCTTCCAATGATCCTTGACGTGGGTGTGGTTTCGGAGGATCAGAGTCTTGAAGCTTCCTTGACGCGCAAAGCAATGTACGGTATTGATGAACGAGAGATGCTGCGCGGATTCGAGATTTCGATGGCGCAGTCAATCCCCCAGATCAACAGCCCGCATATTCTTGGCGATTCCCAGATAATCCTGGGCATGGAGCCTGCTAGATTGGAAGTCGCTCTCACGGCATCTCAATCGACCGATGCTTACTGGTATAATGATGCACGGTTTCGGGGTATCCGCCACACAGTTGAGTCTCTAAGACAAATTTCCCCATCAGGCGATTCTGGTGATGGAGATATTATGAAGATCCTCAAGGAAGAGGGACCCGAGGCTATGCTCCAAGCAATTGGGCAACATATAATGAAGAAGCTCGCTGGAATGTTGCTCGTGCCTCTGGAAAGCTTTGAATACGATGGAAGCTCAATCGCGAGCTGTGGTATTGACAGCATGATTGGAGCAGAGCTGCGCAATTGGCTTTTTAAGCAATATAGTTTGGACATTGCGTTCCAGGAGCTTTTGGCACCCAAAATGAGCGTCAAAGCGTTAGCTACAGCCATCGCTGTCAAGCTAGGTCTGCCTTCTGCGTCCTCCTGAGGACTATAACTCACTGCTTTGGTTTTTTGCGTGTTTTCCAGTTGTATTGTGCCGCTACCGTTAATCAAGCTGAGTCTAGCTGCCCTTTCCTTGCTTTTATTGCCCAAACTTAAATTTTATTTGCTTGAACTTGTTGCGAGTAATAAATCAGTACTGATTGCATCGCTGTTTTTAACTTTACATTATGCTATATGGAGTGTAGCATATAGTCACAGCTTTCTTACTCCTCATCAAGGACATGTTAAGACAGGTTTAGCTCTTAGATGGACAAAGCCAGGTGCAGACTAGACTAGAGTTGAGGCTTAACTACGATAGTGGATGGAAAAACAGGTTCCTTACTAAAAGATGATCGCGTTTAGTATTTTCTATTTCTTTAACCGCCGCTAACGTCGCCTTTGTACATACTTTATTAGATGCCCTAGTACAAGGTCTTGTTTTTGTATAATCTTACTGGAGTTGGATTTCTTGATCTTGAAACTGGGTTGGACAAAAAGGGCCTCAAATAACCCCCCCTGAATCTCTTTACCTTGCGTTCGCGACTGTTTCACACATGGTTAAGTCCTACCAATGTGTCCAGAAGGAGTTATACAGCAGCGTTCATCTCTCTCAATAGTACTTTGAGCGTGTAAGATCCCAGAGCCTGATCGCAAATCTGATCCAAAGCACCAGTGGAGATTCACAAGGAGTGATGATCAAGGAGAGGTCAAATTGGCTCTTGATGACAAACAGTTCCTCATAGCACAAACGGGGAGGAATTAATTGATGATTTGGAAACGAACGAAAAGAAGAAAACCGAACCCCCTTTTTTTCTTCCTTTCTCGATATTCCAATGTAGCAAACCCTTGTCAATGGCCAGAGAACCGGCGCGGGCGCCGGGCTGACGGCCGAATTCGCCGGCACCGCATCGAAACGCCCCCAATGCTTAAGAAATGATATTTATGATAGAGCGTCGACTTTCCATCCTCGTATTAATTTTTTTCTAATACTTCATTTCACCTTCCGGAATCGGCTATCCAAATGGCTAATATCAACGAAAAAGGGCCGCAGTCTTTGGACGCGACCAACGTCTTTGATGACTCCAATGGGCACCTAAGCTCCGGGGACTCCACACCAGACTCTTCGAAGGAAACCGTTCAAGTTGAGGACGAATGAAACAAATACCGGTCTATTCATGGCGTCAAGGTGAGATAGATTTACATCGGGCAGGGTATTCGGCAATTGATTATGATTCCAGTGGTTTTTGGCCGTCCTGGCTATATTCTCGTCTGTCTTCCTTTTCGGCTTGGACACGACTGCAGTAAGCTTAGAGTGCAACATTGACTTTCTATATCTCAATAACTCATTCGAATTTGTGCTTATTAGGTTGCGGATATTTCCCCTGCGATGATCAGTCGGTTTGGACAGGCTGATTTACTCCCCTGGTTGAGCTCGGGCTATGCATTGGGAGCCATGAACATTCTTCCTTGGGGCAAGTCATTCGGTGTATTCAATTTAAAATGGACATACATCCTCACTGTTGCCTTGTTTGAGGTGGGAAGTGCCATCTGTGGTGCGGCGCCGAATATGACGGCCTTGATCATTGGACGAGTGATTGCGTATGTCTCGCTCTTATTTCTGTTCTGCTAATGTTGCTAATAAGATGACTAGTGGAATTGGAGTGGGTGTTCACCGAGCTAATGGGGGGGGGGGGGGGGGGGGGGGTTTATTTTGGAAAAGCTAACGAAACCAGGAACCAGGGATCGGGCATGTATCTCGGTTGCATCACATATCTCGCTATGACGACCAGCCCTCGGGAAGGCCCGCATTACATCGGGCTAGTCGGGTTCGTCTGGGGTATTGGGACAGTCCTGGGACCAATTGTATGACATCCTGAACCTCGTCGATACAACATACGATCTAATTCACTACTTAGGTCGGCGGTGCATTCGCAGATAGCTCGGCAGGCTGGCGCTGGACCTTTTATATTAACCTCTTGATCGCCGCCCTGTTTGCCCCCGTTTACTTTTTCTTGCTCCCTAATATCGACGCACAGCCAACGGCGACTTTGATCCAAAAGCATAAGCAAGTGGACTGGGTGTCCATCGTTTTTCTGAATGGATTCATCACATGTTTCGTCATGGCCATCAACTTTGGAGGAGCCGTGTATGCATGGAATTCCGCTCAAGAAATTGTTCTCTGGGTCATGACGGGGGTTATCTTCGTCGGATTTCTCCTTGTGCAATACTTCCACCCGCTTGTGACAAAAGAACAGGTTCTCTTCCCTGGTCATTTGCTTAAGCGCCCCCTCATGCTCAATTTGATCGTTCAAATGTTTTTGTCATCGGGCGTGCTCCAGGGTGCTATTTACTACATTCCCTTGTTCTTTGAATTTGCGAAGGTATGCTATCGCCCCGTTTCACTCTTGGTCTACGTTGATTTTAACAGCCGAATTCAAGTCCGATGCAGCCCTCGAAGCCGCCGTACGACTTCTACCTTACGTTTTTATGCTTGTCGCTGGCTGCTTGATCAACGCCGCTCTTATGGTCCGATTTGGATACTACATGCCCTGGTACTTTGGCGGAGGTGCGCTGGTAGTAATCAGCTCCGCATTGATGTGTATGTTCTCAAGTCCATGGCATATTAATACGTGGCGCAGCGCTGATGAAATGGATATTGATCAGGTACTGTCAATGCGCATACCTCCAACTCCACCGTCTACGGATGCACTGTGATCATGGGGATTGGTGTCGGCTCCTACTGCCAGGCAAGTTACACTGTATCTCAGCAGCTGGTACCAATGACCGAGTTGACCAATGTCATTGGCTTGATGAGTATCTGTATGCAAATTGCCCTTTCTTTCGAGCCTTGAAGCTGGAAACGCATACTTACGTATTTCTTTTCCCAGCGCAATTCCTCGGCATCCTCTTCTTCTTGGCTATCATGGGCACCTCCTACTAAAACCTTGTCATCGAGAAGGTTCACAGCATTCTACCGAATGCTAGCGATACCGATGTCCGTCAATTCATCGCTGGAACCAGCTCCTCCCTCAGCGCTAGCTTGACAAGCGCCCAATCAGCCGATGTGGTAAATGCAATTGTAGCTGCCATGCGATCGGTGTGGATCTTGCTCGCTGTTGCAGGTGGCATTTGTGTGATTCTGTCTCTCTTCCTCGGGGTATGATCTGACAATTCCAGTACTCACGTTCATGAGCCACATATTAACTTGTGCCACTTTCACAGAAAGACAAACTTTTCACTAAGGACGGCGCCAAGGGAACCGCAATCGCAGCATAGATATGGAATTTCGGTTGACAATGGTCAAAAAACTCAACCGCCCAATGCTTGTCCAGTAAACTTTAGGGAACGCCTGAATTTGAATACCCAGGTCATACATACTTGAAGCGTGGATGAAACTGTTTCTTATTGCAACAGGGTTCAAACTGACTCTTGCCATAGGAGAAAGAAAAGAAATATGGTTAGGATTTCTGATATTAGGAGGATATACAGGGCCTAGACACATGTATGTTTTTTTTCCGGGGTGTTCATACTATAATACACGGGAAATGCAGCAAACACTTTATCCATCCCATCCATATGTTTGTGAGTAGATACGCTTTCTACGTATGACCATTTATAGATTTTGAAAAGAAAACAACACATTTTTTCCCTTTTTGTTGATATGTCTTGGAAAACGCCCCTAAATTGCAAGCAGCAAACGCCCTCTCCGAATCTAACTTACCCACTTGAGCAGGTAGGCTTATAAGCATATTATCATATGATGCCGAAGTCAATAACTCATCCACCAACACTCTTATATGATCAATTGACCAATATCATCCAGATACCTCAACGATACTATGGATATCTTCTGAATTGTTCTATGTTTGGCTAAGGCTCTTAGGAAATCTATTTTGAAATTTCACGATAGATTACACATCATATTAAAAATCCTGGAGCATTGAATTATCTTGAAATCTATCATGCCTATAATTTCTAGAGGCCTTCCTTGGCTTGGATTCCTTCGCATATAGTGAATTCTTACAGGTCTTGGCGTAAACATGCAAGGGGGTATGTTTTTAACATGTTTAACCTTGGAACATATTGGAAGGTAACGAATTGACTAGATGCTGTACGAGCTGGTCATAATGAAGCACCAATTACATTCAACTTTGATCAGATTGATAGAGAACATACAGAAATCAAGCTTGGGATCTGTTGAAGATACCCATAGGCGAAATACTCCGGTACTCGCTCAACAACACCATACTTGCGGCGTAGACCCAGCTTTACATACTGAAACATCAAAATGTGATGAAATAGACTGTTTAGTGGTAATTAGAGTACGTTCGACAGAAGGTTCTTTTGTTGTTATGCGGCGAAAGTCGCCGATGCGGCCAATTTCGCCGGTCCGATTACTAATGGCTCTTTGTTCCCTCACATGGCGTCAGCCTTGGGGTTGCTCTTCTCGATACTTCATTATACTTCATACCTACACATTCAGTGATTCTCAGCTTAGAGCTACCAGTCTAGCCGATCGGCGCTCTGTAGATCGTTACCCTTTACTCCACTACGATCAACTAGCTGGCATGTACTTGTGTAGCCTCTGCGCGAAGCCATTCAAACAACGTACGTTCATATTTTGACTCAGCTGCTACTATTGAGGGCACCCAAAAGTCACATAACTAATCTTTCTTTCAAGAGTCATCCAGGAATCGGCACCTGGAATATTGCCGCCAGACACAAGACCGGCCTCGAGTGCGAGCTCCGTCGTGTCGCGCCTGTAGCGCGGCCAAGACAAAATGCACAAGCTCACACCCATCATGCACCCGGTGTCTGCGACGCGGCATAGAATGCGTATATGAACAGCGACCCGGTCGCCGGCAGCTACCCAAACAAGGCGGCGCCGATGAGGCTGCTTCTATAGACATACGGACACCGGGGGACTCAATAATCACTACTATAGACGACAGCAGTACAAGGAGCTTGGTGGCCAATCTAGACCAATTGGCAGATGCTTTGATTTGGGACGGGCAGTCGAGTTCCACGGACTTTCTCATAATAGATCCAAGCCTCAATGCCCCCAAGAGCACGGAAGCTGCTGCCCCGACGATGACTACCGCACCGGTAGTAGACACCACTCCTGACCTCACATTCGGCTTGCAAGGCTGGGGCATGGATCCATCAGAGCTACTCGCTGCACTCACCGCGCCGCCAAAGGCCTCGCCTTTGGCTGATGCAGGGTTTCTCACGCGGTTGCCTATTGACGATCCCATCGCACAGCGGCACGCCACTTATCTGATTCAAATACTGCGACCTTTTCCGCAAATGATGGCCCGAAGAGCCATATTTCCCCCATTTGTTCATCAAAACTGGCATCATGGAGACGGGCCTAAAGTACGGAAGGCATTGCCTGAACCGATTGGTAACTGCATGAGTATCGCACAGATTTTCGCTTCCAGGACACCTGATACGAGATCCTTTGTATGGAATGCTATAAGGACTGAACAGCAGCGACTGATGGTCCAGATAAGCCTTCTTAATACTGTTATTTTACGAATTCACCGAAGCTAATGGAGTTCACCCAGTCCGAAACATTCGGGCCGGAGGATTTGCTTGCCTCTATACAAAGTTATATTATTTATATCATCATGCGCGTAATCGATGATGCGGCATATCATAGCGAGCATGACCTCAATATGCTGCTAAACTTCGCCGTACGTTGTTTTACAGTTGCTTCATATCAGGTGTTGAGAGCTGTGCTAACCCAGATGCAAAAAAACACAGACTCTCTGCAGTCGCTTCCGCACGCTTTGTCAAGGCCCATTTAGTCTTCCAGAACAAACACACCCTAGCCGGGGCTGGTCGGACTGGGTATTCGCCGAATCTCGGCGCAGGTGCGACGATTCCTTTTGACACCCTTATTTCAACCACAGGCTGTCCTAACGAAAGTAAATATTAGGGTCGCATGCATCTGGTTCCTCATCGGGCAAGTCGTAGTCACCAAAACGGGTATCCCTTGCGACACGTCGGAAGAATACCATTGTCTTCCCCTGCCGGGTGGCCGATCCCTATGGGAGTGTCGAACAAATCAAGGATGGGAAGCGGAGTACAGCGCAACACAGACAACTATTCCTGGGAGACAGCTTACGTATTTTGGGGACTTAATGGATGCTCAAAAGGCGAACAGTGACCCAAGCATGATTCAGAAGATGGATTCCTGGAATGCAGAGGCTGATACACTGGGATTCATGCTTACGCTAGCTACAGCAATGGTCTAGATGATAAATTAATATTGCGACCATTTGATTGAAGATATGTGTGCTTTACTAGCCTCGATCCGAGACAGCTTCAAAGAACGCAAGGGAAAGTCCGAGGATGACCCTGAGGTAAAAGCGAACGAAATAAAGCCGTTCAGCCATGATGACTTTAAGTGGAACGCTGTGCACCGTTAACTTCATGAGACAATGCAAAAAATCGTCCATAAGCGTAATAAATAAGATATCAGTTCCTTGACTCTTCAAGTTCGCTATTTATGACGCGAAGCATCTCGAGAAGCTGGTCAAGGACATCCATGACTATGTTGACGCACCGTACCAAATTTACACTCCGTCCGCGAGCGATGATGAAGAAGCGGGCGAAGAGGAAATGGATAACCTTCTTAGAGTGATGAAGGAATTGCGCTCTGCATCGGAGCGAGGTCAGGTTATAAAGACGGCTGTCCAGAATATACTGAAGCAAAGTGCATGTGGTCAATCTTTTACTCCTAGGTATCCTCAATCGATATATGTTACCGCTTGATAAATGTCAATCTTTGAAATTCTATCCTACAATATGGCAGGTAATACCTTCGAATTTTATTTGCCGCAAGAGGTTCACCATTCTTTTTATTGATAATGGCTAAAAGAGAAAGGATTATGGCTAATGATCTACAGTAGTACGTATGGGTACGAACTAAGAATGGATAGCCTTGGTGCCTTATTGCCCGATTACACAGGCACCAAAATAGAATTAGACTTTCCCGGTCCACGTGGCCACCAGAAAAAGGTACTTACCATTTGGGCAGAGACACGACGATCCAAGATTAAAAGATCTCGATCCCGATAATTGCTCCAACAATTCACCTGTCCAAACAGTCCCTCATGGATGATTCAACGGGCTTGCCAGTGAGAATTTATTCTCTTCAGCCCAGTCAACGGCCCAGCCTGGACTCTCCGGCAGGCCAACACTAAGTACACACTTGCCCCTAAAGTGTTGCGCAAGTCGCTGCGTAATGTCGCAGCCCCTCTCGGTCCACCGACAGCCACCGCGGGGCCCCCAAACGGTGTTTGCGATCCACACGCAACAAGATGACGCCGCGGTTTGGACTATTGGTAATCCAATCAAGCAATTTTGGGCTTTCTTGAACCAATCAGCGGGACTCCCTGCCAAGCCGGCCAGCCCAACCGCAGGGGCCGGTCGACGACACTTCTAGCCCTGTGGAGCCCACAAAGGCATTTGTGAGGTGTGCCTGGCGCAGTGGCGCTATCGACCACACTACAGGTCAACAAGAAGCTAAGGAACAGACCGCTAGACATTTCTCAAACCGATCTGGGCGTCTAGCCCTAACCTGAGTCAAATTCTAGGGCCACTTCGAACAAAGCCACAGCCCTGGAGTCCTCCAATAGACTCTTGTTCCTGGCTAAGTCCAGGAGCCACATGGTTTATGCAACGCTTCTAGACGTGAAAATTGGCCAATCCTCGGATCGAACGCGCTTTTTTAGGATGCAGGTGCGCGTTTCAGATGTCCCGAGGGCAAAGTCTTGCGTAGAGGCACACCCACCATGGAGGATAAAGACCCGGGGGTCTCGTCCCTGAAGTCCCTTCTTGATTCTCTTGTTTCACAACTGTCAATCATTCATTGAAATCCATTCTTTCCCTCCACCACACTCTCTCCCTCTCACTATCACACTTTCCGAGGCTGTGCCTCTATACAATCCTTTGTGATATTCAATTTCAGCGTCTGTAGACCAGACTCTATCCACCACTCCTTAGTCCGATATCTATTTTCGCGCCTTTCCATACCTTCATCGATCATTTCCAGATCTCGTCAAATCCAATCGGATCAATCTTTTCGTCTGCTCAAAATGGGTTTCCTCAAGAAGCTTACTCTTTTCGCCGCCTTCGCCTCCCTGGCCGCGGCTCTTCCCTATGGCGAACGTCCCCCGACCCTCGTGAATCTCGCCGCAGTCGCTCCTACTACCACCACGGCTGCAGCCGCCAGCACCAGCAGCACCAGCGTCACCACCAGCGCCACCAGCATCAGCACCAGCATCAGCACCAGCACTAGCACTAGCACTAGCACTAGCACCAGCACTAGCACCAGCACTAGCAACGGCATCAAAATCGTCAACAACCTCGACCAAACCGTTTACCTGTGGTCCACCTCCGACACCAGCAGCGACATGCAGACCCTGACTTCCGGCAGCACCTACACCGAGACCTGGCGCACCAACTCCGACGGCGGCGGCATCTCGATCAAGATGGCCACGTCCACTAGCGAGAGCAGCGTCCTGCAGTTCGAGTACACCAAGAGCGATGAGACTCTCTGGTGGGATCTGTCCTCTATCAACCTGGACTCGGACTCGGAGTTCATTACGTCCGGGTTCGCCGTTACCACCGACGACTCGAGCTGCACCACTGCGTCGTGTGCGGCCGGTGATACTGATTGTGCGGATTCGTATCAAAACCCCGATGACGTGGATACTCGTAGCTGCTCGGCGTCTGCGGCGTTTACCATGACTATTGGTTAAAGTGTTGCGGTATGTGAGCCTTTTGGTTGGGCACGTGTAGGGTTGATGTGCTTTACCGATGTGTTGTAACTTGTTTTTCTTTATAACGTTTATATATCTTTCGAACCCACCTTTTTTTCGTTGTTCATAGACTTTGTTTGTGGAAATTGAGTATAGATGTTTTCTTTTACATTGAGAGAACGAGAAAGTAAAAAGCAAGTAAATAGTTATATATAGATGGGTTCCAGAAAAAGGGTTCTCTCCCATGGTAGTATTGTCACTCTTTCTCACTTGAATTGAATTTAGAGGAAGTATGTATACGAAAATAAAGACCTCGCTAGCGAGGGAAGAAAGTAAAGAACATCTCAAACAGCCGAGGAGGCACAGAGAGAACGCGAGGTCTTGTCTATGATCTCGAAAATGCACAGACTTAGTACACGGGAACCTTGAAGGCAGGGAAGGTGTAGGTCCAGCTCTCAATCGACTTCTTGTCGGAGACGCAGTTAAAGGTGGAGTTGCTGCGCCACAGAGGGCGAGAAGGCCACTGGCAGAGCATTTGAGTCTCACCCTCGTAAGTACCAGAAGAGACAGTGGCGTTCAGGCGAGTGGGCTTAACACCGTTCTCAACCCAGTTGATCATGATCTGCATGTTGTCCTCGGGGTAAGGGCCGGGCTGAAGGGAGTTGGTTCCGCAGTGGGCCGCACCGGGCACGAGGTAGAACTGGTACCAGTCCTGGAGCGCGGATTGGGCCTCCTTGTCGGTGGCGTTGGGGTACATAATGGAGCGGACGGACTGCCAGTAGTGGACGGAAGAGCCGGAGGGGATGGAGGGGTCCGATTCGCCGTGGTAGTGCAGCAGCTTGCCGCCCGAGGACTGGAAGGGAGTGAGGTCGGGAAGGGTGGTCTGCAGGCTGTCCATGTATCGCACCATGGCGGTGTTCATCCACTCGACCAGAGTATCGTAGGTAACACCGTCCAAGCTGTCCAGGTTGTCCAGGTCCAGGAGCTGGACAAACTTCGTCACGAACTCGCCGCCGGTGGAAGGGATACTAAGCTCCCACGCCGAAGTGTCGTTGTTCCACGCAGTCTGGGCATCGGTGAACTCGGAACCGATTTGGTACGAGAGGTAAGCACGCTCGCCCTTGGAGTTGTGCAGACCATCGACGATAGCCTGTGCAACGGCAACGCCCTCGACAGAGACAGTCCCGCTCTGGGCGGGAGTCGTGCTGGTCGTGCTGCCAGTGGTCGCGCGCTTAACCTTGCTGCTGAAACCGAATCCCAGGGAAGTACTAGTCTCGGCAGCGCAGTAGTAAGACTCGCCGATGATGGAGGACATGTTGAAGTGCAGCTTGCACAGATCGGTACGAGAAATGACACCGTCGGTACGGCCGTCGAGAGGATCGCAAGCCTTGATAGTGGCGTTGACAATCTTGGCCAGTTCGCAAGGAGGAGGGTAGTAGTCCAGGGTCTTCTCGACCTCGGCGGAGAAGACGTGGTTAACCTGCTGCTGGCCGTAGCGGAAAGCGGGAGCACCGGCGATCACACCGTCGTACTCCTCACCATAACGCTGAACCTGGCTCATGCCCTCACGACCACCATCCGAGCATCCCTCGTAGTAGGTGTAGACCTTGGAGCTGTTGGAAAGGCCGTAGAATTCCTTGGTGAAGTACTTGCCCAGCTGAGTCATCTCACCCAGAGCCTGGTAGGCGAACATGTAGGTCGCATCCCAGTTGATGGAGCCGTTACCGTACAGCACCACTTCGTCATAGCTGACGCTGTTCAAGGCATCGTATCCAGCAGAAGTGGCACCACCAACGGCACCGTACTCCAGACCGCCAGTCGCATCAGAGCTCAGGGAATAGCCTCCGCCGCCAGCGACGTAGAAGCGCGTCTTGAAATCGGAGGGCTGGGGGAGGGCGTACTTGACAACGACGGTGTCACCCTTGCCCGGATGAGTGTAGGTGAGGGTCACATTGCAGTAGCTGTAAGTCGTAGTGCTGCCCATGCCGGCGCTAGCGTTGTAGACCGCAGCGGCGGTAGAAGAGGAAGGAATCAGGGCGATGCCCAGCAGAGTGTCGTTGGAGGGCAAAGACGACTTGACATTGGACAAGGTGCATACATCAGAGAGAGACTTGGCACTTGCGGCCGCGGCAAAGGCCGCAACAGCGGCGCCCGACTGGAGACGCATGTTGAAAGAGAAAGAAAGAGCGGAAATATATTTGTAAATATATTTCACCAAATGAGCGTGTGAAAGCGTGTCCGACAAGAAGAAACTGCAGAGAAAGGCATTCGGGAGAGGAGCATGATGCCTCATTTATAGGACCCAGGCCTTGGACCAAAAAAGAGCGTATTTCCCATTCTTGACCAGGGGGTTTTCTCTGACAAGGCGATGATCTCCCGAATAGATTGGAATCAAACCCTGAAACTATCACCGGAAAGTGGCCCTACCAATGCCAAAACTGCCAATGGATCGGCGGCGTCGTCATCCTGTGATGAGCCAGACGGCCGAGACGGTCGACCCGGGAAGCAGACGTTTGGCATAAAGACAGCAGCGCATGTTGGAGAGACCGGACCAGAGGAAGTGGCGCGGCTGCGGCTCTGGATACGCCGACGTTGGTCTGCAGGAACTACTCCGGTTCTCGTGACACTGACGTGGTCTCCCCAATGCTTGGTCTGCCTACCGAGCGACGCACTCCAGGCGACGATGGACTGACCCACTTCGCCTTACGATGGACTGACCCACTTCGCCTTACCGAATTCGTTCGCAAGTGGACTGCGACCAATTTAAAGTGGCTGGAAAGCGGGCTTAGCCTTGCAGCATCTGCAGCATCGCCTTCAGCCCCGTCGGGATAGAGTTTAACCGCCCAGACCCAAACAAGCTCTTGTCGCAGTGGCTCCCCCGGTTCTCCATCAACACCGTTATTAGCGAAACTCTCGTCTCGACTACGCTTGCCAGACCTGACTGGGGTCTACTCTTGGCCCAACCATCTGAAAACGAACCTCTCCAGACCCAGGACCTTGTTACAGATGTACCGAGGAATCTCCGAGTCCGATCCTCCATTGATGCTGAAATTGTCTGGGTTGATAAAATAGGGCGGCTCCCTCACAGTCTTCGACAAAGAGCAGCTTCGCTGGCCAAACCACCTGCGTCAGTGACGCGTATAAAGCTATGCGATAAATGACCAAGGGGCATTGCTGGTAAAATGGCCAAAGAAGTGGCATATCGGGGCAAATGCCAGGCACCAAGGCTTGTGGCGGAAGTAAAATTATCCGCCCGGCCAGTACAGGGTGAGAGGCCTCGTCACCTTGTATCGGGGCTCTTGCTCAATTTGATTTTTTTATCAATCACTGGAAATGATCCCTGTGGATCATTTTGCAGCCCACCGACAGCCATGGTATTCAGAAACCGGGATTTCCTCGTTTATTTTCACGATCGGGCCGCTGCTGACGGGCTCTCCCCGTCTGAAAATCGCAACGTATACGCAAAATGTGCCAGCGATGACCCCTGGTAGAACTACCGCACTAGCGACGCCTGCAAAAAGCCAATCGTCTCGGCTATCCAGAAGTTCCCCGCATAATCTCCGGGGAAATTCCTTAAGCCAACCGCATGCGGACGGACGAATGGATATTCGTTGCCATAGGCGACAATGTCATTGATTCGAGACGAGGACCATCTTCCCCTCACAGTTGACGACTTCGACGCAGCTGTCTAGTTTGTCTACACGAGGAAAGGTATGTGCGCGAAGTATAAACGGTCCGAGCACTGTCCGAAAATCCCACGCCTCGCAAGAGGGGGGAAGATCAGACTGGTGATACCTAGGTATACTCACGATCTGCATCACCAACCACACTAACCACACTAACCACTGAACGATAACACTGCTAGTGTGGTTGTTGCTTGTGGGGAAGCTGGTCATTTGCGCGCCCGCAGGACTATAGGTCCAGCATTTCTCAATGGGATTGATAACTACTTCCCCTTCTACAAAGAGGGTCATTCAATCTATAAAATTGTGATCCAAGTATGACTGAACATAAATCCCAGCTAGACCGAGAATTCTCTGAAAAGGCTTGTGTGTAGGGATTGCTCTGGCGCGAGCTACCTGTGCGCTCAGTCCGAGCAGTCTCGCGGGAAGACCCTGGCTAGTGGAATCGTCACGAAGAGTGAAAAGTATAGACGCGTGGAGGGGTGATTAATACACGGAAGTATTTCCAAATACGCGAGAACGGTACCCGCTTGAAAGGGCGGCGATGGTATGGAATAGAGGAAAACAAGGATATAAGGCAGATTGTATATCCGGACTGGGTGACAAATTTGTTTCAAGCAGCCCTCCCTTTGCGGGGTGTAATATAGAATGGGGATATCAAATTGACAAGGGCATGTTTAGAGGTATTTTCATGGCAGGAGCGATGCATCAACGCATCAAGGGTGATCGTAAAAAAGGCAAGTAAAAGTCAAGAGGGCCAACAAGTTTTAGTGTTTCCCAAACACCGTCGTCTATTCTTCAACCTGGTCAGCCCAAGTGCCGGTCAAAGGTGACATTGTAGCCTCAAGCTTCTCCATAGAGGGTGGTTGTGCCACGGCTTTCGTCTCCACAGTTGTCGTGGGGGGAAGCTCCGGCTTCTTGCCCGCAGGGAGGGAAGGGAAATCGGCTTCATTATTGACGGTTGGTGTCGCAGGCTTCTCCAATAGATCCTTCGAAGACGCCCTATCTCCTCGCGGTCCGTGGGAACCCCCCCGGCCCCGGCCACCACGACCACCACGTCCACGACCACGTCCAGGGCTGGGATGATCGCCAGCTCCATCTTCAGATGGTCGCTCGTCGACGTCTCGGCGAGCATACCCAGATACACCGCCGTGCATGCCGCGGCGGAACTGGCTGCCCCCTCCGCGTGGGTTGTAGTCGTCCTCGGTTTTCTGAGAGTCCCATTCACGACCAGTCTGGGCCTTTAGCTTCCGCTGTCGATTCTGCTCACGCTCGTTGTCCATGACCCGACGATTGGCTGCCTCCTTACGTCGCTTCTCGGCTGCAATTTGTTCGCGTTCGAGGAATGACGCTTGATCGGCTTCTGCACGAGCGTGGGCGGCGGCTTTCTTTGCAGCGTGCTCTTTGGCAGCGGCAATGCGCTTTGACAGCTCTTCTTCGGTGAGTTTGGGCTGGAATCTACAATTAGGCCCGATTCCGCGAACGACTAGAGATGCTGCTTGCTTACCTTCCGTACTCCTCCAGTAGCGCTTCGATCTCCACGGACAGCCGGGACTCGTTGAGCTTCAGTGCCATTGCCAGTTGTTTCCTCCCCTTGCGCTTCATCGGCCTGGACAGTCTCCTCGGTTGGCCCTGACTCAGTCTGGGTCGGAGTCGCAGGCTCGGTTTGTTTAACCGGAGCTGGCTCCTTTGCAGCCTTTGGCCCCTTGGGTCGTGGAGACTTCTCAGCTGGCTTTTTGTCTGCCCACTGGGAGTCCTGTAGCCCGCGACCTTTCCCTTGAGGTTGAGCTCGACCCTGGGCCTGACTCTGGCCGCCCCGCCCGCGTCCACGCCCTCGGTCTCGATCTCCTCCACGACCTCGGTGGGAAGCTTCACCTCGAGGAGGCTGCTGTTTCTTAATAACGGGCTCTTCCTGGCGCGGGACAGGCTCTGGCTCTGGCTGTGGCTCGGGGTCTGCTGGAGCAACCACTACCTCCGCCTGAGCTTGCTGTTCCTCCGCTGAGACGGGGATGATTTCATCGTCGAACAGGTCATCTGCACCGCGCGTTTGCGCGAATTCGTCCATGTCTGCCATGTTTTTGCTTTATTTATAAGTTGCGACGAGTCAACTAGACGAATTGGAGCTATGTGCGATAACAAGAAACGGGCTTTCTCGCGAGCGCGATCGAGGGGGAGCCTTGATGGGGGCGGGAAGAGGTGATCCGTGCGACGGAGGCTAGAGGGGAGTAGGCTGCGGGCGTTGGACTAGTGGTGGTGGTTCATGGAGTTGATGATCTGATTGTCCGACTGTCATAAAGATACCGTCGTCGCGTGAATAGAGAGGATTTGCTCGTAAGGGGATGATTCCAAATAACGAATTGACAAAACTGCCAGAGAAGCAATACCCAGGCGGTCTAGGCCTCACAGTGGCGGAGACCCTTTTTGCCGCAGAGTTCCGCCTACTTTCTGCCCGTATGACGTGTTTGTTGACATTTTGGAAGGCGGTCCAGGTACATTGAAGCAAATTTCCCAAATTTGGGTTAATGTGAGGTTATTGTCAAAAGCAACCGGTATTTGATTAGACTGGAAGATCATCATCTTTGAGAGAAAGCACCTGGCGGGACTCTACAACAATCATTCGACGGGCGAGAATATACTCCCAATGAGCGGCCGCCTGCATCTCGCTGGTGTAATTACGAGGACAAAGATGAACTCAAGTGCTAGAGAACAGGCAGGACGCATATCTCCATCGCACTCTCTCTTAACTACTTCTATGCATCAAACCTGCGAATATTCTCACAAACCCACTGGTCAAACTTCACAGGAACTCGATGCGTATACTTGAGAACATTACCTGCTGCCTCCTCAAACACAGCAGTCTTGAACTCATATCCAGCGTCCTCAGTAATATACCGCACAATCCACCCGGCAGTTCCCTCCGGTGTCCCATTCTTCACGAGCTCTTCCAGCGCCTCCGCCGCAGTAATCTTGGTGACCGTGATCACCCTTCCAAGAGCACGAGAAACCACCCCAACTGCATCCTTAAGTGCCATTTTCTCAGGACCCATCAGCCAAACCACCCTATCCTTCAAGCCGCGCGCCAAGATCGATCCACAAACTCGACCGATATCCTCGGGAGAAATCCAGTCGTACTCAGCTTCCGGATTGGCATGTCGGACTTGTCCAGCTTGAATACCTGCGTTGGACCAGAGGATATTGCTGGCGAAGTAGCAGGGGCGTACGGCGACGAAGCCGTCTTTGCCGTAGATTTCTTCAAGGGAGATTTCCACTTGGGCGTGCACCCATGGCACATACTCATCTGGAGAGACGGAGTGGATATCGCTCTGGATTGTGTAGCTGCTCAGTAGCACGACCATCTCGATGCCGGCCTCTTTGAGGGCCACAATGCTGGCTCTCATGTGGTCGGGTGTCCCGAAAATTGTATATATGAAGGCAGAGTTTGCCCCGCTCTGGCGGACAGCCGCTTGGATTGACTCGGGCTTCGTGAGATCGGCCTGGACCTTTTCTGCGCTAATACCAATCAAGGCTGGAACTGGCTTCCTTGGATCTCGGAGTGCAAGAGTGACTTTGACCCCTGCTCGATAGACTTGGAGAGCTGTGGCTGAGCCCACGGAGCCACTTGGACCAAAGATGATCACGCTGTTGGCAATAGCCATTGTGGGGCCTGGTAGATATTTCAAAATAGAGGGTTATTTTGTCACTCTGAGAAACGAATTCGAAGTTTTGTAAGATCGTGCTCATGCCTTGGAGTCTTTGTCTGGAGAGTAGGCAGCGGTGAGAATTTGACCTTGCAGGATGCATTGTTGGCGCAACCTGTTCCTCCAGGAAGAGATCTGCATGTATATTGTCGCCCACGAATGAGATAATGGTTTCAAATCATCATAGGTTGGACATTAGTAAATCCGCGGGGTGAAGATGAAGAGCTGACTGTCTCTTCACCAGGCAACACAAAATAGGTCTTGAACGGAGGTATTATCATAAGCCTGCTGAATCTTGGCAGATCGTTATCAGATTGATCTACAACGATTAATCTTGTCATCTATGAAAACTCATATTCATTCTTATGTATGGTACTTCCGCTAGACACACTCCCAAGCGTTCTCATCGGTGTAATTACCAGGGCCCACGTAAACATTTCGCCGGGGATAACGACAATGCTTGCGTCGGTACTCGACTTGTGTGCCAGGTCCATTAGCAAATTTGCTTCCACGCACAGTCTCCGGGGCCTTGCCCTGCTCCACCCACTGGACCATGGCCATCAGGACATTATCCTGGGGATCATTACCAGCATAAGTCTTGAGACCTTGTCCAATACCGTACGCACCATCACCACTGCCACAGTGACCCATACCACTGATGCTGAAGAAACGGTAGAACTCGTCCAGACTAGCCGGGGGCAGGTTCATTGTCTCTGCGACGCGAGAGTAGTACCACTTTGAGTCGTCAGAACTGATCAGTTGATCCTGCATGCCGTGATAGTGGAGGACCTTGCCGCCAGCCTTCTGGAATGGAGACAGATCGGCGTCCCAAGTCTGAATATTATATGGATTCTGCGCGAGTGCGACTGCGGCATCCTTGATTGTCCAGTTCTCTCCACTCCAAGACGGGTCGCTGTAGACAACGTACTTCCACCAGTCGGTGCTATACTTGAAAGGCTGACCGTTGTACATGATAGGCGCAGCGAGAATCTCGGAACCGGGTTGCATACGGGGATACAACTGAGTGCCGTCTGAACTGTACACAGGGGACAGAACCTGCTGGGCCGCGTGAACCTGAGCACCAGAAAGGCAGCTGCTCGTGTTCTTTGCGTCGGGTGCACAGATCAATGTATCCAGGATGGGGTGGCAAAGATCAGTATCTTCAATGATGCCGTCCTTCGCGCCATCAATAGCATCACATTGCCGGAGGATCTCATCGTGCACAACCTTCCATTCGGCAGTGGACAGGTAAGTGTCAGAAGTATTAGAGCCAAGGATAGGATAGAAATGAGCACTCCAGGACAGCAGGCCAATAAAGTTGATGGCAGGAGCACCGGCCACGACACCGTCAAAGTCGTGAGGATACTTCTGAATCGACTTCCATCCCTGTCGGCCACCCGTGGAGCATCCGAGATAGTAACTCTTGTTGAATCCTTCCTTGTAGAACTGTTTTGTGAGTTCTTTGCCAATGACAACGCCAGTGTGGATTGAACGATACGCAAAGTCCTCGACCACCTGGGGATGCTGGTAGAAAGGCTGTCCAGAGGTTCCGTTATGGCCATTGTTGGCGCCGACTGTGGCGAAGCCCAATTGAGCAGTGTAGGCAAGATCATAATATTGAATGCCTGTGAAGGGATTAGCAACATTACCTCAATATGATTGGAAGGTAGGACGCAGCACATACATCCAGAGAGTCCGCCATTGCCAGTGCTCAAGAAACGACCCTTGTAATCGCGTGGGAACCAAGCCTCTAAAGTAATCTCGCTGCTGTTGGAGGTAGCGACTGCCATTGCGACTCGGCATAGATCCACCGAAACCGCTTGGTATGGTGCAGCACAGCTAGCAGCATTGTCTGGCAGAGACAGATTCGTACCTCCAGGGACATACTCCGCAAAATTTACTTTGACATTGGCGAGATTGATCTTGTGTGCAAATTGCGAGCACTTGGTTTGGAAAGCATCCTGGCTAGCGACGGCCGTTGAGGCTGCCGCACTCAACAGAGACAATGCAAAGAGCCGAGTCATGGCGATCACTATGAACAAGATCGAGGGGACGTTCAGGATCAAATTGCAACACGGGGCAAGCCCGTGGGATTGGCTGCGTTATATACCCCGGGAAGCTTCTTGTCAGGGTCCTTTTTTTGACCTCATTGCGAGACTTTTGATCGGGAAAAGATCATCTATGTTGAGTGTCGGCAAGTGTAAATCAAGCAATACCCGGATATAATACACGGCGATGATACATGAAGGAGGAGATCCCGAGGTTGACCCGGACAGCAGTGGAGAAGGAACGCCGATTTGGTGAAAAGCGATTGGATTCAAGGGAGGATGTGGAACCAGATACGGTATTGGTTGGCGTCCGAGGAGAAATTCGGGCGAAACGGAGTGGAGACTGGGTGACGATCAGGGAAATCCGAAATTACCACGGAAAAACCCCGTCCAATGCGTCCACACGAAGAATCCGGGGACTCCGCAAATGCCGGGGTGCTTCTACTACTCTCGTGCTCAAGGCTCTTGATATCGGCATTTGGCGTTGTATTTAGTCTCGATGCAGAGTCGTCGAGTATTCGGAGCTCAATTGCGACAAAGCTTCGACAGCCCTTGGTGTTTAATTAGCGTATCGACTAGTATTCGAGGAGATTGAATTCCAGGCACCAACCTTGATCGACCATTCAGAAAGCTCCAGCCTTTGGGAGTCTTACCCTCTCGTCTGAATGGCTTCCATTTCACTTTTGTAAGCATCGTATTCAGCGTTCACCTCTCTTAGTTCCAAGATGATTGAACCCTTTTCAAAGAAGATAGCTCGCAGTTGAACGGAGATTGCAGCATCAAGCTCTTGTGCACCCTCCATTGTCGAATGAATAAACTTGGTGGGCGCCTCTTCTTTGCGAATGTAAGCATTGACTCGATTGTCAAGGGCTCTGGTTCGCTTCGTTAATGCAATTTGAAGATTGTGAACTGCATTTAAGCGGGCACGAAGAGCCTCCCTCTCATGATCTGGGTCGACAGGAACACAGTCGCGGTCCAGAAGAGTCTTCACCAGCCGTTTGAATTTCACAAACCACACAATGCAAAGAATGATCTCGAGTATCGATATTGCAATTCCCATAATTGTTTGAGAAGGCGTGCGTGTGAAGAATTGAAAAAGACATACGAGCGGGTAAGCGAGATGAATATAGTATGACTCCATGGAGACGGACTGGCTGAGAGCAGATAGAAGGCAAGGGAAAGGGACAAGAAGCAGATCCTTGTCGCTTGGAAAGATGATGAACGGATGTTGGCAGAAGAGGTGAACTCACATGGCTAGTAGCCCGAAATGGCAAGTGAACTTTGAACGGAGACAACCGTGTACGTGAGACAAAAATGGAAGGAACAGGGTTGGTTTACCGATCCCCAAATGACAATTCTGGCCTGGAAAATAGAACTCTATTTGACTTGAAGGATTGCTCAGGTGCGAGCTTCGTATCATTACAATCTCCTCGTTATACCCAACTAAGTCACAGATCAAACCTTGAATTACATACCAGACCTCGGAGTCTCCGAAGAAACGTCGCGTTCTCGTCCCTCCTGAACCACAACCTCCCTCCTCATCGCGATCGCATTAGGTTGCATATCATTCACCAGACCAACCGTATCGTCTCCATTAGTCTGCGACGAGCTCATGCCCGTCTTCACTTGTGCCGAGTAGTTACCTCGCCCCATCTCAATGTCAGAGTATGAGTAGTTCGGTCCAAACCGCTTCTTCGGTGGATCACTGCCGATGGTATGTTGGGCCTCCTGAAGTTGGCCCGCGCTAGGTTGCTTGCGAGACAGAAGGGGCTCGACATAGTGACGAAATAAAGGTGCCAGAACGGGCAAACTGACGATGATGGTGCTTAGCCATAGCTCGAGGAAACTAACCAGGCCGATCTTGTAGAGTCCATAGACAAAGTCTGCGGCAGTTTCGGGATTGAGGGTGATGACAAGGCGCCATATCATGACTGCAACGACGCTGTGGAGCGTTAGCATGTGATATTCAATAAGGGTCTAGTCATTCCCTCGAAAAGATCCTTACATCAAGCCCATTCCGAACATCACAGCAATGGTGAGCTTATTGCGGAGTGACATTCGCAATTTCCATATGGCAGGAATTGGGAGTAGGGCAATTGTAGAGTCAAGGAAGATATTGAGCGTGATTGACGCAATCTCTTGAATACTCAGCGACCGGCAACCACCACCTGGGACAGGATGCCATTGATACGACACAGGATGGCACTGCGTGAGAAAGAGCGGTAGGAAGGTAACGAAGTAGCCAACGACGAGGCTGCCCACCACCCAGACAAGATTTCGAACCGACCGAAAAGTGCAGAAGAGACTGGTATACAACGATAGGATGGAGAGCTTGCAACAAACTGTTCCAACCAGCCATGTCATACTCACTCCGACGATCATCTTAAACTGGACGTCGAGTTCCTTCTTCGAGAGGGTAGCGGTATGCCCGCCTAACCCATTGCAAACCGCCCAGTAGTTTAGCCCTACCATGGCACACGAGCTCGTCTAGATCACGATTAGCACTGACCATCGCAGAAGCCTAAAAGTGGAGAAAGATGGCTCTCGTACATGAGCGACGATGACAAAGTAATCATGCAGCTGGAGACTCTTGCGAGTGAGATGAATCGCCCAGATACGCAATGCAATCACCACACTCGTTATGAAGGTAAACACAGCCATCCAGATGGACAGCTGGACGCCATTCGGACTGACAGCCATTATGCAAGGTTGCTATACAAGGCCAAAAAATAAGGACAAACGGCGATCGCTCGAGGGAAAGAAATATCGAGAATGCAATTGCTGCCGCGGTCTTCCCCCTCGCATGAAGAATACGCATAGGCTCGGCTTCGGCATGATGTCGAGTAGCTTGCAACCATCAGCGCTGACAGGTGTAGGACAAATGTAGATAAATGCAACCTTACCGTAGCTCTCCCGGCTCAGAACCAGTCAAAAGAGGCAATTGAGCGCACAGTTGGGGTATACCCGGCATCAAACAGTTTGTGATTTGGAGGTGGCGTTTTTGAGTTGAGGATCCGACAGCAAACTTGCAGACTGGTTTCCAATTCCAGACAATAGTTCTAGAGAATCTTTGCGAGCTGACGATCAACTGACTCAGAAAGTCCATGCGGCCAAACTTAGCGAGCCTCGTTTGTCAGCTTCGCCTGCAGCCTCGCCTGCAGTCTTCAGACAGTCGGTCCCCTCCTTCCCTCGAATTTCTACATCTTTACATGGACTCAATCTCCTTTGAACCCTGATCATCTCCCTCATCAGATCATCTCCTTCGCGTGATTACCTCCGAAGTGTGTGTTACACCATGAATCCTCCGTTACCCTCTCTTACCTCGACCTGGCACAACGGCCCCTACCCGGCCATCTCGCCGTCGCGACCCGAACTGAGCGCCGCTGGCAAGACAATCATTATCACGGGCGCTGTAAGATCCTGGCAAAACCTTCATTGGAGCTAGCTACCTACCTCCTCTGACCCAAAATTAAAAACATGCACTACTCGTTCCGTTTGCTAATTCTAACCCCCATCATTCTAGGGCAGCGGAATTGGTCGCGCAACCGCCCAGTCATTTGCCAAAGCAGGTGCCAGCAAAATTGTTCTGATCGGGCGGAATGAGGACACGCTTCGAGAGACCCAGGCCAGTCTGGAATGCAGCTCTTCCATCCACGCAGCTGATGTGACGGATGAGAAGGCGCTCACTGCCGTTGCGGCCGCCACGGGGACGTGGGATGTGATGATCCTTGCTGCGGGACACATCGAAGCGCTGGCCTCGATCCGGGAATCGTCCGTGGATGACTGGTGGCAGAGTTTCGAGGTATGCACAAACCCGTTTACCCCCTGCTATTACCCGTGTCTCAGTGGGACTCGGCGGGTCACTCCGATTGGTGCTGACTACATATCACGACAGACTAATGTCAAAGGTACCATGATAGCTTCCAAGGTGTTCCTGCCAACGGCCCGTCCGGAACGTGCGGTTGTCGTCACTTTTACTGCAGTGGTTGTATTCCCGGCGGCTCAGTTGGTAAACCTATCGGGATACATCACATCCAAACTGGCAGTGATCAAACTCATGGAGTTTCTCGCAGCGGAGAATCCCAACGTCTTTGCCGTGGCTCTACATCCGGGGATGATCGAAACTAAAATCTTCCGTGGATCTGGGGCCGATCCTAGCAAGCTGCCGATGGATACAGGTAAGCGGTGCCATTCAACGCGAGGGTGTGTTTTGAAGCTAACCCATGACGATCACTAGTGGAGCTTCCAGCCAATTTCTCAGTCTGGCTAACGAGTACCGAAGCCGCGTTCTTGAACGGCCGCTCTGTTTGGGCAAATTGGGACGTGGAAGAACTCAAGGCCAAGGCGGATGAGATTCAGTCTGGATTGCGGTTGACCTCGGGGGTGTACGGTTGGCCATTCACATCATCCTAGCATATTCCAACAGGCATGCAACTTGGTAGCTATTCCCCTTCATGCCGGGCATACAGGAGATGTTTACTCAAACTCCGAAATACAAATCAATATCTCCAGGCTATCTCAGCATCAGCAAAGACCTGGGTTTTCCTTATCTAATTTATCCATTGTGTCCCGAAATTACGAAAACAACTGAACTACAGGCGTAGCTGGGAAGAGAAAGTTATCTGGGTAATTGCAGCCAGACTGGTGTCATCGGACTCTATCAAGGCTTGGGTGAAGGGACAATCTAATATAAAAAGGTCAAAGCCGGTGAAATGGGACGCCATCTCATGCATATGTCTCGCACAGCCCTAGCTTGGCGGTACCGGGATTCCTCAGTGTCGATCAATGGTTACTCTCGGCGTAACGTTCCTTTGATGACCGGGGTTGTCAATAGCACATTGGGCGAGATGTTTCAGCATGTATGTGACACCTGCCGTAAATCGAACTTTGGCCATGTAACATTACAGATCCATTGACCTCAAATAGCTTTCAATCAGTTGGGATATCTTGGCAATGAGTTTAAAATACTCATTGTTTTCCGTCTCAAATGGACTAGACAGAATCTTGCAGAATAGGTTGATACATGGTTGAATGAAAGATGACAGAAAGCGCCCGGGGTGTTATCAAAGTCAGCATCAAAGACGACATCGAAGAATAGACAGTCAAAGGGAATGGGGACGATGGAAAGGAGATTCTGGGACCCTAGCTCAAATCGAGTAACACCACCCCCATTCGGCGTGAAGCACATATTACGGTCGCGGAGTGGTTGTCTTCGCCGCGCTGCTGACGAGTTACCGCCAACTCGCCATTCATTGATAAGCATAGTCGATCCTGCAGGGTCGGCCATGCGCAATGAATACGAAGGTTCTCATGGAGATGGTGATGGTGGATTTGATGCTTAATCAAGAACGGCGGGACGACACGATGACGCGTCTTCTATTCAATTAGGCATCAACCTAATAACACCGGCGACCAACAATTTTTGTGGCTGGATCGATTAAGTTTTGCGTTTCGTTTATCCCACTCTCAGGAAATAACATGGAGATACTAACCATTAGTCACTGATAATAATTCTTGGGTTCTATAATAATGCAGACCCTCCTTCCAATCCCCGGAGAGACACTCAGGGGTTCTCCAAAGTGGATGACGTCCTCATTTCCGAGATTGGACATAGGTGGCAGGGCGATGATCCATATACAACTTCTTACAGATGTCCACGGGAATAGCTTGAATGAAAGAAAAAATAATATTTGTACAGTAAAAGTGAATAAGCCAAACCATCCACGTAAAATTAAACCAAGACGCCCGAGATCTATACGCGCTTCAGGTGTTAGGTACCTGTTGGTAGCTCTTCTGGCCCCATTCGCTCTGCCTCCATTGAAGCTTATAAGCTTCCAGTTTTTTGAGTTCCTCACCATTCTGCCCATTGTCCAAAGCGCGTTGCAATCGACCCTGCTTGCGTTGTCGCGCGCACCACCAACCGAATGCGCCGACAAGGATCAATCCAGCTGCGGCGGCCCCGCAGTACACACCAATGTGAACACCCTCGGACAACCCCGCCCACTTCTGGGCCAGTGTCTTTGTAGGAGTTTTGTTAATCTCTTGCTTGGCTGTCGAGTTTCCACTGTCAAAGCGTAAAATAGTAAGCATGGGAAAGGAATCAGAAATAAGCTAGAACCGAGAAAGCATACCTGACGACTTCGATACTCTCATAGGTACCGGTTGTGCCCTCATATTTATACTCCTTTCCGGAATGGAAGTCCTTGACACGCACACGTTGTACGGACATGGTGAAGGGTACATCGGTCCAATTGACGTAACCACCCCCCCATTCGAGGTTTCCTACGCTCTGTCCTTTGATACCGACTGGCCAGAGACTGATCTTGACTCTGCAAGGGGTTTGCGGATAGTTCTTGCCATATACTGTCAATGGCTCCGAATAGTTGACGGTGCGCACCAATTTACTATCAATCCACCATTCCAGTCGATCCTTGTCCCAGTAGGAGGTATAGTTGTGGTATTCGGTGTCCGCATTCGACACGGCATGATATCCACCGCGATCACTCGTCGTGGTATTGCCCTTGCCGAAGAAGTCCGATTGCACTCCACTCGTGTTGTATCCCACCCATTCCCAGTCGATCTCGTCGAGGTCGTCGGATTGCAAGATCACGCTGCTAATGATTCCTGCGCCCTTTGCCATTTTGACGTGGGCCTCCATCACGCCGAAGAAAATGTAGAAGTTGGAGACCAAAAGGGTGGATGCATTTTCGGTTTTGATTGAAAAGTCGGCTCCGGTGCTCGTGTAGTCGATGTCGCCGGTGGTCATGTTCCATAACGTGTCGTCAAGTGTTGAATTGAACCACCATGTGTGCTCCGTGCCGAGCGCAGCGTCGGCTGGACATGTGCCATTGAGGGGATTGCAGTCGGTCTGACTGGATGCGCAGACCCCGGTGCCAATGAGGCACAAGAAGGCAAAGAGGAGTTTGAAAAGAAAGTTCATCATGGCGGGAAGCTCATTGGCGAACTGAATAGAGCGCGTTTTTATATGCAGTCGAACCCCCGGCAAGCTCGATCACTGCTGTCGCCAGCAAACAGCGAGATGACGAATGACCAAAGTGACCGATAGAAGAGCCTCACACCCTGCGTTTCAAATTATGAAGGGGGCGGCCGCTTGGTAAAAAAGAACATATGAAAAAGGGGGGCGTCCATCTCCATCGGCAAAAACAAACCCAGAGGCCCCCATAGAGGATTCAAAAGTTCGTCTAGCGCAAATATGGAAACCTGGAAGACACTATCGCTGATTTGACGAGAATAACCGGTGCCATTGGCTTTTTGATAAAGCCGAGATTGCAGCACCAATGTCCGAGACCCACAGCCATGTCCCACCATCGTGCCACGGCAGTCCGTCGATTCAACCTAAAATAATGGATTTTGGTTTGGTAGATGGTAGAATCGGATCGCAGTTAGATCGTTTCACGAGAGATTCCTTATTCTCCTAAGTTCTCCCATATGCTCTCATATTCCGAGGCAGAACTCGATACGAAACATTCTGGAATGTTTCCTATTCCGTTGCGATAGATCACCTGACTAAGCGCGTCGAGGCTTGCCCGATAAAGCTAGAAGGTCTCTGACCCACCTTTAAGCCCCACCTGGTTCCTGATCAAACGATGTGGTCGTCGTTCCCATTGGCGAGACTGGAGCTTAGCTGACGTGTGCACGAACGGCTCTCAACCTGCCGGATGATGGATGGCGAACTAAAATTAGGGATGGAGAAAGTGAAGCTGGATTGCAACCAACCCAGTATGGTCGCTCATATTTTTGATCCCCTTATCTAGGAACACCAAGCTATACACAGCGTACACAACAAGAGATGAGTATACGAATGCATAAAACCGTCGCTAAATTCAGACCTAATCCTTCTATAGTTCGCCCGCAGCTCAGTTGCCCAGCTCAGTTGCCCATACTATGAGTGGCGGTCCTTCTACATCTCCACCGCCTCAGAGATACACAAAAGCTGCACGAAACAAAATATAGGTTGGACTAAGCGACGATCCTTCCGGAGAATCTGTCAAGTAGAAAAACCAGGAAATAATAACAGGTTTACGTTCCTGCGCAAGGTGGGGATGCGAGATATCTGCTCGAACACTAAACGCCAAATCTGTCCAATGCTGTCTCTGCGACCTTTCTCCATTGACCCACAGGATCCTGGGCCTTTTCCCTAGGACATACTTTGACGACAGCAGGAATATCATTGACTACAGTGTCTACCAAATCTTGTAGTTGATTGAGCAGCAGTTCATCCAACATCTTCTCAAACCCTCGCTCTTGACAATTAGCCTTAGAAAACATCTTCCATACGACTCTGCTCTGCATTGTGTTTGGGGAATTTTCTTTTGTTCCACAGGAAAGCTCGCGGTGGATTCCACCGTGGGGCAGGTACCACGCCGCTGAACTCCCAATCCAGCATCGCGGTGATAGGGCAATCGGGTTGGGCAGGGTCACGCATGACGTTGCCGAACTGCAACTATGTATGTGCAAGAACATAAACAACCTTTTATTGAGTTCTTCGGCATAGATAGGGGTTTGAATACTTGCCATGAAGGATCGTATTGGTGGGATCATGTAAGACTTCGAGTACGGATGTTTCTGTAAAGTGCTCCAAACAACCTGCTGTAATCTCCATCACCTGATTTGGAAAGCCACTCCGCGGGATCCATAACATACAACTGAGACGTTCCCCCAAGTCTTTCCAGTGTTGCTCCACGTCAGGACCTTGTCAGTAAGTCTCACCGATTGGACGTCCAGCTGCAACCTCATCTCCTTGAATAGCTAAGCCCCTTAAAATTCATCCTTCCAAGGGTGTGCATTTAATTCAGAGAGGGGATTCATTAGCTGGCTGCTCAAGTTAGTGCGAGCTTCTTGAGAGAGTGGATTCCGGGACTTTTCCTAGAAGCGTCAAGTCATTTCCGCTCACGTTAGACTCCGTACAATCGCAGCCAACAACTGCCGGGGTAGGATTGGTTGTATTTCCTCGAACCCAATTTTATCACACCGACTTCGTCCCGTATCTTGATGCCTGGAAGCTAACGGCCAGACAGTGGAGCACTGGAGGTGGAGAAAGTTGTAGTTTGACTGTGCTCAGCCATGTTGATCATCCTCGGCCCGCCCCGACTATTATCGAGACACTAGATAAACAAGGTCACTTAAAATAAAATTTTGACTATCCTGGTTATGTCAATCTTGAGTCTAGATTAACTAATCGACTGGAAGAATGTAGTCATAAAGTATCCAAAAATGTTCCGATTGACTTGCTAGGGCACGGAACAGAAAGTCTAGCTAGCTTGACGAAATTTGTACGCGCCTAATGGCAAACTGCATCATGCGGCTTCCCCTGTACAAGCAAGACTCAAGTCGCGCAAAAAGTAAAGAGGTGGAAGTATGTACTGCAGAGCGTAGGTACACCGGCATGTGCAGGCCTCTGGCCAGTCTTCCCAGGAAATTAGTTTTCACGCAACTCAAAAACCAGGCGTAGGCGACCGGGATTCGAGGTGAAATGATCCTTCAAGTCCCGCAGCACTTCTTCTCCAGTCTCCCCGGGTGGGAGTTGAAAACGGTATCGCTGTACGAGTCGTGCAGTGATCAGTCGCATGTCATTCATTGCGAGCGCGCGACCGAGACAACTGTGGTGACCTGGGAAGAGTTAACATCTAAAATATCTCCCGTGGATGCCCATCTTTCTCCAGAATAAGAAATTAATAGACTCACCTAGTCCAAATGGCACAAAGCCAACTTTGTTGCGCACCATCTCGGGTTTCTTGTACCAGCGCTCTGGAATGAACTTTTCTGCTTGCTCGAAGCAATCTTCTCCTATTGCGGGTTAGCATCCATGCGTTCTCAGAATAGGATCAACTTACGGCGTGAGATACAAAATCTCGGCGCAACCACAGTCGTCTCTGGTGGGATGAAAGTTCCTGCAACTATGATACCCTTCTCAAGAGTTTTTCTGGTTCCTCCCGTGGGCAGGGCAGGATACAGCCGCAGGGCCTCCAGAATGGCTGCCTCCAGATGAGGACAACTTGATGCCAGTGCTCGAGAATCCGTGATGTCGATGGCTTTCATCTCTTCAAGAATTACTTCTGCATGTCGCGGCTTCTTTGCCAACTCGCAAAATAACCCTACGAGAACGGCTGCAGTCGGCTCACTGCCGGCTACAATAGCCAGTATGCTGTCGCCAGTAAGCCATGGGAAGCGTCCAGGGTCATCCCGCGCGTCTTGGAGGAGGTAATGGGCGACATCGCGGACTTTGCATGTATCGTTTGGTGCCTTTCAAATGAAAAGTCAGTTAAATTCCTGGAAATCGGGGATTCTTTCTTCCTGATCGTGATACCTGCAATCGTTTGAGCATCTGCTCCTCGCACCAGGCCACCATCTGGAACCAATCCTTTAAAATCCACACCCGAGGGAAAAGCTTGAAGGCAATGTGAATAAACCAAGGAACTGGGCTCAATGGTCCAAGGAGAGAAAGGGCCCTCTGCATAAGCAGAATGATGTAATGCCATTCTTGACGAGACAACATATTGAAACTCTGGCTAAAAACGAAGTCTCCCATACGATCGAACCCAAGCCAGTAAAACAAATCAGTCACTTCGGTCACCTTCCCAGCACCGATATCTTGATTGATGCAATTCTCCAGCTGGTTGATAAGGGGGAGGATGCGTTCCTGGTATTGATCGAGTGCTGAGTGTGTTAGCCTCGACGTCTGCATCGCGGTACTCCACTCAATAGCACCCACCCTGAGATGTAAACCCTTTATTCCACTGTCGACGCCGCAGGCCATGCGCTTCTTTGTTCCGAGCCGTCACCAAGGATTGCTTGGGGTGCAACAAGTCATACCACTCGGACTTGACACAGCTCCCTTGAGGTCCGTCAATGGCAATGAAGACACCCGGGTGGAAGACGGTGATCTCGCCGGGGCCTAGGTACTCAGATAGTTAGAATGTAGACTCCCTAGCAAGAGTGAAGCTCAATCATACCCGTTCTCACAAAGTCTCCGTACTGGCGATGCAGTTCCGACAACACCAGGAAATTCTGGCGATGCCGCGATTTCCAGGCATGCCATATCTTGGTGACGCGTGCCCATTTGGGTCCTGGGAAATGGCTGAGACGGTGGAAGTAGACACGGTAGATGATTATGCTAGAGTAGAGCGCAATGAGATATCCAGCAATCACCCAACGTGCGTGAGCCGTAGCCATCAACAAGCCCCCGAAGTAGACGAGATGATAGACTAGAATTTCTGGTGCTCGAACATGCCACTCGCCGTGGATAAAGACGACATGGTGGAGTATCAGTCCTAGCAGAGCGCCTACCAGGGCTGAAATGGTGGGAGTCATAATGGTCAAAACTGTCAGGAAGAAAGTCAGTCTTTCGGAGAGTTGAAGTGGGGAAAAAGGTTATTCACATCGAAGCAATCAAGGCGTACAAGGTATTTTCAAACATCAGGCCAGGCCATTATCCAATCTCAATGCAGAAGGAGAGTCCAGGACGCGTCGATCAAACAAGATTGACCAGCTCTCGGAGTGAAGACATTCACCATCTCTTTACACCTCACTACGCCGCAATGTCTCCCCCGGAAGCAATGTCGTTGTCTACTTTACTGCACCTTATCTGGCACTTTACGGAGAGCAACGTTCCGACGTTTGTACTCCCCAACTCGGCCTTTGGTCTACTCGCAGCCCTCGCGGCGCCTCTGCTCACCAATTGTTCCGAGCGTCCCTCCTCCCAAATCCTCCTTGTCCGCACACTCCGAGTGATCCTCTTCAACTGGGCTAATGTTTTCGTATTCGATCTGGCTAACCAGCGCCTTCCCGAGTCGAGATTGGAGGACCGGCTGAACAAACCATGGCGACCCCTTCCGACCGGACGCATCAGCCCGGAGACGACCCGTCGGTGGATGCTGGTCACTATCCCCTTCGTTTTATGTGTCAGCACCATCCTCGGAGTGGCGACGGAAAGCGCCTTTATCATAATCCTGACCTGGCTCTACAACGATCTGCATGGTGGCGACGAAATCATCCGAGACGGGATCATCGCATGTGGATACGCTCTCTATCTGACCGGCTCAATGCGTATTGCCTGTGGCCTGGACTGCCATATTTCGGAACATGGATATCGCTGGATTGCGATGATGAGCGGGATCATCGTGACAACAATGCAGGTGCAAGACTTGAAAGACCAGATAGGGGACCGGACTCGAGGACGCAAGACCCTTCCGCTCGTGTTAGGGGATACGGTCTCACGTTGGACTATTGCCGGTTTCACCTTGTTCTGGAGCATTTTGTGTTCCTACTTCTGGAGGATGTCCCTGTGGGGATATGCATTGCCAATGCTGACAGGCTTTGGGGTCGCGTTGGACGTGGTAAGCGGGTCTCACGATGCGAGAGCTTGGCGATGCTGGTGTGCGTGGCAGGTGGTGATTTATGCGCTGCCCTGGTTGGTTTCGACACAGAATTAATACTCAGGGCAGTAGCGTTTGAGCAAGGGTACCGATGCAATGATGTGTGATAGATCAAAATGTTTTGTTATCCGTCTTCCTGATTCATACTAGTCCATGCACCAATTTGGCGTTGCTTTGACAAGATTGTACAGGACGCCCTCGAATCGAACTGGATCTTTACAAGGGCGAGATTACCGCTCTTTTTAACTAGTGAAAGAGTAATGAGAATACCTGTTCAGACCTTACCCGGCTCTATACAATTGAGATTATCTAAGTCCCTTCGCCGGCGCTTACAGTGATAGGCTTTTTGGCGTTTACCTACAAAAATAATCAATGATTTTGTACTCTGCCAGCGAATAAGATCTCTTTCCGTTTCTATCGCAATCGTGCGAGGACTCAGTTATTAGCCGGGAGACTCGCTAGGTTATGAATCAAGTAACTTATTAGGTAATTAGCTAGGGTTTTCAACATCAGATTGTAGATTGTATCTACATTTCGCTGCTAGTAGTCTCATTTTTCAGCTGACTCGAATCTATTCAATCTTTTTACTGCGGCAAATTGCACTCAACAAAAAACATATGGGAAATGTACAGATTGTGTGGACAAAGGATGCCCGAAAGCGAAGTTCATGCCGATTTGAAGCTTGCTGGCGAAGAGTTATGGCCATTCCCCAAAATAAATAGGAGACGGAAATCTTGGTGAGGTCCGGGCGATACGTTCGAACCTGCGCTTCGGTCCCTCGTCCCATGCAGCCGTAAGTTTCGTAAGCCTTTGTGTCCTTATGGGTTGCAACACCTTTTTCCCAGAACCTCTACCCACAAAGAAATTTACCTTCTCAATGCAACGACTGAACTTCCTCCTCCTCCTTGCTTTGACACTTTGTGTCAACGCAGCCAACAACACCAAATGTCGCTGCTTCCCGGGTGATCCATGCTGGCCCTCATCGCAGGAATGGACTGACTTCAACACCACTCTCGGTGGCAAGCTGATCTCGACAGTTCCCCTCGGCAGCGTATGTCACACCAGGGGCGAGTCCTCGGGCTATAGTGAGCATGCATGCGCTAATTTGATCGCCGACTGGGGGTTTCCCGCTACCCACTACTCAACCGGCGCCTCGCCAATGGCGTCCTGGTTCGCCAATTTCTCTTGTGACCCGTTCATGCCACGAGACTCGCCTTGTACTATCATCAGCCTGCAGCGCTATGCGGTCAATGTGAGCGGGGTCCAGGATGTGCGAAAGACAATACAGTTTACCAGAGAACACAACATCCGCCTGGTCATTCGCAATACCGGGCATGACTATCTCGGAAAGTCGACTGCGCCTGGTGGCCTTGCTCTGTGGATGCATCATCTGAAGGATACTAAGTTTTTGGAGTACAATTCAGAGGCTTACAGCGGCCCCGCCTTGCGACTGGGCGCTGGTATCCAGGGATTCGACGGGATGGCTGCGGCACATTCCCAGAACAAGGTTATCTTGGCTGGGAACTGCGAGAGCGTGGGAATCGCAGGTGGATATAGCCAAGGTGGAGGCCATGGCCAACTTGCTTCTCGGTTTGGTCTGGCAGCGGATCAGGTCCTTGAGTGGGAGGTGGTGACTGCCGATGGACGGCATCTCATTGCCTCCTCTGAAAGATACTCTGATCTGTTCTGGGCTCTCTCTGGCGGAGGTGGTGGCACCTTTGCTGTGGTCATGAGCGTTACTGTCAAGGCCCATCCAGAAGTTGGCACGGCCTCGGCAAATCTCACATTCAGCGGGGCTTGTGTCGCTACGGATGTTTTCTGGAATATCGTTCGCAACTTCGTTGTTGAGATTGCTCCAATGGTGGATGCTGGAGCGGTGGCTATCTGGGCTGTTATTGGGAAAACTTTCAGCTTGACACCTATCTCTTGGCCTGGCGGTACCGTGGAACAACTGCAAAATGGTCTGGCATCCACTCTGGCTCTGCTGGAAAACAACACGATCAAGTATGGTACGTATGCATGACCGGTTTCTGGACGTAGACTGGTTATACGGGCTAACGTTAGAACTGTATACAACAATAGCCTATCACATCCAACAATTTCCCACCTTCTGGGATAGCTACGCCGCCATGAATCCGCGCAGCAATATCACAGAGGCTCAGGTTGGAGGTCGACTCATACCCCGCTCAGTTCTTGATTTAGATCCGTCAAGCCTCATCGCAATATTGAGAGGAATTTCTGAGCTAGGAGTTGTGGTATCGGGTGTTTCACTCAACGTCTCACGGCCCCCAGTCTCCTACAATGCTGTCAACCCAGCCTGGCGAGATGCTGCCATTTCCATCGTCCTTGGAACGTACGTACCGCAAGTTTTGGAAACCGCGCTAGTTAAATGCCATTACTAACGAAGTGTAGGGGCTTTAACTATACCAATCGTGACGAGGATGTCAAGTGCCAATCATTGATGACCGATGTCCTAATTCCTCGTATAACTGCAATCAGCCCTGACAGTGGCGCATACCTCAACGAGGCGGATTGGAAGCAGCCCAACTGGCAATCGACTTTCTACGGCAGCCATTACCCAGCTCTGGGAGCAATCAAACAGAAATTCGACCCGGATGAGATTTTCTACGCCCGCACTGCTGTCGGAAGCGAGGCGTGGACCGAGCAAACTGATGGCAGGCTTTGTCGAGCTTGAAAGCGATGTTCGGTCGTGCAATTACATCTTTAACGACTCAGACATAGGCTGCATGTTAGGAATAGAATATGTTTAGTATTATTAGTCCCATTGCTGAGCTAGATCTCATCCCTCCCAAGACGAGTAGTATCTCGTGTAAGTCCTGATCTGTTTAATGAGTAGCACCGCGAATCAGATCAGCGGCACGCTCGGCCACTGCGTAGACCGTGGCCAAGGGATTGGCGTGAGGAATCAATGGGAACACACTGGCATCAACGATGCGCAAATTCTCCGTCCCGTAGACTGTCAAATTCTGATTGACCACACCTCCCTCATCCTTAGGGAGCATAGCGGCGGTTCCACAGGCATGGTGTGCCGACGATGCTGTATCCCGTAAGTCTTTCTTGATAGACTCGATATCCAAGTCTGCAGCGTTTGGCTCAAAGATAGAGCCCAGACCGGGAGAGTTGATCAGCTCGTAGCAGTTCCGCACGTGCCTGGCGAGTATCTCCCGATCAAATTCTTTGCTGGCTAATCCTCCATCGACTGCTGGCAGTGCATCAGGATCAGTAGAGGAGAGATGGCAGCTCCCGCGGGACAACGGGAAGCTTATGATTGGTACTATTATAGCCACACTCGGCGCCACAGCACCCAGGAAGATCGAAGCTGTGGCCTCAGTAGGGCTGGAGATAATTGAGCGAATCATCTGGTTGACGCGGTTGTCAAAGTCACCTTCGTTTGTAGAAAGAAGCAGGCTTTGTTCCTCGGAGTCCAGTCTAGTCATGGCAAGACTCTTCAATCCGGGTGAGACATTGTGCAAACCTGGATGTTCTTTGAGTGGAGCAATGATTGGGCGTAGCAGGTGATTCTGGAGATTTTCTCCTACCCCGGGTAGATTGAGGATAACAGGAATGCCGAGGTTCTCCAGTCGCTCTTTCTGGCCAATGCCAGATAGCTCAAGAAGCTTGGGTGTATGGAGCGCGCCAGCTGCGAGAATGACCTCTTTCGAAGCTTGGGCCGTGACGAGTTGCCCGTTGTGGATGTATTCAACTCCGTTCGCAGTCAAGTTGGGACCATTTGAGTCGAACCGAATCCGACGGACCGTCGCATCTGTGATGATGCGCACGTTGGGACGCCCGATCGTCATAGGTCCATATCCACGATCCGCGCCGCTGCGCAGACCCGAGATGGGGTCAATAGTGGCGGCATAAGGACGAGGTCCGAGAGAGTTCTTCTCTGCAAGAATGTCGGTATTAAGATCGTACCCCTGAGCTGCGAGAGCCTCATTCCACGCATCCAGTAGAGGCTTGCTACCGGGGTCAGCAAGAGCAGGGAATGTCAACTGTACAGGTCCTGTCGATGGAATGCGCTGGGTTTCTTTCAGATCGGGGTGCGATTCTGGCGCGGTCACGGTATAGCTCTTTTGCAGGTATGGTAACAGCGATTTCCAGGTCCAGTCTGGATTGCCGAGTTTAGCCCATGCGTCGATTCCGGCAGGCGATGGGGCAACATATGCCATTCCATTGATGGCAGAGGATCCGCCCAGAACTCGTCCCGCTGGGTGGTCAAGCTCGCGATCGTTCAGGTTGGCCTGTATATTTAGCGCCCGGTCAGTGGCCACAATTTTAGTTTCAGTCTCGGGATCAGCTTTACTTGGGGTCCGATTTTCACTTTCCAGTCAAGCTCGGATCCGCCGAGATCCCTCCAGGCATCAGGATCTTGAACTTTGGGGTCTGTGGTGCGGTCGGGGCCGCTCTCAAGGAGGAGTACTTTGGCATTGGAATACTCGGATAGACGAGCCGCGACGACGAGTCCGGCGGTTCCACCACCGACGATGATGTAGTCTGCTGATTGGAGGGAGTCTGTGGAGGCCATGTTGTCGTCGTTTGACTCACGTGGGGTGGAAAGTGGAAGAGGAGTTGGGTACAAAGTCTCTGTTGAAGAGTAACCTGGAAACTTCCTATGGTACACTCCAAATAGCTGAACTCTTTGTTTCCCTCGTGATCCATGCGGCTTATATTTGTTTGTCACATCCGCGCCGAGAAGCAAATATGAATGAGGTCAACATCCATACCGCCGGCTAGACTTTCGACCGTGTCTGACAAAAGGGTGCCTACATGGAGGATTCGGGTTGACTTTGGGGGCCATTTCAGTAGTCCGTAAGCAAAATACTACGGTAACAAGCCGAGCCTCTAACATCGTTCAGGCCTCCCAACCCTAGGAAAAGGTAATGGCCAATCCACTCTAAATATAGTTCATTGCCCTTTGTCCTGCTACTGTAGACCATCCGTTCGCAGTCTCGAAGGGGACTAGTAAGTGACCTCTTATTTACTACGTGACTAGGGTCGGCACAGAAATTTGAACCACTCTGGCAATGATATTCCGGCTAGCAGATTCGTTCTCACGCGTTCTCAATCCACGTCTCATTGGCCTTGGGGTCGCTCGGTGGATTTTCACCGTCTCTGCTAAGCAACGTTAAAAACAATGGCAACAATTCAGCAAAAGGGCCTGACTCACCGGTCTAGCTGGTCGTTATCGGAAGGTTCGAGTGGCCGGGCTAACAGAAATATCGGACGCTCAAAGATTCGGTGGATCTCCTCCAGACTCATGCCCGAGGTCTCGGGGACCATGAAATAGGTGTAGAGCAAAGCCACTACACAAAACCCAACGAAAAGAACAAATGCTCCCCACTGGTGAAGATTTGTCAGCATTGAAGGAGCAGCCTTGGTAATAGCAAAGTAAAAGAGCCAGTGAAAGCATTGTGACAATGCTCCTCCAAAGGACCGGATCTTGTTAGGCCAGAGCTCGGCACCAAAAAGATAGGGCAAACTATAAAGCCCGATCGCCCATCCAAATGCGTGGATGTAGATAAACGCCAATGCCGCATCAGTAGATGCCTTGCCCATATATGCTTTGTGAGTTTGATAAATCTTGAGATATCCGGCCAGGTACGAGTGGCAGAGGATTTGAACCGAGATGCCTATCATGAGAGACTTTCGGCGGCCAACAAGATCGATGAAAAACAGCGATGCAGCCACGCAGCATACCAGTTTCGCAATGGTATAGAGCCCGGTGGAGTACACTTTGACATTCGAGTTGGTCACCCCAATCATTCCAAAAATGGTGGGTAAATAGTTGGTGATGGCGTTGGCCCCGGACATTTGCGCGAGAATGTAAACGATGATTGTCAATTGCACCCGCCGAAGGTTGGATTTGACCAGGAATGTCTCTCTGATAATTTGCAGGTAACTGTTATTGCCGAGCCCGGCATCTCGATCTTCGATCTGAGATGCCATGCTGTGGAATTCGGTGGCTACAAAGTCTGCATCGGCTGGTATTCCCCGGAGCCGGACCAGCGCAGCAAGAGATTTGTCATGCTGATGGTCAAGGAGAAGCCATCGAGGAGACTCCACAGTCAGGAAGGAAAGCAAAATGCTGATTGTGGGCGCAAAGGTTTGAGCAAACCAAGGAACTTGATACTGTAGGGCCTTTGTAGGTACAACGTGAAGAGAGCAGCCGTAAACGATAAACACACCCAATGCCTGGCCGGATAACATGCAGATATTAAACCACAACGTCATCAAGCCTCTGACAGATGGAGGAGCAATTTCCGATATTGCCATTGGACAGACAACGGACAGTGCCCCGATTCCAAGACCTGCAACAATTCGACCGACGTAGAGTGCCCCGGCATTGCCCGATGAGAAGCAGGAGACGAGCGAGCCGATAATGTAGATGACTGAATATACTTGAAGCGACATCTTTCGGCCGATGCGATCGTTGAGTAAGAACGAAAGGAGGGCTCCAACTCCAGCGCCCAGGTTGACCAGAGAGACGATATTGGATATAGAACTGTTGTCGAGATGATAGGTTTTGTGGAAAGATTCAAGTTGTGTGATTGCAGCAGCGGAGCCTTCATCCCATCCTTGAAAAGTTTAGCATGCTACTTCGGCCTCATATTCAAAGTGTGAACTCACCTTTTGCACATCCTCCCAGGGCAAAGGCAAAGCCTGTCAAGAAGAGTCGCCGATTGAAAATCTCCCGGGGCGAATTCTTGATGGCATGAACGTATTTTGCCAATGAAGATTTTTGCTTTGCCATGACCGGAATAGTATTGACTCTGTCCTGGTGGTTGTATGCTAGATGTGACAAGAAAAATAGCAGCGCTGATTGCCCCATCTTTATGTCCCCGTCGCTATAGTGTGATTTACCCCAAACCCCAACTTCCCCGGATTCAGATGTGGAGACCCCCCTTCTCCGTATGCCGATCGGATACATCCGAAGGCTGCGTCAAAAACACGCTTAAACTTTCACGAATGAAAGTCAACATGAAACTCATCGGAAGAGCCGAAATCGGGGTTCCAGCTCGACCCAAAAGTTCAGACTACTTTTGGGTCCCGCTGAGCTGGGTGCCCTAGTCTAGTAGCCAATCTGCACCAGGCCGACAGGGACATCTCAGCAATGCTTAAACTCGAGTACTGTAAGTGATGGGAAACATAGTCCTATAAATTACCAAGAATGGAAAATATGTGCTAGAACTGAAAATTCTAAATAATTTCAAGTCAAGTGCATAAGTCTTTTTGTGAGAATAATACAACGGGTCCGAAGCCTACTGCTTCGCCATCATGTTCAATGCACTCCCTGCCTTGAAGTACTCAATCTGTTCTAGCGTGAAGGTATGATTGAGCGTAGCTTCCCACTCTCCATTGACCGACAGCGCCAATGGCTTCCCCGGTGCCAGTCCAGCTAGCCCCAGAATGCTAACACGATCTGAGGAACGGATGCGGTCATAATCCGCCTCATTCGCAAAGGTTAAAGCGAGCATGCCTTGCTTCTTCAAGTTGGACTCGTGAATTCGAGCAAATGACTTGGCGATGATTGCTTTTCCACCAAGGTATCTGGGTTGCAAAGCTGCGTGTTCTCGCGACGAGCCCTCGCCGTAGTTGTGATCAGCAATAACAACCCACGGTTGGCCATGCGCCTTATAATCTCGTGCAGTACCAGGAACATCGCCATCTTTCTGGGTGATGTGGTTGCGCACGGTGTTGACCTTGTCATTCTCAGCATTGACTGCGCCAATCAGCGTGTTGTTGGATATGTTCTCAAGATGTCCCCGGTAGCGGAACCAAGGTCCAGCAGGAGTAATGTGGTCAGTCGTGCATTTCCCTTTGGTCTTTATCAAGATGAGACAGTCGTTGAAATCATCACCAGACCAAGGCTCGAACGGAGCTAATCTCTGCAAACGCTCCGACGAGGGGCTGATTTTGACCTCCACGTTGCGTCGGTCAGTGGGTGGTGCTTGGTATGCCACATCAGAGTCTTCATATCCATTCTCTGGGAGAGTGTCTCCAGTTGGGGGTTGGAACCGGAACTTCTCTCCAGAAGGGGTGGACAATGCGTCGACGCTGGGATCAAAGGCTAGATCTTCAGAGAAAACCTTGGCCATGACGACCTCAGGCGAAGTCAAGAAAATATTGGTGGCTGGATTGGAGTCCAAGCGGCCGGAGAAGTTGCGATTGTATGAAGTTATGATAGAGTTCGGAGTCCCCTATAGAAGTCAGTAACCACGACAGGCAAAATCGTTGAACGGCAGGAATACTTTTGGCATATCGACGCGGTCCCAAGATCCACAGCATGGACCGCAAGCGTTAGGAAGCATAATAGCTCCCAGCTCTTCAAACACCGGTAGAATACCGGCCTCATCCAGTGTCTTGCGTGTTTGAAGACTTCCAGGTGATACCAGAAGAGGCATCTTCGGCCTAAGTCCAGCATCCATCGCTTGTCGCGCAAGGCTAGCCGCACGGCCCATATCTTCAAAAGAAGAATTTGTGCACGAGCCGATCAAACCAGCCGTCAATTTCTCCGGCCATTTGTTCTCTTCAACAGCTTCGCCAAATTGGGATAACGGTGTAGAAAAGTCCGGAGTGAAGGGCCCATTGATACGGGGCTCTAGAGTCGATAGGTCGAGCTCAATCACTTGATCGTACTCGGCGCCAGAATCAGCCTGTAGCTCTGGTGCAATGCTCTCAATAGCGCTAGCCATATCACCACGGCTATTGGATCGGAGATAGTCCGCCATCTGAGGGGCGTAAGGAAAGATTGACGTCGTGGCTCCCGTTTCTGCGCCCATGTTGCAAACAGTAGCCATACCAGTCGCCGAAAGGGTCTTTGCACCAGGCCCAAAGTACTCAATAATTGAGCCAGTGCCTCCTTTCACTGAAATCATCCCGGCTACAGCGCTAATGATGTCCTTTGGCGAAGCCCATCGAGAGAGTTTGCCGGTTAGACGGACACCCAGCACCCTCGGTGCTTTCAGCTCCAGAGGCAGACCCGCCATAACATCAACAGCATCAGCACCTCCAACACCCACGGCGATCATCCCCAGTCCACCGGCATTCGGCGTATGAGAATCTGTGCCAATCATCATTCCGCTGGGGAAAGCATAGTTTTCGAGCACAATCTGGTGAATAATTCCCGCCCCGGGCTTCCAAAAGCCCATGTTGAACTTTTGGCAGGCACTCTCCATGAACTCATAAACTTCCTTATGTGCCTCCAGAGCTCTGGGTAGGTCTTGGGGCTCACCATCTCGACTTACAATCAGATGATCACAATGGACTGTCGTTGGTACTGCTGTTGATTCCATGCCAGCGGACAGGAATTGAATGAGAGCCATTTGAGCTGTTGCATCCTGGCAGGCAATACGCAACGGGCGCAATTTGAGCTCCGATGTGCCCCGCTCGATACGTTCATCGAATTGATCATCGAGATGGCTATACAGTACTTTTTCCGAGTACGTCAAAGGTCGCTTTAGTCTGGAAAGTAGAAGGAGAATTAGAGATATCAAGTGGTAGGTGATAGCAATCGTTACTTACCGATCCCTCAGTGATTTCACCTTGGAGGGAAAACTGCTCAAGTTGATTGTTTGTCGTTCGAGTCGACTCAAAGGTACTTGGGCATGAGAGGCAAAGCCTCGAGCCAATTTTGGATACCCCAGTCTCATTCTGAATATTTGGAGATGACCATACCAAGAGGCTAGTCAAATAAAAGTATCTTTAAGTTTACTCCATCCGCGTGGAATGTCTTTGTAATATGATGTTTTCATTTGTTCAACCCTACTTTCCCTGGCGGCGCTTTTCGGATGCTTCCGTCGGCTGAGCCGAGAGTTGCTCTCGTATGAGGGCCAGTGCATTACAAAGGATCTGGGAGTAGCTACACAGTACAACGATGAAAGAAGTGAAAGCCTGTCATCATGAGGGCGGTTTCTGACTTATGAATTGGCTCGAGGCAACATGAAGCTAACTTCAAACGAAAGGAAGAGGGGGTTTAAAAATTTTGTTGGGGCCAAAACAAGCGCGAAATTGATTGGGATGTTCGTTTTTTTGCAGTCGCTGAATATTATACACCTAATTCTTCCAATAGATCTTCCCATCAAATAACCTACGGGCAGTGCGAAACACAGTCGCTGCGGTCAACTCGTCTCTATCGAATTGAGCCCCAACTAGCAGATTGCCGCTTGCATGGCCAATTGTAAGACCGGCATCACTGACTTTTGCCTCGCTGACTACAGCTTCGACAATGCTGCCACCCACGCGCGCAGCGGAGGAGACAGCTAGCGCAACGGTGATTGGCACGGCCTTATGCGGCTGTCCAACTGAGATAGCCCGTACAAGTAGATCCACAGGCTCATTCTTATTGACAGACTCGGGTGAGGATACCATGCAAACCTTAGGAATGCTGCCCGGGACTTTGTCGACTGTCTGTGCTATACCCATCTTGACTCCTGCCTGGCACCGAATTGAATCCAAGCGCTGGAGAAGGGTTGGGTGAGCTGTGATCTCGTCCGGCGTGAGGTCACCCCGGACGCCAAGATCGGTTGCTCTGACAAACACGCATGGATTGGCGACATCAATACAGGTGGCTGGGACGCCATCGAATTCATCATGCGCGTTACCAGTTGGCAATAGCTTCCCGGTGACAGAGCCTGCTGGGTTGACGAAATCCAACTGAATCCGGGCGGCCGTCCCAGCGACGCCATCGATAGAAAAATCGCCTGTACTTGCAGCTTCTCCATCCACAACGGGGAAGGTGGCAGTAATGATCTTGCCAGTATTGGTGTTGTGGATACGGACGGTCGCCGAGTCCGAAGTCTGTGCAGAGACAAGCTTTTGGTCAATGGCGAATGGACCGATCGCACTGATCATATTGCCACAATTACTCGAGTAATCGACATCGGTATTTTTAACCCCCAGAGAGACGAATGTATAATCAACGTCAGCGTCGGGGTGTGTGGAAGACCCCACCACGCACACCTTGGAGAGGCTGGAGATGCCCCCCCCTAAGCCATCAAGCTGTCGACCATACGGATCGGGACTACCGATGACCTTGCGGAAGATATCGTCCCATTCAGACCGAGGAGGCAAGTCGGCTTGATTAAAAATGACGGCGCGCGAAGTGCCGCCGCGGTAGTAGGCCGCGGGAAGGCATCGCTGTTTCGAGAGGAACCTCCTGGTGCTAGAGACAGCGCGTTTTTGGAAGGTATATTGGAACATCTCAATAGGGTGTTTTGTTGCGACAGGCTGGGCGATTGAAATTGAGCTGTGTATTTAATGACCTTGGGCACCGAATGAGAGGATGTGGGTCGCTATCGGATACATCCGATGCAGGATGTGACAAGGTATTGATGGAACGCTACTTGCGCAACTGCATGATCGTCGGCCCCGTCGACTCGTCTGCTCGCAAAGCGGTAAATGTCGTTACATCAATATTGAATCGCTCCTGGCAGAGTTTCACAGTCTGCCCCATTAACGATCGGGGTACTACGTCACATGTCGAGAATCGCTTCAGGTTTTGCCGAACCTTCGAGGTCATCTTACTTTGTTCTGATCCACAATGAGTCGGTAACTTCAGAACTGTCGAAATTAAAATGAGGTTCGAAACAAAATCAAAAGAGAAGTCGATCTGGTTAGGCAATTGCAAGTCTCGGTCCAGTCGGAATAAACCCGGTGTACAGCAGAAGAATGAATTGCAGTACTCATCAAGAGGGTTCTGGAGACCCACTGTCCAGAATAAGCTTCGGGAGCAATGGTGATTTTGCGCAAGCCCATACGACTAATAGTCTGCGTCTTCTGATGAGAATCGCCTGAATTTACAGGTTTGGAGGGGCTGGAATCACCGGACAGCAACAGTCGAGCTGAACGACATTTTGTGGCGACATCAAAGAGAGACAATTGACCGAAAGAAGACATGATTCATCAAGGAAATCCTCAAAACAAAACGCTCCAAGCGTCTGTAGTTCCCATATCGATACCTTCGGTGAACAAATCAGCCCATGGTAAATCGACTTGAACATCAGGAAAGTGCGAGAGCGAGCCATGAGGATAGTTCTCTGGATCTTGTTGATCTCTTGCTTGTGAATCAAATGTGTGCGTCTGAAGTCCAAACCAAGTCTGGAACTCTGTATCGATACTAGAGTCGGCTTGATCTTCGTTTTCAAATAGTGACAAGATTGAATTGCCAAGTCGTTCAACGATACCACAACATTTGTCGCCCACCAACCGACCATCGCATATGCCACGGAAAAGAGTAAGAAAGGTGAATATGTTGGTTTTAATCACCGGTTTGGTCAATTCTCTCCTAAGGGGAGCAAAGGCTCGTAAAGAATAGAGCATCGTGACCGCCGCCATGAACAGTGAGTGGATTGCGACGAAAGTATATTTGATATGGTTCCGTGCATATAATGCACTGTATGAACTAATCAACCCGATTGAAGACTCAGTGCACACTCGTAGGTCATCCGGAGATGGCATTGGAACGGCGCGCGATGGACGATACAGAGAGAGAACGGCATGATGAAAGGCAATCTGAAACCATTCGGTCGACTGGAAAGTCGACAAAGTCTGCATATATCGCGGCGCAGTTATCAACCATTGATTCAGTTCCATGAAATATCTACTGCGAAGTGTGTCGATTTCGGCGGTATCTGCCAAGGTCGATCCGATAGAATGGAAAGTTGTGTAGACTCCAGCATTGATCCGGCGTAGCTTAATAATATGGATAAAGGTTGAAGTATCTGCCACATTGGGTATCAATGTTTCCTCGACATAGGGGCTGTGGACAGATTCATCGAGCTGAGTGTCCGTCAGCTGCAGAGGCAATGGCATGCTGATATCCGACTCTCGAATTCCCAACGGTCGGCCCATATTGATGGCCATGCTGCAGCTCATCACATAGGCACACCAAAAGACACGCTTGCACATTTCCATGTCCATCATGCCTTGACCTACCAGGCTTTCCTTGCGATGCAGATCGATGCCGATAGCGAGGTTCAGGGCCAGCCCGGTGGTATACCACATGTTGACGGACTGAGGCTCGTTATGGCCGTACATGCACATGAGGAGAAGACACTGGATGCACTCAAAGTTGTCGGAGCTCATGACAAGATGTAGGTCCTTCACTGCTTCTCTGAAAAAGACCTTGCAGATCTTGTCACTGGCATGCTGGGACGACCTCTCGGTTGATGCAATGGCGCAAACGATGTTAACCAGAAAGTTAGACAAGGGCCTCATGTCAGACTTCGTGAGAAATGGGGTCAGGTGCTTTTGGAAAAAGGATCCCCGATGTAGTACTGGTAAATATGGCCACCTTCTATCGAAAAATGCGTTTACCAGATTGACGTATGCATCAAGGTCGAGGCCTGACTCGCCTGCCTCTGGGACCTCAACGGTGGTGTCGTCTCCCCACAGCTCCCAGGCACTGCTCAGAGCGCTGCGGTTTGACTTTCTGGTATTAGCCTTCAATGAAAAGGTAGGTCCCAGAATACGGCTGGTGAATCGATTATCCGGGTTGCTGCTCAGCTGGTCAGGCCGTGACACGGTCCCCGTGGTTGTTGGGGCCACTGAACAATTCTCGGAATTTGGAGTATCAGTAGCAGCCTGAGTAGAGCTCAGTGCCTCCAATATCTGAAGCTCCAGTTGCTGGCATTTTTGAGATAGCTCATGGCTTCGCTGCTCGGCAGCGGCAAGTTGAGACCGGAGAGATTCACATTCACAATTTGAATTTGTATGCTGGATCATCAGTCGATCTGACATGACACAAGGAACCTCAACAGCCGCACATGGTCCACATGTCGGCACTTTGCCATCACACTAGTGAGTATTAGCGATCGTTCGCGTAAATTTCGGGATGGCGAACCTTTTGCTTTCTTCGGCGGCATCGCTGGCATGCGGCCACGCTCCGGGGAACTCCCCGTCGATGACGACGAGGGGTAGAGGTTGGTGGGCTTTCGCTCATCCTGTCACTTATCAATTGGCCTAACAGACAGAACAAAAAATACCCGACATCATTGGTCGAGGTTGATGATACACAGGGTTGGTGCGGAGAAACGCTCGTTGACACTAAGGCAACCCCAGGCTTGGCATTCCCTTACTAATTGTGGACAGCCCACAGGGCCGCGAGCCCCCCGAGTTATGCAGTCATGGCTGTTATAGTCCTTGAAAAGGAGCACATCATACAATTACTGCGACCCACCTCGAAAGTAATGTTCCTTTCGTGAGGTTAACTTTCTCGCCATTTCCCAGGGGTTCATTTGGCACCAAATTTATTGTATCACACTGATTTGTTCGAGCTTTCTAGCGTTGCGTAGTTCGGCGGCTTCTCAAAAGAGACTTGTATTGCTCATAAAAAACTAATTAGATAATTGTTGCCAATATTTCCCGGATATTGTATATATTTTGCTAATCAAGATACAGAAGGCTTGGATTCTTCACAAGCATTCTTGCGTAGACATCACTTCCCATCCACTGATACAACCTCTCAAGAATGGCAAGGTTGTCAACCGCTCTAAAAGGCTCTTTGACTTCCAAGGAAGCATTCACTCTGTCATGCCCCTCCCCTGTATGTGGCCAGTCACTCCCCCAGATCATCTGGTCCGGAATTTCTTGCGCGAATTTCTGGACGAGAGGCTGCAGGTCTTCGAAATTGGACGAGACATCGGTGGACATTCGGTATAAACCCGAGATCTTCACATGCACCCGAGAATTTCTAGCAAGCGACAAGAGGGAGTTGAAACCGGGTTGCGATGTTGGCGTTGACTTCAAATTCGAAGGAAGCTTAGTTGGACCAAGCATACCACCAAAGTGGTCTGCGATGACCTTGACTGGAAGATGAAGTATAATCTCATGCAAGTCTATCCCCATTTAGCATGGTCTATCAAAAAAACGGTCCTCGTGGTAATCTTACAATCCCATGTCCATCCCGGAACAAATAACTGAATCACCCAGCCAGGTAGGTAGCGAATGCGCTCCGCAGTTTGGCGCAAAGTTGCCACCAATTTATCAGTACTGACCTCCTTACCATCGGCTTGGAAGTTCAGTCGGATACCACGCACCCCGAGGGCATGCATATCTTTCAATTGTCCATCGGTAGTAGTATCAAGGTCCACTACTGCAATACCGAACGCTCCAATGTCTCGATCTCTCATCATCCGCAGACATTGCATCATAACAGAGCAGTCATACTTATAAGGAGATGGCTGAACAAGAACCAATTTAGTATAATGAGAATCTGCGGAGAGGCTTTTGTTGAATGCGATCAACTTTTTCAATGGCGCATCCTCGGGGGTGTAGGCTCGCTCAGCAGCATATTGCCCTAGCTTTGGATCAAAGATATGTACGTGGGTATCAACCGCGTTTCTTGGAAGGTACGATCTGGAGAGGTCAGAGCAAGAAAAGCGATCTGTGAGGTGGACTTACTGGGTTCTGATATCACTCTCTTGGCTACTACCGGTTCCTGAGGACATCTTGCAGGTGGAGATTGTGTATAGACTGATGGATCTTGATCCGCGATTAGAAAGACTACTTTGGATCCATGATCTCAACATTATAATCGAGCGAGTTGTTTCCGAATCAGCCGGTACGACCTACTTTTCGTAAGGTTCCGTTGCGTTGAACAATTGGCTATCGGCTGTGCCGATGGGGGTCCGTCATCGGATACTTCCGGCAGCCGCTTGGGGACCCTAAAACAGGTGGACAAATAAAACCGTCTATATTTTGACCATCTCAGCTAAAAAACAGAGCATACAGGTTCAATATGTCACAATTATCATTACAAACAACGCCGATATTGCCAGGTAGTTCCGAGCACAAGCGGCCTATTCCGTACCGGAACCTGGCGGTCGGGGCGTTGATGAACGTCTTTCAAGGTGCGTGGTGATTACCTCAATGGTCGATCGAGTACTCTACTAACTTAGATCGTGTTTTATCGAATTAGTCACTACTCTCGGGCAGCCTATGGAAGTACTTAAGACTCATGTATGTTTTTACTCCAACTTGACTTGGACCATGAAAGATGTCTAACATAATAAAAAAAAATATAGCTGGCAGCAAACCGACAAGACACATTGAAAGATGCCGTTCAAAAGACTTGGTCGCGCGGACGAGTGGTTGCTTTTTATCAAGGGCTCATTCCTTGGGTACGCAACGTTCCTTCCCGTCCAAAACTTCAAGTAACACTAACGGAATGAATATCGCAGGCGTGGCTAGAAGCGTCCACCAAGGGTGCTATTTTGCTAGTAGCATCAAGTGAGATCGAATATCACGCAAGAACAAAACTCAATGCCTCGCCTATCGTATGTGGCGTCTTAGGCGGCATTAGCGGTGGCATTGCTCAGTCCTATCTCACGATGGGCATGACGACGTGCATGAAGACGGTCGAAGTGACACGCACGAAAATAGGTACCCAGGGCGCCAGAGTTCCTGGTACGATGGAGACTTTTTTCAAGATTCTCCGTGAAAAAGGAATTCGAGGTGTAAATCGGGGTGTCAATGCCGTTGCATTGAGACAAGTTACCGGATGGTCTTCCAGAATTGGTATCTCTCGCTTTGCCGAGGAAAGTATACGATCTATGACTGGAAAGAGTAAGGATGAGAAGCTGAAGTTTGGCGAGAAAATTTTGGCATCGACCATTGGCGGTGCGCTTAGCTGCTGGAACCAACCGTTTGAAGTGAGTGTTCTTGTCGATGGCCACAGGATTATCACTAACCTGAATTGCCCAGGTCCTTCGTGTGGAAATGCAGTCTATGAAGAGTGATCCCACACGCCCCGCAAATCCAACCATTGTATCCACATTCAAACATATCATTGCCGCCTCTGGTGTCAAGGGCTTGTTCCGTGGTGTAGTGCCTCGGATTGGAGTAGCGGCATGGGCTACGATTTGTATGGTGGGCTTTGGCGATACGGTGAAAGAGATGGTTGCACGCAAGTGAATTTTCAGCTGGACCACACCGTGCCTCACCTTTTTCCAATTTATAATTTAGACCAATTAGAGGATACTTTTCTATTACTGGTAGAATTGTGCTCCAGTTGGAAGAGACTCCTAAAGCTCAGGTTGGGTGACGATGTATTACGATGCAGTACATATTTCATACCACGGGCCGTCTTCCCAAATTCCTTGCCCGAGACTCACGAGAACCATATGTCAAAGATTTCGTTCCGATGTTCCGAAACCAAATTGTGGAAATAGGCCACTTGAACCTTATGATACAAAAACAATTCGAATTTGGCCGAAGGTGCCAGGGAGAGCTTGATAGATCGGAAGGAAGTGGCCCGTAAATGGGCCTTGCCGATTGGTCTCCGCACCGGATCCGCCGCGGCTGACGTCCGAGCTTGAGCTTCGTTCCTCTCTCCTTCCCCCTCAGCACATCATCTGGAGGCTTTCGAATTCCATTGTTGGCAATCGGCAGCGACTATCTCCAGCAAAATGTCTTCCGAGGAACCCGTAAGGGCCCCGGTCTCAGAGCAGACGCCTCTGCTCCGTGATGCCCACCCCGCCCATGCGGGCGAGCCAAATGGGCAGGAATCGGTGGCCGAGGAGCGCTCTACCAAAGAGCTCATTTTGATACTCGGCAGCATTTGGCTGGGTGTATTCCTCGCTGCACTTGGTATGTTTTGGATAGGCTCTGCCATTGGTGTTAACACTATACTGACGGAGGATTTACCGCAGATACGACCATCGTCGCGACATTGTCGGCACCCATCTCCTCGTCGTTCAACTCGTTCTCGCTGCTCTCGTGGCTGGCTACGTCTTATCTAATATCAAATGCCGCATGCCAACCGCTGAGTGGCAGATTGACCGATATCTACTCGCGTCGCTGGGGCCTGGTCTTTTCCAACGTCTTCTTCGCCTTGGGAAACTTGATTTGCGGATTGGCACAAACACAATGGGCAATCATCCTGGGACGCGTCGTCGCGGGTGTCGGTGGAGGTGGCTTAACTGCTATCTCGACCTTTGTTACCTCGGATTTAATTCCATTGCGCAAAAGAGGCGTTTGGCAGGGTATTGGCAACATCTGCTACGGGGCTGGCATGGGTCTTGGCGGGGTATTTGGTGGGTGGATCAATGACACATTGGGATGGCGATGGGCCTTTTTGATTCAGATTCCATTCTTGGTTGTCTCGTGCATTTTGGTTATCTTCACGGTGAACATCCCCGTCAAAGTTTCGGATAAGGCGCGCATCAAGCGCGTGGACTTCCTCGGAGCCATCACCTTGGTCGTTACTCTGGTTACACTCCTGTTGGGTCTCAACACCGGTGGAAACCAAGTGCCTTGGACTCACCCAATTGTCCTTGTCTCGTTGCCGCTCTCGGCAGTTTTCCTCGGTGTATTCATCTACGTAGAAGCCTACATTGCGACCGAGCCCGTCATTCCGGTGAAACTACTCCTGGACCGGACGGTGGCATCCGCCTGTTTGACTAATTGGTTCACGACGATGGCGGTCTTTGGACTGCTCTTTTATCTTCCGGTCTACTTCCAGGTTCAGGGCCTCTCGGCCACTGCGGCTGGCGTTCGCCTGATTCCACAAGCCATTGGAACATCAATTGGGTCGCTCGGCAGTGGGTTCATTATGCGAGGCACGGGTCGCTATAAGATCCTCAACTATGCAGTCATGGCCCTGCAAGTTCTCTCGGCAGCCCTAATTTGCACCTTGAACTTGGATACGCCCGTGTGGCTGCCGTTCGTCTACTTCTTCTTCGGCGGTGTCGCGTACGGAAGCATGTTGACCATCACTTTGGTGGCATTGATCTCAGCTGTGGATCACCAGCACCACGCCGTTGTGACCTCGGCCTCCTACGCCTTCCGCAGTACTGGAAGTACCATTGGAATCACCGTTGCCTCGGCCGTTTTACAGAACACCCTCAAGACTGGACTGTGGTCGCGATTTGGCGAGCGCGAGCATGCGTCAGAGATCATCTCCCGGCTGCGTGATAGCTTGGATGAGATTCGCAAGCTGCCGCTAGACTGGATCCCAGGAGTCTTGGATTCTTATATGGATTCCTTACGAGCAGTGTTTGTGACGCTTTTGGGGTTGACTATCTTGGGAGCGGCGGTTAGTATTGCGATGCGAGAGCACAAACTGCACGATAACCTCTCTCGTCGGGAGACAGAATAAAATGGAAGAGGTCTGCCGGAGTAGAGTGCATGATAGACGGCAGCACCGCTCATACATGCCAAGTATATAAGTTAGATAGACTATCATCATGATTCAATTCACATTTGCCCATCGAACCCCACCTGAGTCAATAGTTCCACTGTATTCACCGCCCCGGCCACCGCCCCACCAATCACGGTGAAGCGCTGCTGCACGGCTGCCCGCTGGTAAGCGGCGCCTGCGACTTTTGGCTGCTTTGTGGTCTCGATCATTTCTGTTTGCAACTCTTCATTGGTCCGCTGCATGCGCTGGTTGTCTTGGGCGTGCTGGTCGTGCTGGACTTACTGCTTCTTGCTGGATCCCCCTCGTTCTCCTGAACTGTTGCAGCTTAATATCTTGAAGCCCGCGCACTTTTCGCCGGTTTTCGAGTGGCGAGACGTGGCGACCTGGACCCAGAGTCTCTGGCCAACAAAGCCAAATTACACCGCTCGGAGCAGGGAACAAAGCTCGAGTCAAGCAGGTTACACAACAGATTCGATCAGTGGTAGAAAGGTCTGGGTCCTGCCGTTCTTGCTGGTGGATACGATTTGAGGAAGAGATAAAGCCCCGTCACCGCTTCGATTGCCTGATCATCAACCCAATCTGCTATTATTGCATAGGCACTTTAAGGCTCAAGATTGGATTGCCTTGTGACTTGACTAGGGACGCTTGATCGATTTTCTACCTAACAACTGATCGTTTGCCTCGAGCGACTACAATCCTTTTCCTTTCTCGACTTGCGCAAGTCCTTATCAGAACCCGAATCCCACGAAATCTTTATCGGCCCCGGGCATGGCAGTTGGTTTTTGGCCCGATAGTACCGTCCCGAACGCCCCGAAGACCAGCATTGCGAATCTGGAGCGGAACAGTGAGATGGAAGTGGATGGCGATGGCGAGGAGACAGTCATAGGAAACAAAGAAGGCTATCGGGTTTGCCCCGACCAGTCCATGCGCGATCTCTCCACGAGTCCGCGGCGGCGACGCTTGCTGCTCTCGACTGACAGCGCCTTCGCCGACACAGTCCTCCCGTCGCTAGTCAAGAACCCTTATATCGAGCTGCGCTTGATCACCGACGAATCCTCGGCGCTGCTAGCCGGCACGAACAAAATCCCACATTACACAGACTCGGTCGACAGTACAACCTTTGACAAGAAGACCAGTGCGAGGAAATGGCTCAAGGCAAAGACGGCCGAGCTTTGCGAGTGGGCGGATATGCTACTGGTCGCTCCCATCGACGCGGGCGCTTTGGGGTCTATGCTGGCGGGGTTGACAAACACTTTGACCTTGGCGCTCTTACGGGGTTGGGTGTCGAGCAAGCCCGTGATTTTGATTCCAGGAATGACCGTCTCAGAATGGGATCACCCGTTGAGTGCGCGACAGCTGGAAGAAATAAACCGGTTCTGGCCTTGGATTCGAATCGTTCAGCCCGTGCTCTGGAAGTCCAATGGGCCGGAGGACCTCACGCCGCTGCCGTGGGATGGATTGCAAGATCTGCACAGAAGTCTGGAGAAAGGCTTCAACCTACCTCCGTGGGAGAGACCATTTTCGCAAAGTGCTACCAGTGCAAAAGCAACGCCATCCTCGCAAACTATTCCTTCACTGGCAAAGCCGTCTGGTAGTGACACCGCCACGGCACTTCGCCAGCTCCAAACACACTGGCCAAACCCAGAAACAAGAGTGCGATCCCTCCCTTTTGAGATCTGGCTCAACATCTTTGAGGATCAATTAGGGGATTGGGAAATTGCAAAGGCCGTAGGCATCCCGACCAACCTCCCAGTTCCCCAAGAATGGCAGAGCCACCTTCTCAAGATGTCCACGCCGGCTTCATTGGAATACACAATTCTCCGGGGCTCTTTTGCCGCGATGAAGAAACGCATTGACAGTCTGCCTCGATGGAAACCACTGTCAGACCTTGCCTGTCACCTCATTGTGAAATTCTCTCGTACTGATATCCTCTCTTATCTTACCGAAAACCACCTCGACCTTCTATGGACTACCTCTCGCCTCACAAACATCCCTTATCGGGCGTCCGCAATTTATGGCAATCCCACTGTTCTCACGTGGTGGCGTGATGCACCCGCACTTCCTAATAAAGAGTACGCTGCTGACGCCATGGACGGTGCCTCCCGCGCTGGCTTCATCCACGTTCTGGACTGGTGGCTACACTCTGGTCTTCCGCTCCGATACAGCGAGCGAGCCCTCGAGTCCGCCAGTGCAGAGGGCCGGGTCGCCGTGTTGGACTGGTGGAAGGCTGCATCAGCAAACGCACCGATCCACAGGCCAATCCCTCTCAAAGTTGGCAAATCCGTCCTGCTAGCGGCGCAATCCGGCCGTATCGCCTCTTTGGCTTGGTGGGATGCATCCGGTATTCCATACAGCCACGCCGAGAATGTGACCCGTATTGCCAGTACGCACGGCCATGTGCATGTCCTGGATTTCTGGTACCGATTGAAAGGACCGAAGATGATCTTCGATAATCAGGTTCTCGTCGGACCCACCAAAAACGGGCATGACCATGTTCTGCAATGGTGGAAAGACTGCGGCCTACGGGTCGAATTCAAAACCTGTGATATTGAGGAAGCTCTCGAAGACGCAGTCTCTGGTGCGGACGGTCGCGTCCGTCGCTGGTGGGAGTGTAATGGTCTCAACCTCGGCGTTGGTACCCGAGAGTGGATGAAGACGAAAGTACTTTAATTTGCATATGAACATTTCAAGGTGTTCAAGGAAAAATTTTCGAGTTTTATTTGAGAGTTTACCTACCATTGGACACAAGAGCAGCATTCGTGTATGGTTTTCAGCCGTGTTTTAGTTTTCTTTGGCCCCTGTTTGACTCACGACACCAGATGATGATGATCAATAATACCCATTTGCCCTTTTTTCATCACTTCTGTCATTTACCATTGCGAATGGAGGACTGTTGGCGCCAGAAAGGTGTTTCCTTCTTTGTGCTTCTCGACCTTGTATCTAACTCCATCTGTGTTGCACATGAATTGAAAATTCTCACAACCTACTCCCACTTTTCCAAGTGTACATGTTTAATTACCGCACCCTTGATAGCATCTTTGATCTTCCCAAATTCCTTGAAAGCATCAGACTCGGCAAAAGCAAAGTGATCTTCGACTTTGTTCCAGCCACTGAAGAGCACGAATTCCTCATCCTCGCCTTCTTTATCAATGCGCCAGCCGCCAGCGTAACCGTACGGAGCAGTGTATTCTCCGAGATGAGGGGCCCCTACTGTGAAGACGTTTTCGAATTCGTCCTTCTTGCTAGCCTGCACAAAGTATCGGCTTATACCGAGGACCGGTGCATTGAGGGGGATGCTGTTTGCAGAAGGCTGTTTCAGGTGATTTTGGTCAGTCCACTCGATTTCCACCTAGTCACGTATCCCCAAGGGGTATACTTGCATCGATCTCCAGATGGAATAACCATTCTATATCAATGGCATCCTTGAGTTCAGCTAGTAACCGCTGATTCGGCTCGGAGGTAATCCAGTCTCCGAAGTGTTCGGCCACGGACGCCCATCCACCGAGGAGGTAGACTAGACTTGAGTCTTCGATCTGACGAAGGAAGTTCACTGGGTACTTTGACCAGGCGGATTGTTCCTTGACAACATCGCGAAGACTGGACTTGGTCTGCGCTGATGGTTCCTGTTCTTTGAGACGCAGGAGAGCGAATTCGGTGATGGGCATAGTGAGTAGGTTGGATTATTGCGGTTATCGAGAACACTGCGACTTTGATTGAAAGTGAATGTCTGAAATGTGATTCCATTTTTATTCGAGGGGTTATCCTTTATATAAAAGTATGAATGGAATCAATGTTCGGAGATATCGCAGTTCGGTGCTGTAGTCGGTGGAGCCCCCGAGGCAACCATTCGTTGCGTGTCCTCGTAACTAAACGGATGACCCCTTTTTCCTGAAGGGGACGTCGGAAAACGAAATCTGCATGGAGAGAGCCGTAGGCATCAGGCGTACTCGTCATCTTATTTTATACTATGGCGATGAATCCTGGAACAAGGTTTGTCGAGGTTCATGCTGTCAGTGCTCAGAGCTGGTCGTTTAGGACTTTGATGTCAACAATCGCTATATGAAGCGCCTGATACTCGAAAACACGTCAAGGCAATATTGAGGACTGAGTTAAGCTTGCGCGGCCTAAAACCTAATATCGCTTACGAGGCTGTCAAGCTACATCCCATTACGCTGAAATATTTTGAGTGCCCGGAGGACATGGTCAATAATGATATGATCATTTCCAGCTATGCACTAACTCCACAAAGGATAAGATATAATACCGCATCAAGTCAACAAAAGAAAAGCATGTCTCATCAACACCCGCACCATTGGCTCATTTGGGTATCCTGTCAAGGTATAGCCAATCTAACAATCAAGTCAAGCTCAAAGTAACGCAGTTATAACATCGCGGCTTCCCTGATCTAAACCTCTTTCCTGTGTGTTTGTTAGCGACTGATCTAGAACACACTAGAGGAACAAGAGACGTACCAAGAATACCCAGCTTTCTCAATTCCAGGCGTTTTAATCGCATTCCGGTCTCCGAAGGGATTGTCTTCGTCGTCTTCCTCCTCTTCCTCCGTCTCGGTATCACTCTCGAATATTTGCCGCCCGTGCTGCGAAGACGAAGCAACGGGTAGACTAGGCCGAGGTGGCTTCGGCGGGTTGATGGACAACCCACTAAAGCTCTGATTCATCTCGGATTCGATATCAGCCCGCGGCCGCCAGTTGCCCGAAAGTACATCATCGTCACTATCGCTGTCGTAATCCACACTCTTGTCCAGAACCTCGAAAGCCATTAATGCGGTCACCAGCTCTTCATTTGCATGGATCAATCCGCCAAGGAACTCCTCGCTCTCGATCTGCTGGATATATCGCAGAATCTGGTGACGGAGCTTCTTGCATATCTCGAAGCGGTGGCTACATTCCGCATCATCACTGACACGAGTGGTTTCGCGGTTAACCAGTTTCAAAGAGTTGAGCAAGTTCGTACTCGCTACCGAGGCAGAAGCGATGGTCTCCAGAATCTGCGGGCGTTCCCGCTCCATGTTGAAGCGACTTGTGCTGATTGAGAGCTTCTTGTCTCTCTTCTTTTCCTTCGATTTGGGCTTTAGCTTTGGACTGCTGAGCATTGTAGAGGGTCCATTGCCGGCTGAGATGGTGACAGTATGCCCCATTGGTGGGTCGTTGTGGTTTGACCCTTCTCGGAGAACCTTGGCTTTGGCCTGCGTGGCTGGTTGCTTGCGCTTCGGGAGTTGCTTATAGAGCGCCGTAATCTTTGCCATGCCCGGCGTATCCTTGTATGTTACCGCCCATTGCGCAAAAAGCTGTTTACACTTTTGCTTCACAAGCGGGTCTGAGACGGGATCGGTAGCGGCGATACGGAGTCGTTCCAGCAAAGGCTCGTCAGCGAAGTCGCGCAAGAACCGTTCGCCTGCATTTTGAATCAAGAAATCGAGGATTGTGAGCGCTCGTAGTTGCCGATGAAGGTTTCCATACTTTCTGGAGAGGATATTAGTCGGAATCACATGGAAGACTGTTCGCGATCCACCCACAGCTTCTTGCGCAAAGCCCGACTCGCCTCCGTCGGGCCACTGGCTTGGATGCGAACGACTTCTACCAGATCGACGATACCACTGGAATCCTCCACCTCATATTGTTCACTGGTCAGGACCTCTATTTGGACCGTCACGGCTGAGTAGGGTTTCTAAAATCGGTACCGGGACCAGGTCAGCTCTGGTCGGTCACAAGACCCCTTGTCGCGGGGACACGAAGGACTTACCGAGGATTGAAACATTTTGGCATGAAAGGAAGAGTGATAATCAAACCAAGTGGTGATCAGTATGGTTCGGAGAACCTTAGCTATCCGATGAATTGGTCTTCGAAGCTCGTTCAGGTGTAGAGTACCCCGCGCGTTTAGGGGTTCGGCCTGTCCGTGTCAAGCCCCGCACGGGTCGGATCAAACTGGCGAGGGATGGGAAAATATGACAGCGTAGACGAGCGAATATACCGCGCGGGAGCTATAGTTGCGCTCAGTAATGATCAGTATCCACCCGCCGTGAGAAGGTGGTGTCAAAAGGCCCTTGGAGTAGAGCAGTGGGGTGATTATGGTGTCGCGTGAATGGTGGTGACGTCGGAGGGCTGCACGGTTTCCTCTTAGCGCCACGCTTTGATACAGTCACGGTACGGACCACTAATTCATATCATTAAGCGTGTCTAATAAGCTAGTGGGTCGATGATCAAGCAGGTGTGTATCCCTCTATTGTCAAATTATCCCGAGCGATATACCGTAGTAGGCGAATGTTAAAGGGAAAGGCTTCGTGGGGATTGCGACCGGGCGGGACAGGGTAAAGATCGCGTCGTTTAATGTCCAGCGGCTAGAGGGGATCGCTAGCGGGCATAGGGAGAATGATCTCACTCTGATAGCATCTCGGCATACCTCCGCTCACAGTCTGATTCATATGCTTTGTCCATTTAATAATAATGACGATCCTAATGTCCCTATTCCCACAAGTAGCTTATTCATATCATCGAGTAAGTTATTATAGGACTCGCTCTATCCTACCTCTACGGTGACTCTAGGAAGAAGCTGGGAGGGGGTTACGAAAGAGCGTATCTAGCTGTTTTCGAAGACCGTGGTATAGACCACTTATTCATATCATTAAGCAAATTAATAGAAGCTAGTGGGTTGATAATTAAGCAGGTTGATATCCCTCTGCTGCCAAATTTCGCCGGGCGAAAACCCGTAATTCGCGAATGTTCAAGGGAAAGACTTCGTTGGGATTCCGACCAGGCGGGACAAGGTAAAGATCGCGTCGTTTGATGTCTAGCGGCTGAAGAGGATCGCCGGCGGGCATTGGGAAAATGATTTCAGTCTGATCGAGTTTCGGTATACCTTGACGATCGAGTCTATAAAGCTCGAGGATGCCGCTCACAGTCTGATTCGAATGCTGCGTCCATTTAATAAGAATGACGGCCTTAATATCCCCATTCCCACCAACAAGAAGCTTGTTCATATCATCAAGTAGGTCATTGTAGGACTCGCTCCATCCTACCTCGACGGTAGTGCTAGGAAGGAGCTTAGAGGGGATCCAGAAGAGCGCATCTGGCTCTTTTTCAAGTCCACGATATGGTCCACTTGTGAATGTAAGGGCTAAAGTGACTTAAATTAGCTTAAGTTATAAGTGGAATGATAGATAGGAACTTACTTGTACCAAATTGGATATCGATTTCTCCATGCTCTTGACGGGTTAGGAACTGTGATGCGTAGGCTTCGCCCATAGAGTTCGATAACCATCCTTGGACGAAATTGTGGGAACGAGTTGGCATGATTTTGAGTCGTAAAGTACCGATCTTTGGGTCGTAGGTTTTCAGAATACGAGGGAGGGATTCCTCGAACTCCCAGAGAAATTCCTCCCAGCCAAGGGGCAGATCGGTGATAACGAGCTCGTGGAAGCCTTGAACTTGGAGCAGAGTCTCGCGAATAGCGTCTTCGAATTGGGGCTGTATCTTGAATTGATTTGCGGACACCTGGGTCCGAGACGAGTCGGGGTTCAGCGGAATAGCAGACATGATGATGATGGTCAAGAGATAAGGTGGGAAGAGTAGAGCGAAGAGTCGCAGAGAGAAATAGTAATGGAGAAGGAGCGTTCGAGAAGTGGAAAGGTCGGTTTGTGTAACTGTACCGTACGTAACTGTAAGTTATCTTCCCGCCGGCCTGCACACTGACGCAGATTGCAGGTGTACCTCTCCCTCTTGCTCCCCTCCTTCCCATCATCCTCACCCTTCTCCAGCTCCCATATCCCAACGATGGCCTACCAACAAGAACGCTACGTCGCTGAGCTCGCGGTTCAGCGGGCCTGTTTGCTCACCCAGAAGGTCTTCTTCGAGAAGGCCAAGGGTACAGTCAGCAAGGACGACAAGTCCCCCGTGACCATCGGCGACTTCGGCGCCCAGGCCCTCATCATCCAGGCCATACGCAAGAACTTCCCCAACGATGAAATTGTTGCCGAGGAGGAGGCCAGCTCCCTCCGTGAGGACAAGAATCTAAGCGCGGAGATCTGGCGTCTGGTGAAGGATATCAAGCTGGAGGATGCGCAGAGCGATAATGTGCTGGGCGGTCCTATCGCCAGCGAGGAGGCAATGTTGGACATCATCGATGAGGGCAAGAGCGCTGGTGGTCCCAAGGGACGTATCTGGGCTCTGGACCCCATCGACGGCACCAAGGGTTTCCTCCGTGGTGGCCAGTACGCCGTCTGCCTGGGTCTGATCGTCGACGGTGATGTCAAGGTTGGCGCCATTGGTACTCCTAACCTACCCGTGGACGATGCCGCTCCCATCGATGCCAGCACCGGCTCTCAGCAGACCAGCACCTCTGCTAACGGTGTGCTCTTCTCCGCCGTTCAGAACGAGGGTGCCACCAGCCGCCCCCTGTCCAACGGCACTCTCGCCGAGAGCAAGTCCATCTCCATGCGTCCCGTCCCCGACATCGCTCAGGCTGTCTTCTGCGAGGGTGTCGAGGCTGCCCACTCTGCCCAGGGTGACAATGCTGCCGTTGCTGAGCGTCTCGGAATCACCGCTCCCAGTGTCCGTCTGGACTCGCAGGCCAAGTACTGCTCCATCGCTCGTGGTGCTGGTGATATCTACCTCCGTCTCCCCGTTAAGAAGGACTATCAGGAGAAGATCTGGGACCACGCGGCGGGTGACATTATTGTCCGCGAGGCCGGTGGCCAGGTGACCGACATCTACGGCAACCGCCTCGAATTCAGCAAGGGCCGGACCCTGGCTGCCAACAAGGGTGTTGTTGCTGCCCCCAAGGCCCTGCAGGACCAGGTCATTGATGCCGTCAAGGTTGTCCTGAAGCTTTAAGTTGGACTTGACGTTGCTACTGGCTAGGATCATGCTGGATGCGTCTAAAGTACATTTGTGATACCACGTGGAGGAGGTTGAAAGAAAAAAAAAGGAGTGCTATTGAAAAAGTACATCGTACATATATGACGGAGATAGAGTATAAAATAAGAATACACGGAACCCAAGATACAATGTTCCAGAACGAAAAAGGATACGAGCGCCCACCCTCTATTTAATCTTCTTCGCCTTGAGTTTAATAGTCTCGCCGTTGACAAAGATACCCTTGCCCTTGTAAGGCTCCGGTCGTCTCCATTCACGGATCTCGGCGGCGAACTGCGTCACCTTGCGCTTGTCGACGCCTTCCAGAAGAATGCGGGTGGGCTGGGGTGTGCTGGCCTTGATTCCCTTGGGGATACCGAGCTCGATGGGGTGAGAGAAGCCGACCTTCAGGGAGACGAATTGCTGGCCGGGATAGGAGGCAGTCACGGTAGTCGCCTTGGACTCGATGGTAGCCCTGTAACCGACACCAACCATACTGAGAATGCAGATGTGACCTTCCGAAACGCCGATGATGTGATTCTGGAGAAGTGCGCGCGTGGTTCCTGAGTAATTGAATCGATTGGTTAGCCTGAGATCGACTTTACTGTATTCGCGCGTCTCGTAGACGATACACACCCCACATAGCCCGCTGGTGAGGCTGCTCCGCGTCCGACACAGACAGAGTAGCTTTTGAGTTGGCAGCATCATAGTTCACATCCAAGAACGAGGGAATTGTAAGAGACATCTCGCCTGTAATGGAAAGTTGAAAAAAACAAGAATTAGCTTAGCTCTCCATAACCATCCACTCCCTATTAACAAAACGACCACACATACCCTTAGGACCCTTGATCTGCGCCGTAAATTTGGGCACATCCTTTCCACGAGCCCGGGCAGCAGTCTTGGGAATATCAACGAGGTTCAATGACACTTCGGGGGGAACGGAGACGGCGGCGCCGCCGACTCGGGATTGCATCGGAGATGAAGTGGAGAAGCATTGCGTGCGAGATGGAGAGAAGGCGGGGGTGAGGAAAAGAGGTAATGAGCCGCGCTGGAAGGGCTCTCGAAGGAGCTGCCAGGCGCAGCGTTGGGGTAGACACGACATGGTGGCTGGTGATGTTTAATTGACTTCGTTGCGGATTCGATGATTTTGTCGGAGTAAAATGCGGGCTCGATTGGGTTAGTATTCACGTGACTCTATCTCTACGGCGTGAATGCGGCCTGGAGAATATGGTGTCTATCGCCTTGACCAGGCATATGCTTGATATCCAGGCTTAACTATACATAATCGCCTGATTTTTAGTTCATCTTTGAAGAGGATTCATTTCGAGGTGGAATTATAAATCGAGAGACGAAATGACAATCTACGAATAAAAGGTTAACTTGCGCTGTTACAAAGCTATTCATACCTAATTGGGCAAAGTCCCACCTATGCCTTCCTGGGCAGAACCATTCCTTACGACGAGAAAAGGCAAGTGTTGCACGAAATTTAGACCTCGATTTGGAGCCATCTATTGCGAATTATTTTGATGCGATTTGCAATTCGCAGTTGTTCCGTTGTATGACCGAACTATATATTATCTCAATTATACTGCCATCTCTAGTCATTATTTCATTCAATCATTAGCTAAGTAAAGATCTCAGCATCTTTGCATATCAATCCGATGTACTAATTAACCACAACATACAGTGGTCTCTTCCACGCCCTTGATCTCCCCCCGTAGCCCCTCGATTCCAACCGTAACGACCATCCAATCACACAAAAACTTCCCTAGCCCGGCACCGATAAAAATGCAAATAATTACATAAACATTGAAATACATCGCCAACAACATGATAATATAAGCACCCGCAAAAGTCAACGCATGTATAACAGCTCGAACAAATTGCTGCAAAGGCGTCACTCGAAACCTGAGACCAAGACCCACAGACTCGGCCCTGGTCACGCAATTGTCCTTCTTGGCAGCGAGCACCGCGGCTTGGCGCTGGAATTGGCGGGTCAAAAACGTGTCGTATTCCTTGCCAAGTCGACGAAGCGCCTCGACAAGGACGACGAGAAGAATAATGCCGATGCAGGTCGCGGCGAACATGCCGTTGTTTTTGATCTGCCATCCCGTGGAGAGAAAACAGGCGTCTATTGTATACCAGTTGAACAGCATCTGCGAAGTGATTCATTAGCGGGGCCGTTTGGGCCAAGCGATCCAGCCTTGGCACCTACCGAGATTTTGCACTCGGTGCTGTCGCTGCTTGAGCTCATGTCCATCCTTTTTATCATGATTCGGAGATGCTTAGGGTAGGCACTTGGGTATGTTGGGAGTTTGCTGTAGTAGTGGGCTGAGAGGATCTACTTCCGAGGCGAGACCGCGGTGGTCTTATAGATCTCGACTGTAGAATGTCGCAACCACGTCGCGGGGATTGCCCCAAGTGGAGCAAGTCTCCGTGGGCCAGCTGGAAATCTGCTCAATTGCTCTCAAAATGTGGCTTGCGATGGTTTGAGTATTCCACAAGAGGCACGACTCTCTCGCTCTCACATTATGTATATCCTGGGCGTGTTGAGCATATTCTATTCTCTCCCTCGTTTCCCCCTCTTACACACGATATTTTACTCATGCTGTCATAAGTTTTCAACAATTGCTGAGAATTTGTCCCAGCCTTGTGGCTCTTTGTGAGGATCATACCGGTTAAGACAATACCATCCTACGTGATCATCTATTTCGATCTGATCAGTCCAAGGGCAGGCAGCATGTCCTTCTCAACATTGGGTGCTCGCGCGCACATCCAAAACTTGACTGCTGCAAAGACATTGGAGGCACACTGGGGCTACGCAGACCGTGCTGTTCCTTGCACAAACGATGCTGGCTCATGTGCCTATCTAGATGTTGTCTATTCGGCCCATGATCGGGGGATGCTGTATACGGGCATTTTCTGGTCAACTCTCGGAGGTATCCTTTTCCTTTGGGCTATATGGAGACATTTCACCGAGCCAACGATATCTCCAACTTTGACCGTACCTCGTCTCGGGGGATTTCGTAAACTTCGAATCTCTCTTGCTGCCTTCAGCCGTTCATATCTCCTCCCTGATGCACTCCGCACAATCTTCGGCCGCACGACCCGCTTGCAAGTTCTCGTTCTTGCAGCTCTAGCAGGCTATCTTCTCATCTTCAGCTTTGTCGGCATTGGCTACAACACTTGGATCACCCCAGTGTCAGGCATGGACGGTGTTTATAATACTCGGTCCAGCATCGGTCCGTGGTCAGATCGCATCGGCGTTCTTGCCTATGCACTCACTCCTCTGTCCGTGATGCTAAGCAGCCGCGAGTCTTTCCTCTCGCTGATCACGGGACTGCCCTATCAAACATTCAACTTCCTGCATCGGTGGCTGGGCTACATCATCTTTGTACAAAGCTCCTTGCATACTATCGGTTGGTGTATAGTCGAGTTGAGATTATACCAGCCACAACCGTCCGTTGGTATCGAGTGGGTGACACAAACATACATTATCTGGGGCATTGTCGCCATGATCCTGTTGCTCTTGATATTCGTTCTCAGTACGCCCTGGGGTATCAGACTTACTGGATACGAGACCTTTCGCAAGTTGCACTATGTTCTTGCCATGGTCTACATCGGTGCATGTTGGGGTCATTGGGAACAACTTAAATGTTTCCTACTTCCATCCCTCATTTTTTGGTTCATTGATCGAGGAGCTCGTTTTATTCGCACGGGTTTACTACATTATCACCCTGGCGAAGCATCTGGAATTCTAGGTTTCAAATCCATCAAGGCTGCCATCACCCATTTCTCGGAAGAGGAACATGGCGACGTGATTCGTCTTGACATGGAGAATGTTCAAGAAACCTGGAACGTCGGCCAGCACTATTATTTGTGCTTTCCCGATTGTAGTATATGGCAATCACATCCATTCACACCACTCAATGCCCCCGAGGTCGTCAAGGGAATGGTCAAGCATTCATACATCCTCCGTGCCAAAAGGGGCGAGACAAAGAAAATCGCAGATCTCGCCTCGAAGGGTACTTTGGCAACCCCCGTCATCTTGACTGGTGCTTATGGAGCGTGTATTTCCAAAGAGCTGGCACCGAATACCAACATCATCTGTGTCGCGGGTGGAACTGGAATCACATATGTGCTACCAGTACTTCTCAGCCTCGCTCAGCAACAGTCGTATTCATCAGACCGAAAGATTGATTTAGTCTGGGTAATCAGGCATACGAGCAATGTGCAATGGATTCATCAAGAACTGGATATCCTCCACAAGGCTCGCAAGGCGATGAATCTGAAAATCCGCATCTTCGCTACCAGAGACACCGTCAGCCAATCCACATCCAGGGAGAGCATCGTACCGGCAAAGAATGATAACGAGAAATCCATGCGGGCCTCTGAAAAATGTTCGTCCGCAGCTGACCTTTGTGATTGCGAGCTGGATGTCCCAGTCAAGCTTGGTGGAGGATCAGCGGACAGCAGCAGACATCCTGATTTGCAAAAGTTGATCACTGAATTTGTGGACAACACAGTCACGGGTCCAACAACAATATTTGCCAGCGGGCCTGGCAGTATGCTGAGTGATTTGAGGGATATTGTTGCTACTTGTAATTCGGCTTCCAAGGTGTGGAGTGGACAGGAGAGGTTCGATGTCAGCCTGGTGTATGATGATCGTCTCGAGTGGTAGATGCTTTACGAATAATGTGATCGAGAATCTGTTAATTGTTTGTGTTGTTGGCCGTGTAATATTCCATCATTTAGCAGTAGATCTTGAATGGGAAGAATGCCGTGGCTCACTACCTGTTTGTCTCATCTTCGAGTGAGTGTGGAATAAGTGACTTGCTTAAGCCATACACTAGGTCATGAAATGAGAGCTCGATGAATGATATCACGAGACCTCTGCCCCTTCAGTCATAACTCTGATCCGATAGAAGGAGTCGGAGGATCATGAACTTTGACATTAAGGAGGCATTGCGGTTACTCGGCCATCCACGAGTGATCACCTGGTTTCAATCTTCCTGACTTGCAAATTTCCCTGCTCATTCGCCATCTTCAACTTCGACACTTGACCTCACCGATAACCCCGCTGAATCTCAACTTGTCGCACACAATCGACATCAATGCAGATGTGAGCCGCTCAAAAAGATCCCAACAACGTCTTTCGAGGGAAAAGCGAATTATACTGCCACAATGAAGTGGCTTACCTCGCGATTCCCGGTGAGCGCGATATGCGGCGCGCTCACCTGGAGCATGATGATCTCAGCTGAGCTACAAGCATCTGAATACGGTATGTGTGCTTCCAAAGATGTCGTTGACCTTTCATTGACATTGCAAGAAACCCCTCATCTTCCTACGGCTGGAATATATGGCAGCAACGCCGTCACATACCTTACCTCGAATACTCGACAACCAGACTCGATTTTCTCGGAAGCAGTTCAGCTACTAGAATCCATGAGCGCATCCCCATCTTGCAATCGTGTGGCAGCAACCAGACTAGTCACCTCGTGTCAAGACCTCGGAGGTAAGGGCAACACAGATCCCGAGAGGAATCAAGCCCTCGATGTGATTCGATCAATATACGCTGCACGATTGGCAATCTGTGAGCTGGAGGGCACCGGTGCCGTGATACCCCAACCATGCGTTTCGGTTACAGTCCCGATTCCCTCACCATCAAATTCGGGGTTCAAATTCTTTCGCAGATCTAAGTCCATGGATTGCGATGAGACTCTACTTCCGAAGAAAGACCTGGAGCAGTGTCTCCGAAGTCTGGAATCGAGGCCACAATGGTGGACATCCTACAGCAATAACAGACAGAATGCGATGATCATATGCCAGGCATCTCGGATTGAGGCCGAGAAAGAGGAGATGCTGAACCTTCACCAGTCCCTTGCGAAAAATACGGTGAAACTTGACGAGGGGCTTCAAGAAGCCCTGCGGCAGGCTGCGGAGACCTCAGCAGAGCATCAGGCATTCCTTCTAACAGTTCAAGCGCTACAAAAGAGACTCTCTAGGGAAATGGAAGAGAGGGGATCACTCCTCCGTGGGCTTTTTGGGAAATTTCTCAACGACATCGAAGCTGGCTTTGACATAGTTGCCTCCGCAGTTAGTTCAGCATTGGGCAAGGTGCAAATGGAGACCTCCCTCCTCAGCCAGGTCAGTCTCACCCAACTTTGTTGTTTATTTGAATAGACACTAATTTGTATCTAGAATATACAAAATACGTCGTCAGAAATCCATGTACTGCAGCAGGTGCTGCGGGCCACTTCTGAAGAGACCGTTGCTCGCAGTCACCAAGCACTACGGGTGCAGCAGGAGAACTCGCTCGTAGCAAAGGAGCTCACATTGGATCTTCATTCCTCACTACGCTCCCTGGCGGAGACGGATGTCGCTCAGCTTTCTCGGCAAATGGCGAATGTTGACGTTGCCTTGGTATGTTCACTTCCATCGCTTTCTGGGGCTATACTGATAGGGATAGGAATGGCTTATAAGCCGATTAACAGTTGCTCTTGAGCAAGAAAGCAAGTTGACTGAGGTTCGTATTGCCTCGCATCCCCGAGGCAATCATACTGGAATAATTACTAAACTCAACAGCGACTCCAAGCCATGGACGCTTCAATGCACCAAGCCCAGACGAAAGCAGATGAGCTCCAAAGAGCCCAAAGCATCCAGATTGAGGCCTTGGCCGTCCAGCAACAAATACAAGAGGCAATCAGATACGATACTCAAGTATCACAAGCTCTGCTGGACAGAGCCACGACGACAGCCGCCAACCTGCACACTATAATCGACGAAGCGGCAGTGAAGTTCAAGCAAGCCCCCGGCTTGCACCAAGGTGGTCTTTCCATCTGGACAGTCTGCTTGATGCTGGTTATCGTAGTCGGCGCGCAGAATTTCAAAGCTGCTTTTGGCCTGACATTCTTCATTTTCGGTCTGTCTAAATGATCCAGGTATTGCAGTGTCAGTGGCTGACGAATGGAGTCTAGGACACTTGATCGCGACCACAGCTTTCCCCTTTTTCAAGTCATATGGCTCTTCGATGCTGGCTGTTTGAGGCCTCCTTTTTTCGATGCGTTATCGTCAAAACTATAGCAATTTTGATGCGGGGGACACTTTGATTAAATTCCAAATTCGCTGCGGATACTTTGTTTGCAGTTCGACATCGGGTTCAATCAAGCTCTATACTCACTATCCTGGCTACAACATAACCGTTACGCTTTGATCCCTTGAAAGTGCCTTATTAATAGCACGATGCCGGTCCAAAAGCATCGAATGAATCGTTTTACAGTAAATAAGCCACTTTCCATTCCTACAGGGTATCATAATCTTCGTATCACCAACAACAACACGGGCTTCTTTACTCATCAACTCCGGACGAGTCACCATCCCCGTCCACCATGGAGACATCCCCATCACCGGCGGCACCAGCCGCCGCAGCCTTCTGCTCACGAGCCTTTTGGCGACGCTTAATCTTGCGCTCTCGATTCTTGCGAGTCCTCTTCTCAGCTTCCGACTCTTTAGCAGCCACCGCAGCAGCAACCTTCTTACGCAATTGAACGCGGCGCTTCTTGCCGGGCTTCTTGCGTGTGGTTGGGGACTTGGATACTGGGGCACCCTCCACCACATAAACAGGGATGTTTTTCGAGGAAGGCGGTAGCTTAGTCTGATGGCGCTTGAGATGGATGACCCGCCAAGGTAGATCACAGCCAGGCTATAGAGATGTGTTAGTAATGAGAGCAGATAGGCGTGCATGTTGAGAAGAATGGCTTGGCTTACCCATGGTTGCGCCTTGGCCCAGGTTGTGATGTGCTCGCCAGTTACGGCCATATCTTCGAATTGACGCCTTTGCTCGGCTATCGTCTCTTTCACCATATCATCTTCGTCCAAACCAAAGAGAGTAGGTGTTGAGAAGTAGTACTGCCATCCACGGAAGGCCTTGACGAACCGCCCTTCGGAGGGGTCTCCAGAGGGGGTAGGGGACCGCAGTCGAATGCGTAGCTTTTGTGTCCCCGCTGTAGTATTCTTGGTATCCTTTCCGGACGGTGTTTCGCCTTTTGAGGCCGTGTGATCTCCATCCGTTGTTTCTTGGTCTTTTGGCGTAGCGTCCTTCGGCTTTGTGGGGGCGCTGAACAGACGGAACTCGAATTCTTGCTCCTCCTCATCTTTGATCTCATCGACGGGATGAATTGACGCATCGTTATCTTGCTCGGTAGCTGTATTCGTTCCGATCAGTCCGTCGAGATTAAGGAGCTTGCCCAGTCGAGCATGGGCTTCTTGCAGGTCGGTCTCATCGATGGGCGATGGTTCACGAGAAGAGGCGAGCGATTGGACCTCATCACGGCGGACCCTGGATATCACAGTCAGCATAGCTATATGAAAATTGTACAAGCGGTGACTTACCGTTTAGCATCAGGTACATCGAACATGATGCGCAGCGAGACTGAGACACAGTGGCCAGACGAACGTTGCACAAATGGAAGACCGACAGCCAAAAAATTGGCAGATAATGCAACGCTCCGGCCACGCACTTTCTTATCGCCCAGTGCACGGACTCCCAACTCCCCAGCCTTCCATTGAAGCCCTGCAACCCGAATGAAACTTTACTTTCTCGACCAGTTTCTCCCTTCACCAACCTCGGAGTTACGTTCCCTGAAACTGTACCTGTGCTGCGCCATTCCTGTCTTTTGCATATTCACCCCACGTTCCTTACTCCACCTCCAAAATCCCTCGTCGCTACTGACAGCGCCGCCCACCTTTCCCCGTCCGAGGGGGAGAAGGGTTCCGCCGCTTCATCATCGATTGGGGTGATTAATGCGTCGTGCCTGTTACATTGTGTTCCCCTCTGAGCTTTGAGTCGGGAAACGCCCAGCCGGTATAAATGGGTGTCTGCGCTTCGTGCCTGGGCGGTAATCGCCAGGAATCTTCCGAGGTGAGTTGAACATTGATGCTGCCGTGAATAATCGTCATGTTCAGCGCGCATTACCTCGGTTTGATGCAGGAGGCGTGGGATTCGTGTCGAAGAGAACACCATGCTGACAAGACATTTTTCAAGCCTGAGTCCTCGCGCCTGTTGGATGACGACCCTTATCAGGCGGGCTACAATTATGGCTCGCTCCATACTCAACAGGCCAACCAGCCGGATCCGGAATACGTGAGGCGCGAGCGTGAGGCTTTGGATGCTATCTGCCAGCGCACTTCAGAGTGAGTATCCCCAAGAACACTCAAACCTTTCTTTCTAATGTTTTGTGTTTATCGTGTCGGAGAATCACCCTGCTAATCACCGAGTTCAGCTCCGTCATTGATATCTGGTCCCTCCAACCTCAACCACACCTCCAACCCCAAGCCACTCTCCCGGCCCCAATCTCCGCATCAAATTCACCCACCCCATCTCGCGAGAATGCAGTCCTCACGGTATCCACCACTGACAAGGATACCAGCCGTCCTACCTCGGGCAACACCGCCCCCAAGCACTGGGGTGAAGTGGTAGTCAATACCAACAAGAAGCGCTCCCGCCAGGACCTCAAGGACGACGGAATTGTAACTCGTGATGTCTTTGGTGTTCTCAAGGTCACCTAAGCTTGTCAATTATTTTGTGGCCGGCTACCTCTTTTCCTCTTCTTGCATGATCACGATATCAAACGAGCCGCATACGAAGAGGACGGGGAAGATGATGACGAGTATGGGAAGGAGATGGAATTCGCACATGTTTTTCCTATGACTCTCGAGTCTGCACTACCAAAAGGGGTATCAACCCTTGTATTTTCTTACACTCCTTGTTTGTTGTTCTTTTCTTGTTTTTTTTTGCATGGATCGCAGGCCGACTGTTGTTTTTCTCAAGTAAATAGCCACTCACTTTGACCTTTCCTCCCTTGTTTCATTGACATGTTAATACCCATGCTTCAGGGCTATTTCCTTAATTTGATCTGATTACTTTTCTCGTGTTTTATGTTCCTTCCTCGTTGTAATGATATTCTTTCTGTCGAGGCTTGGCGTTGGACACAACCTTTGCTTTGAATATGGCGATAGGCTACTATACTGTCCGGGTGTAACTTCTTAATGTGCTGTCATATCATGCCTAGAGGGCTGAAATATCCAAATGGGAATAGTGAAATGAGGATCGCTTCTATTCATTCCGATTCAACCTCACTAGGAACACTTCTTACCGGTTCTAGAACTCTCAGGCTCCCAGTTATGTTACCAAGGATGACAAAAATGGTGCAAATGATGCAAGCTTGGTATACTTGAAAATGAATTTATTCAAGGCCCCCTCGTGGAGAACAAAAGGATACTCCACTAGACCGAGGAACCCGCGCTTCGGCTTGTCCTATCCGTGACTCCAGCGTCGACCATAGCAAATGCTCGAATGAAACACGAAAGAATAGAAAAAGAAAAGAACTCCGCAATCAACGAAACGCCCGCTGGTCCTGTTCTGATGAGGGGTAAAATCAAAATATAGTAGAGTTGAGAATGCAATATGTTCGTGCAGGTCCGATCTCCCACTGAGGCCATCGCGGGAACCGGAGGAATCGGGTGGGTTGATTAGACATCGTCCATCGCGCCGGCGGGCTCTTCGCCGCCAGATTCATAGCTACCGGCAGAGCTGAGCTCGTCTTCGGATTCGGTGTCCTCGCCGGCCTCGTCCACGGCTTCTTTACTAGCATATTTGGCTACGTACTCTGTCCGCGAAGTTAATACCCGTGTAGTAGGACTGTGGAGAGTGGTCTTCTGTACCTTTGACCTTCGCCTCGTATCCCTTTGGCTCGCGCATCATCAGTGCTGCGGCCTCGCCGTTGAGTGGGTCCGAGGGGTTGGGGTAACGAAGTAGTTGAGGCAAGAAAACCTCAAAGATGTTGATCATGTCGTACATTGGCGACCACGTTTGGTTGATCACGTCGAGGCAGACGGATCCCGAGCTGAGACCGGCCGTCAATATCCAGATCATTCATGTTGTACAGAGTTCATGTCAACAACTCACAGCTCGTCAATGTTTGGGTGGAAAATCCGGTTCACGAATCCAATGCTGGGACTCTTATAAGGGTACTGATCGGGCAATTCGACGTGGATCTTCCAGTGACCACCGGCGAAAGGTGCTGAAGGATTGTTAGCTATGATGTGACGATAGTTTGTGGTGGGCAAGACTGCACATACTCTCCTCTGGGCCCTTGAAGCGAACGTAGAATTCTTGCCTACGAATCATTAGAAACATTCCCATTAGAAGGTCAGGGGAATAGGTCCATACACTGGGAGAATTAGCGGATGGTTTCATAGTTCGGGGAATAGGAAAGAATCTCACTGTTATCATTGACCAGGGTCACCTCATAGTCACTCATCAACCTATAATACTCGATACTCGTCAGCAAGATCTCAACGGAGCCGCTTGTCTGGTAATCGAGTGATTGATCGCGTGCCGGGCGCGGTGGATAGCTCGGGGGAGGGGAGTCCGTGGGCGTACATCCTAGCCAAAGTTAGTGACCATTTCGACAGGATACAGTCGAAGGAGGCAAAGGTTGAAGCCATACTTCATGACCTATTGGTACAAACAAAAGCCCGGGTTAGCACATGCGGGGACCTGGAGCGCCTTCTCAAGCTCCTTCCTGAGGGGAAACTCACATCCGTCTCAATTCTTCGTTTGGGACTGCTCATGATGGCGGCGTGGGACCTATCTGAGGTCACAGTAGGGTGATTCGGGCGGTAGGGTTGCTGTTGCAAGCTCGAGGGTAGTTGATTCGGAATAGCGTAATGAGGTCACCGGGGCGAGATAGATTGAGAGCGGGGAAGCAGTAGGCGGGGCAGATAGGCGAGGGCAGACAGGTCAGGTCGAGGGCGGGTGAGGATGCTGTCTCTCTGTAAGTAGAGAATAAAGTCCGAGTGTAAGAAAGATCTGGTAACCAGACAGGTCAAGTAACAAGGAAGGAGAAAGAAGAGGGGAGCGTTGGGAGAGATGATCATGATGGGCAGATGAGTCAGCGGTATCAGGCGCGAAGGGTGATCCACGGATTGCAGACCGGCAACGACTGCTCCTTTTCTCTTTCTAGCTTTTTGTCCCTTTCCAATTGGAATTCGCTTTGACTTTACCTTTTTCCCCGGCCAACGTGGGACAATGACAGGTTCACACGTATATCATGCAACTGCTTATTGCCCGCCACGACATCACTGCTGAGTGCGCCGAGTGGCAGCTGGGCCGGGCTGCCGATTTCCATCGGGCCACTGCTGCTAATACAATGGCTGCACACACAAGGATCTTTGGGCAATCTGTCAGTCCGTATCTGTATTACTCGGCCAGAGAATAACTACCTGCAGAGAATTTTGCACCTTCTCTTGCAATCTTGGATCGTTGGGGCTTAGCTACCATCACCCTGGTGGGAGGTCTACTCGTGATACGCCTTAGAATCGTGTTCATAGTTTTGGTGATGCTTCGATATTTATAGGGCCTGCAGAGACTACCTATGCGCTGATTGAATTAGCCAATATGTGCTTTTTGTAGCTTTGTACTGTACCACTGTCTCCTCTTTCTATAATGTATATAAGACCCCGGACTATCGGCGGTGGGTAAATCAAAGTCGGTCAAAACGACATTCAGCCATGGTTCTTCCTCATCTTTCTTCCCCCAACGACAATCCATTATTGATTCTACATCACACTATCTTCCACCCACACAGACTAACCTCGAAAGCTAGTGCCGATCTTCGGGATCCACCTCACATCTCTAGTTTCCATGAGTTCCCCTTCGCCATCGTCACGCTCCTCGCGCGACTCCCCCTCCAGGAATCCGCCCGGGTCCACCACCCTCAGCTATCATCCCAGCCCAACCCGTCAAGGAACTCAGTCACAGTCCGCATCACCCAACATGGTAGACACGCCGATCCCGGACGATGATCATGGCGCCGACCTCCCTATGAACATGACCGCCTCGGTCATGCTGACGGGTCTACCCCGCGATGCTCATCAGGCACTCGCCGATGTGGAAGCTATCGATGCTGGTAAAGGTACGGCCCCTCCACCAAAATGTCTCAAAACATGCTGGAGCTCTCAAATAGCTTGATTATTCTGATGGTCCGATGTCGCTAATCCAGCTTTCCAGTCACCGTCCGCTTTCAGCCACTCCCCTCAGCCCCCATTCTCAAGAATCGGGTCTTCAAGATCAGCGCTTCCCAAAAGTTCGAGACCGTAGTCAAGTTCCTTCGCAAAAAGCTGGATTGTAAGGACACAGACTCGGTCTTTTGCTATGTGAATAGCGTTTTCGCGCCCGGCCTGGATGAAGGTGTCGGTGGGCTCTGGCGGGTATGTTTACGTACTCTTTTTTTGGTTGCAAAGTATTATTTACTCATCAATCCCGCGTGGCAGTGCTTCAAAACGGATGATCAATTGATTGTCGCTTACTCGATGACGCCGGCGTTCGGCTGAGCAGGAGACCAGCCAGACTGGCCTGCTACCAGCGTGAACGATTGAATGAGCCTATATACAGCCGAATAAATGATACAAAGGGCACCAGACACTGAATGGATATGCAACTGATGGAAAAAGGGGGGCATTATACAGAGCGTTTCGTTATTTTTGATACATCTCGTCAACCGTCTTCTCGAACCTGGCCAGCTCCTCCTTCGAGATGGGGTAGGTATATTCCGGCGAGGGGAACGCTCGACTCTTCACTTCCTCGCGATACTGAATCATGCCGCGGGTCGCTTCACTCCAGACGTCCGCATACTTCTTGACGAACTTGGGAATGAATCGCCCCGGCGGGAAGTTGCCCGTCATGTCGACCTGCACGAGAACCTGTCCCGAGCAGCCGTTGCCGGCGCCAATCCCGATAGTCGGAACCTTCAGCTTTGACGTGATGAGAGCGGCGACCTCGGGAGGCATCGCTTCGCAGACAAGCATGAACGCACCGGCCTCTTGTAAGGCCAGAGCGTCCAGCAGTAGCTGCGTCGCGCTGGTGCACGTTTTACCCTGGACTCGGAATCCACCAAGGGCGTTTTGTCTTTGTGGCGTGAGACCGATGTGACCAACGACTGGGATACCGGCTTGAGTGATGCGCTTGATGGTGGGACCTAGTTCCTCGCCTCCTTCGATTTTGACTCCGTGCACGTGGCCCTCCTTGATGAATCGCAAGGAAGATGCGACTGCTTGTTCGGGGGAGATTTCATATGAACCCATGGGAAGATCTCCAATCTGTGCGCTTGTCAATTAGCGTCCAAGTCGAGTTCATACACGCGAAAGGCAAACCTACAATGAAGGCATGCTTGGCGCCGCGAGCTACGCTTCGACAATGAAGCAGCATTTCCTCCATGATGACCTCCGTGGTATTCTCCAGTCCCATCGCCACCATCCCCAAGCTATCGCCGACCAAAACCATATCCATCCCCGACTCATCCGCGGCGCGAGAACTCGGGAAATCATGGGCAGTGATCATGGCGATAGGCTCTCCCTTCTTGTAAAGATTTCGCAGTGTGTGCATGGTGACCTTCTTGCGCGCATTGGGTGTATTGGGTGAGGGTTCGGGCGAGTGATAGGAGCTGTGTCGGATCTGGGTGCGGGGAGCGAGCGAGGGTCGCGAGGCAGAAGTAAGAGAAGGATGTTGGCGATTGAGGAGGGATTGGCGAAGTCGGCGAGGCGTAACACTAAGGGCCCTCGTGCTCGGGGCAGGGGATGCAATCAAGACGGTCCTCGAGAGCGGCCGCAGAGCAGCTCCTGGCGCAGCCATTGCGGCGAGGGGTATGGAAGGATGTCGACGCAGCACGGACAATATACCAGCTCAACAATCCCAGTTGAAGATGTCACGATAGCTCTACACCAGTAGCCTCTAAATCAAGGTTCCAATCTGCCACGGCTATCTGCAGTGAAAGGGCGTTGGGCGGATATCCTGCACGATGTCGCGACAATGACCTCAGTCTGCAGAACTCCCGAGGCAAATCCGCTTTGCGCCACAAGACAGGACAAGTGTTGTTATGATCGAGAAAGGGAGCTGATGAATGCAGCGGCACGCGACAATTAAATTCAACCTCGAGAGAAACTCTCCATCTGTCCGAAGAATCGTGCTGGGTTATGCGGCGTAGATGGGAGCATCTCCATAGACCGGGGAAAAAAGCGGGCGTGGAAGTGAATCTCGGATAGGTCACAGGCGCCGATACTGCCGCTGCGGCTGGCACGGAGGGAATGCGGGCTCGGTTGTCCACGGTGCTGATGCATACATAGCTCGGCGATCGGCTTTATGCATGATCTTTGGTATTTCCCCGCATTTTCAACCGATGTTCGATCAAAAGTTCCCCATTTTCCCTGTTAAAAAGGTATTGATCTGGTACGATTGTAGTTTGAACTCCCCCGTTATCCTCGGCGTAATTTACCGCTTTACAGCTTTACAACTGACGGTCAATACCGAGGAACGAGGCGCTTCACCGCCTTCAATTCAAACCGAGGTTACTTCTTATTTGGGACTAGGGCGGGGAGCCCACTTTGTATAGAGGCATGCAGCATGCTACAAAGTACGGCGTATACTTGGGAGGAAAATACGGTTGGTGGTCGGACGAAGGGATGTAGCATATTCAGAAGCTAGCTTACGCTGGAAAACTGATCTTGTATTTGATGGGAAATCTTTTAGTCTCCTTGTTGGGACTGTCGTCCTGACGATAGTGCTGAGTGGCTCGTTTACCAAGACAGAGAGGAGAAGCTAAGGGAGTGAAGGCCGAACTATATCATTAGGCACAGGTGATCCACCACTATTCTGTGTTTTTATGTAGTATGTTTCATTACTCCCGGTAAACCTTTCCCTGGGAAGTGTTAATGAGGTTAGAGAAGATGTCCAATTTGCTAGGTTTTGCATGAAGTAGATACTTATAGTCATGAAAATCAAATATCCATGCACTGTCAGGCCATAGGTATGTATTTTGGAGCTGTATTCGTATGCTGCCGATGAATAGCGGATGAGCTCTTTCAGAGTCATTCGAACGCGACGTACCTTTCGTACCCGTAGCCTTCCAGAAATTCATATCTCTGGGCAATGACATAGCGCTTGCTCCGTATCAAAGTTCCTGTACTTAAAACTCAAATTAAGGCGTCTCTATGCCTATGCTCGACAATTCTCATCGTCGAGATAGTCTGCCGACGTGGGGGCTAAAGACCGCCCAACTCGATTCAGGCGCCCCGTGACAGGTACAGTAACAAATCAGACCCCGCTGTTCATTCCAATCACTCAAGTCAGCTTACTTGTCTTGTCAACTTGTTCCACTGTCGCCTCCATATTTAAGCCTAAGTGGCCCGACAACTTCCTGTTAGAAAAGTCACCTTGACTAGCACGTCCTCAAAAATCACATATTATCCTCCCTGCCAGTTACCGTCCAGAACCAAGATTCTTGCCAGCATGGAGAGCATTCAGCTTCAAGGTAACTATCTCCATGCAGTATATCGCGGCTAGAACTTACTCACCTCTGTTTTAGATTATCTTGCAATCAACAACATTGCCTTTGAATGGGCCGATAGCATTGACAAAAAGGCAAGCTCGCACTTGGTAGACCTTGAAAGTTAACGAGGCTGACCCGACTCAGGAATGGACGAGATTTCTAGATATCTTGACACCAACCCTCATGGTATCGTCTATTCACTCCCAGCTACCCAATGTACCTTTATGCTCACATCTTGGCAGGTGGATTACAGCATTATTGGTCAAAAGTGCATACCAGAAATGAGAGCCGAGGAATACCTCGCTATGGTGAGCTCTCCTACACTTGTAGGAGATCCTCTGATCTGCACTCAACATCTTCTCGGTGCTGCCAAGTATGAGAAGGTGTCAGACTTCGAGATTGTGGCTGTTCATCAGATTCGAGCTGCGCATCAGCGCTACAAAGACACTGCCCGGACTACGGCGGCTTACCAAGGCCATAATTATGGTAGCGTGAAACATTGGTATAAGAAGACCGATGGTGTCTGGAAGCTTGCTGGAGTCCAGCCTGAAAGCTATTGGCTTGAGCATGACTTTGACAAGATCTTTGCCCAATCGTCTGAAGAGAGCTGATGGATATTCGGGGTCTACGCATACTCCAAGAGCTGCCATCGCCGAGTCCCACAAAGAAGGAATTCTAAAAGTGGAAGAATGAGCACTCTTCAGTAACCAGGAAATTGTTAAATTACAACTCAACCCCTCCTCTTAACACATCAACCACCTTCTCCTGAAAGTCAACAGCCAGAGCTGGACCCTCTGTACCCTTAAAGTCACCCTTTAAACAAGCCATCACAGCCTTTGTATAACCTACGCCCATCTCCATCGGCAAACGCTGTGATGCCAATGTCATCAAATCCTCAGCTACCTTCTTCCGATTGGGCAAACGTCCACTGTTCTCTGCCTCTCGAATTTTAGCCTCCATCAGCCGCGACAGCGTCACCCACAGCCCAATTTCCAGGAGCACTACACCCAGCGCGTATATGTCATGCAGACGACTGAACTGGTGTGTCGGCTTGCCTTGTCTGTTTGGATGACGATAGAGATTGGGCTCAACTTCGAAGTCGGATCGCATGTCGGTGCCCTGTTTGACTGACCGGGCGTAACCCCAGTCACTAAGATACGAGACGATCCTGTTTCCAGGACTGGGTGTCGACAGGCGTTGCTCGTAGAGTCCCGCAGTGCTGACTCCCGAAGATGTCTCAAGGAAGAGAAGGATGCCTCTGCTCCAGATGTTCTTGTGAACCCAGGCTGAGGCGTGGACGTTGGAGACTGTCAGGGCAAGGCTATGCGCCATGCTAAAGCGATCATTCAGGGAAGGTTTCTTGAGAGGCCTTTTGTTTGCACTGTCGATGGCGTTGATGAAAGTATGCAGGGTTGTTAGGGATGTGCCGTCGTCGGACTCGTATGCCGGCAGTTTATAGAGGAAGGCGCTGCGCTCTTCAATGGGTTGATCGATGAAGCCAAGGCATTCCAGCGCATAGATCTTAGGCTGGTCCAACGAGTCGGATGAGTTGCTGGCAAAAGTGGTACTTTGAAGCAACCAAGCCAAATTGCGGATTGGAGCCTTTAGCTCGTCAACTTCGTCCGGCTCTAGGTCATCACGTTTGAGCTCGCCCTCATACTCATGGTATTCAACAACGACCTTCGTTGCTTCCGATGTACCAGCAGACCATGTTCCCAGCTGGAATCCCTTGGTCGACTTTCCTTCTTCCGTGAGGGTGCCAGTCAAGCTGTGATAGTCTGCTGGGGCCTCTGCCTCGGCGAGCATCCGTCGCTTCATCAACGGCTCTAGACCACTGCTCTTCATTCCTTGTTGATCGCTCTCTGCCAGCTGAGAGAGTGTATCTTGAGACATATGTACCATCAGATTTCGCAGATCTTGCGACCACTGGGTGTACGTCTCTAGGATTCGATACAACTTCTTCTTGTCAAAGAGCGACCAGTCATACCCCTTGAGCTTGAGCGATTTCGCCTTGCTCTTTGCTCGCTCCAAAAGCGACTCTTGTGCCTTGGGCTTCTCGGGCTCAATAGCGAACTCCTCATCCACGAGACCATACTTGGCTGCGACAAGTTCATACTCGGCCAATGTCTTCCGCATCTGCACCAGTAGCCCTTCCACCGTTTCGGCAATGAAAGGGTCTACTTTCCCAGGGACCATCAACCCATGCTCAGGATGAAAGAAGATCTTCCTGAAAAAGAGCAGAGACGACAGTTGGAGATTCAGCTTGAGTCGAATCTCGGCGCGATCATCGTCAAAGGCCTTGATGTCGGAGATGACGCCTTGGATGAATACGGTGACCTGGTAGATTTGGGTGATTGCCGTCGAAGCAGTGCCGTAGAAATCCATTTTGCCTTTGAGCACAGAATGACTCTCAAGGCGGGGGATCAAAGGGCTAAAAAGACTTCGGAGGGGCTCCGCAATGGGCCTCCAAGCATGGCGTTGAAGCTGTCAGCGCTAGATACGAAGTGGGATAGGCCAATGCGCTGTTCTGCATTTATTGGCTGATTATTCTTGGGCATTCGTTCAGGCCTTTATTAACTTGACAAATGCTCCACCAGCATCTTACTATTTCTGTTTACTTCTTTAATTTTTGTATCTCATTCTGCGAGGCTTCACGGGGAAGAAATGACAGACTCCTATGAAGATATTCTCAACTCTCTCGACGATGACAACAACTATTACTCCATCGACGGGGACAATCTCTCCCCTTCTCTGCAATCCTGGTCCAACTCCAATGACCTTGAAGAGCTCGACCTTGACAGTCTCAATCTTTTATCAGACTCAGATTCGTCATGGGTCGACCCTTTAGAGTCTGCCATCACAGCCACCCGCAACGGATCAGCCCCTATCCTGAGCACTCTCTCCCAATTCACCACGATCCTCTCGCAAACCGGTGTCCACGGGCCTCGTCTGCTCAAAGCAGGGAACCTCTCTGTACGAGCTACCAAAATTGGCTCGGGCGCCCAATTTACAGTCTTCAAAGACCCTATCTTTCAAGGAGAGGTCGTTAAGCGCGTCAATGTCCCACTTACTAGCAGGGCAGAGCAACGCTTTGCAGCAAGCAATGACTATCGCCTTCAACTCAAGACACTGGAGCTGGAGATTCTATCTCTTTGCAATCCTGTGTTGCGTGCACACCCAAACATCACCAGTCTCGTGGCCTGGGGCTTTGATTTTCCCTATGCAGATCTGGCCGTGCCAGTGCTGTTTATGGAGGCAGCGCTCATGCCTTTGGGGGACTTTCTCAGCGCTGAGAGCAGGTCCATTGACGTCAGATATCAGTTTGCGCTGGATATCGCGAACGGATTGGAAGCGCTTCACCATCTCAAGATCGTTCATGGAGATGTCAAGCCTGACAACGTGCTTGTGTTTGCCGGTCGGAGTGAGAGTGTGCCCTTTCAAGCCAAGCTGAGCGACTTTGGCGTCTGCGTTGATCTAGAGGCTCCGGATGGAAAATTCTCCTTGAGCGACTATCGAGGCACGCCTGCCTGGCTGGCACCTGAATTGATAAGCGGAGACATTTCCAAGTTTGGGCTATTCTCACCAGAACTGATGTTCCAATTTGATTCATACAGCTTTGGTTTGGTGCTTTTGTCCACATTCACGGGCAATGGACAGGTGCCAGAATTAGACAAGACTCCTGAAAAAGTACCAGATCAAGTCTCAAAATTGCTCATCGGGCAAAAGGACATTTCCTCAGATATGCGTATGGAGTTGCGCAAGGGCATCATGAGTCATCTCACCGAGGATCCCAGAGACAGAAAGCTTCCAAGTCCAAATTTGCTGAAGGTTGACTGCTCCGCATATGCATCTTGGTATCTCAATCATTCCTCAGGTCTAATTTACCGTATCGCTAACTCGGGACGTAGGCTCGCATCAATAGAATCAAGCTCTGCAGGAAAACACGTTGGCGTCATTGACCCCATCTACAATAAAGGTCCTTTGTTCTGGTACAGACTTGATGAAAGTATCCGAAGTGAACTTGAGGCGCAGTATAGGCTCGGAAAAGATGGCAACGCCCCTCCTTTCGGAGGAAATGTGCTTTTTGGAATCGCACAAACAATTACTGGCGCGAAACCGTCATATCTTGACCGCATGCTGACATATCTGGGCGACGCAGCTAGAGCGGGATTTTCGCCTGCCCGGGCTATATATGCGCAAGTCATGGAGGCGCACAATCAGCCTCTAGAGTTCAGCCAAGAAGAATTGAAGAAATGGACGTTACAAGCTGTGGCCGAAGGTTATTTCTTCGTGGATTCCCGTTACAGTCAAATGGATATTGAGAAGTCAAGAGACCAATTTAGAAGCCACGGTGGTTTCTGCTCTGACCCGTTCCTGGCCAAAAAGGACATCAAGGCAGCCGTGGTGGCAGAAAAGGCTGTGGAATGGATAACCAACAACGGCATCGTGGTCGACCGCAAGGGGAACACGATACTCCATGCTGCTGCCGCTCTGGGGGCAACTGGTGTAGTTCAGGAATTGTTAGATTCTGCACGGGTGGCAGTGGATGTGGAAAACGACGATGCCGAGACGCCTCTATATAAGGCCTTCCAAGCCGGTCATACTGATGTGATCGAGATCCTTCTTGACCGTGGCGCTAATTCATGCATAAAGACTCGACAGAACATCACACCTTTGCATTGGTTGTTCATGATCCCGGATTTTTCCATTGATCGAATTGCAAAACTCATTGTGAAAGGAGGCGCCGATATCAATGCAGTAATCACGCCCGTCGTGAAGGAAAACAGTGGTGGATACCCAGAAAAGATTCAGATCTTACACTAGTACGCATCTCCCTTCCAATCAGTTGCTCTGGAGCTAACAATTCAGTCCATTTGAACTTCCTCATGGCACACCTCTTCACTGGGCCTGCTTCTTCCGGCACATGACAGCTATGGATTCTTTGCTCTCCCTTGGGGCCAACATCAACGCGTGCTATCATGGGTTAGATGCATCAACAACACCGCTTGCCTTAACGGCCTATTTTGGAGAGCCCGGGATAGCCCGATATCTGATATCTCGCGATGCAGACGGCACTCTGCTGGATTCTATGGGACGAAACACGCTGCATGGAATCACCAAATATTTCCCTGACCGACACGGTTATTTACCTCATCACTGGCATTATTGGATCCGCCACGGAGCGTGGGAGCAACATTTGACACACATGACCGATCTGGTACAAGTCCTGATCAAGGCTGGGGCAGGCATCAATGCGAAAGACAAAGGTTATCCTCCCTTAACTCCCGTTGCCGCCGCCGCTGATCTGGGGGTCTGGGATGGGGGTGTGATATGTGCATTACTAGATGCAGGTGCCGACCTCAAGGAATCGATACTATCAGCTGGAGATACGATTCTGCATTCCTGGGTCTCTATCGTGGGACCCCGTTTGGACTACCCCGAGGCCTATCTACCAACTCTCAAGAAGATAGTTGGTGCCATGCCGAGCATTGACATCCGTAACCGATTTCAAGAAGACACCCCTCTCCACTTGCTAGCAACTACCTATCATCCAGAGGATGAATTCGAGACGGCATGTGGGATTTTTCTCAATCACTCTACGCCAGCAGATATCAACGCAAGATCCCGTGGGGGAGGGACTCCGCTCTCCATCGCCCTAGAGACAAATCTAGATCCAATACGACGAGGCCGCTTCCTTAGCGACAAGGGCGCCGATCCGCTCATCCTCCAGGCTCGGGAACGAGATATTTTCTACTCAATCGCCAATAATGTCGTCCTCGCCGATCAAGCCAGCTGCGATCTCATTCAATCGTTCCTCCTCCGACTAAACTCTGACATAACAAAGGCCTACAAAATGCACTACCTCTCCAATCCCAAAAGCCATGAGACCCTCATTGCTGCTGCAAGTCGCGGAAAGCCATTGACAGTGCGACTCCTCCTCTCCATCGGCCTAGTCAGTCACATCAACAAGCCCGACACATCAAAATCCCCACAATGGACAGCCCTAGACCAAGCCCTCCACTCCGCCGAGCTGAGTCGTCGTCTCCACATCCAGCACCTCGCATCTTACAAAGCGGGTGCAACCAGGGCAAACGCACTCGAAGCAAATCTCGTCTATGATTCAAATCAAGGCCCGCCCGCACGGGCAGCGGAGGCATACAGGTGTTTTCCGGAGGTTATTCGGATTCTACGAGATGCTGGGGCAAAGAGGACGTGTGAGATTGAGAGGTTGTCAAATGGGGATTATATTAGGCAGCCGAGGGAGTGGGATGAGGAGGAAATTGCTCGGTATGGGTTTACTCCGGAGACGCAGCCTAATCGGGAGGTATGGCAAGCATTGTATGAATTGGCTAGGTACAGTGGGCGAGGCTGGTTGGGTATGTTGACTGGTGGAAGGTTTGGGAGTTGAAGGCCATGAACGATTCATCTTCCACAGGAGTTTGGACTTGAAGGAAAGTCATGAACATTCTCCAATCAGACTTTCAATAAGGGAACTGTCGTAACTCTTCCCCAGGGTTATGAGGCTCTGGTACAGAACCGGGTCAAGAAAATCTCAACGGGGCTAGAGATCAAATGCAGCTACAGAAGACCTTTCCAACGGACGGCATACGTAAAGGAAGAGTGATGTTTAGTAGAATCAATGCGTATGGAAGCTGAGTAAAGCTGGAGTATCAAAAAGCACATTCGGAGAAATCTCCGCCACCTGCGCCGGGTGTAATTACCCGTTGTGAAAGACAAACAAGACTCCGCTAGATGAAAAGACCCGAACATAAGGAGATAAACTAGATGGAAACAGAAATTAGGCCCGTAGGCTGTCGTTGACAGATGAGACCATGTAACAGGATGCAGCGCAATGCAATTCGAAGCGATCGGATCCATGCTCACGGCAAGACATGCCCATGCCCAGTCATTGACTTTATAACTTGTACCACACTGGTAGCCACCAACCTGTCCAGCCCACATCGAGCGTCATGGTAGACAAGGCCGGCCCCATCGCCTGGCTGTCGGGAAATATGAAAGGAAAAGGAAGTCATTATTGAAAAATGTCCTTGGCTGCTGATGCAAGAGAGTAAAAAATGATGATAGGAAATACAAGGTAGAAAGAAGAGGTGATGAACGAGCGGACAACTTGCTTGAATGAAGTTGAGTTGATAATAATTGCAAGCTTAGTGCAGGCAGGGTGTACTGTCGATTTGCGCAGGACTGCCGATGCGAAGTGAATAGAAAAAAGAAACTCCCCATATGCAGATGTGTTGATGCCACGGGTATGGCCATGCAAGCTGTGGTGTGTCAAAACCATGAGGCAAGGCATCATAAGTAGAAAGCAGAAATAATAATGAAAAAGGCGATAGGGGACAGAAATGGGGGACAGAAAATCCGACAGGCACCGGGATGCAAATATGGCTAGGACGGGGCCAAGAAAACTTGAGGTCGAATCGTGGCGGTAATCGAGAACATCAACAAATTACTCGTCAAATTCGTATTCTTCCTTCAAAGGTCGTTGAATCTCAAACAGCAGGGCATCGAGTTCACCCCAGTTGGACGCATTCTGGGCGAACCGGCGGTGCTTTCTTGTCATAGTGTGCTACTCGTTTGTCAGTATTTTTAACGCTCTAAAGGCTCAGTCCAAGTGTGGGTTGTAACTAACCTCTTCAAAGTCATCAAACTTGTCCCTGCAGTTCTCACAATAGCCAGGCTTCGGGTCTCTTCGTCGTTCGGGTTTCTGGGGTTGGGTATCGTTGTTTTCGTCCCGTCGTCTCTTGGTTCCAGCCCCGTCCATTTGGTGAGCATCTCCATGGCCATTCTTCTCGGGAACCGCCGTTTTGTTAGGATCGGTCTGCCTAGAAGAGAACGAGGCAGATCCAGTACTAGGGCGTTGGGGGGCAGCCATCGATCCAGCAACGATGTTGCCAGTGCCTTTTTCAAGAACCTTCCTCTTCAGTCCATGAACTTCTTTGCTCAATCCTGCTTTAGCACCCGGTGCGGCAGCGGTAGATGAGATCATCTGGGAGCGGATGGCCGAAGTGACATTGGATGGCTGTACGCCGGATGCCGCAGGCTCACGTCCTGTATAGAATGGGCCAGTGCGAGGGAAATGGGGAGGAATCAAGCTTTCAGAGCTCTTGCGTTCGTGCCCATCTTCGAAGAGTGGCTTGGTAAAGACATCCACAGGATTTGCAGTATACTGATCTTCTGTTCGCTTGGGGTTTGAGAGATCTGGAGCGACTTTGTTCTCAACAGCCCGCTCTGTAGGGACAGTCGTGGAGGGTTTGGTCCGAGGGTCCTCTGCCTTTTGAATAGCCGCCTTCTTCTCTTTCTGAGCTTGGCGTATCCGGTGTCGATCATATTCCTTCCGGCTTGGTGGTTCATCAATGAACGGACACTTGCCCAAGGGCGCACTCCGGAACTGGGGCCAAGCACCGTCCTGACGTTTGTTTACCCGGGCGTATTCTCGCACCATGACCGGCTTGGTCTTCTCATTCATGTCGTGAATATAGATAAAGGGCCCCTTGAACATCACCATCTCCATTGACGCGAATGGATCACGATCAGATGGTCCATTGAGGAGTTCTTGTCGAAGAACTCGGGAGAGGTCGTTTTCACCCCGACCATGGGCTGCGTTTCCACCGACGTTCTTGCTTCGAGAAGCACTCTCGTTTTGGCCACCAATGTCGTTGTCATTGATCGTGGTGATCATTCGCTGCAACTTTTCCAAGGCCCAAATTTTCATACCCATCTGACGGGCTCTCTGCAAAACATCCATGCTTCCTTGGTCACGACGAGTTTCAATCTTTAGCGACACGTGTAGATGGGAGTCGGCATTCTTCTCCAGTAGAGACGGGTTCACAGTCTGCATGTTTTCACCATTGGCTCCATCTGTCCCGGTGGCGGGTTCCTCGGTCGGACTCGTGGTAGCAGTAGCTTCCGGGGGAATAGGACGTGAAGTAACGACATGGGTGACGAGACGAGAGAAGAATTTCTCCTCGCACTATGGGGGGTTGCGTATTTAGTAAAAAGGATCAAAGCAATCGCCAATGCTTGGACGAACACCTCGATTGACGAGATGCAAGACTCGGCAAAGCATGACAAGAATCGAAATGAATAGACTTACAGCTCCAAGAGCAACGACTTGGCGCGAGAATTTACGGCGAACATCCTCGGGGATACTGTCGAAGTAAAAGACGAATTGCGGGAACGCCTTGCGGTAGTGGCGCTGCCATTGTCGAATCGTGTCCATAGTATCCGCCGAGGGCTTCTCGGTTCTGGAGCCCTTCTGTTGAGGCAATCTTTCCTTTTCCCTCGCAGCCACCAGCTTCTTTTCAAACGCGCTAGGGTTTGCGTTGTTGCTCCGACGCGCAAACAATTTGGACTCGGCGCCTTGGTGTACAATGAGTCGGCTCCGATCCTGTTCCACGGCGTCCATCACCACTTTCTTTGGCGGTGGCTGACCAAAGGGAATCTCTATTTGACCGGATCGTGCTCGTTTAGCTGGCACGAGCCCAGCCCGGTGAGGAGAATTGGTAGCATTCGGCACGTTGGCGAGCGGGCGACGAGTCGACATGTTCAGGGAGGTTTGAGGAGACGGCTGCACAAACACAGCAGCCATGTGTAATCGATTCCTCAAGGTCGAACGCGTAGGAAGCTCGAGTGATTGGGGACAAAGAACGATCCTAGAGGAGGGGTATTCGAGGTCGAGCACGCGACGTGCTACACGTCTTGCAGGGCTCGAACGAGGTCACAGAGGGATCATGGTAATACACAAGAGAGCGAGAGGGGGTACTAAAGGGGTCGAGGCAACTCAAGCCCTACAGCTTAGGACGACGAGGGGAGGAGGGTAAATGGGAGTGGGTAGGAGTTGGGGTAAGGAGGGAAGAACCAAGTCGAAAGGGCAAAGTCGTGTGGGTGTGGAGCCCGTTCAAGTTTGTTTTGGGCGTGCGCCGGACAACCAACGGCGTCGCGCGAAGCATGAACATCAACATTACATTCCTCCCCGACGGGCGCGACGTGCCTTTTCTCCGTGAGCTTTAATTCCATTCATACTTTCGATCGGACCCGATCTATCCTGGTATCTGGACCCAGGTCTCATTTCTCCCCTTGTCTCGTCCTCAACTATACCCTTGGTGTACCGTAACTTCAGATGTTTACCCCAACCTCCATGACCAGCCACCGCGAATTGCCCACTAACCACCACCAAAACAGCCCCAATATTACGTGAAAGAAAATTAAAGAATGGCTGGCGTGGATGCGTGTATTGTACATTGGTTTTGGAGGGTATCTGAGAAATACTATAAATACAAAGAGGGCCTTTTCTTAACTTCGCAGAGCCTCAATATCGGGAATCTAAACAAAAAGTCAATATGGGCAAGGTCAAGCAAAAGATCATGGACAGCTTACCTCTTTGACGGCCTCGGGAGTCAAAACAATGGGATGATCGTCCCCCACGCACACGCTATCTTCGATTCGAATGCCAATGCCCCGGAAATGCGCGGGCCACCGTTCATCATCCGGTACGTAGATTCCACTAGAATGAGTTAGCTCGCTGCTTTCGGGTTGAACGGGTTTAAGTAGTCGACGTACGGTTCGATAGTAATACAGTTGCTTGCCTTGAGATCATATCCTCGGGAATATCCAGGGCAGTCATGTACATCCAGGCCAATATAATGACCCAGGTGGTGAGGGAACAAGACGCTCATGGCCTGTGTCGAGTTAGCGATGTTCTCATTCAGCACGGAACAGGGCTCGTACGTTTCCAGAAAGATCAAATCCAAGCTGCTTAAGCTGATCCCTCAACCCATTCTCGGCGACACCGTGCAGCTTGTCTAGAGAGAGTTTGGAGCTCTCGCGGCACAGAGACAGACAAGTCCGGTGCACATTGAGGACGGCGTTGTACAGATCCCGCTGGGGGTCAGTGAATTTGCCATTCACGGGCCAGGTACGAGTAATATCCGAGATGTAGCTTCCGTGCTCCTGGTACTCCGTAAGTCATTGAATCAAATCGGTATCGAGTCGGAAAAAACTTACACCACCGCCGTCCACCAGAACCAAATCTCCGTCCCTGGAAAGTCTCGTAAGCGGAATTCCACGGTATTTAGGCTCGCCGTACGTACCGCAGAATATCATCGTTCCTTGTGTAGTGAATGCTCAAGGCGTGCTATCTACTGTCAGTTTTGGTGATGGAACCTTGGAGAGTTACAGAGCTTACTTTTCCACCCGCCACAACGGGAACGAAAGCGCTGCCATCACAGCCATTGACCTTAAACTGGTACTCGAGGAACGAGGACAACTCCTTCTCGGTCTCAAAGGTCTTGCGCATCGAATCGGTGAATGCTCTTCCGGATGCCTGACCAAGGAGACGCAAATGTACAACCTCATTCTCGCTCTTGAAAACCCGCATTTCATTGAGCAGCGGCTTCAATGGTTTGACTTTCCGATGGTCAACAATCTTCTTCAATTTCTCCGATGCGACAGTAGGGCCGTAAAGGTATCGGTGGAGCGAAGACCTCGATCCATTGAATGCGGGAATGTCGGAGTAGACTTCGGTAGCGCCAGCGATGATTTTGGGCAAGATCTCCCCAATTTGTTCGATATTTCCTGTCTATGTTTTCCCGTTGGTCATTTAAAGTGCTTTCACTGTTTGCATGGGGGAGTGCCTACCTCATCTGCATTGAAAACATCCACCGCAGCTTGGGTGCCAGACCGAGCCCCATCCCAAAGCTCCGCCTTGGGATCCTTTTCGCGCACATAGAGGTGGAAGATATGGTTGTCGCCGGATCCATCGTTTGCGATCACTGCCAGAGCATTCGGTTCGTTGAAGCCTGGAAGAGAAGCAAGTAAAGATTAGCTGGGAGCCCGTCTCATGGTCCGCGAATCCACTCCTACCTGTCAAGTAAAAGAAATTTGTTTCTTGTCTATATTCGTGGAAGATCCCCGAAGCCCGGTAGTTCACCTCCGCTGCTGCAAGTACGGCGACAGCTCCCTTGGGAAGCTTGTTGGCAAGTCGTGACCGACGCTGGGCATATTCGAGAGCGGTAATGCCGGGGGTGACTAGGTTGCAACCATGTCAGTTCAACTTGATCAGGTTACTCTTGCGCGCAATCGATCAAGGTCACATACGTTCACCGGGACTGAGGAGGTGGGGGTGTGTCTCGTGCAAGGGCTGGCCGAATTGAAGGTCCGCGGCGGCGACGGAGGTTGCATACGCCCTGCGAAGCGGCGTTTTACCAGATGCAAAGCACTGGCGCGTCGGACGGGCCAAGGAACGGAGCGAAGGGCGCAGCTGGAGAGCGCATTGCCTCGCGAGCGATCTGCATGCTGCCATCCTTCAAAAAAGAGGGTCAACGACGGTGATCGATAACTTGGCCAGCCGACTGGATGGTATCCGGAGATATCGCGAAAGGGTAGCAGCATGTATGGTGACTGGAACCGAGTCGGCGGTGAGGGCCAATCACCTCCTCTGGGTTTCGCATCCTTGTTGGATCTACTTCCCCGACAGCGACATCCGCGCCATTCTTGATCACGAATATCAATTTACAATTGACGAGGTTGCAATTGATAATTGGGTCAAGCTGCATGTTCTCGGGCGAGATGACTCCCCTGTGAACCCAGAAGTAACCTATCACCGCCGAATCGCCCACGTTGACTCATGGCGCAACTCTTACCGAGTCTAGGAATCGCCATCACAGCCAATCGTGCACCGCGGGGAACGCCGACACGGATAGGCCTTCTCGTTAGGGTACCATGAAGCGTGTCACGAAGCGACCTTATCATCAGATACGAGCTGCCGGACTATATATTGAAGCCTATTTCCGTCTGAAGCTGACTCCCTAATCCTTCATTGCTTTGCTGCCTCGTACAAGCACATTACACACCATGGGACGAACACTTACCTATCCCAAGCGGGTATCTAATACCGCCAACAGATATAAGCATCGCGGTTTGTTCTATCCAATGTTGATACGTATTATGGCTGGGTCGCGTGAACTGACAATTTTCCAACAGCCACCTATGACCTGGGGCCTATTCACTCCATCATCAACGGCTCTCAAGTCCTTCATGTCTCCTTCAATCCAGGGCCGGAGGACCCTTTCCCGGCAATTCTACCCATGATCGGCCAGATGGGATCCTACGATTTCCCGTCTGCAAGTATTGACGAGCCACTGGACTGCTACCTCCATGGCTACGTCAGCTCGCGCATCATGAATCTGGCCCGCAACTGCGAGGGTGACGGCCTACCCATTTGCGTGGCTACTAGCAAAGTAGACGGCCTGATTCTGTCTCTCACCCCCAACTCGCACAGCTATAACTACCGCTCGGCCATCCTACACGGGTACGCTAAGTTGGTCACCGATGAAGAGGAGAAGTTGTGGGCTATGAAGCTCATCACCAACTCCGTTCTCGCCGACCGCTGGGATAACTCTCGTGTTCCTCCAGATCGGGCAGAGATGCAATCAACGGTCATTCTGAAGGTCAAAGTCGTGGATGGCAGTGGCAAGATACGTGATGGCGGTGTCTCGGATGAGCGAAAAGACTATGGCAATGAGGAGATTACGAATCGCATATGGACGGGTGTAGTGCCCGTCTGGGAAACGTTTGGGCAGCCCGTTCCAAGTGGCGATGGCAAGCTAGGCGAGATTCCGGAGCACATCACCTCGTTCATCGCTAAGAAGAACGCGGAGAACCGGGCTTTGGCAGAGTCCGCGATCAAAGTGACTCTTCCTGCCGAGGAGCAGCACTGAAGGACCTCCAATGTGGTGGGCGCTTTGTTTTAATGGTTATGAAGCGTGTTTTTTTTTATGATCAGTTCGACCTTGGGTTTATCTCAATTCCATTTGCCTTGTGAAACCAAATATTGAAGTTATCTACTGCTTAATCACAGTCCTAATATAGATTTAATAGGCACATGATTGTGAAGATATATCGGCACACTCGATCAATTTCCTGCATTTCTCGAATATAGCATCCAATGTGATCAAAGAAAATAAATACGCTGATTATCTACCTAAGGTTTACTTTCGTGTAGCTTACGTTTGGAAGTGCGGGGCTTGGTTGGGCCCGCAAGCACAAAACGATCGGCGCTGATGAGCCCCACGTCATGAGCTCCTCGTTCTCCGTCGACAAACTAAATTCAACCTTGTTCATACTTAATACCTACTCTCCACGTTAGCTTCGAACCACAACTATGGCCTCCAAAGCCAATAAAGTAATCGCTCCCTCAACAGACATTCAATCATTCGCCGAGTACTTGAAGGGCTGTCGGCGAATCCTCGCTCTTTTAGGAGCTGGCATATCCGCGGCTTCTGGTCTCCCTACGTTTCGTGGTGCTGGAGGACTATGGCGCCAATATGACGCGACCTCTCTGGCAACTCCAGAGGCTTTTGCAGACCACCCGGGGCTGGTCTGGCAGTTCTACAGCTATCGGAGGCATATGGCCTTGCAGGCGCAGCCGAACAAAGCTCATTACGCGCTGGCGGAGCTAGCTCGAAGAAACAAAGACTTCATCACGCTATCTCAGAATGTCGATGGTATATATCCCTGTTCAGCTTACATCTCGAAGACCTGGATGGGCGTAACCATCCGTGCATGCTAACAATCGATCCCTTGATCATTTTTCAGGTCTTTCACAACGAGCGCAACACCCCTCGGAGCAACTGAATTTGCTCCACGGGTCTCTCTTCGACATCAAATGCACCTCATTTTACTGCAACTATACGTGCCAAAATGATTTTACAGACCCAATCGTCCCTGCCTTGGATATCCCCAAACAATCTTCATCACCGATTCCATCAGAAACAGACCGGACAGGTGAAGAAGCATCCAAGTCACTCCACGATGCTTTGCAAGAGACAATCAAGGCAAAAGAGGTCGACATCTCCGACGCAAGTAATCCCATCCCCAAGCTGGCTCCAGCAGACCTGCCTCGGTGCCCCGAGTGCAAAGGCCTTTTGCGACCAGGCGTCGTCTGGTTTGGCGAGCCTCTTCCGACTGATACCATTAAGAATGTTGATGATTGGATTGAATCCGCTCCCGTCGACCTCATCTTGGTGATCGGCACTAGCTCCAGTGTGTATCCGGCGGCGTTGTATGTTGACGTAGCCCGTGAGCGTGGTGCAAAGGTCGTGGTTGTTAATATGGAGAAGGACATGCCTAACCGTGGGCAGGGGAGTTGTGACTGGTTCTTCCAGGGGGATGCAAGCGTTATAGTACCGGAGATTTTGAAGAGCGTCATTGGAGATGTTTGATGAGGTTTGGGATACATGATAAATCCAATGGCATAACATGAATTTCTAGAAATAAGTCAATCAATTCCAGGTGTGTCTATGCATTTGCTGTGTTTGCGCAGAGCTAGAGGGAAATCCCAAAATGTTAATTCTGCCAGGTAGCGACCCCGAGGTTACTAGGGAAGCAAGAATATATATCCAATTCCAGGGCCGGTTTCCAGCAACATGTCGTGACTGAAGCATTCCACTTGTAACCTTCAAACAGGATATCAACCCAAAATTCAAAATGCAACCAATTGACTGACTCAGAAGTGAAATGTTACTTGGACGTTGCCTAACCTAATAAAAGCATGAGCATTAGGTACTTTAGGCTCTCTACGGCGGACGGACCTCAAGCCACAAGCGTTGCCAGGGAATCCGTCCCGCCTTTTGCCCCAAAACAAAAAAAACCGATTATCGATAACGTCGCCGATAGCCCGCGCTTCTTTCTCTCCCCTGCCCCGCTACTCTCACCAACCACTTTCCGACCGACATGTTATGATCTGAGGTGAGTCAAAGCTGCAGAAGCATTTGCTCTTGCTTTTATTTTATTTCCTTGCTTCCTTCAGCTCTCGATTTCCAACTCGGGCGAGTTTGTTTCCAGACCCCCGGGAGTGGATCGTCATCGATGAGGCCAAACAAGCATTCAAGCTCACAACCATCAGACGCGTACAGTGAAGTCGCATCTCGCCGCTTATCAACAGAGAACGCGCCGTCGTACCTTTAATCTCTCGAATTCATCTCGACAAACTCCCACCTCCTTCGATCTTAAAGATCAACTCGACCTTGCACTCAAATTGAAGGTCCTCGATTAGACCTGATCGACAGACATGGCCAGAGAAAGCAACGCACCGAAAGAGCCCCTCACTCCGGGGAGGCCGAATGAGCAGCATCGTCCCTCGGTGTCTCAACAACCCGAGTTTGGCAAACCTTCACCCATGGGTCAACCTCAGCATCGGCTCACTCAACCCACCCAACCCACTCAGCCGAACAGATCGAGCGAATCGAAGCACCTGTTCAATATTCCCAAACCGAACCGTCCCCGGGCAGAGCACCATCGTGACCAGCCTCGAACCCAGCCTCAACAATCTGCTCAGCAGCGATATGGCGCTCCCTCGACCCAACGAACCCCCATGGTCGCGTCCACGCCCGCAAAACGTGGACCCTTTGATCCTTTCAAGGCCGTCCGACCCTCCGCTTACAACGATCATCGATCGGGATATGGCACCGGCGCAACCCCCATCAAACGCCCCGAGAATACAGATTGGACAACGCCTCGAGCTCCGAGAGCCCTGTTCATGTCGAAGGGAACGGAACCCAAGCCCTCGAACGCATCGAAGAATCTTCAGGCATTCATTGATTTGACTCAGCAGGATTCGGGCTCTTTCAAAGACTCCCGAAGTGTTCCGATGAGCTTTGGTGCCATGGACGTGTCGGACTATGTTGATTCTGAAAAGGCAACTGAAAACATTAAAGCACTGCTAGAGGGTGCGTTCGAAGATGAGGAGGAACAATCTCGTCAAAAGACCAAAAGCAAGAGAAAGGGTAAAAAGAAGAAGAACGAGCCAAAGAAGACCGAGGCAGATGACCTGGACGATTTGGCTGCTCAACTCGAGAGCGTCACTGTAAACGACCCGAAGCCACTGGAGCCCGAAGCAAACTCTGAGAAGACAACTGTGGCAGCTGATGTCAAATCCAAAGCGGCTGAAGACAAAAATATTGCTGCCGAGGAGAGCGAAAATGAAGAGGAGGAGGACGACAACGAAGATGAAGAAGACGAGGACGATGATGGAACTATAGAAGGCTTGAAAGTCACCCTCTTGCCCCACCAGATCGAAGGAGTCAAGTGGATGTGCGACAAGGAGACGGGCCTGCGCACCACCAAAGGGATCTTCCCGAAGGGTGGTATCCTTGCCGACGATATGGGTCTAGGAAAGACTGTACAAGCAATTGCGTTGATGCTCCGAAATCGCAAGCCCGAGAACGAACACAGCGAGAAATTCAACAGAACCGAGAAGAAGGACGAGAAGAAAGACGACAACGACGAGGAGGCGCCGCCAGCCTCCAAGCTTTCCAAGAGCACCCTGGTTGTCGCTCCCCTTGCACTCATCAAGCAATGGGAAGCCGAAATTGACGACAAGGTCGAGAAGACACACAAACTTCGTGTTTGCTTATATCACGGAGCTAACCGTGCGAAGACCGCTAAGGATCTTCATACTTACGACGTGGTTATCACGACCTACGGAACACTAACCTCGGAGTCTGGGTCCGCTGCCTCCGACAAGGCTAAGAAGTCGGGTGTTTTTGCGAACTATTGGTACCGCATCATTCTCGATGAGGCTCATACCATCAAAAATCGAAATGCCAAGGCTACGCAGGCAGCTTGCGCATTGGATGCCAAGTACCGCTGGTGCTTGACAGGAACTCCCATGCAAAACAACCTTGATGAATTACAGAGCCTGATCAAGTTCCTTCGAATCAAGCCGTTCAACGACCTCGCTACCTGGCGCGACCAGATCAGCCGTCCTCTGGCCAATGGCCGCGGTGGATTGGCTATACAGCGTCTACAGGTCTATTTGAAGGCCTTCATGAAGCGCCGCACTAAGGACGTGCTGAAGGAAAATGACAAACCTAAGCCTGGTGAGTCCGCATTGGACGCAGATGGCAAGGAGAAGAAGTCTTCCAATGGTTTCAAGATTGTCAAGCGTGAGGTTATCAGGGTAGATGCCGATTTCATGGAAGGGGAGATGAACTTCTATAAGCGCTTGGAACAGCGTACGGAAAACCGACTTGAAGAAATGATGGATGGTTCCAAGGTCGACTATGCTGGCGCTTTGACACTGCTGCTTCGTCTCCGCCAATCCTGCAACCACCCCGACCTAGTCAAGAGTGACCTAGCTATCGACAAGGACGTACTCTTGCAAAACGGCAGCAGTGGAAGTCAATCATCACAGTCCAAATCGAGCAACGATCTTGACGACGTTGCTGATCTCTTTGGTGCACTCAGTGTCGTGACGAAAAAGTGCGATGTATGCCAGAGGGATCTCAACCAGGCCGATTCTTCCAAGGGGTTCACTCGGTGCAGTGACTGTGAAACTGATTTGAATACCGACTTCATGAAGAAGGATAAGAAGCAGGATAAGAAGAAGCACAAGTCGAAGAACGCCCACAAGGAGGAAAAGCCCGCAGCGCCAGCTCGTTCCCGAAAGAACCGCAGAGTCATCCTTGATAGTGATGATGAAGATGCCGAAGGCGGCGGAGAATGGATTGGCTCCGATGATTCGGAGTCTGATGAGGATGTGATCGACTCTCCCTCCGGCAAGCAAAGGGCCCGCCCGATCAGTCTGGATAGCTCCGAGGACGAGTCCGAGTCTGAAACAGAAGAGGATATCTATGAGAACCCCGAGGGTGAAAATGGAGAATTGCCTTCGACCAAGATTCGCCACCTCATGAAGCTCCTCCAAAAGGAGTCGGGTGATTACAAGTTCATCGTATTTTCCGTCTTCACCTCCATGCTTGACAAGGTTGAACCCTTCCTCAAGCGTGCCAACATTGGCTTTGCCCGGTACGATGGTCAGATGAGAAATGACCTACGCGAGGCCAGTCTCAACAAGCTTCGCAACAACAGTGGCACCCGTGTCCTGCTCTGCAGTCTGCGTGCAGGCGCCTTGGGACTTAATCTGACTGCCGCCAGTCGTGTGGTCATTCTGGAGCCATTCTGGAATCCCGTAAGTTGAATGATTGCCCTAACCTCATTTTGCATTCGCTGATTTTCCACATAGTTCGTTGAAGAGCAAGCTATCGACCGTGTCCACCGCCTCAACCAGACAGTTGACGTAAAGATCTACCGCATGATCATCAAGGGCACCGTGGAAGAGCGTATCGTCGACCTCCAAGATCGCAAACGCGAGCTAGCCAACATGACAATTGAGGGCAAGTCTGCCGCTGGAAAGTTGACCATGCGCGACATGATGGCCCTCTTCGGCCGCGACGCCGAACACAAATTCCAGGACAAGCAGGGTACCTTGGATTTCAAGCAGCCCACTCGACTTTTGAGCTCGGGCGACGATTCTGGTTCTGGCCCAGCGTGGCAGTCTTCAGCTCGATCGGATTCGCGCGACCGGAGTCGTCCGCAACCATCCAATCGGTCAAAACCTGAGGATTCGGTGTATAGTCGGCGCTGGTGACGTGATAGCGTGATATTTTCTTTATAAATCCTTACCGGACGCTAAGCGTGCTTTGTTTACTAGAGGCATCAATGCTATTCGGGGGGCCTTGGAGATGATGGATGGGGTAGATCAATCTTGAAGTTTATCTATGCTTTGGCTGTATCTGGTCTACTATTCGATATTTTAACTCTGTTGATCCTCCTGGTGAATGAGTTTGGCTGTGGTTTCGCAAAACATGGGGTATAAATTTGAGGCTCTGGCAATGATCGCAGAGAAACACCCTCTCCTTAACTGTATGTAGTGTTTGACTCCGCTAAGACCACTTGATTGGTGGTTGGCAGAGGCAATCGGAACTCATGCCCACGAGTGAGTGTCATGAGGCGATGCCAGTAGATAGCCACCTGCAAGTACTGGCCCGGAAAACAGGACCGGAACAAGTGACTTTGGAAATGGGAGAAGTTGTCCATGTCAATTGAACGGGTAGGCGTATCATCGCTCGCGTGGTCATGCTATCGTGATTGTATTTAATCAAGGATATTTGAATGCTAGGTAACTGAGACGACTGGTGTAGCATATGTATACCGGGACGACATTTTTTAGCTCGTTGATCAGGGATAACGAAGACCATTCAACAGTAGAAACAAGTGATCACCTTTGACGGCCTCTTAAGGTACACCCGTCAAGTCCGAGAGAGGACCATGGACGAGAAATGTAATGGACCTTCGTCTAGACCGATGCGGAGGTCCACTTGAAGGAGTGGAATGCTTAAGCTTAATTTCCCTTTAAGCGGGGAATCCCCCACAGGTATACCTAAGTATACCTCGTCAGGCAGCCACTGAGGAGCCGTGAATCAGCAACCCAGCGTTATACCTAAACCTGTTTCATATCATTGAGCCCATCGGGCATGCTTGATTTGTAGAAATTAAGACGATGCTAGGGTCAGGATCGAGACGATGAAATGATCTGTGGAACTCCAATTCTATAACCTCCGTATCCTAACTTGACTATGCATCGGAATCAGGTAGGGAACCTGAATGTGGCAATGTTAAGTGACTTCGGCCGAGACATTACTATCGTTATCTTGATCGAAACTCTAGACCCGTGTACGTAAATCAGCTTGCGCTCTTTTTCTGCGCAAGCAGTTCCGTGGATCTAGCACATTGATTCATGGATCTTAAGGGAAGTCCCGGGGGTAGTCCCTGGCGAACCAAACGCAACAACCGCAGACACATGTCTCGTGGTAAGCTCGAGCTCTAGAGCTGATAGGTACTTCATCACGCAGCAATGCATGGTTTGGTACCCTGAGGCAAAAGAGCTCAAACTCCGCAAAATTCGAGATTGCCTCCTTGGTCACTGGCCCGACTAGCCTCTTCAACATTTTTGTTCCTGATAACTATGCCGACGCCCAACCTGTATCGTTAAATTCTGATAATCTATCGTGCTAGCTACGCCCTTTTTGTCTGGGTGAGGTACAGATTGTCCCGTGGTGGGTTGGTTTCATTGCCTTCTATCATGCATACCGGTTATTGCTACATGTATCCTCAAATGAATCAAACTAACCATGGATCATTATACAGAATGCACATCCGCTAGATCGTACATTCGCCATACAGGCCTACGCCGCAGAAAATGAGCGAGTCTAAGGAAGAAAAAACGAGTGGGCGCTGGAAGGTCTTCTTCAAAGGCCAGCGGAATGATAGCGATAGGCAGTCTAACGAGAACAGAGAGGCTGCCCGACCCTTTCCAGTCCCGAGTTTCAGTGTTTCTTCCGACAAAAAGACGGAAGATCCTAAGGTCACGGAGCTTCCCTCTTCAGAATTGAAGTTGAAGCTGCCGCAACTGGGTAGCGACACGACCGAGCGAGTGTTCCCTGTTCGATCGGTGGTCTCGTACGACTCGAATCCCTCGTCTGCCCTCCAGACGCCTTCGCTGGACAAGCTCGAGAGTCCCATATCACCATTTTCAGACGCTTTTAAAAGAAGTTCATTGGCGAATGACAGTGCTCCGAAGCAGACGAATGGAGATGCTGATGAAGCGCAACGCATGACAAGGCCAGATTATCTGAGCCAGATGCATGAGCAGCGACAAAGGCTTGCCGGAATTTCCCCCTCATCGAAGGTGCCAACTTTAAGCAACCCTGCCTCCATGAATGGTTTGCTTCTATCCTCATCTAATAGGGATTGTGACTCGAGTGCAAGCTCTCATCAGAGTGTCGGACCATATGAAAGGCTACACAACTTAATTAGCGAAGGAGCCAAGATCCTGAAACCGATTCGAATGTCCAAGAGGCTACAATTCTTGCATGAAGACGAGGACGATATCATCATTCAGTCTTTTGGTGCACTGCTCGTCGTCACACAGTCTGGGGACAGTTTCCCTGTTGAAGTTGCTAGCACCAACACAGAGGAGATTTTAGGCATCGCCCCAGATGACTTATTCGAACGCAAGTCTATTTGTGCCATATTCTCCGACACTCAATCCCGAGTCTTCCGTAGACATGCTGATTATGTCTCGGGTGACGAATATGAAGTTGAAGAAGTTGGCCCCGAGGTCTTCTGTTTACCGACTCGGGATGGAAGCACTCGACGGCTTTGGTGTACAATGCATACTAGTAAAGCATACAAGAACTACATAATCTGTGAGTTCGAGCCAGAGATTGGAGGCTCGCACCAACCCATGGACAGCATTGATTCCGAGGGCCTGCCGAATCAAGAACAACGACCGCTTAGCCGATTCTCCCAAGATGAGGCTCACCAACGGAAAAGCCTCTCTAATACATACGGCAATCCTCCTCAAGAAGCCGAAAGCATGGACTCAGAGCTTTTGAATATCATCCCGCGAATCTTGAAACGGATCTCGAGCGCTCAATCGTTGGATGCTTTGATTCAACATACTATTTCGACCCTGCGGGATATGATCAAGTTTCACCGCATCACTGTCCACCATTTTGACAGTGACCGAAATGGTATCGTCGTAGCGGAGGCCCTTGACCCAGAGAGCAAATTGGAATCCCTTCAAGGCATGCTTTTCCAAGAATCCACGTTCCCCGAGGATCTCAAGAGCCAGTACTTGAGGAATAGAGTTGCCTTCTCTTATCGAAAGGGAGAGGATGTCTCTGAGCTGGTATATCGCGTGTCTACCAACAAGATGGCCATGGATTTGTCACATTGCTACCTAACAGCAACTCCAGATGAACCTTCTAATGACTCCACGCAGACTTCAGCTTGTGCCTGCATGTCCATCAGCATTAACGTATTCGGCAAGCTGTGGGGCTTAATATCTTGTCAGTCGTACGACGAGAAGCTGCGACTTCATCCTCTGCATCAGCGAGCAAGTTGGTTCATCGGTGAAGCAGTTTCCAGCAACATTGAACGTCTTTCGTATACCTTGCCATTCCAATTGAAAGATCAGAATGCAACAGAACGTGATTCCGATCGAGAGATATCTTGTCCTTTCGGTGATCTTCTAGGCCTCTTTGGCGCTGATTACGCTGCAGCATCGATTATGGGAAAAGTCAAGGTCTTGGGCAAACCTAATGACTCCCAAGAGGTATTGGCTCTGCTAGAATACCTACGAGCCAAGGAGATTGAAACAGTGCTGTGGTCTACAGATCTTGCGTCTGACTTTGCAGATCTCGACTATCCTCCCGGCTTCCACCACTTGGCAAGTCTGCTCTACGTCCCGTTATCGGCTGATGGCCATGACTTTATCATCTTCTTTCGGAGTCGGCCCAGAGTAAATCAGGATAATGATGCCCCCGAAGTCGGTTCTCGGCCAGCAGAGTGGTCAGCTGCAGAATTCGGAAAGGCATCAATGTTAACCCTCTTGTATCGAACGTTCACGGAAATCTGGCAGGAGAGAGAAGTAGCGATGCAGAACAACCAGCTAATGAGGCTACTCTTGGCTAATACTGCACATGAATTCCGCACACCACTCAACGCCATCATCAATTATCTTGAAATCGCACTAGACAGTTCCCTGAACCAGGAGACCCGGGAGAACTTGTCTAGGTCTCACTCCGCTTCAAAGTCATTGGTGTATATTATCAACGATCTCCTGGATCTCACGAATGCAGAAAACGGACAAAAGCTCATCAAAGATGAAGTTTTCAATCTACCCGAAACTCTTCGCGAGGCAACCAACATCTTCTGGGAGGAGGCCAAGCAAAAGAATGTCAATCTTCAAATCGTGCAGCAATCCGAGCTGCCTCCAGTACTCGGTGACCAACGACGTGTGCGACAGGTCATCACCAATTTAATTAGCAACGCTGTCCAGCATACTTCTTCGGGCGCTGTCACAATCGAGTCATGCCTTATACCCGAGCCTTGCAAGACGGGGTATATCCCAGTTGAAGTCGCTATCCACGACACTGGCGCCGGAATGTCTCCAGAGACCGTGGAGACTTTATTTTGTGAGCTAGAACAGGTCTCAAGCATGGGATACATCCAAAAATCGAAATCAAGCGGAGAGACTTGCGAACCCGAGGGTATGGAGTCAAGCAGCGTCCTTGGATTGGGAATTGCCCTGGTCGCTCGCATTGTGCGCAACATGGATGGCCAGCTGAGCCTCAAGTCAGAAGAAGGAACAGGAAGTTGCTTCAAGATCCGACTGAAATTTCCAATACCGTCCGAGGAGGACGGAAATGCAAGGGTAGCATGCGGTAGCAGCTGTGGACATCAAATATGTCATCGAAACAAGGACACGGATCAAGCACCAACTGAAGACACGGCAGAGAAAAGGAACGGCATACCGTGTCACTGTCACTGCGGTGATGACAGTTTCCCGGGGCCTGGACCTGGAGAAAAAGATAGCAACTGCTTGGATGTCGAAATCAATCTGACCAACGGCGAATCCCGCAGTATCACCTTGGCTGCCCCGCACTCAATACCAGACAAAGGGACCCAGGCGGTAGAAGTGAGTTCCAACTGACATCATTTGAATATAAGTTATACCCCTCAGCCAGCAAAGATATACTCACGAGTGTTTTAGAGCCTTTTTACGGCCCCTGAGCAAGAAAAAGAGGAGAGGACTCGTGTTGTGCTCAAAGAACCCAAGGCGCCCGCAAAAGAATCCGACACCCCGACAGCCGACATGGACGCAAAGTCCAGGCTGCAGGTTTTGGTCGCCGAGGATGACCCCATCAACAGTACAATACTGAAGAAACGGTTGGAGAAATTTGGTTATCAGATTCATTTAACGGGCAATGGCAAGGAATGCGCTGCTGTGTATCGCAATAGTCCTGGCTCCTTCGATGCGATTCTGATGGACCTACAGGTATGTGACACTCTTCTTTATAGCGTCATGAGGCCCGGGATTAACGGAAATAGATGCCCATAGTCGATGGATTATCAGCTGCCAAGATGATTCGAGAGTACGAAGTCCAAGCAGATTTACGCCATGATTATGTGCCCATCTTTGCGGTGTCGGCTTCGCTCTTGGAAAAGGACTGGCGCACGTACATTGAATCCGGCTTTGATGGATGGATCATGAAGCCCATTGACTTCCAAAGAGTTCATGAGCTTCTTCAGGGTGTGAAATCCACCGAAAAACGAAGGAATTGTTTTTATCGACCGGGCATGTGGGAACAAGGAGGTTGGTTCGCAGCGGATAGTTGAACGGGCTGTGACAAAATTTGGACGGCATTATACATATCCATGTATACAAATTTACTTGATTCTATATAAATGTGAGGTCTTTTCCCGCTTAGCAATATGTTGATTGACTGGAGGCTAAAATGAGGCCAACTCTAGCAGGCCGTAGGATAAGCACATTCCATCTGAATTTATTGGGTTTGAAAAATGTATTTGGCCGCTGTCTCACACTTTCAAGCCTTTAAATGTGAGCTCGATCCTTCTTTATAAGGATGATCCGGGCCTTAATTGCCATCTCCCACTTCTTGTTCATGTCCTTCTCAGTGTTTTCGCCCGATGAATCTTCACTACTGTAATAGATTGTGTTTTTCTATTGCCTTAGAGCCAGGCGGCAATAGATGAGAGATTAGAGATCGCTCGTAAGAAGGTGGTGGGTGGGAGGTAGTTCTCCAGGCGACCCCAGAGCTGATACCTGCTCTTATTTGTTAGGCAAGTCACCTCTTAACGAGCAACCTTAAAGTTAGTTAACTACCTGTAGTTCACTGATTATCTGAGCGAGAGATCTAGCCAAAATGGGAAAATATCCAGACATGAAAGCCCGATGATATGCAGGTAACCCCCATACAGATGCAAGTTAATAAATACATAACAAGAAGACAAATATTCTAATGTTAACACATATATCGTAACCGTAACTTCAATAATACTCCGCCAATCCCAAACTCGAGAAATCAGGCACGGTATCACCACACTTGAACGAAGGAGAATACGCCTTACTTGGCATAAACCCATTCTTCCACGCCGTGCGATAACTCCACTGAGCGGCAGACTCGGTCCGCCACGTCCAGTAGAACCAACCCTGAGCGGTCTCAAAAGCAGACATTTGGGCTTCGGCGTAGGTTTGAAGCCACTTTTTGTACTCGGTCGAGTAGTCTGCCACGTCGGCGTTGGCGCTGCTGCAGCTGCATGTCCCTGCGTCGGCCGTGGGACAGTATGCAGTTGACGAGCTGGTGTCATACGAACCTTCCCAGCGGGTGCCACGGCCCACGTTGTTGAGATATGTTGCGCAGTCGGTATCGGCTTGTGACCATTCACCGCAGATAGTGGGACCCCATCTAGCGAATCTATCAGTTTGAGTTTGATGTTGAAAGAGGGGGCAGCAGGACTTACCCAGAGCTGGTGCTGTTAATTTCCTGAATCATAGAGTACCAGCTGTTGCAGATGATTTCCACCTTGGCAGTGTGATTGAGAACAATCTCACCCGTATTAAAGGTGGTGTACTGATGAGTGTCGAGGTACATGTTGTCGGGGTGATCCTTGAACATGCTGTCCCACTTGTCAAGGTTCAAGAATCCGTCATGGAAGGCTATTGTCGCATCAACACCATTGCTGCGAACAAGCTCCGCCGCTTCTCGGGTCCAGTTCAGAACCTTCTCTGTCGGGAGGGACAGCATGAGAGGCTCATTGGCAAGACCGTAGATTGTCACGATATTCTTGTATCGATCTTGTGCAAAGAATTGTGACAGCTGGTCGTGGATCTCTAGAGATCGTTTTCGGTTCAATGTGCCATTTGTTCCGTCAATCCAGTCGATGCTCCCTTGGTGGCCGCTGTGGTTCCATCCATTCTGACTACCTGGAAGACCGTGAAGATCCAGCTTCACTCGAATTCCGTATTTGCGACAGTACTCGATTGCACGCAACAGGTAGCGCCAGGAGATCTTGGCGACATATGGGTCGCCGTCGTACGTTGTGACTGCCCAGTAGGAATATTGGATACGGACATGGTCGAGTCCGGCTTCCTTGATCTCGGCAAAGTCAGATTCTGAGAGGAATTCTGCATAATGCTTCTCAATAGTCGTAGCGGCAGAGGAGCCCAGCTTTTCCGTGAGTGTCCATTCGTCGATGACGCTGGAGGAGTAGCCTGAGAATAGAGATGGTGTTATGAAGGGCTCGATGGAGAGCCATCCTCCTAGGTTGACCCCACGAATTGGTTGTGAACCATATGGGAACTTCTGGTTTAGAGGTGGAACATTCGCGTTTGGCCTGGCGGAGTCGTCCCATGAAGAGTTAAGACCCATGATGTATAAGCCGCCGACGGTCTCGTTGGTAAAAGTGACATTGAAGCCTTCCGTGTCATACCAAGTGAATGGATCAAGATAAGTGCCTTGGGCCCATGACTAGTGAAGTCAATTAGCAGGGCTCTCGGATGGGGTCCAATTAGACTTACCGGAATACTATCTCGACTGATCCCATTAAGATTTGAGTTGGACGGTGAATCCGAGCTGGACGAGCTGCTTGACGAGTCGGAGCCGCCTTTATTCTTATTCGCCTCCAGTACAGCGATGGGAATGACAATAGCCAGCACCAACACGATGCCAACGATGCTTCCAACAATTAGTCGCTTCTTCTTCGACCAAGAGGCCCAGAATTTCCACTTTGGCGTTTGGTTGCCATTCTCATAACTGCCATCCCAGCTACCCTCTTGCTTCCAATCCTCCTCCATTGCAGAACCACCGCCTCCACGACGGCGCATCTTCATTTCAGGACTCCGACCTTCCTCTAGATAGGCACCGGATACAACTCGAGCACCAGACTTATGCCGTGGTCTCCCCTCGGCGATATCCGCACCAAGAGCAGCAGCAGCGGCGACTCCAGCACCTGCCAACGCAGCCTTTTTCTTTTGTCGTCGGCGCTCCCTCCGAGCCTCATCTTCGTCTCGAGATCGTTCACGCCGATCATCCTCCTCATGCTCGGATGCCAATCGCGCCATTGCATCCGCCTTCAGCAAATGAGACGCACTGCTCGTCGACTCTGTACTCCGATGCTTACTAGCAACGGCCGCCGCAGCAGCAGCCTCACGCTCCCATTCTCGATCACGCCGTTCTTCACGCTCACGCGCCTTGCGACGCTGCCGTCGAGCTTCCGATTCGATATCCCGCGATCTCTCCCTCTCCCTCTCGCTTTCCTCCCCGCGCGTCCGGTGCCGTCTCTCTCTCACATCCCTCGCCGGACTCCCTTCATCCTCAACATCTCGACGCCGACGATGCCCATCCCGATCTCGTTCGCGATCCCGCTTCTTAATCGGTGACGTAGCAGGCGACTCCTTCGCTTTGGATCTCTCCCTCTCCCTTCGCCGTCCCTCCACGGCATCACTATAGGCCCTCTCTTCTTCGCGCTCACGTTGCCTTCTCCTCTCCCTCCTCTCCCGCCGCCGCCGTTCATCATAATCACTCCCCACCTGCTCCCCATTATCGTAAGAGTCGTAGCCCTCCTCGCCGCGGAATCGGTACTTTCCACGTGCCTGGCCAGGACTGGACACCGCGCCTTCGTCGTCTTCATCGTAGCGACCGCGGATATACTCGCGCTCGCGATCGCGTTCTCGTCGGCGCTCTCGTTCGCGCTCGCGTGCCCGGTCTCGTTCTCGCTCGCGCCCGCCGTGGCGGTCTCGGCTGCGAGATTGACCCGGCATGCGAGCTGCCCGGTACAGGGAGGAGACGGTGAATCGCTAGTAGGGGGTTTGCCTCGTACCCTGCAGCGGGCCAATCGTTGACGTATTTGACCGCTCAGGGGTAATTGCGGAGGATATTTCTGGAGCGAGGAATGCTCGGCGCGAGATGTCTGGAGAGCCGGTTGATCTCCCCGCGCAAACGAAACGTGGCGTGTGGTATGCGGTACGGGTCTAGGCTCTCGGAATTGAGAAACTGTCCATCAGCAGGCCATAAGTCGTTATCAGAGCTGTAAAGGAGCTTTGGAGAAGCTCTGTGGTATCAAGTCGAGCTGGTGGTGGATTCTCGGCGGTTTGTGTTTTGCTTTTGCCCCATGCGCGTTAGTGCGGAGGGCGACGTAAACAGTAAAAAGCAGGACACGCAATCCCCGAATTGGCAGTCCTTGGCCCTGGTTTAGAAGAGAAGATTCTCTAAGTCAACTTAGGATCAACTGTCTTGAGATTAGCGATGCTGCCTTAACGTGATCTTAGTGGACTCTACACATCTCGCGTTACGCAGCAACTGATTCGGGTGGGGCATTGATGCCCGAGATAGTTCATGGCCGGGCTGGTTTGGCCATGTTCCAGGACGTTGATGATGTCAGTTGTCGATGCCAAGGGCTTGAGAATACTTGGAAAGATTGAATGCAAGATTATCGCATTTCGCAGAGATGTGGCATTGAGGACACATTAAAATACACTTATTTCACTGACCACCTCTCCCAAGTACAATGCAACAAGCTCCAGTCCGTTCTAATACAACCAGAAATGTAAATGATCACAAACCAAAGAGGAAACACGTGTGTCGTATCAATCAATAACATGAGGGTATGAAAACTCCAAGAAAGAAAGGGAAAGAAAACAGCTGATTGATAAAGATGTAGCGTCGAAACGAAAATGCCTGGTTCAAAAAGCCTACCAGCAAGGGTCATTGTCAATATGAATGGTCAATCGAGGAACATGTCCATCTGTACAGTTTCTGATAAGTGCGGAAGATCGAAGCAGAAATGAATATGATGAAAATAGCACAAAGAAAATAAGAATCAGAAAAATCAGTGAAAACAACTGTCGCTGGTTCCGGGGAATCTAGAAGAATGAAAATCGAGGCATTGGATTGCCACAGGCGAGAACCGTCCAGAATCTCTATTGCGTGATAGACGGTGCAGAAGGACGGTGTGGTCGAGTATTATTCGCAGGCAACATTCCGGGGATGGTCTGGCCAACATGATGATCAGAACGGACCACTGTGTTCATCGAACGAGTATGTCCAATTGGCAACATCCAGCCCTGTGGATTGTAATATGTCACGAAGGGGGCACCTGATGGGCCACTGATCACCTCAGTCCATGAATTTTTGGAGGGAGACAGTCACCACGAGCATGGGCGTCTCACAAAGGGAAATGGGATGAGATGGTGTCCGAGGCAGACCACCATCAGCGCACGAAGAGTCTGCCAACCCATTAAGAATTAAGCTTGTATCTGGGAGATGATTGCCGGTCCCAACTTGTTCTTTTTAGAAGATCAACTACTTCAGCTGATGATCTGTCGGGCGCCCTCCTTTCCCAAAACACCCGGCTCGGTGGGCTTGGGGCTGCGATCGCGGCCCTTCTTCCGGCTCAGGAACGAAAGCATGCCGCTGTTGGATTGTTTGCCCTTGCCCGCACCCTCGAAGCCTTCAGCTGGGAGGGTAGAGCTGTGATCAGCGAGCTCGGTCCAGCTGCCTGCTTCCTCCAACACCATTTGTACACCACCTCCTTTGCTCATCTTCCTGGTAGCTCCACCCGGGCGGGGTGCAGGGGGCAACGGACGGTGGAAGGAGGGGGCCGGGGGCATAGGTGCAGGAGGAGGGGGCGATGGCGAAGCACGAGTCGAGGGCGAGGGTGGTTGATGACCGGACACCGAGTCATTCGGATCGAGATTCTCGCTGACACCCGTCAGGTTGTCATTGTGGGAAATGGCGTGGAAGGAACGCTCATGCTGAGGCGGGGACGAGTTTCTGGCGGAGGATTCGGGTTGTGACAGTTGACGGGAATGCGTAGTGGAGGTCGCGGTAGGAATGGGAAAGCAGTCTTCCGGGTTACTAAAATGGGTGAGTATAAACGGGCAGCTAGTAATGTCGGTTTGATTTCCACTCACGTTGACGCAGCGATGGCTTCCGCGGCATTTCCTTGGAAGTTAACGAGAGTATAATCAAATGGCTCAAACATGGTCTCGATCAAACGATGAAGCTCATCCTCGCGGACCTCCTTAGCCGTTGCATCGTCGCGCAGCTCTGCGCGTGGTTTTTGCCGACGAGCGCGAGCCTCCAGAGGTGCCTCTTCGAGTAGTAGCTCTTCGAGATCGTAGGTTGCGTCAAAGTTGGTTTTGTCGCTGGAGGGACGAAAAACTGGAGCGTACTCTTTCCGCTCGAGCGCATCGAAATCGATATCTGCAAAGAACATGTGCGAGGTGAAGCTTTCGAAGCTGATGGCGCCAATGCGTCGACTGCGATCCTTCTCGATCAATGCCGACAAGGCCCGTAGACAGGGGACAGAGACAGCGGGGTTGGTGACATAATACTTTGGCTGCGCTTTCTTGATGTTCTCACTCAGAGTCTCTTGGCTGCGGCCTTCGAACGGTCGCTACACAAGGGGTTAGCCCGGTTGTAGCGCTAATGTTGAATGGGGACATACCTTGTTGTAAATGCACTCATAAAAGGTGACACCCAACGACCACCAATCGACTTCAAAGTAGTAACCGCCACCTTCATACACCTCCGGCGCAAGATAAGCCAATGTTCCCGACTTGCTCGTCAAAGGCTTTCCCGGTCGGAAGTCTGATGCCACGTTCTAGATGGAAAATTAGTGACCGACAAAGTGGATGTGCAAAAGATGTGTAACATACGAAATCAGCCAAATGGACATGTCCCTCCGAGTCCAAAAGTACATTATCGGGCTTGAGATCACGATGGATGATACCCTGCGAGTGGATATACCTCAGGGCACAAGCCAGCTCTGCCATCCAAAACCGTACAGCTTCCTCGGTGAAACACTTCCGCGAAATGTGAAACCGAAGATCGCCGCCATTCATCAGATCCACGACAATGTAGCTATAATAGGAATGGTCAGCTCATACACACTAGCTCAAAATTGATAGCAAGGCCGAGCGCGACTCACATGTATTCCATATCCTGAAAGCTGTAGCGCAAGTTGCAAAGGAACGGATGGTTCAAATGCTCCAGCATACGTCGTTCACGGATGATGTTTCGTACACTTTCCGACCGGACAACTAGTAGGAAAGCGACCGAGTTAGGCTGCAAATGACCGAATGTCGGGAAAACGCGGGGGATCTGAACATACCCTCTTCCTTGCGAATATATTTGAGCGCAAACGTTAGACCAGTATCCTTTCTCTCCACGATACGGACTTTGCCAAAGGCACCCTTGCCGACCACGCGAAGGAGGCGGAAGTGGTTGAGGTTGACTGGTTTCCCGAGAGTCAGTATATTGCTTTTCTCAACCCGAGCCGCCGGGGGGGCTTCTGGAGCCCTTCGACGCGGTTTTGGTTTGCAAACTAAACGGGTTCCTGCTAAACATACCCGCATCATTGCAAGCCACCGGTTTCCCTTGAGAATTACCCATTCTGGCGGGGACAAATGCTGAACCGAGATAATTTATTTCCACCAAATCTTTCCTGGCAACATCACACTAGGTTTGTAGAGCGTCGTAGATGGTTACGTCCACGTCAGATACGCCGATGAAGGGATCTGACACACGGTAAAGGCAAAATTTGAGTTTGAAAATGGCGAATTTTAACGTCCGACGTCCATGTGAGAGGGTCGATTGTAGGATCCCGAAGGTAGGATCGCGAAGCGGGGGTTCAATGATTCGGGTCGAGCCAGATACGGGAAGAGCCGTGGTAAAGCAGGGGGCGAGAGGAAGGGGGAAAAAGGACCGAGTGGTGGACGGCGGATCGAAAAATCGTGCAGCGATGCAGAAATCAGATTGACCGAACTGCAGCAGCGGCTGGATATGTATATTCGCGAACAAGGTGAGGGCCCGAGAGCGAAGGGAGTCCCAAGCGCGCGCCGTTGGAACGGGATCGGGCAAGTTGGAAGTTGGACGAGAGACCGGAAAAGCACCAGCCAGGCGGTTCTCGCAGGGACACGATCGAAATGAAACAAGTCGTATGGAAGGTTCGAATGTCTCGCAGCTGTCGCAGTTTTCGCAAGTCGGCAGGCTCGTTAGTCTCGACGGTTTGACTGCGTCTGAAAGGAAAGAAAGGGGAGCGAGCGGTCAGAAGGCAGGACGAACAGACTGGCAGTATCGGGAGAACCAATCACCGCCCTCGTGGCCACCGGACGGAGAAGACGCAAGAGGGAAAGGGGGGAGGGAGAGAAGCAATTTACAATTAAACACCCGGTCTTGTCGGTCTGACGCCGATCTTCATGGGTTGTCTACGCTTCTGGTCTAGGCTAAATCTCCGTCGTTGCATCTTTAAAATGATGGTGAACGCCTGTATCCAAGCACGTAGTGTCCATCCCCTATACTACCCTGACTTCCCCAGGATTGAGATCATAGGACTACCCTACTACAGATCCCAATGGGAAACTTGTGGTCGCTTCCGCCATCCCAAGCTTGTCGAGCATTACCGGAACGGGCGAAGAGCTGGGGACCCACGGGAGGCGAAAAAAAAGGGAGAAAGCACGACCAGTGGAGGGGCAAGGATCATGGTTAGTTTTGACGGCGGCTTGACCTGGTGGAGGCTTCGATATCCAATCCACCACTGGCCGCTCCCAGCTCGCCAATTCAACCCATCTCGATTGGCCATGGGCTACGATAGTTTCGGATGTTTTGTCCAGAGAAACGATTTCCGACCACTGCAATCTGTGCAATTAAGTTTTTTCGTTCTCGGAGACTGCCATACTGCTGAGTCTTGCTAACTTGTCAGTTGTATCATTATTGACTACGGAACTTTAGGTGGGGTTCCAAAACTGAGGAAGCTATCGGGATTGAGCATGACCTGCAGCTCTCTATATAGGGTCTCGACGGACCTCGTCCGTCTCACCAGAGGTTTGATTTACCGTTTACATTCTCCCGACGCAACAGTGGGCTGGACTAGTTAGCCCCCCCCCCGATCGACCCAACCAGACCGTATGCAAGCTGCAGCCCCATCGCCCTAGCCAGAGGAGCCTGACGTCGTCAGATATAGTACCACCCTTGCTCTGCAGCACATGCGTACATGCGGAGTACATATCTTTCAATAGTTAGACAATCAATTGAACGGTAAGAGTATTAGTACGAAGAAGGGAACAGTGTATATTAGGGCTCTAATTTACTATTCCGTACTACTACCTGGATACTGCAAGCCAAGAACTCAATTTCTCGCCACGCGAATTTGTTGATTTTCGAGACTTTCGATCCCTCGTATCTCGTGGCCGCCACGTTCTTGACCGCCCTCGGTTCGCATATGCAAGCCAACCAGATACCCAATTGCCTTGTGATTCGGGCTGAGTCCTGTTGGCTGGCGCAGTCAAAACTCCCTAGTTAGGCCGGTCAGACTGCAATCTGGTCGACCTTTCACACAGGACACGGTCATGGAACTCCCGCAGAACATTCGAATGGGCTTTTCGGTGGCAGTAAGCAATGACTGGTCACACCACACCGTTCCCTTGCAGATTTCCCGGTCCCACTAGCGCTAGAAACCATACGATCTCGTCTATCCAAAACCGAATTGGATGATCATGACTCGTATTCTTAAGAGATTCATGAGTTCTAATTGACAACCCGCGTACCTAAACAGGAACTCCTCGAAACGCCCGTATAGTCCAAATCACGACGGTCGCTTGTCAACATTTCCCATTTAAGTTACCGGGCCCGGTCACTCGTGTTCCCACAGTGGGCAATAATCGACAGGATCCCGGTCCGTTGTTTCAGCTGCGCCATGACAAAGAAGATGTGGTCCACGCTGAAACTGGCGGTTTCAGGTTCGCTCCCATTGGATTTTTGGAGAAACCTTGTCAGTCTGGAGCAGTAAGCCGTAGGGATTATGATCAATCGTGCGGAGTACGGTGAAAGGGTAGGGCTGGCAAGGGTTGGCTAGTGTCTTAGCCAATCTCTACTCCCGCTCCCAGAGTCCTGATGTTGGCATGAATTCGTATGAACCAGGTGCTTGTGGATGGCGCCATAAGCAGACATTGCTTCGGTCATGCTCGGCCAATTCACACTTCTCTCTCAAACCGATGTGCATGAACAGGTTCGAAGCTGAACACAGAAAGCGGACACTTTTGAGCTGTTTGTACCCAAAGTAGAGCTTGCGGTCTCCCAACCTTTGGCGTGGCCCGCTGATCTTCCAATAGTAAATGAACTACATTTGAAGTGAAATACCGTTTGCTTTCAGAGGTGGAAAATGATTCCTTAATTCTTGGCATACTCGTGGTGATACTGTCGAGAGTAGGGCAATCAGGCTCATAGTTCCTTTCGCCGTCGATAACCTGGGCTGTCCTATAGGATGAGATCCCGAGTGTGTTATACAGTTACGGAGCATATCCAGGCATATATGGTCTTGATCAGATGATCAGATAGCAGTCACTCAACCTCAGCACAAAGCTTTCCTTTGAGCGATGGCTCAGGTCCTGCGGAAGCGGGCAAGGATGTACCTGCTGCACATACCCGAGACGTCGGAATCATACTGTCAATTACTGTTCCCACGCCTCTCCTCCAGACTCAGACAAGGGGAATTGAAAGAATCACTATCGTTGGACCTGATTTAGCTCAACCAATCCCTAGATTATCATGTAGAGTACGTGCGATTCAGTTGCTCGCCCGGGCTTAGAGCTAGGCTGAGGAAATCATTCTGCTTCAAACATTCCTGCAGCGAAAAAGGTATGACCAAGGCTTCAGCTCGTCAATTCCATTCCATTCAGCTCTCTGAAAGGATTGGTCAAATCTTTCAACTATAACAAAATGTCCATGTCGGCGTGGAGGTTCATGGTGAGTCCTGGGGGTCACGGGACATTCGTACCTGCCTGGGTTGTATTTTAACGTCCAACATCAACCTACCCGATTTCTCCCAGATACAATCATTGTGTATCTGTCTACGAAGTTGCAATTCATTATGGAGCAAGATCTATCCAATCCGTCATCTGAAGCTGTCTCACCTCACTTCCCTCCTCCAAAGAGGACCCTGCCTCCGCCAGAGGGCCAGCCCAACAGAAAGAAACCAGTGCTCATGCAGCGTCCACAGAGTTCTGGTATTAATTTGACAAGCTTCTCATTCGCTAGACCAGAAAGCCAGCCCAAGAGATTCACGCTGAAGCCGATTCCTCGATTGGATCCTCATGGGAAGCATGACCGTGAGGAAAGGAGTGCTGTGGATTCGCAGGACAAAGAAGGGTAAGCTAAAACTGCAATTCCACTGATTTGCATATGCTAAGCTCATATTATTGCCATGCAATAGTCCGTCCAAGTCAATTACCGAGCCGGGACAGCAGAGTCTTGAGCAATACCTGGCAGAACGAACTCCATGTCCACAGCCCAAAGATCACACGGAGGCTGCAAAGATCTCTCAAAAGGATTCAACTCCACCGAGTACTGAAATTACGAGCACCGATAGCCCGCAGAATGCGCAATCAGCAAAGGGACAGGTCGTCATTAACCTGGAACTCGAGAGTGATACTGCCCTGGCCACACGGGCGATTCATAACAGCCGGATTCGGGTAAGTATCCGACGCATTACATCAATTCACTAGATCTGACGAGGCCAAGGCCACTGCTTCCCAAGCCACCACATCACGCTCTGCTCAAAATCAGGTCCGAAAAGCATCAGCAACTCAGAACACTACCTTGCCACGAGGCACCGCACGATCTAAGGATTACCTCCGAGTCTCTAAGCCTTGCCGCGAGAACCGCAAGTCTGCTCTCACCCGACAGCAAAGATCAATTTCTAGCAACAAATCTGGTTTTCATCAGTTCACTGAAGATTCCTTGTTCGAAATGCTCATTGGCAGGATCAGACAGCGCGAGGAGAATGAGATTGTAGCTGCCAACGTCCAACGCCAAGTTGAAGCACAAAATTTGGAGCTGAAAGAGGAAAATCAAGATCTTCACCAACAACTTGACGCGGGTCATATGCAGCTGCAGAAAAAAGACTCAGAAATTAAAAAGCATCAAGCCCGCCTGGAAGACTGGAAGGTCAAGATCCGAAAGTTTAAACAGGTTGTTGATGAATTGGGGCATGATTATGATGCCCTCAAAGAAGATAACGAGCGGTTGATGACCACTGCCGCGAGTTTGGAAAAAGAGAAGAGCACCCTCTTTCAAGCCATTGACGATGCCAAGCTCCAGATTGCCCAAGCGGAGGGGGCAACAGACGAGCTGCGAAAGGAGAACTCTGAGAGAGAACAACGAATTGCGCTGCTACAGCTGGCTTTGACCACTGCGCAAGACCAAGAAGAGGGCATTAAAGCAGAGCTGATTAGCGAAAGGAATCGCAGTGCCACCCTGGAATCTTACATCCAGAACCACGCGCTGACCCAAGCAAAGCAGCTTGGTCTGATCAGGGATGATCAGGCAAAGCTCATGCAAGATCTAAATACGGGGTTGACTTCGATTGCCTCCAATGCAGCCACTTTCAGAACTGATATTCTGTCAGAAGTCAAAGCAGCTCTGGATCAGTGTGGTTCTTCCATCCAGACCTTGAGTGAAAAGTGCTCCAACGAAAAGCTGGAGATCCAAGGGTTTACGGCTGGTACTCGAGATGCGGTCTCCCAGTAGGTTTCATCGGCAAGATACAGAAGCCAAAGGGCTAATTTTGCAACCACAGAATCGAGAACCTGGCAGCAAGGCTCACAGGGAGCGTCGAGACTAGCAACAGGGTCAATCTCGGCGTCGCTAAGACCATTGAAGACAGCTTACACTCTATCGAGACTCATCTTGGCCCCAATTCCACGCTTTCTCAGCAGCTTTCTGAGTGTGACACCTCGTACGGGTGGCTGAAAGACAAACTCGGAGCTATTGGGCCAACACTGGCCAATCTCGGTGCCTCTTCAGAGGCCATGTTGACTTCTGGGAGCAACCTTGTTCGACAATTTGGGGACTTTGGCAAGATTTTAGAGGAGGCGCAAATTCCGAAAGGCAATCCGATTTTAGACAGAGAATTGGCAGAAAAGTTCGCTGAAAATACGCAGCTCCAACTCGGACTCCAGAAATTGTCCTCGGAAGTTGACCGTCTGGAGCAGCTGGCAAGCGAAAAGGACGCAAGGATTGCACATCTGCAACGATCTCTGTCAGACGCAAATCAAAAGCACAAAGCCTCTGAGGATCGAAATCAAGCATCAGAAATCGAGAAGATAGCCCTGAAAGGGGAAATGGAGTTAAGGGATCAGAGAATCCGTCACGAATTGGCCACCGAGCATGGCACCTCCCAAACCAAGATGAAGGCCCATTACGAACAACAGTTGCATGCTCTACAAGCAGAGAAAAATGAATTTGAAAAGGATGCTGAAATCGTAATGGCTCAGTTGAGCGGTGTTCAGGATGCTTTGGTGAATGATTCGGTGGCATCGATTGCAGAAACCTAGCTGACTACTTCTAGGTTGAGGCAAAGCGATTAGTTGATGATCAGAGAACACTGCGCGAATCAATGGTAAGTCACTCGCCCTGTTGTGCAGGATTCGGCTAATCCATCCAGGCCCAAGAGACCGTGCAACAGATTCAACAGCTCACACAATCTTGCTCCGAGCACATGGTTCGAGTAGGGGTTCAGAGTCTCGAGATCCAGAGGTATCAGGAAGCTGAAGCGGTTGCGTGTCTAGAGAGAGATACCCTGCAAGAACAACTCCGACAGGCCCAGGAAAAGATCCACGAGCTCGAGCAAACATTCGTCCTCCCAGCTGAAGAGGCAGAAGGTCCTCAAGGACCGCCGACTAACATTGTTCCTTTTTCGGCTCTGGAAAGCCGGCTTTCGCCAATGCGAGCCACCTCGCCCTATGGGGACCCCGCAGACTTTGCCATGCTCTTCATGTCGGATGAGCTTTTACTTTCAACTCCACATCACAAGATCAAAGAGGACAAGGAGTCCCCAAACCGTCAAGATGAGGTTGTTCAAGACAGCCAAAAGGCAGTCGATGTCCCTGATCCAGCAAAGGTATTCGATATTCCTCGGGACATGGACCCGCCTCCACCACGAGCCAACATGAAACGCAGAGCAGTCAATTTTGCACCACCCCGAAAAGATAGCACGGGGAGTAAAAATAAGGATGCCGTTGTTACTGGTACTCCTTGCACCGAGATCCAGGGCTCCGCACAAGCCGGCAAAGAAACGGAGGAGCAATCTGCTAAAGTCACAAAACATATCAACAAGAGGACTTACAGTCGTGTTCATGCCTTGGGCGTCGAGGGTCAGCAGGAGGAACCAACGGTGTCAACTCGTGCTATCGAGGGAGTACAGCGAGCTAGCCCAAAAGGTCTGGTATCTGCGAGCAGCGCCAGGGAACCAAGTGGTCGGATCAATTCTCGTGGTCGCGGCAAGCGGCGTTCGCGAGGTAATTGATCATCCATTTTTGGCTATGCGAGGCTCCAATCCTGATTTTGCATATAGGAGATCGTTACAACGCCCGTTTCACTCGGGAAGGCTATTAACTTCGACTCTCAGAGGATGTCTGCCCAAGGAAGCATCCTCCTTGTGGCCGACAAGCTTCTCACGCTCCCCCATAGCGTTTAATTTTATGATCGACTGGCCAAATTTCGGTCGCACAAGACGTGTCAGTCACATGTTATGATATCAAACATGTGTATCATCGATATGTTCGAAGAAAGGATCTGTTTCATGACCCATATCTTACCACTGTGGTCGAATCGACCTGCTCACTGTCATAAAAGTGAATATACACTTTGGAATCGCAGGTTTATGTAGCGGAATGAAAGATAGATTTTCAATTCAAAACCCAAAGCTGTAATGCTTGTAACGCCAGACACAATGCTCCATCAAAAGGAAGTACAAAGTGGAGCAGGTATGAGAGAGTCGCTCTCTCATCAACACTTCCCAGGATATAATGTACACAATAGGGCCACTCAGCCCAGACATCCCCTAATCACGACCAACACAGCCTCTCGGGCATCCTCTCGGGATTGACACCAGACCGAGACAAGTAATTTCCGATCAAAAGCGCAGAGGGAAATGACTCTGCGGGGCGGAGATAGCAGTATCTGACTTTCCACACAAAGGACACGATGACGGATGCTCGAATTGGTAATCGGGGTATATCGAAATCGGCAATCGCAACGTCGAAATCATTTATTTCGCCTTTCCACCCTTGGTCGCTTCAAGGAAAAGCACCTTCTTCTTCACGACGGGATCGTACTTGAGCATGGAGAGCGGGCGGTGCGCACGAGGCCGGATCATGGTACGGTAGAAACCAGTCATCGCCATGGAAATCAGGCGGACGGTAATGGTGCGTGACTTTGCTGTGGAGAGATACTGGTTAGCATGGTGGTTTCGTCGTTGCGGACTTCACTTCGGGAGGTGGTGTTGCGTTGCGGTGCCAGCTCCAGGGTGGAGTTTCAGCAATTGGAGGCAAAGTCCAGCGACTGCATAATCTGGGTTGATTCCAGTAGCACTTTCACGTACCTTTCTTGGCCATTTTTGCTCGACGTCCCGTGGAGACTGGGTCGTGGTTCGATGGATGGGAAATTCGTAGCGCGGCGCCGGGCAAAACCGTCCTCTCCGCTGTCTTGGTCACGTGCTCTGCTTAGTCAGGGAATCTGGCTCCAGATCGATGAATGCCGCCTGAGTATGGTTCAACTTTCCATGTGATTTACTCATGTCAAATGTTTCAAATTACTTTGAATGAGGACCCTTGATGACCAAGTGGGCAAGCTATCAGACCCTGATCTACACCGGCGAATTTACCGGTAAACTCGGCCGGTGAACAAGGAAGTTTGGAGTTGGCGCTCGGTAATCATCCACGAGGTCGCATCGACAAGGCCTAGTGCCAAGCCTGAGACATTGCTTAACTCTCAATCGTGCCACCTGCTAGACCCAGGGTCCATCATTAAACTGGTATCTCTATCTCGCTTACGCGGAGGTGATGCGGCAATCCCGGTGGATTTGAGCTGCAGTCCCGCTGCAGAACTGGGTCCTGCAGGGATACACAAGGGTATGGACTTCTCCAAATGGGTGTTGCCTATACCGCTTTTATACTAGAGCAGTGGTTTTTGCGCACTAGATTGCCCAATTCGTTTCATTAGAGGGTCTTCGATGTTCGGGAGGTTACTTCGTGTATCCCCAGACTGCAAATAAGCTTGTGAGTAGCCAATGGGAGTGTCCGGTTCCAAACAGGGGGATCCGTTGGGCGAGAGGGGGGCTGAAACAGGGTCCTCGTCACAGATTGGAAGTGTAACAGGATCTGGCCCTCGGAGTCAATTGTAATGTACAGGATCTTCAGGGTCTTTGTCAAGTGCGATGTCAATTGCCTCGTGGTTGAGCCTGACATCCAGAAGCAACATTGATAGCAATATTCGCTCGTAGCTCGCGAGAATGCCTTCTTTTTCGATCGGCCCCCTGGTGTGGCGCTTTATAAGTAACGTTGAATGCAGGCTCCACCGTCATCGGCTAACTTCAACTAGATGCTGCATATGCCCGAAAGGCAATTCTTCTGCACGTGTATCTCTCGCCGGGGTCCCCTCCTGCAGGGGTCAGGGACCATGTGGTGCCCTATACGAGACGCGGTGCGGGCTCGTCGCACCCTTTTAGGAAGACCCGTGCGGTAAAGGTGACGTTCGGCAATGCTGATGATCGGAGGTCTATTTACTTCCGACCGAGTAGGTATACGAGTATATAAGAGCTGGTGAGAACCTCACGATAAACTATTCATTTCAAAATACATTTTACACAAGTCTATTGTTTATTTCTTAATCACCATGGCGATTAAATCCTCCATCCTTGCCTCTTTGGCTCTTTTTGGTTCGACCTTGGCGCAGAGCGTTGATGGCTCTCAATACAATAACCCAACTGCTGGCCCTCCTGCTAGCTACTTTGCAGCAGCTTCTACCGTTCCCGTTGCGGCGTTGCAAAGCGCTGCTGCAAAGGCTAGCACTGCGGCCAAGGATGCAACATACCCTATCAATGGCGACAGCGGAGCTCACAAGTCGACTATCCACAGTGACTGGACCAACTTCAGCGAGGTGAATTACATCTGCAGCTGTTATCTGGCGTTGATCTAAATGGTGAATCTAATCTGCGAGGTTGACAGGGCGCTGCTTTCGTTTGGGTTGCAGACATGGATGTAGACTGCGACGGTCTTGACTACAAGTGCAAGGTGAGCAGAGTTCTTTGAACCGCGCAAGTAGGAAGTGGACACTTACTCAACCCGCTTTGTATAGGGCAACCCAGACGGCCAGCCTAACACCAACTTTGGTGCTTTGGCAGCTTATGAGGTGCCGTTCTTCGTGATCCCCGACAAGTTCGGCACGACCTATCAGAACGTCCTCCCTGGAAATAACATTGGTGCAGTTATTTGGTAAGTTCTTTCTTCTCTAGAATCAACACAGTCAGACTCACCTTTATAAAGCAACGGCAAGATGTTCTACGGTATCTATGGTGATTCCGACGGTGATACCCCCCAGGTCATCGGCGAAGCTTCATGGCTCATGGCTCGCACCTGCTTCCCCAACGATGACCTGAATGGTAACAGCGGCCACGGTGCTGTCGATGTCACCTGTGAGTCCAAGACTCTCCTTCATTCCAAATCTCCTTCTAACCAGACTTATCCAGACATCCTTTTCACGGGCAACGACGCCGTGCTCCCCAGCAGCGCCCTCAGCAAAAACTACGTTACCAACTTCAGCACCCTCCGCTCAATGGGAGACAAGCTTATCACCGCTCTGGCCAAGAACCTCAAGCTTGTTTCCGGAGGTGGCCCGTCTACCACTACTTTGACCACCAAGGTCTCTACTACTACTAGCACCGGCACTGCATCGACCAGCACTTCGTGCTCATGGGCTGGTCACTGTATTGGTAAGGTCCCCCTGCCCGCTCGGGCATTTGGTGTTTTTGTTAGCTGACAGATACAACAGGAAGCTCTTGCTCTTCCAATGATGATTGCTCTGACGTGCTAGTTTGTAAGAGCGGAAAGTGTGCTTCGTGAGGATCTTTCTTGCTCTCTTCAGGCAATGATTGCTCGGATGAGTTGGTCTGCAGTAGTGGGCAAGTGTGCTAGTGCTTGAATGGTTCGTGTTTGATCTTCCGGATGTATATACTGGGATACATAGTATGAGGATAACTTGAGAGTACAGATGTGAATATTGAATACATGAAGGAGATCTATTTTTTTTTCCTCTTTGAGAACCAGGGAATCAGTTCCTACTAAGTGTATTCCACTATTAGATTACTAACTCGGTCGAGCCCTTGCACGCCAGAACTGATATCACAAACGCAACAGTAAATTCATAAAGATGGAAAATACGTTCTATGCAGCTCCACTCACACTTTACTTCAACTATGGCTATACCTTCCAATCAGACGTTTTATCCGACATGCGCCACACGCGGCCTCCCCTCCAGGCTGCGAGTAAAGTAAGCGGGTACCCGATCGGGAATAACCCTACCCCCACCAGCCGAATCGATCTAAAAGACGCGGGCGACGATCGTGAGGAGAGCGGGGGTCAAAGTGTTAAAGTGTCCATGAGGCTCCAGGAGAGTGGATTCTCTAGGCAACCAGTCACTGAGATTGGCTTGGTTGGGGAAAAGGAACAGGCAGCGCACATCATGTCTATCCCACGAGGAGGGTAGGTTCGTGGTGGGAGGGGTCGAAGGGAATGATCGGGTCTGGACTTGGAATTTTTGAACCAACCTCATTACATAAACCGGATAGTTTGTGTATTTCCTGGTTTTGGGTTCGAGAGTGTTCCAGTATGGTCGATGAATTTGTGGAAGCGGGTCTGATTGTAGGAGAAATTGGATCGGGGGGATCAGCCCTGTGCGCCTTGTCGGGAGATCCGCTCTGTAGGAGAGGGAGAACCCCCGCAGGTGACTCACTCTGGCCTGTCGGGGTCTTCAATTTGATTAGATTGAGCTGGACTCGGTATTGATTGCATAATGCAGAATACAGAAGTCTATTTGGTATGTCTCTGCCCCACTCATCTTGTCTTACAGAGTGTAATATGTATACAATAAAGTCCGATTTTGAGTTTGAAACGTGATTGTTTTTTTTGGTGTTTGGTGTGGACTATCTAGGCATCAAAGCAAACATAAAACATCATCGTAACAGGCCACTTTGTACATAACCACAGTGTTCATCAATAACAAATGAAAAGAAAAATATCATGGCATAGCGGAGAATAATAGAAAATCCTCCAAGTAATGCAGTTCATACTGAATACTGCACATATTCTCCCACAAGAGTGAGTCACAGATCAATGTCCAATGACAAAACATGGCAAGAAGTCGTAATGCATAAACACAAAATAGGAGGGTTGTAATACCCTTCTACTCTCATTGGCTACCCAGCACCCCCTCCTGCATTGAGGCAGATGCGGAGAGGGTCGAGGTGCATGCCAAGAATGGCGAGAGCCAAGTATCGTAGTGGAATTCCCACTTGAAGTATAGAGAGCCCTAGTAGGGGAAATTCCCGTGTCGGAGACACCAGACCAGGCCAGACCAGACCGGAGAGGTTTCCGATCTGGGAGTCCGACGTTTTTCCCCATGATGACTGAATTTCATACGGTACTGAACTGAACTGAAAGATGGGCGTCTTTGTTATTTTTTTGAGGGCTGCGTCCCAGAGCGCCGTTTTGTGGTAGTTCTGTATCGGTGGATTCGGGGAGAATTGTCCAGCTGGGAACCCACTTCGTGTTTCGGGGGTTCCCATCTGGAGATGACCGGCTTGCGGTCATTCAGGAGGGACAGTCAATGTCCGGAATGCATTGCCGCTTTAGTAGCTAGCAACTGGACCTTGGAGCGTTTCGACGGATAAAGGCGGGCGTTCATAGACAGATTGCGCGAGAACCGGGCGTTCAACGGTAGTAGTCCGAGCGACGACGAAGCTGAGTAGATTCGTACTGGCGCTCGACACGGTCCTGGCGGTCCGAGTTGTACAGTGAGCCACGGCTGTTGGAGCTGCGGTTGGGAGAGGTGTGTGGAGACGGGTAGATGACGACTCGGGGCTTGCTGTTGGATGGGGATCGCTCGATGATGCGAGTGTTGGGCGAGGGCTGAGGGGATTGCGTGTTGGAGCGAGAGCGAGGCTCGCGGTGTTCAACCACCGGACCGGATCGACGGGGTCCCACGGGGTATGTGGCATCGTAGGAGCTGCGGATGGAAGTAGAGCGGCGATGAGAAGACTGAGGAGGAGTGGCAGGAGGCATCACTGGCGGGGCACGACCACGGGGAGAAGCAAGACGCATGCCCTTTTCGACGTTCTCAATCAAGGTGCGAGCGTGGGAGCCCTGACGCAGGAGCTTGACTCGCATGGGCTTGCCGTTTTCCTTGTCCACGACCGAAAAGTGTTTTCCATCCACGCTGTAGAAGTAGTTGGTCACGACCTTGGCGCGGCGCTGGCCACGCTCACAGAGGGTATCACTGCTGGACTCGAGGGCGAGGGCGCAAGGAGCACAGTGGCTCACATGGCGCTCGAATTCGTCGACGACCAGCTTTTCGTCGTCGTGGAGGTCGCGCACCACGACGGGGGGCTCCACGATCTCGATGGGGCCGGGCATGGTGTTAGAGCGGCCGATTCTGAAGAACCGTCTCGTGAAGCTGCGACGAGGGGGAGAGGAGGGATTGAGAGGAGTGGTGATGTTGGGGCGATTGGGCGACACCGTGACGGATTGTTGGAGGATCACGCGAAAGCCGGTGGATGACCGCCGGTGAAGTATAATAGAGCGGGATTGAATTTGGTGGTGGATGAGGAGTATGTAAACTGTGGAGGGTCTGGTTAAGAGAGCAGGGCACCCGACAGTCAAATCAGTTGAGAAAGTTGAAGTATGAGACCGAGTTACGATGGGAGGGGAGGAAGGTGTTTTATAGTTTTTTTTTCTTATATTGTATATACTTCAGGGTCATACTACGGGGGGTCGTGGGCCCTGGTCATGGCAGCCTGGCGGGTCTGGCGTTTGCAGATCTGCTCGGGTTAGTCCCGTCATGGTCTGTAATCGGAGTACTCGAGAGTAAGAATAGTCATGAAAGAAGTGCTTTGATAGGGTCATTCCCTCCCCCGAATTCGAACTAACCAAACTCCACTAAACTTCAAGCAGCCGCTAGCGTGTGGCTCAGTTGACACCGCCGTGTGGACGAGGCCCGATCGCCTGATTGGCTGGCAGCCCCCAATGGACGGTCTGATCTGGTGGGAAACACGGTCTGTTTACATTTCCATACGCAAGATTCGTGGTTTCTCTATAGTTCATTATGGTTTATCTGGTAAATGACAGGATTAATATCTCCATACCCGCTCATATCCTCCGCCTTTTCTCTTCTCCCCGTCGTCATTCGTTCGTGAAGGCTGCCCTGTTGCCTACGCCTTTTCGAGACCACCCATGTCATCCTTGGCACTCCCTCCTTCATCCTTCATCCCCCCCCCCCCCTGCTGTGGCTTGAGCCTCTCGTGTTCCTGCGCCGCAGACCGAGTCTCGTGTCCCCCTCAGGATTCAGGTTCACGTCATTTGCTCCGACTCCCATTCAAGCCATCACCACAAGCCCTCACCACAAGGCAGGTTCCCGTGGACTTGCATCGCAGACCAGTGATCCTATGCCCACTTCCATCAGTGCATTATGATGGTTACAATTCTTCCAAAGATTCTCTCTCCTCCCCACGGGTTGCCCCGTTCCCCGCGGATTTGCCCCGCTGCCGCTGTCCTCAATGAACGTCTTGCAAAACATCTCGTCCATTGTTCGTTGTTCGTGTATCCCCGGAGAAATACCTTCGAGGTGTTGATGCCAAAATTAACCGATACGAGTCGGTGTTTCGAATCTTCATTTCAGACCTTGGCTCTAAGAATAGGAGACGATCGGGATCACTCTCACGATGGTTTCGGACCCCACGCTCATCACCTTACACGGTGCTAGCGTCGACCGTCTTGACCCCCATCAGCCGCAAAAGCCACAGTTGAACAAGTGCCCGGGTTGAACGATTTCGTGATCAAGCCAGGATTCTGCTAAGCCCCAGCCACAAACACCGCTTATCGTCACTTTTGGTTCGACCTTCCCGTATTCACTAGCCACGGTCTCTTCTCTGGTGGCTCTCTTTGCTCATTGCTGACACCTTTCTCATGCTTGGACGAGCACTCCCGCTCGAACCTCTTGCCAACACCCTCCCTGTTCGCTCCTGGGGCCAAACCAGTTGACTTGATCAACCACAGGGCGCAATCGGAAAGTCCCAATGTGATAGGCTATTCTTTCTCGATTCTCTAACATTCTAATTCTCGTCTCTTCCATTCCAATCTCTTCCCTTTTTTACCGTCTGCCTGCCAGGCCCTCGCGAATGGGCCTCGTGTTTATGGTCGGTATTTCGATGCCTGGACCCCTCGCGGACGATACCCAAAGGACACCGCGTCCTCTCGAATGGCACCCAATCGATTTCCAACCGGGACTGACGAATGCCCCTCTTGTATTTCCAATCTCTACCCGGGTTGGACAATGTGATCTGCTTACCTGCCGGCATTGTCCTTCGGTCCCAGGAACCTCCCCAGTGGCTCAGGAATTGAGGACTCGACCCTGCATTTAGGGCCACCCTGCCACACTACCCTTCTCTAGTGCCTCTCTCTATACTGACCGTTCGCGCATCTGGTTCCGTATTCTCATCGACTCTTCAACCAGCCCTGCCGGGCTAGCTCAATCGGTAGAGCGTGAGACTCTTAATCTCAAGGTTGCGGGTTCGACCCCCGCGTTCGGCTATTCCTACAGAAAACCTGAGATCTTTCTTTTTGGCGATGCAAAAAATTTTCCAATTTTTTCCAATCTTGAAGCTCTTGGGCCTTCGCTGAGTGGCTGTGGTGGATGGAAAGCCCCCACTAAGTGGGGATCGGCCCGATGGGAAGAACGGAACAGCCAAGATATTGCTGTCCGCATTGAGAAACGGGCTGTACTGTACATCAGAAGAGCAGATGACCCGACCCATCCACACCAAGGGTCCAAGGGTCCAAATTGTCTGCGACGTAATGATAGCCAGAGAGGGAAAAAAGCAAAAAAAAAAAAAGGAAAACATAGTACTAGACTCGGTACGGTTTACTACATACTAGACTAATGGTATTGAACGCGCAGACGATTATGAGTGCCGGTCAGTGCGCAAGGCAGAATGTGCCATCCCTAATCCGACTCTTCACAGTGGGGTTTTCAGCTGGACATGGTTTCTATCTGGCCCCGAGTCTATCAGAACAGGCATCAATGTTGGTTACCAACAATGCATGTCATATTCTTTTAGAAGAATGTGGTTGACTTGCATCTGCATGTAATTATTAATCCAGAGTTTTTTGAAGAGGTTGGCACCGTGCATGGATATGTAATGCTCCATCCGCGTGATATATTTTGGATAGTCAAGGTAGTCCAGCTTATAAACCAGATAACTAATCAAATCGAACATTCAAGTTTGACCCGGCTAACCCGGGTTGCTAGATTATCACCCTTGAATCATTAGTGTAATTAGTAATCGTAATAAAGACGTGGTCTATCAATTTGGTTTGTTATTGTTGTTTACTTTCTCCGTAGCCCCTCTCGCCGTATGTAGCCCATCGGTCGGAGATTTCATGTGGCGGTGCAGCATCAATCTATGTACGATGCCCAATTCACTATAAGATATCTAACCACAATATGGATATAAAAAATGTATTTTTATATATTATATAGTTTATAAACATTCTTTGCCAAAGAGATAAATATGGCGATTAGTGATTTTTATCAAGTTGGCTTCGCGTTTGGATGCTTTCAACACTGATCTTTAACTGGTGTAGCTTTCTTGCCATGCCAGGTATGAGATCAAATACTTCTAAGTATAAGCATTTAGTTATAGAGTTAATGGTAGACTGCTTGTTAACCATATAAGAAATGCTGATTCCAATTCAGCTTGTCATAATTAGCATATCACTTTACCTTTAAGTTGACTGATAAGTTGTATAGGAGAATCGTTTATTTATCAATTAAGTTTACACGGTTTATATTGTTCTCGTTATAAGCATATAAAATATAACCTATAGCCACTGATAATATAAACGCATTTGAATTAGATGAATTATATTGAAACAAATGGAAAAGGAATTATTGTATAGATTCCACACAATTTATAGATAATTAGAAGCTAATAACATTAAACCTACATGAGATACTGTATTGTTCTATAAGCAAATGATCATTCAATTCTAAAATGTGATCCTAATACAGTAACTATCATTAAATATAATAATGAACTTGATGATAAAATTGTAGTTCGGAGGAAATACCCCTCGAGGTGTAAAATCTACAATTGAAAATGAAAACTCTAGAAATAGAGATTTTGGCTTCAAAATATTACATCCCAATTCCAAATGGCTCGTAGTTATTCCCCTTGTCCTTTCCAACATGCACCACAATCTTCCCCCTTGTCCGTCCCGAGCGGAGCTTCTCAAAGGCCTTCACCACTTCATCAAACTCAAACACACTATCCACCGGCACCTTGACCGTGCCTTCTTGCAACCACTCTCCCAACTGCACCAAATGCCTTTGAACAGGCTTATACATCAACACGACATACCTCCTCCTCCCACCCCCCAAAAACGCCGGCCACGCCAATCGCCCAGCCTGCGTCGTCATACTCGATGCCCCAACCTGCACAAATACACCCCCCTCCTTCAAGAAATGATGACACTGGTAGTACATCTCCGCCGGCGTCCCGATATGATCAAGAATATGATCAAATACAACCCCCCTCGTCTTCAACGTACCCACAAGATCCTTCTCCGCCGTATAATCAAAAACCTCATCCGCACCTAACCGCAAGCAAAGCTCCATATTCCGCGTCGAACAAATCGCAGTAACACGACACCCCATCTGCTTGGCAATTTGAATCGCAAACGTCCCACACCCGCCCGAGGCCCCATTAATCAACAACCTATCACCGGCGGTCACATACCCCTCCAAACTCTGCAACGCAGTCTGTCCCGCAATTCCCACCGTAGCCGCAGAATCAAGCTTGACCCCCTCGGGCACAACCGCAATCTGATCCGCCGTCACGAGCGTATACTCCGCCAACGACCCGAACTTGATAGGATGCGCCGCAGCCCCGCAAACGAGCTCGCCCTCACGGAAATGCCGCGCCAGGGGCCCCGTCGTGACGACCCGGCCGCAGAAGTCCATGCCTGGGGACGCGGGTGTGCCGATGTACAGGCGGGCGGGAAGTCCGAGTTCGGGGACCTTGTAGTCTGCTGGGTTTATGGATGCGGCGAGGACTTGGATGAGGACTTGAGAGCCTTGCGGGGCCGGGGGTGCGCGAGCGGTTGGGTCGAGGTAGAGGTTGTTCTCTAGGCCGCCCGAGGTCGATGAGTAGAGCCAGGCTTTCATAGTTGAGGGGTGTGGTGGTGGTGGGAGGATCTCCGGGTTGGGAGGTGATGGATTTGACATGTTGGCGAGGTGTTGTACGTGCGGTTGATTCGCTCTTGCGTGGTGCCCGATGTGGCCTGATTAGAGCGTTGGTTGGTGGATCACTGTGGTTGATTGGCGGATTCGGCGAATCCTTCTAGAGCGGACGAGCTAATTTTCAAGGTGATGGAATGGCGGAAAGAGGACCGAGGCTGTTTTTATCGGGTGGTGCCAAGGGTGTTTCACGTTTGACGTTTGATGCTCGGCGATGGATTCCAACAGGTCCAGACATCGAGATGGTCATAGCTTCACGGCACAAACAGTGTGGGGCAGCATATTTTAGCCCGAAGTATGAGGTGTCTACCGTCTACACAAGCTCAACTTCCAATAAGATAGCTTTTGATGTTGTATTTTATGATTTCAAAAAGTACCGTCATGCATTAACACTTTGTTCTCTCAGGAACACATCAACCTTGGCAATCCCCATCGAATCTCGCAAGAACCGCAATATCGTCTGGAACCACTGCGCTCTCTGCGCTCTCTGCGCCAAGTCCCGACTCCTAACCAGCTCGTTTCGGAAGCACATTGAGCTAGTAAAGATAGGCCAGAGAATTCTGTATGCAGATAATCCAGGAATTTGATCTGAACTGGCTGGGTCAGATGTACCGTTGGGTGAGATATCAAGGGCGAACGGCACCGAGTAAGCAATCTCGTCGGTGAGAGTGATGATCAGGTCCAGGCTATGAGACTTGATGGTGCTGAGAGCCAAATTTGGAGACGGAAATGTGGATATGAAAGAGAGGATCTCCAGTTGTAGTGACAGTCTGGTCGCTCGACACATATTCCAATCGCATGCAGCTAGACGGTTAGAGTACGAGGTAGCGTACTCGGGTGCGCCGGGGGAGGCGAGAAGTTCTCTGGTCCAGGATGAACGGTTGTCACTAGTAACAGGATGTGTTGAAACGGGTGACCACTCTGGGGGGGAAGAGTGACACCAAGATTGAAGCCTGAGATCTATCGCGAGCGCTTCCTGAACGAGAACGAGATCGGCCGAGATCAGCTCTTCCGTGAAATTGGCTGTCCTGCACTTCGTGCGCTCTCGTAATTCTGAACAGGTCGATGCTGCATCTGCCATGGTGACGGCGAGTCGTTTCTTCAAGTCCATCGGGAATGGAAAACGCTGAATCCAATGCCGTAGTTGTGCCGGAGGAGGCTTGGCCACGTTCAGGTAGTATATAACCTTGCAATGATCAGCCGCTGTTCCTGATATAGTACTCCAGAAGGGGGCACAGAATCAATTCCTTACCAAGTTCATACATAAGATGGCGAGATAATAATCGCCATTCGTGAAGTTCGTGCTATCCTGTTGGGCAATCACGGACTGTGTGCCTAGCATGTGTGTGATCCAAGATCCGTCACGCCGGCCTGAAGTGAGCATCTAAAGACCAAGGGTTAGCCATAGCTTTTTATAAAAAGCAATGTGAAAGCAATGAGCAACGGGTAAAAGACACACCTCATACATCCCCATCAGCCAAATGACCATGAGAACTTCATCACGCTGCATCTCTTTGGCGTCAGTCATAGCCGTTGCCAGCCTTTGCAATGCCAATCCATAATGCACACTACTCGCTTTCTTCGCGTCTTGCGAGTTACACCTTCCGTAGAAATTGGCATAAGCTACTGCAGCCACCACAGAGACCAAACAAGAATTTGGAGCCGTCTCCCGAAGTTGATGGCGGAGTCTGCCGAGAGTTCCTGGCCAGGGATTCACAAAATCATAGTAGAGGCGATTATATGCAAGTTCAGACAACGGTGGTCCAAGCGCCTTTGGTATACTAATCTCAATGGTGTTCATAGAGGGCTCGATATCCACTCGTTGGCGCCATTTCTTGGTTGCAGCCACCTGGGCGACCGTGTTCTGATTTCGGTGGAAGAGGTCGAATTGCGATCGGTATGCACATTCGTGGTTACCTTTGTGGCAGCGAGAGCAGGATGGTCTATTCTCATCGCACTACATTCCGTATTAGTGCATTGAAGCGAAGATGATCCAAAGTGAGAAGCGGCTGGCAATTTACCTTGACTTTTAATTCGCGACACCGCTGACAGCCTTTGCTGGGGCCTCGATTGTTAGGCATTGCGATCAGCGAGTGGACCTTGGGAGCATCAAACACTACAATGATGATCCTAGGCAGATCAAATCTTGAATTTAAAGGCCAAAGGGAGTAATCTTTGCGCTGACGCTGAAGTCAAAGCTGACTCGATGATCGACAATCATAACTGCCTCACAGCCCCCCAACGTCCAAACTTCTAAACTCCACCGTGATAGGACAACCGCATCCATTACTACAAAAGGCTTAGCGGCCGCCCCCATTCAATCTGTAAAGCTTAGCCAATCACCACGAGTTCAACTACGGTCCTGGAATCTTAGAGCTTTTTCGAATTTATTTAGCATGGGGAGGCTTGTCTTCGGGCCCCTTGTTGTGGGCTGAGGAGTGGTAATTGGGTGTCTGGCTGTACATCTTGAGCTTCGGGTGGGCCGAAATTGCAGAAATATTAGGGATGATCATGGAGCGTGGCTGCGCCGTGTCAGATTATAGTTGTCCTCTACAGATATAAGAGCACGATTCTGCCCATGGCAATTCATCAGTCTCACGCCTTCTGCTTTTTCCCTGCGACGACATTGATTTGTTCAATTCGTTGATAATCATTCGTGTACCAAAAAGTTATTGAGAATTCTCTCGGAAGCATTGCACCATGGGCATATTTCACGATGGCAGCAAAGACAATACGACTTGTCCAATGCCCAGGCCCCTCGTAGCTGGTACGTCTTTCTCACTTGAAGCAGCGGGTGGTAACAATAGAGCTAACCAGGGGATTCTAGATGCATCGGAGAATTTCGTAGGCGAATATACTTTCCACAAGTTTAACATGATCCTTTCCGGGGCCTGTACGGCTATTACCTGCTTCGTCATCCTGTTTACGATGATCAAGCACTCCTTACGCTTCAGTAACCCCAACGAGCAGCTCAAGTACGTCCAATCGCGGGAGAATACCAAAGTCCGACTCGAGAGCTAACAAACCTAATTACTAGAATTATGCGAATTGCTACCCTGTTGCCCATCTACTCGATCCTGTCCTTTATCTCTATCTGTTTCCCAAACAGCTATGTTTACCTTACCGGCTGGGTAGAGGTCATTGAGGGTATTGCCTTATACACCTTCCTCATGCTGCTTTGCGACTTCCTGGCTCCCAATGACCGAAATCGTGTGGACTTCTTTGCGTCTTTGAGAATTCCCAGTAGGATGGACAAAACCAAGACAAATGACGGGTTGACATGGCTTCAGGTTAGTCAAGTATACCTCTCAAATCTAAGAACACAGCTAATTTGGCATGATTCAGGAAACCTGGTACTCGGTCCTCCAGTATCCCATGGTCGCCATTCTTATCGCCATCGCGATATGTATAACTGAAGCAGCTGGCGTGTACTGTCTGGAAAGCAACAATAGACACTTTGCTCATCTTTGGGTACGAATACTCTATAAAATTGACATAGACTTCGGTACTGACCCGCTCATAGCTTAATATCACCCGAATCATATCCCTCGGCTTCGCAATCTCAGCAATCATCCGCTTTTACACCAATCTTAAGTCCCATATGCAAGAGCACAAGCCACTGACAAAGCTGGTTGCGTTCAAGATGGTCATTGGCCTGGTCTTTCTAGAAAATGTGAGGTAGTTTTCAGTGGTAATGTTTGATACGCATCATTCTAACACCTTGCAGATCGTTTTCACGATTCTACACTCAACGAGCGCTCTCAAGGAGACATCAACACTGAGCTATGCCGACGTATACATTGGAATTCCGACTATGATCATTTGCATCCAAATGGTTCCCTTTGCATTCTTCTTCAGCTACGCATACTCTACCAAGCCTTACCGAGTGAGTGGCAGCAGTGCCCGCAACGACAACTCCCAGGAATATCTCGCGGTTGAGGAAATCGAGGCGGGCAAAACATACAGATCACGCACGTACCAAGGTGGTCCTCTTGGTATATGCGCCTGGCTTGCCTTTTGCAACGCCTTGGAATTCTTCCGCGAAATTACGTCTACATATCGTATGTTCCGCGAGGGTCGGATGCAATGGGTGGATCCCACGGTGTCGCAGGAAAGCTACCGGATGCACAGCGGCATGTAATGCTTTGGATCATCGCCTGTGACATTATTGGTTTCGTTTCTTGTCTTGTTCCGAGTCGTGATGTCTGTTAAACCTTTTGGAAAGCCAGGAGTATGGCGTTGGTCTTTCGGGAAATGGAGTATGAACAATTGCTGTTTACGTGTATCGACAGTGTTTTCGAATTACATGAAATGTGCGGGAATTAAAGTGTACCGCAATAAGATAGGACAACTGGTGTTCATCTTAGCCAGAGAAGCCACCACGTCTAGATAGCTGAATATTTCCCCGACTGATTTGGTAAAGGCGAAGAGTAATCGTCATCATCCAAATCCAGCATCTGTATCCTATGATGGGTCATCTGCTCCTCGGTCTGTGTTTCCACCTGTTTCTGCATTCGACCCTCTTCCTCAAAGCCTTCCTCGCTTTTAAGCTTCTCAGCCGCAGCAGACGGATCCTCATCTTTTACTCCTGCCTCCCGCTCATTGCGAACTCGCTCTTCTTCTTGTTTCTTGTCTTCATCCGCCAAGGCAGCTTCTTCACGTTCAATCTCACTCTGGTCAAGATCTTGTAGCCCAATGGACGCGAGAATGCTTCCGAGCAGGTACTGGTACCGGAGGTGGCCACTAATCTTCTCACTGACATTGAGGTTCTCGACACCAGGAACACCTTGGATGGGCTGCAGTCCAGCGACGCCGTACTGGAGACTGCTGGTCCGGTAGAGAAACGCAAGAACGGAATCATTCTCAGAGTAGACATTGACAACTCGGCCACTAACGACACTGCGAATACGGCGCCAAGCCTCGCTTTCTGATGGGGTCGGAGATCCCAAGAAGATGACGGACTCGACGAGCCCGTATGCGCTTCGTCGACATAGGCTTTGCAGACAAGAGTAAATCAGGCGAGACCCAAGGGAATAACCAATCAACGTGACGGGTCGTTCACCCTGCGCTTTATTGATAAGTGCGTCGGCTAGAATCTCACCAGCCTTGTCAGCTCGAGACTTGGCAACACTGAAAGGGTTATCAACCACCCGAGCGACTTTCATGAGACCCATTGGCAGCATCACCGCGCTCATGACGGTCGCAAAAAATGTTCGACTGAGAATTTCTCGTCCTGCGACCGACCATGCAGCACTGGTTACCAGCGCAGAGATCGCGTTCCCGAGGTTCAACAAGGATTCAGTCTCCCAGCGCAGGGCAAACACCTCCGAGTCAGCCCCGAGGACGCGCCATGGAACCACAAAGTCGGACTCTTCTTTCACCCATCCGGTAACACCAATCGTGACCCGAAGACGGTGGTCCTGTTGAGCTGCCTCGCTCTCATTCTCCGTTTTCTGCTTCTGTGCTCCTCGGATGGGAATGAATGCAAAGTCTTCAACCTCGCGGGCATACTTGTCCATCATGCGACCGGTCATACGGCCGCCATAAGCACCGAAGAGACCACCGACCAGCACGCTGCTACCAGCAAGAGCACCCAGATATCCGGCCGCGGCTGTAGCACCGAGCCCAAGCCCGCCCATGATACCTCCAATACCCGCGGCTACCAAAGGCGCTGCAAGACCACCGGTAATACCAATAAGAGCAGCACCGGCGACGGATGCAATGCCGACTTTCCATGCTCGACTATTGTCTTTCTTCTTAGGCTCCGATTTGCCATCTGGCTCTTGTGAGAGTGCCAGAACAGTGTCTAGTAGTCCTCGTGCCACTTGGACTTCATTCTCGTTGAGCACTTTCACGTCAATTTCTAGACTGGACGAGACATACAGCAACAATACCCGAGAGTATGCGCAGTAGTGCTTCAAGCTGAGCAGTAGTAGTAGAAGAGAATGCAAAATGAGCAGCCTGGTAGCTTTCGGAAGCTGGAGAAGTGGTGTCTCGATAGGGTGGTAAACTTGGCGCAGTTTGTCCAGTCTCTCCTTGTCCTCCGGTAATGGGATATCGTCATAGTTCGCAGCATCCGCGGTTTTAGTTTCTTGGACCTCATCGTCCTTGTTAACGACTTGGCCAATTCGTAAAAGAACCGCATCTCGCCAATTTTCAAAATGGGCAAGCGTCCTCTTTTTAGCACGGGCTTTAGCCGCTGCAGCAGTAGCATTCCCCCTAGGCGTGGGACGTGGTCGCTGGTCTCGTGGTGTCGCGCTCTCTCCCGAGGCTGGACTTGAGTACTCCTGTGGCCTGGTAGGTAGGGGTGGCGCTTCCTCTTCGTTCTTTTCAGGGCTGGGGCTTTGACTTGGAGAATATTCATTCGTCGTAGAGACTGGTTCGGGGCTGTCAAATATCTCAAGGAGCCCGACACGCATTGATTCCGCAATCTCTGCTACCAAGACTGTGAGGTCGGCGCGTTGCGACCGGTCCAGGATGGAGGTCAGATCTTGTCCACGATCACTGCCCACGGCAGTAGGTGGTTTGGATTGTTTGGACTCGAAGAGCGACACATTTTTTGCTTTGAAGTTCTTGAACATTGAGATGACAAATTTACAGTTCTTGGAGCATGCAACGGGCTTCTATTCAGTAGAACGATGTACTGAAGCTTGGAAGTAACGTTGTAAAGAGGGGCTGATGATCATCTTGGCTGGGGGCCGAAACACTCTTAGCCTCAGGCACCAAGCTCCGAAAACAGCGATAGACGACAACAACGAAGAATGATCGAACTCTTTTACTATACTTCATGTGCGCTAGTGTGAGCAGATGTCATCCTCCAATATCCCTGATTCCCTAATACAAGAAATACAAGAGCCTTTGCGAGATAGTCGTGATGGCTGGCCCTCTTCATACTTTACATAGATCACGATTGAACGCAGATTGGTCATGATAAACTTGGCTTCCAGGTTTTCCTGATGATATCTACTGGCAAGCCCCTCTCCTCAACCGCGTATCCTCGCTTCCAAAACCGATTCGTTACCCTTAGGAGAGCTCCAGATCTTGACTAGCTCGAGCCCCACTTGATCGAATAGACTCTGCCATTGTGATACGGTTCGTTCCAGGCCTGCGGTATGAAGCCACATAAGGATATCCATTTCCGCAGCCCGAAGCTCAGAGCCGGTGTCTGGGAGGACATAATCGTCAATCAGCAAGATCGAGTACTGGGGGTCCATTGCCTCGACAATTCGAGACAAGATTTGAGCGCTCTTAGCATCGGACCAATTATGTAGGACGTCGCGAAGAAAGTAAATGCGGGATCCTATGCAGGGTCATCAACAATCGACATTCCCTGTGAGTAGGAGATGAACAATTTGTGTGTAGAATACCTTTGATCGGCTGAGGTGTGAAGAAATCATACTCCATCACCTCGACTCCATCGGGCAATCTTTCAATCCGTTCCAGGGTCAACGGGAGATCTTGTAAGATGAATCGCCCTGGTAGCTCGGGGTGCTTTTCCTTGAATCGTGCAATCTCTTGCCCTGGTCCTCCTCCAACGTCTACCATAAAGGTTGCTCCAGACTCCGTCCGGGCATCCTGGACTTTCTTTGCTGCAGGGTAAATGTCAAACCACTGCGGCATGCCTTCCACACGCCGCGCAGCCATGTAGTCATCAAATGCTTGCTTCTGTTCGGCATTCTTCTCGAGAAGTCCGAATATCACGTCTGTACCATGTGCGTATTTGAATAGGGTGACAGCATCGGGCTCGTCTACAAACTGTTGGATTCCGGGGCCACGCATGTACTCGACCAATTTTCCGCCCTTTTGCTATTAGTTCCAGTATGAGAATATTTTCTTGGAGTGATTTGAATCTCACCATCCCAAAGTCTAAATCAAAGCTGGAACTCTGTCAGCAATTGATGTCGTGCAATGTTTTGAGTAAACGGCCACTTGCTGGTGTTTCTCAGCCCCGATTGATCCCGGTAAAATCTTGAACCGAGTTCTCTCATTCGCAGCATAGAGCTGATACCCAACTTCATCGCATAAACCAATAGCTGTCAACACGCGCATGATTCTAATCGTGAGAAGGAGATCCGATTTTGTCTCCTGGGAAAGCTCCGTCGCGGAGATGGGCTGACCATCCTTGGCGGCGATGACATGGAGATATCCGTATTCGACGGCGACACGAATAGAGATGTTTTGCATGATCTGTGTAACCAAAATGTCGGACATGAGTTAATTTCAAAGCAAGTGCTGTCATCATTCCGCTTACTTGAAAGTTAAGCCGAGATGTTGTTTCAAGAGGGGTTTCCACAGCGAGCTGTAATTCACGAATAGCTCTGAGAAGACCTGCATGGTGATTCTTGTCTCCTAATGCCTCCCGGCCAGCCAAAGACAGGACTTTAGCCAGTGCTTTGTTGAAAGACATTTTGTTGGGAATGCGATACTATAGATGGGCAAGGAATTTGCAGTGTATGGAGAGGAAAGGTTCGATAATCACACCATCAATTTGGAGGATCCCGTGTTGATGGCAAAGGCGGGAGTGCTGCTATTCTTATCAGATACTTTATGGAGCGGGGAATCTGATGCATCCAATTTCTTTGTATTCTCGAGTCATGAAAGTGGGGTGCTCTCGAGAAGAGCATCCTTTGACGCGGGAAACCCCCTGTTCAGCGAATCCAGCTGTCCCACTGTCCCAATAGTTGGAAGCCTTGTGCCCTCCTGGCCAAAGCCCCCTCCATGACCACAAATCTCAGGCAGAAGCATAACTGTCCGAGGGTAAGCTTCGAGATTTCGGAATGGCGCAGCTTAACCACATGAACTAGGCGAAAATTGAAGTTTGATTCAAGTCCTCCTTGCATACAAAGAGCAAGCCACATTACAAGTTAAGCTAGTTTGTTAGATGCAGTCTATTGTACATCAATCGGGGGTTTCTATCCCTAGAATCATGACTTGTGTGTTCAAATTTGGGTGTAATTCGCCTAGTAGCCTCGAAAATAGGGGCATACACATGGAATTCTTTGTTCCCTCTTCCTATAGTACGGAGTCCGTGCCTTTTTTAGGGTCGACCGTATGTCTTTACCCGTCGATCTGAATGTGGAAGCGTATCACTGGAGGAGGCCCGCATGCACCTGCAAGGATTGTCAAATCGCTGAAAAGCCAGTATTCCGTCCTCATTACAGTACAAGTCGTACGGATGGACTCCGTTGGTGATCTTTGAAACCACTCTGGACTTCTACACTTCCATAGGCATTTCTGCTTTTTCGTTTTCTAGCCAGACCGGATAACACGACAATTCCCGGAAATTTGACAGAAAATGCATCATGTGTATTAGATCGTCCAATGCGAAATTCATGGCTTCTATTCTCTGTGATTGACAAGCGCCCCCCTTGGGCACGAAAGTTTCATCTTATGGTTCGATTAACTTGGCTCGCCGTGGTAGTGTTCGGAAACCACACTCGTGTCTTTTGTCACCAAGATTTGCCGTGCTTTATTTGAAGGCGAATCATCATCTATAGCGCACTCGGTGTCATAAGTCGCGTCGGCATAGGCAGAGCTCTGGGAGGCCCAAGTCCCCGGTAGCTGCTCACTCAATTGCACCCAAGACTCGCGCTTATTGTTACTTCCGTCGCTATACCCACCGGTGTTGCTGCGATTCTTGGAGGAATAGCCGGTCACGCTCTTGATGTCTTGTGTGAATCGAACGAAAAATGGACGTAGAACGGGTATTGATCCAAATATAATGATGAACCACATTTCGGTCAAGACCCAAGTGTTGAGTTGGTATATGGCATAGGTCAGATCCTCGACGTGCGTTATGGACGCAATGGCAATGGTTTTGTTGATTCCTGCTATACCAGCGCTGCAGAGGAATTAGACATGCCTTGTAAGCTCGGATCCCAATGTAGGACTCACATCAATCCTCCTCCCATAATGAGACATAATCCGATCTTGGTCGACAGCTTCATCAATTGAAGCCGGCCAATGATGTATACGGGGTACGCAGCCAAGAAGAAGTCTGCAGCCGCTCCGATACCTAAGCATGATTAGAGAAATCTCACGATCGCTAGATTATAAGGGTCACCACATACTGCCTTGGACAAATCCAACTTTTGAGCAGATTTCTATCATTTCACACTTGCCAGGGAGATTGATATCCCACAATTTCGCAGTTGGTGTGCATTGTTTGAAGATCAAGACGATCTCGATAAAGTTGATGAGAGCCTGAATACCCCCAACGCTGTACAGTAAATATTTGCTCTTGCTCATTGTCCTGTTCTGGATTGTCATGAGGAATGCGATCACGGCTATCCGAGCAATGACCAGGTCGATAATGGCGAGTACTTGAGCGATCCAACTCCATAGGTTTGTTTTGACAATATTGTCGTAGGCGAGAAGATCCTGATGGTTACCGAGTCCATAGCGGGCGCTCACTGTCATTGTGACCTGGGCCGAAAACGCGACAGTCTAATTAGGTCGGTCGGTCGGTTAGTCCCTCTTTGCGGTGTTGAGTATAGAGAAGAGCCACATACAAATGCCAAAATCACCCACACGAAATCCCATCGCAGTCCGAATACGCCAGACGAAAGCTGGCCTTGGGGGTATACCGAAGCGGTTTTTGCACGTAGAATAAAGAGAATGAAGGCAAGACTCATCTCTGCCCAAGTTACCCCTAGAATCAAGGGGCCTTTGCCTCCATAGGAGACACTTGGCGACTGCGTCATGACTGCGCGACGAAGGTCTTGGGTAAAGAGTTGCAGAATATGAGCATATTATGACAAGGAAAGTTATGAGCAAAGGCAAAAGGTCTTTATTTGTTGTTGAATTCTGGTCAATAGTGTGTTATCAGTGCAAGCAAACCTTCCAAGGGTCTCCTTCCGAGCATCAACCCTTCCCAAATTCCCAATTAGGGCAACACATAATGCATGCTTAGCTAATATCCAGCGCCTGCCGACTATTTATCATCATTCTCAACCAGCTGGACGCTGCTTTATGTTACGATAATCGTGCAATTATTGTACAATTGCGAGATATTCTGGGCAGCTCAGATCAGTGGAGCCAGCCATTCGATACATCACGTCTCCACCCCGAACCTAAAGGCTTCGGCTAGTCTCCCCGGTCAATCTCCCATGCTTAGCGTACTCTAGCTAGTGGGGACTGGTCGGGGGGTCGCCTAGCGTTGGCGAACCATCCCTTGAAGCGCTATGCACGGGTATTACCAAGGCCTCCGAAGGCCGGCCCAAGGGACTTGACATGACAAAGAAAGTATGTAAACAGCATAACTACGTACAGTCCCAAGACAGGGGTACGCCAAACGAGCCCATGCAAATTTGAAACCCCTTCTCATCCCGATCGTGACTGCTTGCAACTGCGGAATTCTGCCAATCGTCAGCATCTGGCATGGATCGACAAAGAAGGGTAGCCAGGCACCTTCGATCATGGAAACGCGGGGATATTATGATGTAAAGTGAGTAGTTCATGGTTGTGAGCCTCGATGCACTTTTACGCGTGGTACCGGAGATAAACCAATGCCCGAGTTGCCCCTGGATTGACCGATCTCAATCCATTCAGAGGTAACTGAGGGCCAAATCATATGTATTCCTTTTTGGCGCCACTTCAGAAGCGCTAGAGTTCTTTGACTTGTGCTCTACTAGGGGTAATCATATTCCTAGCCTCGCCGTAGCGTGGCCGTGCGACCGTCCTGGGCTATAACTCGAAGGCCCTGCTGTTCTTACTATCCCTCTCTCATGTACTTCCCTACTCATTGTTCATACCACTATCGCTAGTATCGTATGATGACTTCCCGACTAATTGTGCCAGCTGAAAAGTCACACGTGTCTCTTCACGCAACCGAGATCAGCCAGGAAATGGAAGCTCTCGAAGGCTACGTGGTGGATCCAGCTCGTTATTCAGATCTAGCTTCTCAGCTGAAAATAAGTAGCGATGGTCGCAATGTCCTTATTCCACAGCCGCTAGACACGCCCGATGATCCATTGAACTGGAGCAATTGCAAGAAGTGGGTAATCGTGGCTATCGTCGCCTATATCGCGCTTCTGGCGGACTATACGGGTGGCACGGCTATTATCACGGTCATCCCTCAATCAATGTAAGTTACAGACGAAAATGGTGACCTCCTCAGAGTGTGACTAAAACACCGACATAGCGAATGGGGATTATCCCAAGAAACGGTCCAGAGGGCCGTTGTAGGCAATCTCTTCACTATCGGTGCATGTGGACTGTTCGTCGTCCCATTAGCCAGCTACTTCGGCCGTTGGCCAGTCACCCTGGTCTTCCAGTGTGTCATGCTAGGAACATGTGCCTGGTCCGCTGCAGCAACAAGCTTTCGATCGTATCTTGCAGCTCGCATCATCAATGGCTTCTTCTGCAGCGTCGGTCAAGGCGGAGCCCTCATGTGGATCAAAGATCTGTTCTTCTTTCACCAGCATCCGCAGGTCATCAACTATGTCGAGTTCTCTATCATCCTCAGTCCGTACCTGGGCCCATTGGTCAGCTCATTCATTGTGTCAAGTGTGAGCTGGCGATGGGCCTTTTGGGTGTGCACGATCCTTGCTGGGTTGAGTCTCGTTGCAGTATTCTTCCTGGATGAAACTCTTTTCGATCGAAAGAATCCTCCTCCTTCACGTGGATCATACATCTCACGACTGATTGGAGTTGAACAAGCTAAAGCTCCGTCAAAGGACTTTATTCAGTGTATGGCTCGCCCAGTGATTGCTATCTCTAAAATTCCTGTGTTGACCATTCTCATCTACTACTTCTTGAACTTTGCCTGGGTCATTGGCGTGAATACCACCATCGGTATTTGGTTGACTAATTTCTACCATTTCTCAGCACGAGGAATTGGTACGTTGACATTTCGGTCTGCATCTCATGAAGGACTTTGAATTGACTCTTGATAGGCTATTTTTATTTCTTTGGCATTATTGGCTGCTTGATCGGCTGGTTTGCGGGTCATTTTCTGCATGATGCCGTCGGAAGATACTACACCAAGCGACATGCCGGCCGTCTCGATCCCGAAGCTCGACTGATCATAACCTACCCTGCAACTCTCCTCTGTTGTACTAGTTTGATCATTCTAGGCTTTGCTTTTCAAAATCACTGGCATTATATGGTGATTGCAACGTTTGCGGCAGCTCAATGTGTTGGCGTCATGATCATCACGACCGCCATCAACGCTTACCTATTGGACTGCTACCCTGAGGGATCAGGAGAGGTCGGCGCATGGGTTACGGCCAGTCGCAATTGGGCAGGCTTCATGGCGACATATATTCAGATTGAATGGGTGGCGCGGATTGGACCTGCCAAAGCTCTCGGGATTCAGGCAGCCATCACATTCGGTTCGTTATGTTTCATGGTGTTTCTGCAGATGTATGGGAAGCAGATGAGGCAGTGGCAGGGGCGAATGGTATTTGGGAAGAAATGATGGAGGTCGAGAACGGTCACGCCCGCCGGTGTGTCGTAAATATGATCGGGCTTGGTTGTATATAGATTCACGTTTGAATACTTTGAGTTAATGAATACACATTGATGAGATGAGTAGAACCAGAGTCAACGCCAAAATTGGATGACTTCTATTCAAATGCGTTGCCAAGGAATAACAAAGGGCAGGGAAATAGCTGCCCGGGGTATAGCGTAATATAGTACATAAAAATTGAACAGGCGGCACTGTATCATCGGCCCAATAGCATGAGGCTTGGGAGCCTCGGGACAAGAAGCAAGATGATCAGGAAGGTTGGCCGCTGCCCGTCTCAACAACGAAATAGGGCCCTTTCTTCTTGGATGCGGATTCAAGGGCATTTCCATTCCAGATAGCGTCTTCTGCGCGACCATTCCTTGCACCGGGCACACGCTGAACTCTCCGTCTTCGCCCACTCACGCGCTCTTTGGCCAAAGCATCTTTGAGCCGCTCAAGCCCAATGGTCACTTCCTTCATAGCGGCCGGACTTTCGTCTCGGATACTGCGTAGTGGCTCAACTCCCGTTGTATCAACTCGCTGCATCTCTTGCACGAAGTGTATTTGTGATCCGAGGGTCCGTAGCATCGACTGCTCTTCTTCTGGGTTGGATGGCTGGGGAAGAGCTGATAAGCGCAGTAGATGGCGCAATTTTTGCGAGGTGACAGATGTGGTAGATTTATCTGCAGCTTTATCTGGAAGCAGAGACCGAACAGACCAGCTTGGTGTAGCTAGAATGGATTCAATATCGAGATTCTGGGGTTTGGTCGAGTAGCGCCGTGAGAGACACGGATTGCGAGCAATTGACTGCCACAGCCGGGCGCCTGCACGATGACTGGCCATTTTTATGGTATCATCAAAGATCTATGATCAAGAAAACTCGGTGGGGTTGCGACAGGTTTCGACCACCGATCGGTGCTGTCGCGCGGGAGAGGGTAAGTTGAGGAAGCAAAGCTGCGGGATGCGGGCGACCCAAAAGACACCGCCTCGGACCCGCCGATCGATGCTCTCATCAAGATCACCGATCCACCTGGTCAACACTTCTGCCTCCTCCACCTACTGATTACTGAGGATTCGCCTGTGAAGACTATTTGCCCACCATGGCCCAAGATCCTCGTGCCCTCCTGCAAAAAGTGAGCTCGCTCCGTTTCCGCCCATCTCTTGGTGCCTCTAGCTAGGCATGACGAAAGCCTAGCATAGCTGACCATGTCTTCTACCCCGCGAGCAATCAGGCCGATAAAGCCCTTTCTAGCGCCTCGGGTGGCTTCAGCTGGTTCGGTGGACGCTCAGAGAAATATGAAAACGCCGCCGATCTGTATACTCAGGCTGGAAATGCCTTTCGAGTGCAGAAGATGAGTGAGACCTCCCCCTCCCAAGTTGCCACGCCCACTGCCCGCTGGCGCCTTGTTGTCATATTACCTGGTAGCATGGACTAACGACACCTTGTTTTGCGCAACAGATAAGGAAGCCGGCCAAGCCTTCGAGAAAGCGGCCACCGTCCAGACTCAAAACCTCAACGAGCCCGATGACGCTGCCAACACTCTCCAGGAAGCGTTCAAGGTCTACCGCAAATCGGACCCGGAGGATGCAGCCCGTGTGCTGACTAGTGCTATTAATCACTATGTACTACGCGGAAACTTGCGCCGTGCCGCGACACAGCAGCAGTATCTGGCAGAGCTGTACGAAGTCGAGCTCGGAGATATGAAGAAGGCTTTGGAGGCATATGAGAAGGCGGCGGAATGGTTCGAGGGCGACAATGCCGAGGCGTACGAGTTCCCTCTTGATAAACCTTTGGAAGACTTCAATGAACTAATTATCGTCCTCAATTTAGCCTTGCAAACAAGCACTTCCTGAAGGTGGCCGACCTGGCTGCCCTCGAAGAGGACTACTACAAGTCTATCACGAACTATGAGCGCATCGCCCGCCAGTCCATCACTAACAACCTCATGAAATGGTCTGTCAAAGACTACTTCTTGAAGGCAGGAATCTGCCACCTCGCAACAAAGGTTCGTTAAGAGATCTTCCACGATAGCCATACACAGAAACCTCTAACCCGTTTCCGTGTGCAGGATCTGGTTGAGACTACGCGAGCTCTCGAGACGTACCGCGAGATTGATCCTGCCTTTGCCTCGACTCGGGAGCACCAACTTCTTGTCGACCTGCTTCAGGCTGTAGAGTCCGGTGATCAGGAAGGCTTTGCTGACAAGCTCTTCCAGTATGACCAGCTCAGTAAGCTGGACAAATGGAAGACCACTGTTCTACTGCGGGTTAAGAACAACATCGAAGAAGCAGAGGAAGACTTCTCGTAGACGATGCTTGGATTGATTTTTCTGCCTTTGATTCCCCGCCTATGCTGTGCAAAGGAATGTCTAGTTATTTGGAGGGCTTTTTCGTGCCAATTTTGATCTTTTTTCTTGCGTATTCGATCGCCTATTTGATGCCAACCTCCGGGTTGGACATGAATACAGGTTGTTGGTGATGGTCTCATCTTGAAATGATTGTGGTGTGGTGATAACCAACTTTGTAGACAGAAACCATTGCAGGTTGGACTTGAACATTTAGACGAGATTGCCGGTTAAGATGAAGAAATCGTAATTCATTATGAAGTATTTCAGGTCTATTTACTTTTGTGAGGTGCATCATGACGCCAATCCTTAATGGTTCAATATCGAGGTGATATGTCTCATCAACTCATATACCTTCGAAAACATCATCTCATCCATCCGTTCAAAACAAGTCTTGGGGCCCTTTACAAAACCTGTTCCAGGGCCTTGGCGCGACGAGGGAAGACACGCTTGTACAGACTGATGCCGATAGAGTCCTGAGGGTTGATCTTGGCATCGAAAGTAGCCTTGAAGTAACCGTGTGTACCCAGGCTCTCCTTCATGTATCCACTGCGGCCGCGGCGGGTCCAGAGTTGCAGTGCCTTGAACCACTGCACGTCCTCCGAGTTGAAGAACATGTACCGAACGGTGACGACCTTCTTGTGGATCTTGTACGGGTGACCGGTAAGAATTGCGCGCTTGGCGACAACACGTTTCGGGTCGGGGGCGATGACCGTGCCGGTACCAATAAGCTCCAGACGATCCATAGAAAGCGCCTCCGCTTGGGCTTCGGCTGATTCGAGGACCTCTGGGTCTTCCTCGACTTGCTTCTTCCTGAAGACGAGAACCGGGACGGCGCCCCAGGTCATGGGTCCAATCCAGGTCGCGACCGCGCTGCGGCCGGGGTGGAGGAAGCGGTCGAACTTGTGAACGTTGTTGGGGGTGTTGTCGCCGGCAGAGAAAATGGGGTTAACGACCATGCGGCGGGCGCCAATCTGCACGACAATCTCCTCCTTGGATTTAACAGGCTTCTCAATGCTGGAGCTCAAAGTCATGTTGATGTTGACCACGGTGTGCTTGTGCTCGTGGCGCAAGAGAGAGAACAGGGCGAGAGGCTGAGCCTTGTGACGGAGCAAAGAGGGGACAGCACGGAGATGCACCTCCACACGCACACCGGGATTGACACCGCCAACAAGGGCTTCGCGAATAATACGGTTCTTGGTGCCCTTGTAATCGCCGAACTGCAGGAGTCGGCGCCAATCTTCCGGCTCATATGGACGATCTTCGGACGTCTCCCACGGGCTGATCTTCATGTTCTTCAGGCCTCGGAAGCGGGCCAGACGTTCTCGGGCAAGCACATTGGGGTGCAATTCGATTTCGTCGGGGAATTCGAGGTCATCATCGGCCTCGGTGCGGCGGCTCTTACGGTACTCCTCCAGCTCCTGGGCCTCGTCCTCTGGGGATGGGTCCATGAACATCTCGGACTGAGGATACTCTGAGGGGCCGCCCTCTGTCATAGCATCTTCCCTGTCTGCGAAGAAGCCGTCCTCGGGCGCACCGGAGACATCCATATCCATGTCCTCATCATCATCCTCATCAACAATATCAGATCCAGAGTCTGAAACATCCTCAAGATACCAAGCAGACTGGTACTCAGAGGTACCCTTAGGCAATCGCTTGGGCTTGGCAGGAATGTGTGCATCGTCGTCAGAGAAGTAGTGGTGATCATCGAGCAAAACACCCTTCTTTTCAGTCTCGGCCACGGAAACCATGTCATCGTCCATCATCTCGATTTCCTCCGGGGCCACAATTGCCATGTCATCTTGGTCAGCCGTGGGGGTATCCAGGGTCTGTGTACCGTCAGTGGCATCGACATTCATGGCATCATCACGCTTGCTCTTGGTCGCTGCCAAAGGAGCTGCAGTGATCGAGCCAATCTGGAAGTCACCCCAGCCAGGGATATGAGCAATACGGTCGGCCTTCAAGCCCTTTCCACGGACGACACCAGTAATCACGACATCATCAACAACCTCCTCGCTAGCGTTGGGCCACTGAACGTCCTCAATGAACATCCAGCTACGCTCATCACGCCAGCGGATACCCTTGGGGGTGGCGGTGCAAAGAGATCGAATGGCGTTGGAGCACTCCTGTCGGGAATCAAGGGACATAACCTTCTCCACAGTGGGGAAAAAGTGGTTGATGAAGGACTTGAGAGAAGAGGCCACCTGAGGTCGTCTCTTGGCAGGGTTGACCTGATCCAGACCCTGGACCACAGTCACGACGTTGGAGATACCTTGGCTTTCGATAGAACGCAGCAGCAGCTCGCCTTCCTCCTCGACCTCGACTTCGGCAGACAAGACCAGCACCACAAAGTCAGCCATGCGGCAGACGTCCATAGCATTTACAAAGTCAAATTTGGACTTGATGTATTGGAGGCTCTGACGGAATCGATCGACGCGCACACGGGTAGGTCCCGCGGCGGAAATCTCGCTAGTAATATCGACACTTTCGTTCAGCGCACGGATTGCGGCGTCGGTATCGATATCGGCGGAAAGTGGGACAATGGCGACATGGCGGGGGGCTCCATTCTGGCCGGTAAAGATACTGGCTGCCTGAGCCTTCTCTTGGTGCTTCAATTGCTGCCTCTGGCGGGCTTGGTTGCGGCGGTCGAGTTTCGACTTCAATTGTTGGTGGGGGGTTTTGCGACTGCCCCGCTCTGTCTCGACCTTGCCTGTCAGGGTGTTAGTGTATGAAAACTGAATTTTGTGGTACAAAAAAGGTAGCAATTTCTCCTTACCCTTTTCCTTCTCCTTCAAAGCGCCCTTGGAGGCATGCTTGGTCTTGAAAGGCTTGTTGGACGCCTTGGTGGTGGACCGATGGTGGTGCACCTGGGTGGGCGCCATATTGGCACTGGACCCTTTAAATCGAAAGGGCAGGGAGTCCAGATTGAAGTGAAAAGAATGCGACTGTCTGATAGCGCAATCGTTAAGATCTCACAAATATAATGACTGAGAGAAAAGCGTCCGATCTGCTAGACAGGAAAATAAAAAAATGGCGATAAGAAAACAAAATTCGGCAGTGGAGAGGATAAGCGAGCGGTGAGCGCAAATCTTGGCGCAATTTTTCTGCTTAGCTTTTTCTCCGCGCTCGCGACTTTTTTTCCTAAGCAGGTCGACAAATACCCCGAATTATTTGCGAAAATGGCGGAATCAGCCTCAAGCAAGGCTGTTGTCACGGCTGAAGACCGTGCCGCGAAACAGAGACTTGCTGAAGCCCAGAAGACCTATGGACGTGGCAAAGCAAACTCAGTCAAGACCGTCCGCGACAAGAAAATCCGCGGAACCCTCAAGGAGCAGGAAAATCGACACAAGGAAGCGATCCTGAAGGCTAAGGATGCAGAGATCTTGCTCGAGCACGAGGCTGGATTCATAGAGCCTGAAGGAGAGCTTGAAAGGACTTATAAGGTCCGACAGGATGAGATCAAGGACAGTGTCGGATTGGAGACGGCCAAGAAAGGCTTCGAGTTGAGGTTGACGGAGGCCGGACCCTATCGCGCAGACTATACTCGCAACGGACGCAATCTTTTGCTAGCAGGCCGAAAGGGACATGTTGCAACTATGGACTGGCGTGACGGCACGCTAGGCTGCGAGCTGCAGCTGGGCGAAACGGTTCGAGATGCGCGCTGGCTGCACAATAACCAGTTCTTTGCTGTGGCGCAGAAGAAGTATGCCTACATTTACGATCATAATGGTGTTGAGCTACATTGCTTGAAGAAGCATCTGGAGCCTCTTTTCCTCGAATTCCTGCCCTATCATTTCTTGCTGTCCAGCGCTGTACGTATACCCTTGTGATCATCGGTTGGTAATGGGGATTGGCTCTAACATGAAACCACCGAATTTAGACTATGGCCGGCTTCATCAAATACACCGATACCTCGACCGGTCAATTGGTCGCTGAGCTGCCTACCAGGCTCGGCCGTCCAACCGCCCTTGCCCAGAACCCTTACAACGCTATCCTCCACTGCGGACATCAGAGCGGCGCAGTTACATTATGGTCACCTAATTCCCAAACGCCGCTGGTCAAGGCGCTAGTGCACCGTGGACCCGTGCGGTCCATCGCCATGGACCGTCAAGGCCGCTACATGGTCTCGACTGGTCAGGACCAAAAGATGAATATCTGGGATATCCGTATGTTCAAAGAGTTGCACTCCTACTCATGCTACCAACCCGGTGCGTCAGTATCGATTAGTGACCGCAATCTCGTTGCCGTTGGTTGGGGCACCCAAGTCAGTGTGTGGCGAGGCCTGTTCGAGGCCGCACAGGCCGACACAGCCAAGGTGCGGAGTCCGTACATGGCCTGGGGTGGTGATGGCCAGCGCATCGAAAACCTCCGGTGGTGTCCGTACGAAGACGTGCTCGGCGTCGGGCACGACCAAGGCTTCGCCAGTTTGATCGTCCCCGGCGCCGGTGAGCCCAACTTCGATTCTCTGGAAGCCAACCCGTACGAGAACGTCAAACAGCGACAGGAGGCCGAGGTGCACAGCTTGCTGCACAAGCTGAAGCCGGACATGATCTCGCTGGACCCCAATATCATCGGAAAGCTCGACACTATCAACGACGAGAAGGTCCGGGAAGCCCGCGATCTGGACAAGAAGCCCGAAGATCCCATCGAGAAACTCAAGAACCGTGGTCGTGGACGCAACAGTGCCCTGCGCAACTATCTCCGCAAGAAGGGTCGCACCAACGTCATCGACGAGAAGAGGCTCAAGGCCGAGGCGCTTCACAAGGAGCGTATGGCACGCAACAAGGACCGCATCAGGCAGGAGCGACAGGAGCTGGGCCCTGCGCTGGCCCGTTTTACCAAATAGGATCCTAGATTCTGTGCTTCTCTGCTTTGCTTGTTTCGCTTGTTGTCGAGCATCCAGATACCCAGCCGCGGCTTTTGTGTGGCCAAAATCATTACGCAGACTTCGCTGGCTGCTGCATTTCAGGCGTTGGAAGGAGGGAAAATTTCATCATCTCATGTTTGTTACGTTATCTGTATAGAAGGGCTTTTTACTTCATGAACAGGGGGAAGAAAAAAAAACCAGGCAAAATATCTTTGCAAAATGTATCATCAGCTAGATGTCAATCGGACAATCAAAATATGGAAACCCCGAAGCCTCTATATCAGGCTATTATTTTCTCATCGCCGTCTTCATCTACTCGTCCACACTCCCCGATCCCTTGGGCGCACCCTCCTTCCACCTCTTCAAACTCTCTTCGTAAGCACCACTGCCCTTCCACGCACTAATAATCAAATTCACAATATGCTCCATCCCCTTCCCGTGCTTGACAACTGCAAACACAGTCGGACCCCCTTCCCTCATCTTCGCCGCATCCCTCTCCATCACAGCCAAATCCGCACCCACCGCCTCGGCAAGGTCAATCTTGTTCACTACCAACAGATCCGAGCCCGTGATGCCGGGTCCTCCCTTCCGGGGAACCTTGTCCCCACCCGCAACGTCGATCACGTAGATGATGAAATCGGCCAGCTCGCGCGAGTAGTTGGCAGCGAGGTTGTCACCACCGGACTCGATGAGGAGCAGGTCGGTTTTGAATTGGCGTTGCAGGGTTTGGAGGGCGAGCAAGTTGGCGCTGATATCTTCGCGGACGGCAGCGTGGGGGCAGCCGCCCGTTTCGATGGCACGGATGCGAGACGGGGCGAGGGCTTTGTGGCGGGTGAGGAATTCGGCGTCTTCTCTGTTTGAGTTGGATATAGTTGTTTAGCATTGGAGGTTTGATATGTAGGGTTGGACTTGGAGTCTCGCCCCAACGAATCGGATCGTCCTGTAGATTGGGACTCGAGCTTACCTGGTGAAGATGTCGTTGGTGACGGCGGCAATGTTATACTCATCACGCAGGGCATTGCACAAGGCCAGCATCAGGGCAGTCTTGCCGGATCCAACAGGGCTGACGGATAGATAGGATTAGCTACGTCAAAGCGCTCGAGTTTACTTCCAAGCGGGGCGCGCCAAAGCCATCAAGGTTTCAGAGACTTGAGATTCGCCGTGGCGCATCACAGAAAGAAACCTACCCTCCAATTCCAACGGTGAAAGCGCGATCCTTCCAGTCGCGACCCTCGATCAGCGGCATCTCCCGGTTGGCATACGAGCCGGGGCCGTCCAGGATCTCGTGCGAGTGGCCGTGGCCGTTGAAAGGATCATCGTGGGAGTGGCCGATACCACCATCGTGGGAGTGAGAGTGGGCCATTATGTTTGGGATCGCGGGATCGACTGTTGATGTGGTTGTCGGGATCTTGAAGGGGTGAATTTCCTACGAGGATGCTAGAGGAGACCCGGGGAATAATGTCGGGAGGGGCAGCTTGAAAGCGAGGGCGGGGGAGGTCTTGCGATAACAGAAAAACGCCGAGAGCTTTGTCTCCACCAAAAACTTGGCCGATGCCGAACGGAGCTCGCCGGTGCGGCGAACTGAATGTACAGAGTATCATCTTAAGAGTGAAACGTAGCGATCGATACAAAATAAAATGATCGGTGCAGCATACAAAAAGGCATATAATCTACTGGGCTGGTATCGGACCAAGAGAGAACTGTGCTGGTATGTATAAGGATTCGTCAAAATGGCGGCAAAACAATGAGCCTCGAAACAAGAGTCATCAAGAACAACCTCCAAGCCCACTGAGACTCGAAGGGAAGAACCCCCCAAATGCACGCAGACGCAATTCCAAGAAACGCAAAGCCCGACGCCAGTTGCAATCGCCGAAACGGATATCAAAGCATTCGGCCAGTTTTTCCGAAATCAAAACAGACAGGCCGGCAATCAAAGACCAACGAGCAAGAGAACAGCAGAACGGGCAAACACCCTTAGAGAACAAAAAATAAAGAGAAACAGACCGATCCAATAAGTCGTCAAATAACCCCGGGCATGGCAAAGCCGTTTAAGACTTGTTCAAAAAAAAGAATCACAGAAAAAGGTAAAGTTGAAGAAAAGCATGTAAAGTCAGGCGATGTGTCCAGACCATCCCAAAACAAACGCTGAAAAGGAGATATAGAGTACATTAGAATCGGAGATGACCAGGGTCGATGGGGATAGGCACCCACGGAGGTCCTACCACTTGTATAATATACCCGAGGGATTTGCAGGTGGGGAAGGAGGATTCCATGGACATCGATTAGCTCCATCATCGGCCAGTTTAATCGTCAGAATAGCGACAACAGTAGAAGACATTCCTTTGATGTGGAAGATCAAGGAATCCCAAACATAAATGACAGAAAAGTTCACAGGGAGGCCAAGAGAGCCCCTCGCCCCAGATATCCAATGGTGCGCCAATTCTCCGCATCTTAGAATGACGTAAAAAAATGGGGAGAGAATGAGGTGGCGTAATAGTATGTGTATGACAGAGTTCAATCAGGCCGCAGCCCCTTTCTGTCGTTTGGGGACTCGAGGACTGGCCTTGACCTTGCCAGCTCCTTGGATTGCAGCACCGTTGACTTCGCCTGTCCCATCTTCCGGTTCGTTCTTAACGGTGCTCGCACGGCGGCGCTTGTTAGCGCCAACGTTGGGGCTGTTGCTCACCCCAACCGGTGAAGGCTGAACGGCACCTTGCATGCCCGGAGGTCCTGCAATCTGACTCTGAGCAGGGCTCGCGTGTCCAGAGCCGGTCAAATGAGGTGATCCCTGGGCTCCGGGCAGCCCAAGATGAGCCATGGCAGGAGAAGCAAATTGCGAAGGTCCACCCATATTAGGATTCCGAACATTGGGCATTTGCTGCATGCCAGGGTTCATCGGCGTGACAAACCCAGCGTTGGGGTTCTGAGGCGGGAAGCTACCCACCAGGTTGTGGAGAGCTTCGGGGGGAGAGAATTGTGGGTTCTGCTGTGAGAATTGGAAGAGCAATTGCATCTGGGAGATGGTCTCGGCAACTTCCAGGAATCCCATGACCGGCGTCGGCACACCGTTGGAGGTGACCATCGACTCTGGCAGAGATATTTGAGGACTTTGCTTCTGGGCCCGCTTTGCCGTGTTTTTAGAGACCTTGGGGCTCTGTTTTTGCTCAGAGAGCTCCAGGGACTGGAGCAGACTGCGAGGGATAAACTCGTTGTGGCTGGTGACGTTGATGTCCAGCATCTCGATTTTGTTGGCTATGTCGAAATGGGCGCGCAGTTGCCCTTGGGTGAAAAGCTGGCAATCATTCGTGAACCAATAAATGAAGGACGTCCGAGGGCTCTCCAGCATGTGTCCTCCATTGGGCATATCTCGTTCGCGGGCACCTTCAACGACCATTTGAATCTGACGGATGCCGCTGGTATACTGAGTGAGGAAGTACCGTGCCAATGCTGGGGTCGAGATTTCGAACTGCTTGGACCCAACCTGTGGGTTCCAGACACCCTGTCGCAACACACCTCCGGGGGCGTAGAATCGATCAACAAATGTCTGCCAGTACAGGAGATCTTGCGCTTCGCCGCGACTCTGTAAAAATTTTAGTTAGGAGATCAAATACAGATAATACCTCGAGAGAATCTCCATACCTGGAATTGACTCAGATGTTCCGCATACGCATGTAAACATAGTACCGTTGCATTCTGGCGATTCATTCTTTGCTGCATCATTAAAGCGGCATTCTGTTGCTGCTGAGCCTTCAACTGGGCTTCCTGAGCAGTCATCGGCTGACCGGGCTGGCCGGGGTGTTGGCCTGGCTGGCCCGGCATGCCATGTTGAGGCTGTCCTTGAGGTCCTGGGTGTCCAGGCTGGGGCCCAGGTTGTGATGTTTGGGGCAACTGCTGTGGCTGGGGGTTTGGAGTAGCCTGAGCTTGCTGGGGTCCAGCCTGTGGCTGTTGGGGTTGACTCGAGGGAGGTTGAGGAGTGTGGTTTGGTTGAGGGGTACCACTTTGCTGAGGCTGGCCATGCTGGGACTGAGGAGTCGCACCCTGAGTCTCATGCATGTTAGGAGGCTGCGCAGAGCCACGCTGCGGTGTGTGCTGACCACCCTGTGCATTATTCGCCTGAGCCTGAGCCTGGGCCTGGGCCTGGGCTTGAGCTTGAGCCTGGGCCTGGGCCTGCACTTGGTGTGCTTGCGCCTGCTGGAGAGCAAAGAGCTGTTGCTGTTGTTGCTGTTGGAGATTCTGAGGTTGGCCATGAGGAACTTGCTGTTGGAGATGCATCATTGCGTTGACTGGCCGCATGCCACCAGGATTCGCTTGCATCGCAGCCAGCTGAGCAGCGCTGACACCCTGGGTACCATTAGGGAGCGATACGGGCAGACCGTGTTGCTGTTGCGCTTGGGCCTGTTGTTGTTGTTGTTGCTGCTGTTGGATCATCATACGCTGACGAAGGAACTGCTGATGCTGCTGTTGCTGGTGAAGTAATTGCGGGTTATTTGCGACTACATTGAGAAAGAAAGAGTCAGCATGTGACCTCTGGAAGGTGATGCCGTCTATCATGGTTGCCGGCTGGACCGAGTGATTGACATATAACCGCAAGGACAACCGCGCGCGTTCATTGCCGGACCCGAGGATCGACAGGAAGAGATACAAGACTCACAATTTTGCTGGAAGGCCTGCTGCTGAAACATATGCGCCTGTGTAGGATTCAAGTGAGAAAGGGCGTGGGCGTTCGGCATCGGACCACCGGGGCCAGCGGTGCCAGCGCCCGGGGGCATCCCACCCATCATTGGGCCCGCCTGGCTCACTTGAGGCCCTCCCGGTCCAGAAACTCCAGGGTGCATCTGCTGCACCATGCCAGGTCCAGGGTGTCCCGCGTTCGGATGTTGAGCGGCCATGGGATGGTGGCCGGGGGGAAGCCCGTGTGGCGGCATGCCTTGATGGGCAGGAAACGATTGCGCCATCATCATTGCTCGTAGGCGGAAGTCACCGCGGATAGGAGACTTCGAGGGCGATGGATCGCGACCGCGACCAGAGGGCGACCGAGGGTAGTGAAGTCGATCGAACTGGCGCGTCCGTGGTGGGAAGACAACAGGCCGCTTTTAGCGTTCGGGGTGGAGGCCAAGACGAGGCGGTTCTGGGGCACAGTAGACGCGAAAGACCAAAGCATCGATTCGTTGCTTCCACCCAGTCGGTTCACCCGCTTCGCCTCAATGCAGGCCCTCGATTCTGCTGGGGGGGTGGCAGTCGGCGTCAGTGGGTGAAGTGGTGGGGAGTGGTAGATAAGAGAGATCGGGTGCGGTTAGGTGAGGGTTTGGGGGGAAGAGACGGGAAGAAGAGACGGGGACAGGTTCAGGTAATAGGGAGGCGTGGAGAGGGGCTGGGTTGCTACAGGTTAAAGGGTGGATCGGGGAAAAAAGGATAAGAGGTAAAAAGGTATAGATATGTAGAGTAGACGAGGAGGAGAACTCACAAGTCTCGTTGCCCAAAGTCGGTCAGGGTCGAAGTGGTCAAAGGGGACGGCTGTCGCGGGCGCCCATACGGTCAGGGAATGAGAATGATCGCCCGGTGGGAGCGAAGAGGGAACTGGGGACGGAGGATCCGGGCTCCGAGGGTGGAGGATGTAACCGAGCCCAGATGATGGACAGATAGTAGATCCAAAGGGAAAAGCACGACGAGTCACTCTGGTGATTAAAAAGATATATAAGATAGGGATTAAACCAAAAAAAATTCGGTGCTTTTCTTCTTTGCTGACACCTAGATGGGCACCTTTGACCCTTTTCTTCACCCTGAGCCGGGTTTTTTCGCGCGCCTTTTCCCAGCGATTCCAATACTGCCACGCTAACCCGACTGGGATGGTCACGTGTTGGGCCGTGTATTTGAGCCGTTTTTTTTTTTCTTCTCTTCCCTTTCCCTCTCGCCATCTTTCTTCGCCACTGTCCTCCGAAAGACTGCCTTGGCTTCTCTACAATGTCTGGAGGATTGCCATTGTCGGGATGAGGATGTCTTACGATACTGTGATCTCGCCACTAACCATCAGCTAATGCTGACAGCACCAATTTTATATGGTAAGTCCGAAGTCGTTCTTTTTTTTTTTTTTTTTGTGGCTTCACTCCCCGGTTCAAGGATGACAACACCTTTTTACTTCTTTACCTACCAAATCGACCATGACGAGACAGTTCGGACCTCCCTTTCCCGGTTGGTCTGCTACTTGCCAGTATATTTTGTCTGAGAACCATTTTGAACCTCCAGTTTTGCTTGGATGTTTGCAATTGCAAGAGACGTGGGCTGACCCAGCCTTTGCTTTTAGGAATCCACATCTTGTATTGTCAGATGGTTTTATTCTACCTATTACAGCTATTTTGAATATATAACAATCAATTGATATATGCCGTTTCGTTTCATACTAAGGTTCTCTTCGGCATCTCCTGGTATTCTGTCCCAAATGCCTTGCAGGGCGTCATCCGATCCACAAAACTCTATTGTAATCCTAGTTGAAGATCCCCTCTAGTGCGAGACTGTTTGCTTGGATTTGACGGGTACTACTAGGCGACCGGTTTTCGATGCCAACTGGGTCCTCGTACAGTCTATCTTCGGGCTTGACCGGAGGATGAACAGCAAGATTGCTCTTCGAAGTGATATATTTACATAGATCTGAAGCATTGAAAATGCATGACAGGTCATATGTGACCTAGACACCGTTTTCGAATTCATGGTGAGGAGTCTCCTTCAATTTCCCACGCCTTGTCGAAAAGGTATAGACCAAAGTTTAAAATTCATAGACAGGCCATGTCGAAAAAAGATGTTGAAAAAGTGGTTGATCTTGTCGAAGAATGTACAGAATGCGAATGGACGAATGGACTGACCCATAGAAATGGCCTTCCGCCCGAGCTTGGTTTGATACATATCACGTGATATGTTATTTCTCCCGCGGCGAAAGACCGCCGTTGGATCTTCACGACCGACGAGGCCCTTTCACTTTCTGTGACATTGCCCCGGATGTATCCGTCAATGCCACAGGTATGGCGATCCATTGCACGCCCCTGTCGCTTTGTCGCTCGTCGTCGCCATCCTGCCCCCGCGCGACAATTTCACCTATCGCGCCAATGGCTCTCCGTGTCGCCCAATGATCCCCCAAATGGATCCACGCCGCCTACCAATATAGGAGATGTGGTGGACAACCGTCAGTCGCCTCATACCAGCGAGAATGCTGTGAACCCTGATTCCACTCCGGCCGCCGCCGAACAAACGGGAAAGCCCGTCTCGCGACCATACGGATCCGCCGTTCGGAGAGCCATGAGAAACAGACAATCCGAACAGCAACAACAGCAAAAAGGAACAACGGCAGCCACAATTCCTAGCTGGTTTCATGAGCGGAACATAGTCACTCACGGCCCTGATGGACGTCCGGACGCTGCGCGGTTCCAGTCCCAGGTTGAGGTCAGAACATCGAAGCAGGAGTCAAAAACGGAGAGCACAACCCAAGCACAGTCGGCATCGGGTGGTAATGGGGAGGATCCATTTACCACAGGCGAGTCATCTGAAGTGGAGACTCGCTATGCCGTGGCAGATGCTCTCTGGGATGAATTGCGTGCGTCGGTCAAAGCGGGTCTGAGACTGCCGCCTACGCAATACGCAGGAGAACCCCCAGCCAAAAAGTCACATCTGGTCCTTCAGTATCCTGGCCCAGACGGTATCCTGTTCTTGGATGCGGTGGTTCAACGACTCGCCCATGAGCTGAATGCCGACCTTGTTACTCTCAATGCCCAGGATTTGGCCCAGCTTCTCAGTGAGCAGGATCTTGCAGAGGCTGGCGCGACCTCCGCAATCCGATCTCTTGGCTATGAAGTCTACCGGCCTCCAGTCACTGCCTGGCCCGAGCCCAATGAGGGCGAAGGAGAAGGAGATGATGACATTGCGGAGATCGCTGGTGCTCACGGGGTGCGTCCCGAAGTTAGTACCCCTCGATTCATCACCATTGAGGCCAGCAGAGATTCAGGTGATATTCCGCTGCCAGGCTGGTTAGGGTTGAAGTCGCTTGTGGCATCTATCAACGGCCAGTCGGAGGACCCAAACATGATGCGAGGCTCCGGCCAGCGCCTCGAGGCACGATGGGTTCGCCTTCTCAACGAGGTCATCTCCACTGCCGTCCAGCCAACCCAATCAGCTCAGCCAGATGCCAAAGGTTCGGAAGAGTCGTCCACACCCGAGACTGATGCCAGCAAATCTATCTTGCCGCGCGATACCATCGTCCAAATACAAGACTATCGTGATATCCAAAGCTCGAGGGAAGGTTCAAGGGTGATTTCCCTCCTGCAGAAGGTTATTCAAGATCGACGACGAGCAGGTTCAAGGGTACTTCTTGTTGGCAGTACATCCCAAGACCTCCATCATTCTGCTTCACAAGATGGCCCTAGGATATTGCAAAATGTTCTTGATGATAACTTCTCCAAAACCCTTGTCATAACTCCGGCGATGGAGTCAAAGGCCGTCGAGAAAGCATTTGCAGAGGATCAAAAGAACCGAACAATGGATATCAATATTCGCCATCTCCAGAACATGCTACGCTTCCGTGTCAGTGAAACATCATCCGACGTAAAGGATGACATCTTTGGTGATAGGGCTTGGCCGCTAGATGCGCTCACCATCAAGCAATCCGGCATTAGAGATCACTTCTGGTCCTACAACCAGGTGCACTGGGTTGCGACTCTTGCTCTTGGTAGCGCTGAGCCCAACGAGCCCCTCAGCTTTGAGCACATCAGACGCGGAATTGAACTCATGGATCGTGGAGATCGAGTTACCAGCGATTGGTTGCAGGGGAAATCCTCGAAGCAAACCGAGTCTGGCCGTGGTCGAAGCCGAGAGCAGCTGTTAGCGTCCCTGCGCAAGTCCTGCAATTCTCACGAAAAGAAGTTGCTCAACGGCGTCGTGGATGCCAAGAGCCTCCGCACCACGTTCGCGGACGTGCATGTCCCACCCGAGACAGTCGACGCTCTCAAGACCTTAACGTCTCTATCACTTATTCGCCCCGAGGCGTTCACCTACGGTGTCTTGGCCACTGACAAGATCCCCGGTGTCCTGCTTTACGGTCCTCCTGGTACCGGTAAGACACTTCTGGCCAAGGCTGTTGCACGCGAAAGTGGTGCCACCGTGCTTGAGGTGAGCGGTTCCGAAGTATACGACATGTACGTTGGCGAAGGCGAGAAGAATGTTAAGGCCATCTTCACCCTTGCGAAGAAGCTAAGCCCGTGCGTTGTGTTCATCGACGAGGCGGACGCCATCTTCTGCTCGCGCACCGGCGCAAGCAACCGCACTTCTCACCGTGAGCTCATCAATCAATTCCTGCGTGAATGGGATGGAATGAACGACATGTCCGCCTTTATAATGGTAGCCACCAACCGACCTTTTGACCTGGACGACGCCGTTCTGCGCCGTCTTCCCCGGAGACTGCTCGTGGACCTTCCAACCGAGGAAGACCGCCTGGCCATATTAAAGATTCACCTCAAGGGCGAACAACTCGACCCCGCCGTGGATCTGGCCGAACTGGCTCGTCGAACTCCACTGTACTCCGGTTCCGATCTGAAGAACTTGTCAGTCGCCGCAGCACTGGCCTGTGTACGTGAGGAAAATCAAGCCGCGGCACAGCACCAGGGCGAGGAGGCTTACGAGTACCCAGCCCGTCGTACTCTGACTCGCACCCACTTTGAACGTGGAATGGAAGAGATCAGCGCGTCGATCAGTGAAGACATGTCCTCTCTATCTGCCATTCGCAAGTTCGACGAACAATACGGTGATCGCAAAGGCCGGCGTCAGAAGAGTCCGGGGTGGGGCTTCATTGCGCCTTCCACTCAAGAGTCTACGGCTGATACCGCGCGCGTCCGCACATGATTGTTATGCCATCTTGCAATTGTATTTTTATTATTTCGATAGAAGGGCCGGGGTATTGGGGAATTGTTTTCTATTTCTTGTAATATAGGGTCATGTGAATCACTAGATGTGTTTATATTTCTGGTTCTCGGCTCAGCGCCTCCTTCACGTTATTTTGTAACCTACCCTACATACAGTATGCCAGTCTGTTGCGAAGTGGCTCGCACCTGGAGTTCAGCCCAGCCCACGCCCCTGTCACCAAGTGTGCCTTGCGACCGAATCACCCATTGGCCTTCGATCACTTGATGATCCAGGAAGTTTCTCTCAATCTGGGCTTCTGGTGATAGTGCCTCTCGAGAAGTATTTGACCACCCACGTCACCGCCTAGATCTTACCACCTACTAATCCTAAACACCTAATTAGCACCACGCACACCATCAAAACAAGCATCAAAAGAGAAAACCAATCATGCAAGCGACCCGGGCGGTCAAGAATTCTCTCTGATGAGGAGCATAATCTCATTCATGATTACATAAAACAACACCCAAGTTGCCGACATCAAGAATTACTAGATCTAGTTGATAATAAGATCTCCGAGGCTACCTTACGTACTTTACTGAAAAATCTTGGTAAGCTAGTCATATAGTTATCAACCAGTGCTGTTTTACTAATACTCTTTTAAGGCTCTCAAAAGAAAGCGAAAAACCAATTGACTTCAGTTGAACGATAACGATGCGTTGATTCGCCTTACGTGGGCACAAACTTATAGCCAGTCTACATGCGAAGATTGGTTACGGGTCTAATTTTCTATGTGATATCAATTAAGCGTGGCTCTGATGCTGGTGCTGAAATCTCCATAGCGCTTCCGCTGGGTCTCGCTCAGTTGGATTCCCGTGATTGAGACTGAGTTAGTTAAGTTCGATCCTGAGATGGCAAACTATGATAAGGCGGTTTTAGAGGAGACACGTCCAACTGGAAGCTTTCGAATCTCCTCCAAAACCGCCTTGGCATATTTTGCCATTTCAGGATCGAACTTAACTAGGGACCTCAATGAGACCGAAACATCAAGACTCGCGAGGATGAGATTCAACCAAAATCATGTGCGAAACAACGTCGGCATATATATCGGGCGTGCTTTAATGGCTCTCCTGCGTTTCCGTCCGAATTTCGAATCTCCTATAGCTTACAATATACCAGGACGAAATAGATCAAATTCTCACCAGTTATAAGGAAACTACGAAGGAGTATTCTTCTTTTAATCAATCTACCTCTGACAGAAGACACATATTAGTAGATTTTCAGAGGGAGTATAACCCGTGACCACCAATCAACCCTTGAATGACGACCAATTTCAACTTCACACAAAGCAAAGCCCCCTGAAACCTGTATGGGTTTATACATTCCGAGGGAGGTCCACAAGAACAAATTTTGGCATGTTCAATTTACATGAATTTGGCAGTTTCGGGACCAAACTTAGTGCACCTACCCAATATAGCAGGAAGTGAGGGTTTCCAATAGATAAAGCACGTTTAGGATAGTCGCTCTAAGACTCTTGAGATCTCTCATCGAGATTTGGGCACTATTTTTGATTACACTTGAGAATGCCTCGGCATCTTCACACAAAAGGTTGCCAAGAAGCATCGCTTTGTAAAGAGCTCTAGTAATATTTAAAATAACATTCTGATTACCATAACATTTGCCGATAGGTAAGCCTATATCTCGGTCTAACTATAAGGTCGGGAGTTTCCTTGCGCAATATTCTTTTGTACCACGAGGAAACCTCGTCATGCGCCACAAATTTCAGAACCATTTTTGCATGGCCCTGCCGGAAGATCATGAGTAATTTATTAGATGTCTTCAGGCAGGTTCTACTAAGATTTCATATCCCTGATCCCACCGGACGTTTTCGAAACCCTAGTTGGGGTTCTGCTGTCATGTCCACGCAGGGACATTGCATTAGTGTCACCTTTATTGTCTCGTGGCACAGCATTCGAGGTATAGTTTCTAGGTCAACGATTCTCCAATTGAATTATGAATCGATCGTTCACATTGACCGTATTCGCTACAGATAATGATCGTGTGATCGCACAACCATACACTCTAGGAAGGTATTCCCCGGCAAGCGGCTTTTCTCTGCCCATAATTCTCAAGTAAGTGCTGATATAAGAGAACGGATTAGTTTCAGGGTACCCTGATCTGTTGCTTCAGACGACGGAGAAAACTTCCCGACGATGGCGCTGTGCTGTATATATGACGTGTAGGCAGGCACTGAAAGGTCATCAAGATCATACAATCTGCTGAATGGCGATGAGCAAGACGGATCTAATATCCTAATTTCGATGACCAGCGTTGATAGATTTTAGAGAAAGATGTCTTATTCAATGGCCGTGCTCGTATCAGTCTCCACTAGTATAGATCAGGACGTGGGCTCCCGATCTCTAAATGCCCAGGCATCCTAGTAACCACCCCACAAAATCGGAAAAATCAAACGAGAGACATATTGAATCGCTCTAAAGCAGCTATTCCTTACGTCTGGTTTGGATTATTGTCATCCGATCCTTCTTCTAGCCTCCTTGGGCATTTGCATCCCAAAGGGCACGAGCCCTTGGGCCAAGGCACGTGCCCGCCGATGACATCGCACTCCGTCTCCGCCCGCCACTAAGAAGAGCTCTTTTCCTCTTCCAACCCAACGGGACGATGGTGCGGACTCCAGTGCCGTACGAGCGCTGCTTATAATTTCTACTATTTCCCTTGCTCTGTTCACTTCGAATCGAACCGCTTGCCACCGAGACAAGATAGGGAGCGAGAAAAAGAGAACGGCCCCACCCCCACCTCCGAAATCATGTCAATCGAAAATCGCGACGAGGCCATTCGAGAGGCCAAGATCTTCGTTCGCCAAGTCGTGCGAAATGACTGGGAGTTCGACTCTAGTCTATATGCCGACGGCACACGTCCTCCCCCATCAACCTCCTCAACCCTCACGGACGGAACTCTCTGCGAGAACCGTGAAGTTGTTGAATGGCGATGCCGAGAATTCGACAGCGCAGGCTCGGAACTTGAGCCTCAATCGTCCGATCAAAGTGACTCTGACTGTCAGTCACCCAGCAGGGCTGCAGGGGACCCTGGAATTGAACGGCGGCGCAGGCGTCGGCGGCAGATGGAAGATGAGATGGCGTGGAATGAGGGGTTGCGAATGTGGATGGCCAGACGGGACGCATGGTCTGGAGCCAGGACACAGCGGCAGATTCGTGCCAAGGAAAAGAAGCGCAAGCTTTCTGCTGCTGCTTCACAAAATCAAGCAAACGGGTCGTCTGACGTGAAGACAGTGGATGCTGCACAAGACGGTGGTGCGGGGATTCCCCCGCCCACGGACCCCCCGACCCACGGCGAGGTCGGTGACACCAGTATGCTTGCAAACAAGACGGAGGCATGTCTTTCAATCACAGATAAGGAGAAGGGTGAAGATCAACTGCACCGTCAGGAGCAAGAGGAGGAACAATCAACAGCGCCAGACGAGGAAACTAAGCGCAAGGAATCGACGGAAACCTGCATCACCGAGCCGGACCAGACTCCAAGCTATACTTCGCGCGTAGGAGCAGAGGATCGTGATAAGGACTCAGGTGACGAGTCTGACTCTGAAGAAGAGGAAGAACTCGACGAGCCTCTTATCCCAGTTGCGCCTCCGTTCATCTCCTCTGCCAACCCCGTTCGCGCAACGATCACTCCCTCGATCTACCCATCGATCTACACCAAAGTCGTCGTACAGGGCATGACTCCTACCATCCCAGTCAATCTCGCTGACTTGACCAAGGCAATGGTTCAAGGATGGAAGTCGGATGGACAGTGGCCCCCAAAGCCGGCGGTTTCGTCCATTGTCCTCCAGGACGATGCGTCCGTCCCCAAAAAGGCGGCCGACTCGCCTGCTGATGGAGCTCCTCAGTCAAGGCGCAAGAATAGTATCACCAATGCCATGCGCAAGGTCTTCCATATGGGAACGCATCCATTCCACCGTCGTGGATCGACTAGCCAGGATGCCGGTGCCGGAAGCAACGCTGCTAACGGCGCCGCTGCTTAACGACAATCTTTCTGGGCCTCACATGCCTAAACTGCATCGACGCTTTACGACAGAGGGTTCTCTTTTGTGCTTTCCTTTTTTTTTTCTCTTTCTCTCGCACTATGTCTGCGTGTGGTTTTTAAACGCAATGCATCTGGCGCGGATTCCTGGGTGGTTTCTTATTTCCCGGCTCTTGTCACGGCTCTGTTACTCATTTACTCACGACCTGGGCGTGTGGGTGGTTTCTACATCTCTATCCAAGTAGTCTTATGGCCTTGCCTTATCTATCACGCGGCTATTTTATAATCCATGCATGTCTCTCACGGGTAACTAACATTTGAGAGATCCTACTTACACCCTCAAACAAGCAGGTCTTGATGAACCTTCATTTAATTGAATATATTTTGAACAGTGACCATATCCATTCAAATACGGTACTTTCACAATATAATCTCTGATCTAAACTTGTAACCGTTACCAGACGCCAATGCTAAACATGCAACAAATTGAGATATCATAATCTCAAACAGAAGTATATGGTCTCATCATCCTCTCTCATTCCGGACACAAGTTGAACTGTTCAAGACGGTCGACGAAATCTGCGACAGCATCCTCAAACTCCAGTCTCGCCGAACCCCCGTTCTCGATAAAGGCAGCGGTCTCGGGCTCGATGGTGACAAGTTTCGAGTCATGACCAGGGCGAGTGTAATAGTACTTTCTATCGTGGAATGACCAGTTCCTAAGGCAAGACTGATGATCCTCGAATGCAAGCCGCCGAGCGGTAGCCAGTTGTGGAGGCAAGTCATTGGTTGCGCCATCCGAAGAGAGCATAGAGGGCCAAAGGACCGTCGATCTGGCGACCGCAGCATCCAACGTGGATTCAGCTACGAAGAATTCCCGGAACCACTCGATGTATGAGAGTACACCTTCTGCGGCATCGGTTACACGGTCGATGTAGTCGACCACGACAAGCGATGAAGATATCATATCGGCGAAAGCAGTGAGCATCATCAAGACGACGGGATCTCTACGTCGAGCCGACCGATTGGAGAGAGGGCGAAGTGCTTGATGCGTTGCTTGGAAGACGGCGTCGAGAATTCTCAAGACAGAGGAGACGCAAGCAGAATCCATCGTGTTCAAGTTGAACAACATGTCCTTGAAAACGAGGGAGATACTTTTGATGATCGGCAGACCAAGCAACCAAGCAGTCGAGTTACTAAAGGCGAGTTCAATGTATGCTGGGAATACACATTGCAGGAGAACAGCCCGAAGGGTGGGTTTGTGGAGCAATCCCGACTCGTAGCTATCTTTCATAGCGGAGTGTAGCTGACTGACTAGATGGTCGTGTTGGCCATCCATAGTCGCTCTCTCGACGATACTTTGGATGAACATGGTCAAGGTCTGCAATTCCTTACTGGAGGACAACTTGGGCTCGTAACGCTTCAATTTTGCAACAATGTAGCGCGGGTCCGAGGATGGCAAGGGGAACACCGCCGGGTCCGTGAAGAAGGGATCGACGGGACGGATATCGCTCGTTAGTTCTTGCAAAAACCTGATGATACGATGCACAAAATCGACATATGCGCCCTGAGCAGATTCCACGGCTCCATTGCCAAGTTCTTGATAATTACTTCGCATAGCGGTCATCAGTCTCTTGAGCATTTCGGAATAATCTTGTTTGACGACATTCAAGTCTGGACTGTCCAATGCTTCAAGGCTCAGCACATGCTCGCGCATGTTCGACAAAATGCTCGATAGGAGAGAGATTCGCCGCCAACTGAGCTCTTCGAGAGTGATGATGTATCGCTCACTTTTCTTGTCCTTGTAGAAAGGAAGGTTCTTCAGCAAAGGATCATGGGGACTTCCGTTCAACATTGCCTCGGTGAGACGATGCTGGTACTTCAACATTGAAGATCGCTCCACCAAGCAAGACATCCACATACCCATGACAAGGACTCGACTGTCAGAGAGGATACGGCCGTCTTTCTCGATACATCCAGCCAGGAAACGTGGTGTGAATTTCCGTGTCTGTACCGTCTCCCGAAGACTGGCCCAAGACTCAACACTGACAGGATCCATGTAATTATCCCACTGTCTCAGCTTGTGGAAGACCATGACCTGGGCAACCGATGTCCAGCAATCCACAACACTCGTAAGAATTGCATCTTCGGGGCAGTGGTCCTCACCGAAACAATTCGAGAGCAGACGGGAAACAACAGAATGAAGGACTTTCTCAACATACTGAACACCCTCACTCGGTGGTTCTGGCTGTACCATGGCATGATCAAGACTTTCGTCCCAGTCAACGTCCTCGAATTCTTGGCTATCATCCTCCGTTGAAACGGCAGGTGCGGGCGCTGTCTGCGTAACAGCGCCCAATGCAACTGCAGGATCCTTCTGAGTGTAAGCCACAATCACCTGCAACGCATCTGACACGACCACATTTACTCGTGCCAGCTTTGGGTTGAAAAGCCCGAGCAGAGACTCAAAGGGTGTCTTCGAAATGAGGCGCAGCGCATGCTCAATTGAAGGTGCTCGCTCAACGGCCGTTCGGAGGCCACTCAGTGCCATGGACAAGAGGTTCTCAATCGGTCGCTGATTCTGGGCGATAGTACTTTCAATGAGATGTTGAGAGACTTTCTCGCCATTCTTGCTCTGCGCCTCAATCTCCTTTCGAGCATGCGCGTGCTGTTGTCTAAGCTCACTCACGAAAAAGCTGTGCCAGTTGGCGAACGGCTCCAGTTCTGACATGTCTTCGTTTGTTGACAACTTGAAACGGACAAGTCTTGTCCACGCACGAAGGTTAATGCTACACGTCTCATTGTGCGAGCTAGCTGGATGAACCAAATCACGGATGATCTCCACTCGAAATCGTAATCCGGGAGGGATCACCCAATACAACGTACAGAGGAGATCATGGTGGTTTCTCAATGCATCAAGATCTTCACGACGCAGGGGCTTCTCTTTCGGGTACACGCGGCCATGGTTTGGCAACAGGCGCCATGCAAAGTTTCGAACCTTCTTGGCGTGATATCGCTCGGATAAAAAGCGCAGACCACTTGCAATAATCTTGAGCAATGTGTGAAAGCACGGCTCCCCGGGTTGCAAATCCAGTGATGGAGTTTGATCGAGTTCATCGAGGAACGAAGGAGACCCGCGACTTTCCTCGAGCTTCAAGTTATACAGAGTATTTTGTGCAAAGAAGTCGTAGAGTGTATCGAGTATAGGCCGGCACTCTCTCCACCCCCAGGTATTTATCAAGCGATGACATCTTTGAAAGAGTACTCGGCAGTAGACATTGTATGAAATGGGCTGGGTTGCAGAGTTGGTGCCATAATTGTCCAGTGCGGGAGATAGAAGCTTCTTAACGAGCGACCAATTGTCATGCGCAGCCTTGAAACGGTTCGCTCGTCGGGCAATACCATGATTATCGATATCGTTGAAGGGGAGAAGGGAGAACAATCGACACCACCCCGTCTCGATGCGAGCAACATCCCTGTCGTTGCGAGCGATATTCTTGGTGCAAGAATCGGTTTGGAGATCATTAAATATCCCAGCCAGCGCGTCCGAACTGCGGAAAAGGGACTCGGTGATCAAGTAAGCTTCTGCTGTAGGGAATTGTTCACGAAGACCGGACTCTCGCTGCTCAGGCTTCTTGTTTTCCTCGAAAAGGCGTCGGATCTCGGCGATTCCGGGTTCAGATAGAATCAATGCAATAGTGTCTGTAGCACAAATCTTGACAAGATCCACGGCATCGCCGGCAAGCCCACTTCCAACAAGCTTGTGAGAAGAAATTTGACGGATCTGATTGGCAAATAGCAGATTGTAGCACGCAATCCGCACAAGCCCAGTTTGGTTGTATTCACCTCCAGCGATGAAAGCAGTCAGCGGATCCCTCAACGAAGAGATTAGTCCCGTGGCTCGGGGAATGAAGCTTGTTCGATCGACCGGGTCAGTGAACGACAAATGCTCCGTCACATAGGTAATGATCGATCGGTATGCATGAGACACAGCCAGCAAGTCTGGTCCTGCATTGCTTGCCGGCGATGACGATGCATTCTTTTCAATGCCGTCCAGAATCATGCCGAAGACAGATCCCATTTCCGAAGAAACCCTTTCGTTCCACGCTCCCCATTGCAATATCCGATCTTTGGCATTTATTGACGAGAAACCTGCCTCCTTGTCCATGTCTCGCTTTGCGATATGCAATGAGCGAGAGATTTCGCCACTGCCTATGAATGTAGACTCATGGAAAAAGGTACCGTCATGTAAGGGCAGTACCCCAAAGTCAATGGAATACGAGCGTTGCCAATTCACCAATCCCCCAAGACTGAAGGTCGATGTCCCAGCAGGAGCGGAGTGAGTGATTGTTGGAGAGTCCCAATCGTCAGAGATTGTTGTAATAAGGGCTTGGTTCTGGACAAACTCGTCCGATTCAAGATTAATGCGAGTGGGTCGGTGTTTCTTCAGACGACGCCGAGCTGGTAGGGATTTGGGATCTGATGTCCTGATGTCGATGTCCCCGGGGGCCATAGAAGACGGCTTCAGCAGAGTTGGAGAAGACAGTGTGCCTTTATCAGAAATGTACCGATCGAGGGTCAGGCTAGATTGAAAGGCCCGAGAGGAATTTTCGTGTCGGTACCTGCGATTGAGCAATGTCAAAGACCTCCTGAACATGTCCTTCGAGGCCGACTGGTTTCCAGTAGGCGCTGCTAGGCTTGTTGGAGCGGGCCTTGGATCATTTCGTCGCAGTGATGTTATCGGCATATTTCTTTGAACAATCCACTGATGGCCTCGTCGTTCCGACTGTGCAGGTGGCACAGGGTTGGCATTTGCACTTTGAGAAACGGCGAGCTCGACAGGAACCGAAGGACTCCTGATTGGAGCCGGTGCAGGCACAGGTGAATCGTCATGATCTGACAGAATCTCAATATTGGCAACAGAGAAATGATTCGTGATATGAGAGCTCCGGACAACAGGCGCAGCGCGGCCAGGGCCAGATGAAAGACCCGAGAGCGTCTCGCGCTTGCGAGGCTTAGATGGAGCTCGAGTGGTCCTTGCTCGAGGTATTGCTCCTTTTTTCCAGTCCGGCAAAGACTGATTTGCGTCGGCTGTGTCCACTCTTGAGCTCAGCTGCACAAACTTCCGAGTCGGGCTTTGACGACCCTGATCTCGCCGCGATCGAGCTCCCCTTGCAGCAATTCGTAGAAATTGTGGCAGTTCTTCACGAGGCCTAGCAGCCACATCGGGAGCATCCAAAATACCTAATCGTGGAGCTGATCTTGATGAAGTCTGCTTCATTCGACGCCCTCCGTAGGAGGAATCGGTAAGTCTCGTTTGTCTTTGCAAGCGAGCTTTCTTTAGGCGGCGTTCGGTCTGACCTGAACTTTCCTTCGATTTAACTCGTTTCAGGCTCTTCCGCTTCTCGCGGGGACCGGATTGTTTGCGAGAGACCGGTGCAAGCATGTAATCAATCCGGTTGTCCTCCATAGCGTCTCCATCTCGATCGAACGCATTTTCCAGTTCAACTCTCCCCGCCGATCGTTCCTCGAAGTCCTTATTGAGAGGGGGAGAGATATTGGTGCTTTGGTCGTCATCATCCTCACTCTCATCAAAGTCTGCGAAATCAAACAAGGCTCGACCCGGGCCGTTCGCTCTCCCTGCTTGTTCGGGCTTTCGAGTAATCTTCTTGGCAACGCCTTTGCCGTCTATCCTCACGGGAACATGTCGATTACTCTGTCCCGCTTTGTGCTTCTCAGATTTTTCGGCATTGAGCCTCACCCAGGATGCAGGAAGGACACCTCTAGTCCTCCGTTGCATTTCCCGAATCCGACGATCCTCTGCACTTTCTTCGGGCTCAACTGTGGATTCTCGCGATTGTTGCGAGTCTGAGTCATCATCGATCTGAATAATCGAGCCTTGGTGGTCCGTATGTCTCCTACTAGATTCACCCACAACTGGTGTCGTCGAATTTGACTCTTCGCCCATGGTCGTAGTCGGAGGTGGTGTATACCCCAACGCGAACCGCAGACCCTCTGATGCTCGTGGTGTTTTTGATGACGAAACACTTCGTGAATGTGGCGGGCTGGACGGTATGTCGAATATAGAGGGGCCCTGTCGATTATCTGGCGTATTTCTGGCGTTTATGACAACCTGGGGCGTTGCATGGTACTCAGGTGAACGTCTGGCTTCACGCTCATGACCTGAATGTGACTTCTTTCTCCGTTTTTGTGAATGCACTCGGTGAAGAGGAGAGTGCTGATGATCACGCTGCCGAGTTGGCTGTCCAGTGGGATTACCTTCATGACGCCGTGCAGACCTAACTGGAGGAAGAAACTCTTCTGGAGGAGGGCTTGAACGAAGTCTGCTAGGATCAAAATCATCGTTTTCCTGCCTTTCATCCGTTTTCTCAGATTGTTTATTCTTTTCTGCTGGCATGGCCATTCGAACCGGTCGAATGCCTCGTTCTTGCATCAGGCGTTGATACTTGGCCATTTCCAAGGCGTAGGGGTGTAATTGAATCGCATTGCGCTCGCGAAAGGACCTCCGCACTGGTTGAGCCAGCTCTGTCAGAATGTTCTCGGGAATTTCGAAGTCTGGTGCAGTTGGATTCGGATTTTCTAGCTGCATTGCCGCTGGGGCGGCACCCCTCTCATCCTCGTCCGCAGCCGGAGGCGGCGAGTGAAGGGATGATGGAGGCGACGACAAAGGAGAGTCATCATCCGAGACCTCTGGGAACCCTCGTGGTTCAGCATCCTCGAATTGTTTCTTGGTTGCAATGGATGCCATGAGCGGTGGAGGAGGTGGTGGTGGTGGTGGTAGAATGAAGGCGAGTTCATCCGGCGAAGAGCTTCGCGACCTCCCTATCTCACTCAATTGATGGTCGCTCCAGGCGTCAGATTCTTTAGCGGCATGAGACTGCAGACTCTGGGCAGGTATAGAAGGCTTTGGGGTAACCTCCGGGCTTATAGACTTTCGGCCAGGCCTTACTTGCGTCGCTGGCGAACTAGGAAGATCCCATATACTATCGTCAAGGTCTGCCAGCACATTGCGGCGTGGTTCATTGGTGTTTCCATCAGGCGTTTTCGTTGTTGAGTGTCGTTTCCCATACGTTCGGGTCGCTCGTCGTAGCTTCGTAGGCTGTTCTTCCAATGAAACAGATTTTGGGGGCTCTTTTGCTGCACTCGCAGGCTCCGAGCCCTGTTTGGTGGATAACCCTTTCTTTTTTGGAGGCGTTGAAACCAAATCCACCAGTTCTTGAGAGCCTTCCGCCGATTCACCGTCAGTATGCCCCTCGGCGGGTTCTATCGCATCCCGCAACTCTGAATCTCCGGTATCCTCAGGGCGCTGCTCGAGATTGGACGTCGCCGTAGGGAGGGGGATGTAATCGAGGTCGATTTCGTCGCTTGCATCACTTGCATTGTCAATCGCCGCGGGGCCCGTGTCAAGGGAATCGAAGCCATCATCCTCGTCTGAGTCTGGGACAAACCCTCGTTTCCGCCATGGTTCCATCTGCATCCTCGGCGGGGATGTCCCATGTCTCTAGGGGGTCATCGAGTCACGTCGCTGGACAATGGAGCACACACAAAAATTCCTCTCGAGAAAATACACGAGGCAAATAGGGAAATCGCAGTGGCCGAGGGCCTGGTGTTCGACGTTGGCGTGCAGGGAGTGCTTGACGCGTCGATAAGAGATTAATTGGGGGAGACGCGCCTCTAATCGGGTCTAATCAGTGGACGATAACGCCCGCCTCCCGCAGCATCTCCGAGTCCATCTCTCTCAACGGCACTTCCATTTGACCTTCTACCTCCTGCTCCATCTGTCGCAATGAGTCGCAATTTCTTCCCTGTGGTCATGGCCATTGGTGTCGGTGTCTTTACTGGTAAGTTACCTTTCCTCTCACCATCAGCCTTCAATCGTCCTCCGGTCACTGATTCTGACGTCAAATTTCGCTGCAGGCTACTACACCTTCCAGCCAACTTTCCAACAGATGGCGATCGAAAAGGAGCATATTCCTCAGCAGTCGCAGTCTACCGGTCTGCCTCAGAAGGAGACCAATGCGCCCTCCAACCCCGCTGTCGATAGCTCCAAGCCCGAGGCTCGGGGCAGCAAGTGATAGTCTGCAATATGACTACCACACTTGACAACCCGATTAGACGAACGGTGTCGTGTGTCACCCTCGGGAGACGTTGGTATCCCGTTATATTAAGATATTGGATTCCGCTTTTCCGGTGCCAATAAAGGATTTGGTTCAAGAATCCTGGTCCGGAGCTCTGCGGAGCTCCCAGCACCTGTGAAAGCCTTCCCATGCATGGCCATATTTCTGCGCTGTGTTCAGTTGGCATAGCTGGGAGAAACACAAAGTGGCTGTTTCTTGTGACTGGAAATTGAGTCATGCGCCATGCGCCGGGGTTTGTAGCCCGCCGGGATCACTGAGAAGCCTCGAGAGACGCTGTTCCGGTTGTACTAAGGAATGTTGTGACCACAAATGTGTAAATATATGAATGGTATTTAATCGCACTGAATACACGAACGCCATGCCTTCCAAGGTTGGAATAGAGAAGCTCGTACATAGCCGGCCCTCGTCAGGAGATGTGACCCAGTTCCCAAGCACCCCATTGTAAATGGTTTCCGATACGCCTAGTTCCTTTCCAATTTCTTATAAGTACAGAATCAAATTTCCTCCACCATTTTGCCAGTTCCAGCTGCGATGGGTGCACCGAAAAGCCGGCCAGCAGGGGTGCCGAGCCACTCCTCTGGCACGTTGACCTTAAAGCCGGATTTATTGCTGATCCAGCGGACCATAGTTGGATCGGCCTTTTCGGGCTCGGCGGGCTCTTGATCGGCGGGAGTGGCTTCTGCTCCATCGGCGGCGGCCTGTCGGCCCCGACGCTTGGGTGGCTGTTTGTTGAGAAGGCGGTTGATGGTGTCCATCTGTCTCGGGGGATTAGCAATGTCGTTCAACGGACTGAAATGAATGTCAAGTCAATTTGATAAGGTATCAAGCTTACCTTCTCTTCCTCGTTGCGTTTCTCGCTTAGATTCTTACGTCGGCGGGCCATTTCGGCTCGACGCATAGCGCGCTCCTCGGCCGTCAGGTGCTTCTTCACTTGAGGTTCTGTGTCTTTATTAGCCTTATATCGCTCCATGGTGTAAAGGTCTTTCGACCATTGACTTACCCATTGGAAGTTGTAAGAAATCATTCCCAAGGTTGCCACGTTGACGCTTGGTGGTTTTGCCACTGTTCAAGGCCATCGCATCGCTGTCCATGTCTTCATCCAGCTCATCTTCTTCATCCTCTTCATCGAGGTCATCGACATTGACATCTGGAATGGCGCTCTCCTCCTGGTCATCAAGTTCACCCTCAGCATCTGTGTCGCTTTCGGAGAGGGCCTCTTCATCTTCATCCTCATCAATCTCCTCCTCCTCTTCTTCTTCTTCCTCTTCCTCCTCTAACTCCATCTCCTTCTCCTCGACGCTTTTGGCGGCCTTTCCGCGCGTTGGAGCAGCTTTGGTAGCTCGCCTTACCGGCGGCTGAGGGGGAATGTCGTCCATATCGAGGTCGCCGTCAGCATCGGCATCCTCGTCATCTTCTTCTCCGGGAGCATCCTCATCATCGACCTCGTCTTCTTCTTGGTCTTCGAGGTCGTCGTCGTCATCATCATCAGATGTGGGGACTTCCACAATCTTCCTCTTGTTGCGACTAGCTCGTGGCCCCGTCACAATAGGATTTTCTTGGAATACATTGACAGTGCGACGAGCAGCACGACCACCTGTGGCCTCGCGCAGCTTGCCAGCGGGCATTTTTACGGTAAGACGGAGAGTTCTGGTTGGCTCTCCGGGGGGATCCTCAGAAGATCGGGAGACAGTCACTGATGCGGGAGGTGCAGCCGCAGAGGCACGAGTGAGTCTCTTAGGTCTAGAGCTCATGTTAGCTTCGATGTCTGGGGGTTCCTCCAGTGATACGCGCTGTCGACGAGAGCGACGAAGTTCCATGATTTTGATGATGTTCAAAAAATTGACAAGAAGTGCAATGATTCAGCCTTCCACGAGAAAGTGGGGAGCCCAGTAGAGTGAGTGGCAGTATAGGGGAGAAATCTCCGGTGCTTGTTTTGGGTTGGTGCCAGGAGGAGGGGCCGGACGCTCGACGAAAGAGGCACGAAGCCTGCTCAAATACGTCCGGGTGACAGCTGAGCTGTGCAAACCGGGAAGGCGCAGGCCCTTGGGCTGTCTCAGGCGCCACGTTGGAGATTTCACGAACAAAGCGCCCCTCCCAGCTCCAGGGATCGCGAGTGGTCTCCTGGCTGCCGTGTTCCCCGATTTCTCGGACGGACTGGGATAATAGACGGGGGATCCAGAGGCATAATCGCGGGGGAGTACAAAAGAAAGGACGTAACAGGGGTAATTGAGGCACTTACCGGTACTTTTTTCCCTCTTCTCTTCTAAGCTGCCAATCTTCAACGGTCCTGTCGTTGACGCTGTACGAGCGAATGAAGTAATCAGCGCCATTCTGCCGGGCGGTCGGTCACTCCCAGTATGTGCTCTCGCCGTGATCAAGGTACTCTGGATGGATGGATGAGCCAGATCTCATGCGATCATTTGAATGATTAGAAGGATATAACCTGAGAAGACCTGGTCACTGGCCTTGTCTATGGTTGGGTCTCTTGCTTTCCTCCGGTATGAGAGCCATCTGATCTCAGCCTGTAGTCTTATCTATCTCTTGTGATTAACTATCTGGTACTATGTTACCCAACAAAGATCCAAAGATCTCAAATATTCTACTTAATACAGAGGGGATAAAGTATGATATCTCAGACTATTATCTATGGTTGCTTTACTTATACCCGATTGCGACTCGGTCCTACTAAGGACGGAGGCAGCCGAGTCGATGCGACAGCCGAGGTCGGGCTCACATGGCCCCAACTCAAATGCCCCAAGTCCGGGGAAGGGCCCTCTCCTCCTCGTACTCCTCCGACACTTCTCCACCACTTCCTCTCTACCCATTCTGACTTTACAAGTCAGATCACAGACACCATGTCTGATCCTTCATCAAAGCCACCATCCATTCCCTCGTGGCAGCAGCAGTCAGGGTCTGCTCCGACCGACCAGTCTCCCTCGTCACCGCCGAACTCCGACGATGCGCCTGCTTCCGCCTCACGACAAGACCTTCTTGACCAAGCGTCCAAGTTTTTAGAAGACGAATCGATTCGTGATGCATCAACAGATCGCAAGGTCTCCTTCCTTGAGTCAAAAGGCTTGACCTCCGACGAGATCCAACAACTCCTCGGCGTCTCCCGAAACCCAGAGGCGAGCAGCGCCGAGTCGACCGCGGCCGAACCCAAGGCGCAAGAGACATCTTCATCCCCCTCGTCTTCAGGTCAGTCTGAAGTGACTCCTTCTTCTCCTGTCACTTTGTCTACCTCACCCTCTTCCTCCACCATGTCGCAGCCACGCTCGACCCCCGCTACCTCCACAACATCCTTCACGGCAGCACGCGATGTGCCCCCAATCATCACCTACCCCGAGTTTCTCTTCCAACCAGCCAAGCCACCTCCACTGGTGACAATGAGTCGGATTTTATACACAATCTATGGTGCCGCAGGCCTCGGTGCCAGTATCTACGGCGCAAGCGAATACCTTGTCAAACCAATGCTGGCAAATCTCACAAGCGCACGCCTCGATCTCGCCAATACCGCGAAGGTGAATCTGCAAAAGCTAAACGAGAAGCTCGAACAGAATGTATCCGTTATTCCCGCCCATCTCACGGTACGCAAGAAAGGCGAGGACGGAGCCGAGGACTCGAGCGACAGCGATTCCATCATCTCAGACCCGACAGAGCTCTTCCACCGAGATATTGGTACCCAAACCACTCCCGACGTCTCGACAACCTCGCGATCTTCGTCTTCAAAGGACCCTGCCGAGACGGCTGCAGATGCGCCTTCTATCGCAGTCAACAAGCACCTGAACCGCCTTGAATCCATCCAATCCTCCTTGAAAGAAGTTTCCGGATTTGAGAAGGATTCTATTACCCTGGATGACTCGATGCGTACTCGTCTGACAGATCTCCATCATTATTTGGACGGGCTGATATACGCTGCACCGACCTACACTGCGACCGCAGGATACGGTGGTCTGTATTCTGGAACCACCACTACATCAGATAGCTCCTCTGGTGTGCGTAAGTCCGAGGAGGATGCTATCGCAGCCTTTAAAGCGGAGATCCGAGGCGTGAAAGGTGCGCTTTTGAGCGCTAGGAATTTCCCGGCCAGTCGGGGCGGTAGAATGGCTGGGAGGTGATGATGTGTTTTGAGTTGAAGAGCGGTTTTATTTTTTGGCAGGATAAAGTGTATATAAGGCGTGGAATTGGAACAGGAATTTTGTACATCTATTTCCCTTGTACCAATTTGTCTGTTGAATGGCCAAATCCAGCAATCTACTCATTAATTTCATGTCTTTGTCTATCTCACATCTTAATCCAGCATGCACGGCTATCCAGAAAACACACCATTTTAGACAAAGTACAAGGGGATTTGAAAAGAACAGGGGAATTTTCTTTTTTTCATGACACAAGTATTTGAGCAGACTAGACCCCCGGGGCACATAACGCAAGGAAACACGCAGGCATTAATAGGAACATGCATAGGGGAAGAGAAATGAGAAGATGAGGGTAAACAAAAGTAAAGCATTATATCAAGTTCCTTTCCAATCTTCAGTGAGGTGAGACGGGAGTCCTCCGACAGGGCTGTTGATCCATCTAGACTGGGAGGGGCTTCATGGGGTGGCCTTGCTCATGCTGATGAGACGCTTGACGCCGACCTACAACGCAATGATTAATATAAAATCTCAGAAGTTTTAGAAGAAAACACTTACCATCCAGTTGCCACATTCTTCCGTTCGGTTAGTCATTATGTCGAGGTGGATGACACGAGCAGTCTCATAGTCCTTAGACTGGATAGCGCGCGCTAAATTGGCCAGGTCTTCGACAGTGTTGGGTTTGATCAGATCTTCATTGTTCAGGTGATCGAAGAGGATGTTCAAGCGGCGCTCAGCATCATCAACCTGTGCCTTGAAAGATGAGGGTGCGCGGGCCTTGACGCGCTGCATGTCTGACGAGAGAATCTCGTAGACGGGCATTGCGTTGGGAGGAATGTGAGATCGGTCACCAGGGGCTATAGAATACGTCAGTTCGTCGAATAGTAAATTTGAAGTTCGCATGAATACGTACGGTACTTGGGAGTCGCCGGGGGAGGAGGAGCTGCTCTTTGAGATTGGGCTGTGCCGGGCCTAGATCCCTGGGGTGGAGGGGGGGCAGGCGCCGAAGCCATGGGGGGAGGCTGAACAGCAGCAGGCCCGCTCGGGGCATACGGGCTTGCTACAGGAGGGGGCACCGCCGCCTTGGGAGCATACGGCGAAGGGCCACCATGGGGAGGAGGCGCCACTGGCGTGCGAGCCTGCAATTGCGGGCCAGGGGCCTGGGCAGCCGGGTTAGGGGCATACCGGTTCGTTGGCGGGGGCACACTTGGCGGGGCGTTGTACGGCGACGGCCCACGCTGAATCGAAGCAGGCGGGGACATGGTCGATGTGGGAGGAGATTGGGGCAGAGAAGCATAAGGATTGACTGGAGGGGGAGGCGATGGGCCGGGCACGTTCGATGCAAGAGGGGACGTCACGCGAGGAGGAGCACCTGCCTTGGGTGGAGGAGGAACAGAGGGCACACGCTGAGGTCCAGTGTGAGGTCCAGTGGGAGGTGGACCTTGAGCGAGAGGAGGGGACTGGTTAGGGAACGGAGAGCTGATGGTCGCAGCAGCGACCGGTGTGCCCCGACGAGGCGTAGGAGCCTTCTTAGCGAAGCCCTCTGGCAGATCGTTCCACGCAGGGAGACCAGTAGCGGTGGTGTACGTGGTGATAGTGTTAGCCGGCGACTGGGTGCCTGCGCGGGGAGGAGGCGGAACGACACCGGTACCGGCAGATTGACCGCCGAACGTAGACTGGGGACCGTAGGCAGGGGCTTGCATACCCTGAGTTGGCTGGTATCCGGCTGGGGTATAGCTGCTACGGCCAGCGCCGCCGATCGAGGCGTATGGGTTGACAGGCTGCGATGGTGCGGCACTCGGGGGCGCATAAGCGTTCACTGGCGGTTGTACAGGAGCAGCGGCAGCGGCCGTTGGGGGCGCATAAGCGGTCTGCCCACCGACGGTGGGAGGCGCTGGGGAGAAGGTCTGCTGGGGCTGGTAGATGTTGGGCTGCTGAGGGAGAGGCTTGAAGCTCTTCGTGGTGGTAGGGGCCTGTGCTTTCTGTGGGGCCTGTCTCATCGCGAGGTTGATACGGCTGCGAGCCACCTCGGCCTCAGGATGCTTTGCAGGCACAAGGTCGAGGTACTTTTGAGCAACTTGCAGTCGCCCATGGGTAGCAACGACGTCCGCGTACTCAATGTACTTCTCATACAAGGTGCTGAGGCGCCAGTCAGAGTCCTTGTTCTTTTCCGCGTCCTGGAATTTGGTGACCTGGCGGAAGATGGTCACCTTCTCGATCAGGCCCTGCAGAGCGCGAACGTGGATAGAAAAGGTGGAGTTGTCCGTGTCACTCTCCATCCCTCGTTGTTCGTACTCGCGGAGTTCCTCAACCCAAATGGACACTACCTTCTCAAGCTTGGAACCAGCGAGGTAGCAGAACGAGGCATCCTTGCGGGCAGTCTTATCACCAGAGTCGCGGACTTGTTCCTCAAGGCGGTCACCCAGAGTCTCGCAGAGGTCGGGGAACTCCTTCTCATCAGCAAAGGTGCACAGGGCAGCCATTACCTCCTTCCAGTTGGAAAGGTCAGCGTTATGGACGACATCCCAGAGGTTCTTGCCAACGATAGAAGCCAGCAGGCGCATGTAATTGGGGCCACCGGTCTGCTTGGAGAAGTAGTACTCCTGTGCCTTTTCAATGCACTTCTGGCCACCGCAGATGGCAATCATAAAGGCATCAGACATGCGGTCCTCAGCAAGGGCCACATCAAGCGCCTTCTCGAACTCGCCGAGAAGTAAGGAGCGGGTGATCTTCTGCTCCGCCGGACTCTCGGAGCCGTTGAAGATCTGGAAGGGGTTGTTGGTCTGAGCACCCTTTGACGCGGCCAGTTCCGTCAAGAAGTTGTCGCTGTCCGGGTTTGCGTCGAACATGGATTGCAGACGCTTGTGCTTCTTGGCATTAGACTTGGGCTTCTCGGCCACTCCGTTGGTCTCCTCATCCTCCTTCTTATCCAGGCCAAGCTTCGAGAGGCTGTCAGCCGCTTCGTCGGCCGAGTCCTGGAAGCCCAGGTACTCTACCAGACCCTTGCGGGGGTTCTCTGACAGCAAGGCCTGAATGACCTTCCAGTCGGCCTTCTCCTCATCCGTCGAAGCACCAGCAGCGCGACTCTCGCAGAGAGTCCGAAGATCACCCTCCTTTAGAGCGGTCTCGAAGCTCTCGGTGGCATTGCCCACACTTGAATCAACTTCGAACGGAGTGATTCTTACCTTGGATGCGCGGGATCCCTTCTCAGACAAGCCAATAGAGACAACGCGACCACCAAAGCCGAACGAGGCACCACACGGACGTTCAAGCCACTTGGGAGGCTTAGGAAGGGAGAACTTGGAAACCTGGGGCTGTGTTTGAGCCTTGGCAAAAAAGTCCTCGCCGTCCAGAGCCTGGTTGTGGTCGGCGATAGCTTGGGAGTTGTCCTTGGTGTTTTGCAGGGTCTGAATTGAAATCCTGCCGTCAAAGGAAGCGGTGGCAAAGAAGTTAGGGTTGTGCGGGTTCCAGCGGGTCTGGAAGGTCCAGTTGGTGACAATGGGGAATTCGCCGTATGCCTCGCCGGTCTGGGGGTTCCAGCAAATGTTGCGGTTATCTTTGCCGGAGGAGAGCATGAGATCGGGGTCTTGGTCGCACCAAGAGAGCGAGAGCACACCGGACTCATGGCCCTTGAGGGTCTATAACGAATACTGGTCAATATATGGATTAGATAAGATTCGCAGGTAAATGCCACACTTACACGCTCTGGGGCATGAGAGTTTCGCAGATCCCAGACACAGATCAGAGGGTCTGACTCGAGAGGCGTGGCGGTGATCAGCTTAGTGGGCTATAGAGATAGAGTCAGTGACTGCAACAATTCAAAAAGTGGCTCCATATAAGGTCTGCTCACCTTTGCGGGGTCCCATGCAACAGCGCTAACAGCTTTCCGTCCCATGTTGTTGAGAGTCAGACTCTCCTTCTTGGTCTTGACATCCCAGACGGTCACGAAACCAGCGCTGCTACCAGTCACCAGGATGTGTGCAACCTTCTTATTCCAGTCCAAACATTCGATATCGTCCGTGCGAGCCGCAGCCGTGCCGAGTCGGAAGGGGTTCTCGACATTGTTTAGATCGGAAATGAACAGCTCGCCTTTTGCGCCACCGGTGGCCAGGAGGTTGGAGTGTTTGGGGTTGAATTGGAGGGCTTTGATGGCGCCGGAGTGTTTCGTGGTTCTCGAGATCAATGCATCACTATACTTGATCAGTCAACGTGTCTCAAGATTGATCAGAGTCCAAATACAACCCACCTAGAGCCAGCGAGCAGCTTATCGGCGTTCCACAGATCCAATGAACCATTCTCCAAACCACCAGCGATAACACCCCGCTTGGTATCATCGAACTCAGCCCAGGCCAGGTCATTAAAGCTAGTCGATCATGGATGTTAGTCCAAATGAAGCATCACGGAGCTTCGGGTGCGGCAGCTTACCCAGAGTCGGTATCGATCTTAGCTATAGGCTGCAGCTCTTCGCTGGCATCTTGGCGATCCAGACTTAGATCCCAAAGTTCAAGGCATGTCTTGTTCGAGAAATCAACGTCGACGGCACCTGCCCGGGTTCCGGTAGCAATCAATGGTGATGCAGCTCCAGGAGACCAGGCAAAGGTGGCCGTCCTTGGGATCTCCCGCAGACGGACCATGTTAGCGGGGAAAGATGTTTGTGGAGGTAAATTCAAAACCAAGACGAATCAAGGATCCAATATAAGCAATGAATGTAAATCCCACCCCTGTACAGAAATGACAACGGGGGGTATGATGCTCGACCTGGCCGCAGTAAACCAAGTGGCCTCCTGGACTTGGAGGGACCGGGGAACCCGCGCTAATCCCTTTTTGGCCCTCGCCAAAACACCCCCGAGGCTTGTCGCACGTGATATCAAGTTCTCATTCACGGGCATCCAGCCAGAGCTGAGATTAACAAGCACAACCAGCACGTTCGAGAGTACAGTCTATCTGTTTCACCATTCGCCAGCTTCCGGGATATATTCTCCATTGCAGTCGCCCCTTACTCTATTTGATCGCTCCCTCAAAAACTTCGCAAGTGCCAATCTCGAAATCCAATACACCATGAGCGAAAGCACTAGGCTGAAGAGCACGGTCTACGTGGGTGGTCTCGACCAGGCCGTGACGACGCAGACCTTGGCCGAAGCCTTTGTGCCCTTTGGAGAAGTCGTCGACATCACTTTACCCAAGGCAGACGCACCCAACTCTGGCGACGCCCATCGCGGCTTTGGATATGTCGAATTCGATCTTCCCCAGGATGCCAAGGAAGCCATCGACAACATGGATGGCAGTGAAATTTATGGGCGCACTATCAAGGTCGCAGCCGCTAAACCCCAAAAGGATGCGAACGAGGGTCTGGGCAGCAAGACCGCTATCTGGGAGCAGGTACGTTGGCGATATATTGCTTCTTTGTATTGGTCGCATCACATCTAAGCTTAATTTTTTTTACAGGAGGGTTATTTGGCCAAGTACGCTGTCGATGAGGAGGACAGGCAAGCAGCCGAAGAGGCTCGACAGGCCAGTAATCGGCCACAAGACCCGATGCAAGGCCTAGAGCAACTCGACGTTGCAGGACCCAAGCCCGAATGAACTACTTTATTACGATGGCCACGATACATAATGAAAGACCACGAACAATGATACAATTTGCCGAGAACATCACGCTTGAGGGTTTACCCCCTCCGCTGGAAGAAGCCGGGCTATGTACACACGCTCCGATTCCAGAGCACGTCTTGAATTTTTTTTGAGATTCTCCTCGTTTTCTTACCGGAACTCAACCAGACTCAAACAAATACATGCGGCAAGCGGTCATAAAGGGTGGGATCACATTCTCAGGAGCTCAGATAAACAGGATGGTACATTTAGTGATCGCGGCTCTCGGGGCTGTTGCGGTAGAGACGCAGGGTCTTGTCGGTCATGAGCTTCTTGGTGCTCGAGTAGATGGCAGCACCGACGGCAACGCTAGACAATGGTTGTTAGCATGGGAAATGGTCCGAATTCTCGACTCGGAGCGACGGGTGACAGGAGAGGAAAAAATCGAGTATATGCGTCGCAGGATAGGGCGGGCATGTGATATCAGACAGAAACGTACCCAAGAACGATACCTGAAGGTTCAAAATGTATTAGCCATCATTTCAATTGCGTTCAATGTCCTAATAGAAGACTTACCGAGAGGGATCAGCTCGGGAGGACACTTCTTGATCATGCGCAGACGCTGGGAGATGGTGTGGGCTATATGCGACCTATTAGTTCAATGCCCCCTTTCCAAACCACTCCAATAGGTCATTTAAACCGATGGAATCACGAAAGGTCGTGGAGTGGTGGGGATGGTCGTACCGCTGTGAGCCTCCTTCTGCAGAGACCAGTTAGTATTAGCCGAAACGGATCGTATGACCGGTCCGACCGAGGAGGACGATAGGCATCACTTACGGGAGCGGGGCTGTAGAAGGCCCGCGAGGGCTGCATGCGCAGGACACGAGAGGGGTACATGGCGACGGGAGTTGGGGTGGAGAGATATCGAAGACTGCGGGAAGCAGAAGAGGGAGAGGGATGGAGGTTCGAGGTGACGGAGCAGCTTTCCAAGAACGTCGCTCTCAGTGGCTCGGGTGTTTTGGGAAAAGCGAGACGCTCAGTGGCTCTCGCTTGACCGCCCGCGGTCATACCCGGCACGAGCAGCTTCGAATCATCCAACGTCCGTTCTTCTGCCCTCCTCCTACCTCCCTCTCCTCCACTCTCCATACCCACCCCGCAAATCTCACTTGTTTCTTTTCTTGTGTTCTTCTGTAGAAGCTACACAACATCAAAATGGGTGCCATTCCGGAAGTCGACCCCGATGAGCCCGTCGAGACCAAGCCCTTCAAGTTCGTCACTGGTAAGTCCACGCAGCCCCCCCTTCTCCTATGAAATCAGGGTCAATTGCCCTTCAAAAGAGTCAATGGCTAATTTTATCGGCAGCTGGTACGTCTCTCTATTCGAATCCCGTGTGATAGGAACCCGCGCTCCAGATGCGATTCCGGACGGGCCTCTCCCGATCGGGACTGGGACATGGTCAGACTAACAATTTTCCGACGCGATCGCAGGCTATGATGCTCGTTTCCCCCAGCAGAACCAGTACGTTTTACGTCACAATTGCACTTTCGCTTCATATTTCTAACGCCATTTGCACCTCTTCCAGGACCAAGCACTGCTGGCAAAACTATGTCGACTACTACAAGTGTGTGAACGCCAAGGGCGAGGACTTCCGCCCATGCCGTCAGGTATTATCAAATTCTTCGATTCTTGATATGTCTCTCGTAGATTCTGACGTATTTGACAGTTCTACCACGCCTTCCGCTCTCTCTGCCCCAAGGCCTGGACCGACCGCTGGGACGGTCAGCGCGGTACGTATCATACGATCCTCGGCTCATGGCTCATACGGGTATACTAACATTGCGATTCCTACAGAGGCTGGCAACTTCCCCGCTCACCTCGACAAATAGATAGCCAACGGCCGTTTTGGTTTGGTTAGACTGGGCTTCTTCAAATCTTGTGTATTGACAAATTTCCAATGTACTCTACCTGGTCGCACGGGGATACATTTCCTTTCTTCCTGGATGTAATCATCTGATCTACCGGAGAAGGGGTGTCTATATGTCGCCGTTTTTGCAAAGAGCAACGTGTTTTATTAGTTGACACCTACGCTCTGATGTAAATCTTTCTCTGCGTAAGGAGCAGAGTCCAAGTAGACTTCCCCATGCGCTTCTGCATACAAAGTATTCGGCTTCGGGTTTGCTGATTTAAATGATCAAAGAATGTCCTTGATCCACAGCCTGATACCTAGGCTGAAACGAGCCTCTGATCCAACATGATTCCTCTCAATGTGTATTTTCTCTAGCTGGTACTACATGCGAGACTCGTTTCCTACGTAGACTCGTACAGTGTTTGTCTGAACTTCCCTTGGTCTCAGTCTCCAGTCAGAAAAACTTAGAATTTGCAAAAACCAATGATTCCTCGCGGAAATAATCTGCGTGCGATTCAGGGTGTATCTATGTCTATATGATTTCAATCTTCCATGGAAAAAATAACGCGACTTCCTCGACACCCTGTACATAGGATCGGGTGAGATGAGCTGGTAATCCAAAGCCAGCAGATTGGCGTTAGCCAGTGATCAACCCGACCTTTTTCAAAGAAACATCCCAAAGAGCATGCAAGTATGTAAAAGCCAAAGGAACGATGCTTGTCAAAATCTCAAAATTGCTCCGCCCAAAGTCATAAAGAAAAAGAAGGATCGAGTCATATATACGGGGAATAAGATCGGGACGAAATGATAGATGAACGATACGGGGAGAAATGCCAACCTTACACCCGAGTAATTCAGATGCCCTTCAGTTTCCGATAGAGTTTCTTATGTTCCTCAAGGAAGATGAAGGTGGCAATGGTGTGAGGACCCAGGCGAATGAAGCTAGGAACCCAACCGCGGAAGGTCCAGGCAAGACCCTCCTTACGACAGATATCCCGCAATAGGCCTGCGATGCTGTGACCACGGCTCTCCGCCGGGGAGGCAGTCATAATGCGGGTCTTAATCACGTCCACGGGACTGCAGACAGTAGTTGCGACGAAGCCGGCGAGGAAAGAGGCTGTGAAGTGAGTGCCAACATTATCGCCCATGCCCACCTGCTCAATGCAGAGGCGCTTGAAGATATCGTATGAAGTCAATTGCGAGGCAGTCATGAGGATTGCGCGGGTCGAGTTCGGCCATACACCGCGGAAGAGCGAGGCGACGCCTTCGGTCTTGGTCATCTGTACCAGACCGTGGAAGGCATGGCGGTAGTTACGGCGCTGGGCAGGGGGCAACGCCGCGTCTGATTGCATGCGCACGTTGAGCACATCCGCCGGGTTGCCGACGAAGCCGCCAATCAAGCCCGAGGCACAGGCAATGCCGAGCAGGGTGAGGAAGCCGGGTGAGGTAGAGGAGGAGTTGTCTGGGGAGGGTTTGGCGAAGCGGGATTTGAGCTCTTCGTATATACCGAATCTCGTTGTGGAATAGGTAATCTGGCGTAGGAGGGCGGCAGAAAGCTGCATTCAAACAAACATAATGTTAGGCTGCTGAGATCACGAAAGAATGCAAGTTCGCGACATTGGGGAGCATCCGGGTCTGAGTGGCGCTGACTCTCGGCTGATGCTCGGGCGGTTGGCAAAAACGTACACCATTGTATAATCCAGTGAATCCATTATGTCTCAAGATATGAGCAAACGTGCCGACCATCGACTTGGGAGCATCCGGTGCGCGTGTTTGTAACCGGACCTAGTATGCGACAAAGGTGCATGATCAGCAACAGGGTCGGGGGGCAAATTGCCTCGGAGTTCAATCGGAGTAAAGGGAAGATACCTTAACTATAAAGACGGAGTGAGTTTAGCACATGCTCAGATCTCAAAGTCCCCTCAGATCAGTCTTGGAGACAAACATACCCAAATCTAGAGGGTGCGTCACACCCGCGGCGAAGCATGACGCCGAGCCTCCAAACCAGAATGGGTAATGCACCTTCTTCTGTTTGGACTGGACGGGTGTTGACACGGGAGCCACCCGCGCATGAGCGACGGGGGCCTCTAGCATCTTGCCGCTATCTGCCATCTCGAAGGGTCTCGAGGCTGCGGGCAAAGGGAGTGGAGGAGGGTTGGGGAAGGCGCAGTTAAAAGAAGAGCCAGGCCCTCTTTTTTTTTGCAGGTCGGCGTTTTCCCAGTTTGACGTAATTTTGGATCGCCAATACCGACGGAGACAAATCAGGCCGCCGAAGCGCCGCTGGGCCGCTCCAACTGGCGGCGCATCCTGACCAATCATGGCCAGTGCCTTGACGAGGTGTGGTGGTGAAGTCCAATCATCGTCTCGGTATTGATCGTAGCCGGTGGGGACTTCAGACTGTAAGGAATATACCGCCCCTCGGAGGGATTTGCTATTTGTAATTTAGTCCCCGAGTGATCGTGGACTTGACTCCGGACTCGGTGGTTGATTTGGACACCGAGAGGAGAGATGAAGCAGGAGTGCTTGATTAGAGGAGGGCATCAGGCTCATGTTATCGTGATAGCTAGGCCTAGCAGTACAAAACCAGTGAGATTGTTCTGGAAAAGTAAGGTTTGCCAGCGGGTATCCTCGGTGGAATTGCGGGAAGTCGGGGACAATCAATCGGAGTCCCGAGGAAGGGGTCACCAGCAACAATAAACTCTTTGAAAGAGGCATAATAGACGATGTATAATTATAAGAGACTCATACTACTGTATAATTTATCAATGAAGTATCATACAATCTAGACTAGGTAGTTGCAATGCAAATGATATGCGAAGTACGACACGCAAAATAATGATTACGGTAGGGCGTCCTATCTACGCAGTCACGACATATATACTTCGGACTGTCCGACCCAATCTAGTGGACCCAGCCCCTCTAGATGTAGCTATGGTGACATCAAATATCTTATTTGGAATATTCCTGTTCCTCCAGATAAGCGTCATGAATACACATGTTCCAATCACTGCGAGTTGTCCAATTGCCTGCCCAGTCTCTCTACTATATAGCCAGTAGTTCTTTACTTCGGCCACTCATTTCCCCGGCGCCGGAGATATTTTGAGATTCCTCCGCAGTCCACCACAGCCAGGCCCAATTCACCGCAAACTCGCATCTGCAATGCGGTTATTTGCTACCGGTCGAGCCCTGCGGGCTAGCAGTGGGCGCTGGTCCATTGCTGCGACTCGTCCGAGAATTCCCATTCCCCGAACACAACCGCTCCGCGAATCCATCCCAGCGATCACCCGCGACTGGAGCTCGACATCGGCTCGACGGACCGCTGATCAGAGCTCTACTGCCGGCCAGCCCAAGGAAGCGCCAAAGGCACGATCGAGTCTCAAGATTGAAGGTGACAGCTACTCGACCGACCAATGGACCAACGCTCCTGGCACAATCCTATCTCACGTGGGACGACGCCTGTACCTCGACGAGAACCATCCTCTCGCCATCACACGTAAGCTCATTGAGAGCCAGTTCCCTGCGCCAGTCTTCGGCAATTACTTCGAAAAGAATCCCGTCGTTACAACTAGACAGAATTTCGACGTTCTGGGCTTCCCCCCAGACCACCCGGGTCGCAGTCGCACCGATACCTACTACATCAACGACAAGACGGTGCTGCGGACGCATACGAGCGCACACCAGCAAGCATATTTCCAGCAGATCAACCGCAATGAGACAACTCGTCCTGAGGAAGTTGGATATACCGTGATTGCCGACGTCTACCGCCGCGATGCAATTGACCGGAGCCATTACCCGGTTTTCCACCAGATGGAGGGAGCTATGCTATGGAAGCGCCCCGACCAGAACCCGCTGGAGGCATCTAAAGAAACCGCAGCCCGGATCAATGCCGACGTGGAGTTGATCCCGCGCCACGACGTTCCGGTTGAAGACCCTAACCCGACGCTCCACCCTCAGCGCAATCCGCTGCAGGCGGAGCACCACAGCGAGGAAGAGGTGGAGGCTATTGCGGCGCATCTGAAGCGGTCGCTGGAGCGCATGGTCATCAAAGTATTCACCGAAGGAAGCAAGGCTGCCGCTGCAAGCTCCGGTGGTAACGTTGACCCCGAGCCTCTTAAGGTACGCTGGGTGGAGGCCTACTTCCCCTTCACTAGTCCATCATGGGAACTCGAAGTTTTCTGGCAAGGCGACTGGCTGGAAATTCTTGGATGCGGTGTTATCAAGCAAGATCTTCTGATCAACTCGGACGTTCCTAACCGCGTCGGCTGGGCCTTTGGCCTGGGTATTGAGCGCATTGCTATGCTCCTATTCAATATCCCTGACATCCGCCTCTTCTGGTCCCGTGATGAGCGCTTCCTGTCTCAATTCCGTGCCGGTCACATCACTCGCTTTGAGCCTTTCTCGAAACACCCAGCTTGTTACAAGGATGTTGCGTTCTGGCTGCCCCCGGCTGCTGTTACCGGCGGTAGCAGTGCTGCCGGTGGTGCTGTGCCGTTCCATGAGAACGATGTTATGGAAATTGTTCGTGGCATTGGTGGCGACCTTGTTGAGGACGTGACTCTGATTGATGAGTTTACCCACCCTAAGTCAGGACGGAAGAGCATTTGTTATCGCATCAACTATCGTAGTCTGGAGCGGACTTTGACCAACGAGGAGGCTAATGAGATGCATGAGAAGGTGCGAGCTCAGCTTGTCAATGACTTTGGCGTGGAATTGCGGTGATTGTAGGGGAAGAAAACCTTTGTACTATATGAAAATCTGCTGCTATACTGTCTCTATAATATGTACATTATCGGAGGCTGCTTCGCCTCTCTCAAACCGGATATGCCCCCGAAAATGCATACCTCTCGTAAGTTGTCGAAGCATACTCATTGTAAATAGCCCCCATGCATATAGATCTCTACGTCAAGATGAAAACAATGAATGAGAACGGGCGGCTTGAATGCAGCCTGCCCAGGGTGTATATTGTATTGTACAAGAGATGAGGAGAGAGTTTATCCGGAGACAGAGATTGCGCGAAAGTGAAAAGCAAGATCCCCCAACACGAGACAATCCAGACGCCTCCAGTCGCATGCAACACAAGAGAGGCGTATCACACAGATCCAAGAGACAAGCAAACATCAAGAAAGGTTAATTTTTCCCGGGCCCAACAAACCAGCGGCAACCGAGTGCGAATCCCCATCATGATCGTGACGTATGATATATGTATGGTACAGAGAGAGATAATGAAAAAAAGATGAGGACAGGAGATAGACGAAGAGGAAGGGAAGGCATTATGATCGGAAGGAGAGAAATTAGGCGTTCTTGACGACGCCGACCTTGGCAGCCTAGAAAAGAAAGGATAGAGTCAGAAACGAGCTGCAAGAATGAGGGCGCAAGGTAAAACTTACACGAACAACACGACCGTTCAGACGGAAACCCTTGCTCTGGGTGTGCATCACATCACCATCCTCCATGTTGGGGAAGGGAGCCATGAAAGTGGCCTCGTGCAAGTTGGGGTCGAACTTCTGGGGCTTGCCCTCTACCTGCTCGCTGGGGTCGAAGCGCTCCAGACCGTGCTTCTGGAGAGTGTTCATAAGGGTCCGCTCGGTCATCTTGAGGCCGTCGACCAGGTCGAGCAGTTCCTTGTTGTCATCGGTGCGCTCGGCACTAAGCTTCTCCGCGGGCACGGCCAGCAGCGCGCGGTCGAAGTTGTCAATGCTCTCCAGCAAGTCCTTGGCGAAACGCTGAATGGCAAAGTTACGAGCAGCGTCCATGTCACGCTTGGTGCGCTCTTGCAGGTTACGGAAATCGGCGACGGAGCGGAGATATTTGTCCTAGGCGTTGTGAGTATGGAAAGATTGGGGGAGTAATCCAAGAAAAAACAATCATTGGAGTAAAATGCTCGGGCATACCTTCAGCTCAGTAACTTCCTTCTTCTTCTCCTCGAGCTCCTTGCGGACGGGATCCTCGGCATTCTCAGCAGATTCGCCCTCCTGTGCAGCCTCCTTCTTCTCTCCGTTGTTCTCGGTGGAGTAGAAACGGCGAACGGGCTGAGGAGCGAACGGCCTCATGGCCGTGGGAAGCTGTGACTGCAACCGTGTTGTCCGCCGGAGTGCGAGCTGCGCCGCAGATGTGGAGGTAGAGGCAGTCAGGACCGACTGGGCGGCCTGTGCTTGTCTGAAGATGGTGCGCTGGAACATTGTGTGAAAATAGACAATTACAATTGAAGTGATGCCAAGAGTAGAAGTAGAAGAGGAAAGAAGGGAAGAGCCTGTTCGGTCCGTAGGGTCAATTGCGATAGCTGGTCGCCGCGAGAATTTCATGGAATATCACCTGACCGCTTTAGCTCCGGGAAAACCGCTCAGCCGAAGTAGATCGTGCTCTCCTTCCCAAACGAGTAACATAGTCAATTGCATCTACGTTACTTTGTCACAGGAATTTCGTTTTTGATTGACTCAAGGTACAGAATGACACTCGAATGATAGAATGATGTAACTTGGGGCGGGATCTCACAAAAAATGAATTCTTAATTTGGATGATTTTGGATGGTCGGGCATGATGAGTGGATAGACAGACGAATGACTTGCCCGTCCATAGAAGTGTGTCAGACTGGATCCATCAGATAACCAAAAAGGACAAGCATCTTCTTATCAAAGCTTGATTGAGTATAAAACAGATTATATGCCAAGAGCTTCCACATTCAGCCAGTGCGGAAGAGATCAAGTGGGAGGCGAGCTCGTTTATAGAGCCGCAATGCCGATAACTGTGGTTGTTAATCCGTCTTCGTACATAATATCCGAGGTTTGGGTCGGCTTCTAGTTCTAGATTTTTGACACTGTACACGCTAGTTGATTCAATCAATTCTCATTGACTGAAATTGTCCGGTTAGCGATGAGATAGCAACGCTCTGACCCGTCGCTGCCTTGCCCTATATTCAATAGAGCATGGTGTGGACACCTCAGGCCCAAATATCAGGCAACAGCTAGCGGTTGCCTAAAATGGAGTTGACTCGAGAGAAGTCCCGAGTCGTGCAAAATGAACTATAAAAGCTCCGATCGAAGAATAAAGTTGATGGATCATCCAGCTCATCATCGTTCAATATCCTGTGCAAGACTTATTGAACATATTGTTCGCATCACTCACCATGGCGAAGCGCACTCTTGACTCTGATTCTAAGACGGAACGTCGTGTCAAGCCCACTCTTATTGAGAAGAGGTCATTCAAAATTACCAACTTGAATGATGGCGACGTCGTGCATCAAACGTGTCTTGTTATCCATGGTGAATGCCAGGACTTGGATCATTCAGAGGAAACCAACTATGTCTCGGTATTCTCGTCTGATATGCTGACACGGTCGCATTCAGCTCAACACTGGCCATTGAACAAAGGTCAATGGAGTGCACTCGTGATGCTATCCCCGGGACTGAATAAGCTGGCCTTCAAGCTTCATCATGTCGGAGGAATATCCGACTCTCTGGAAATCGCTGTGGACTATCTGCCTCTGTTGCAACTACCTCCTTTACACCTCGCCATTCTCGTTGCAAAGGACTCGCCTTTGCTTATCGACTGCCCGCCAGCCAAGCTTGGCAGCATATCCACTGCGCATAGCGGTATTGATGCCGCAGTTTCCAAGCTTCGCATGTCGGCATATATGTGGCAAGCTCTCACTGCCGAAGACTTCCGCCAAAAAGGACTGGGACGACGCTCCTTCCGACTGGAGGAGGAATGGGTCCCCAATACAACCGTGCTCAAGAACCACCAAAACGTCCCCGGTGACAATATTCAAATGGGCTGCATGGCAAAAGTTCATATCATTCGGTCAAAGAAGACCGTCGCAGAACTGAGGGATGCCAACGTTGCTCAGCAGAATTCGCGAGGTCGGGACCGAGATGCCTTGCACCGTTACTTTGAACAGGATTTGATTGATTCTGGTGCTCCCTTTGACTCAAAAAGTCGGCCAGTTGTTGCTGGCTTAATTTTAGATTCGCATTACTCCTCTCAACAGTCCCTGATCACTGCACACGCAGCCTTGGGCTGTCACAAGCCCAATGGTCTCTCCTTGGGAATCTTTGGAAGTCACCTTACCTACTCCTGGCCGCGCTTTCTCGAAGAGATTCCTTCGTGCCTCACGGACATGACTGCCCCTGGTGACACTGTTGGTAATGATAACGGCGAATGTGACACCATGCGTGGCGCATGCTTCGTCGGCCAAGGCGCCTTCCTACACGAAGTAGGCCACGCATTTGGCGCAGGCCACACTACCGGCATTATGGCCAGAGGTTACAGCAAGAGCTGGGCTATGAACTTTATTCAACACAAAAATCACGACTCGATAAAAAACGACGCGAAATGGGACTTGCAAGACACGCTGCAGTTCAAGTTGTTGCCGCATTTCGCTCTCCCCGGTGACGACCTCGTGACGGAGAAGTTCCAGAGGGCCAGTGTGAAGATTGAGATTTCCTTGGGCAGAGATGACCCGATGGATTCTGACGATAAAACCGAGGGCCTGAAGATCTCGTGTGCTGCCGGACTTGCGCAAGTGACGATTCAGAGTGGCAAGGGCAACCCCGTTGTCCATGACTTTATGGACGACACCAAACCCGCTTGCACCCTGTTCCAGATTTTCGAAATCCGCGAGAAATATGACCAGAGCCAACCACTGAAGATCACCGCTCTTGGATTGAATGGCAAGATCCGTGTCGTCAATGATTTCTGGGCCATGTGCAAAGATCTTCCTTTCGTTCTTATCCCAGACAGCGACGTGGTTCTTCAGAAACAATCCGTTCGATCCCACGAACTCGAATCTGCCGAGGATGACGACGACTACACGAAATGGGCCATGCTTCTCCGCCAACGTGGCAAGGATGGCAAACTGCATCCAGCCATAAAGATTGATCTCCGAGTCGGGTGCACCATGGACGGAGCAGTTGTCCACTACGCTGATGGTCAGCACGCCAACTGTGGACCTGCACGGAACGGGGCCGGCCATCCGCACCGCTTTGGTGGACACGCGTCTCAGGCACAAGAACTTCCTGCCGACGAACAGATTACACGGGTCAAGATTTGCAAGCGAGATGATGATGGATGGGGAAGTCTGTCGGGCATTCGGATGACCCTGAGCAATGGGGCTTCCTGGGGTCATCTCAACTTTAGAGGCGAAGACTCGAATTATGACTCGGACTATGACAGCGACAGCGGCGAGAGCCCTGACGATGAGGATGATCAGAGGAAGGAGCCGAGTGTTGTGACACTAGAACCAGGAGAGGATGAAGTCATTGTGGGATTCTTTGGAAAGAGCGACAAGGGATCCGGGTTCACCTATGAGTTTGGTATCTTGACAGCTCCGAAGGACGTGGAACTACCGGAGAAGGTTTACGATATGGCGGAACTGAGGAATGATTGATACCATAATTTTCTCACATTGAGAGGGTGGATTTGAAATATTCTTTATACTCATCGATTCTAATCATCTGTGCACTCACGTTCAAAGAAGACATAAAGCCTCGTAATCGTAGACTGTTAATCATATTGTAGACATCTACTTGGCCGATGACTTTGCGTCACCATATAGGACTCGACGATGGTGTTAGCTGCTTCTTTCCCCGCATAGTGCTGTGCCAGGATAGCAGTTACATTAATATGATCTGCGAACGGCATAACATTGAGTGGAATGCGCGCTAGAGGATGAAAAAGGTAATTTTATCCTGCCAAGCTTACTGCTGGCCCGAGGACCTCCCGTGGAAAAACCTTCAACCATTTTTTACCTGTGCTGACTGATATTCGAAGTCCAGACTGGATGTCCTCGTAATCCCCATCGATAAATCTGGAGAATGTGGGGTACCGGGGCACCGGGGTACAGCACTCGGGATGTGGAGATGACCCGTTGGGATGCCCTCACTCTTTTGGAGTACCCGGATAACTCTCCGATGTGTTTGATCACGAAGAGAATAAATTGGACATTATCCGCAGTGCGAGGAATCCACAGTATAATTGAGCCTTGATGTAAAAACCTTCCATCACAGCAGCATCCTTCAAACTACGCTGTCGAGATCCAGAATACGTCAACACGGCGTAGCCACATCAGCGTCAAGCTAAATTCAACAGTCCAAATCCGTCTTTCCCGTCTTCTGAATTCTTTCAAGATGGTTGATCAAACCCTTTCCGGAAAGGTAGCCATCGTAACCGGCTCCTCCTCAGGCATCGGTGCAGCCATCGTTCGAGAACTATCCTCTCGAGGCGCCAATGCCGTGGTCAACTATCCCTTCGCCGGACTAAAAGCCGAAGCGGACGCCGTCGTCGCTTCGCTCACAACAGAATCCATTGCCGTGGAGGCTGATATGTCGAAAGTCGAGTCACCCCAAAAACTAGTCGATGCAGCAATTGCGAAATGGAATCGAATTGACATCTTGATCAATTGCGTCGCGCTGGCGGTCAATAAGCCACTGGAGGAGCAAACCCTAGAAGACTGGGATCTCTTGGTGAATGTTAATGGTCGGGGAACTTTCCTATTGACCCAGGCTGTGCTACCGCATCTCACCAAGGGAAGTGGCCGGATCGTGAATATTGCTAGTATCTCGGCTCGTGGACCACCCCCTAACCAGACTATCTACGCTGGAACGAAGGGGATGGTTGATTCTTTTACGAAGTGCTGGTAAGTCGAATTACCCTATTCACTTCGTTTGAACCCAACAAGTGACCATATATCTAGGGCCAAGGAACTCCCTCCCAAGTATGGATGCACCGTAAACTCCGTCAGCCCCGGTCCAACCATGACCGAAGGCTTCGCTGCCGCCGGCGAGGAACAGATGAAAATTCTCCAACCGATTATTGATCAGACGCCCGTTGGCCCGCGGATGGGTAGACCCGACGAGATTGCATTCGCGGTCGCATTCCTTTGTGAAGAGCGGGCGCGGTGGATCAATGGGGAGCATTTGATTGCATCGGGTGGATTGTTTATTGACTAGAGATTGATTCCATTAGATTATTTACTGCCAAGGACGTATATTTGAAAGTTACTTCATCCAGGCTGCTCGCAAATAAGGGTATTAGATTCGCGAGGTCTACAAAATCCCCACACGCGAAGTGATTGGTAGGTTCGATCTCGCGGCTCTAATTCATAGTCATAATGGAACTAGGTCGGAATAAGCTCAATTAGTCTATGATCTGTAATGAGTCTAAGAAATTGAGATTCTTAGAAGTAAGATATCTGAATGGATCATAATGTGTCCCTTAGTCCCTGTGTGAAGCCCTCTTCGGGGGGTAAAATTATCAACCCGCAAGGCTGCGTAATATTGCTGAGCCAGCCAGAAGATCGGGGGTTGATACCGATCCATATTGGATTCGATGGAGAGGACTGATTCACCTTCGCGGTCATACAGAATATACTGAAGTTTGTCTGCCAACTCAGTTTTTGGCGTGTTTGCGAATTGGTGACCATACTGTGACTGATGTTAGTGTGTTCGGCTTAATTGTTATACCGAAAGGGGTGGGACGGAAGTGAGCTGCTTCTACCGAGGCAAACAGCTGATTTGGAGAGAATTTTAGGTTTATCGAGGGATGGAGAAGAGTCAGTATGGCGGTGCGTCGCATTTGGGAAAAGCAGGACAGTTTGTTCACCCGCCCTCCGCCCCTTCGGCATGCGGCTATCCTTTGGATACACTTGGTGAAATGCTTAAATTGTTGGTTATGTCCAATTATTTCAAATTCCAAAGGCGCGTCTACTTGACGATCCCTTTCCCCGCCCTCTGGAGTCTTGACCTTTAATACCACATTGGAAGTACAGAAGGCGCTGTACTGACATCGCCACACACCCCTCCTGCTCTACACCTTCACACTTCAAAATATGCTAACCACCGCTAAGCACATCTTACATGTCGTCACCAATACAGCGCATTATGACGATCCATCTCACCCGACCGGCTTGTGGTTATCTGAACTCACACACGCCTGGCACGTCTTCGAGGAGCACGGATTCGAGCAAACCATCGTCAGCCCGGCTGGGGGTCTCTCCCCCTTGGAGCCGCGGTCGCTGAAATTCCCCAACTACGACAAGACCGCGAAAGCATGGAGGGCTGATCCGGTACGCATGTCGCTGCTGGAGAACACTGCCCGGCCTGACCAGCTTAACTCGGCCGATTTCGACGCTATTTACTTCACTGGGGGCCATGGAGTGATGTATGATTTTCCCAACGACGAGGGTCTACAGCGGATCACCCGAGAGATCTTCGAACGAGGGGGTATCGTCTCCTCCGTCTGCCACGGCTACTGCGGCCTGCTGAATATTAGGCTCTCCGATGGTTCGTACCTGGTTGCTGGACGTAATATGACTGGATTCACTTGGCGGGAGGAAGTGCTGGCTCGTGTGAACAAGCTCGTGCCCTATAACGCAGAAGAAGAGGTGAAGAAGCGAGGCGCACACTATAAAAAAGCCTTGCTGCCTTTTGTTTCTTACACTGTGGTGGACGCCAATCTGGTGACCGGACAGAACCCAGGGTCGGCGAAAGAGACCGCGGAGAAGGTCGTCGCCGCTCTCAGCTAGCCATGATCGGTGTCGCCGCCTCATGGAAAACAGGTTGCTAGAAACTTCTATGGATGCTTCGTTGGCAGCCGAACCGTGTTAGTGTTAGTAGGGGTTGAAATTATACTTCACAGAGACATAAAAAAGTCAAGATTAAGGAGATGAGTGAAGCCCTTGTTCATCTTGTCTGTACAGTCTATTATACTTAAGAAACCGCCAACTGCATACATAACGAGCGTTGGGGTATTCTTAAGTGGGCGGACCTGTGAATTGCCTTCTCAATTTAGCAAATATTGGATTTTACTCGGGGTTTGTGCGAATGGAATTGACAGTCTATTCATCTCGCATGTCACTTTACCCCAAGTCTCAGCACCCGTACCGATCCATGATAGCCCTGAATGAAGGATCTCGCAAAAGTTCTGTTGCGGTCGGCCGTTTCTCTGGGTGGTAGACAAAGACTTTTGACATGATAGATTGCACATGTTGCCGTTCGACCAGGTCAGTATCGGGACGAAAATATGCAATCTTCGCAGCAAGGTCATTGTCTGGATCAGGAGATTGGGACTGATCAAACCATGAATCAAGTCCGCCAGGGTGTGTGTAGAGACCTTTCCACTGCTCAGGTAGAGGGCCCCAGGGCCCAAGCATTCAACCATACCACTCACAACTCCACCCTCGAGAAATGTGGGAAATGGAGGAAATGTCAGGTAGAGCATAGAGAAAATAGCCATGTAGCTCCACATATCGCAAGCAAAACTTGGCTCTTGCTTGTGAAGTCGATCTGGAGAACAATAGTGCATGGGTGGGTAGCCGCGTTGAGTGGGGAGGTCGCTAATTTTCTTCGCTAAACCAAAATCACAGAGATAGAATTTATCTGTGCGAAGGTCTTCAGGAACTTTGACAGGGCTCACAAGCTCGCCCTCTTTCCAGAGATCGACAAATGGTATTGTCTGCTTCAAAGGCCGACCGAGTAGCTCATACTTGGCGCTTCTGCTGAGACCATCGATAGGAGCCATTCCCCACATACAGTTCCTTGCATCCAGATCTATGGCTTTATTCTTAGTATTTAAGAAAACGAGAGAGAATGTCGACTCACCGCGATGTATGATTCCAGATTTATGTAAACTTGCCACAGTCTCCAGTAATTGTCGAGCAGCAGACATACGAGAGGCCATAGAAGTCCTTTTTAAGGAAAGAGTGCAGATGGACGGGCCCCTCATCGGGAACACCAAGACCCTATGGTAATTTTTGTCGTCTCGGGGTAGAAAGAAAGTCGCAGTATATATAAACAGGCGAGAAGTATCCTGTACCGTTTTGATAATCTCATCCTGGATTCGAGTTTCGTTGTCGCCCCATTTCCCTAGGGCCATCACTTTGAGGGCCACATCTCTCTTGTCTTGCAGGTCAAATGCCATCCAGACAGTTGAGCCACCACCAAATCCCAGCTTATGTTCAACCAGGTACCTCTCGTTGAGCACTTCCCCGAGGCGAATGGGATAGAGGACATTTTGGTTATCCTCTGTGTCGTACCTATGCCATGGCTCAACGCGCGCCCCGGCGTACATGGGATATCCTCCACACATAAATGGCCACATGCCTCCTGCGTATTCGCCGCAGCAGTACCTTCCCTGGTATCCTCCCTATGGACATATGCAGCAGATGCCACCTCGTCCTTATCAACCTCCATACGGACCTATGATTGTGTCTTCATATCCTTCTTCGAGATCAAGTTCCTCTTCTTCATCCTTCACGAAATCACCAACATCTGTCGTATTTCCAGGGGATGCTTCTAAATCCGCCATTTCAGATGAATGTGTTGATGGCAGAGTGGATGGACAATGAGAAGATTTGGTAAGTCCAGACGGAGGGAGATCAAGCAGTATATTGCTGTTCGTCACACCGCGCAGTGGCGGTTCCTGGATGGGTGCAATGATCGTCAATTCCACAGGTCCTCATATTCTAGCTGTAAAGTTTGGCCAATATTGCGGACAATCATATATAATTTCTGCCGGCCTAACTCATCTTCAAGGGTCTTGCCCGCAGCAGAAAACCCCGCAGTACGTTCTTGCCTCGTTCATTAGATGGAGATGATCTTATATTGGTATTTAAAGCTTGGTGTTATCACACAATTGTAAAGGAATGGGCATATTCAGAATCATCTGTGCATCCTTAAGTACATCCATCCTCAAAATGGTCGACACGCCTAATTCGGTAAGAAGCTCGCTCAGCGGACCTTGGCCTCGAGAGAGCTTGACGTTCCTGGGGAGAAGAGTCTGCGCCCCTAGGAGTGGGTTCGTTTGCACAGTCACCTGGCACCATTTCCCGTCGATCTCGTTGATTGCATTGTTGGTACCGATTGAAGATTCCGACGGTACAGCTCGCAAGGCTGGGAGGGGTACATCCAGCATCAGATCGAACTTCCCGTCGATTGAGGTAACATCGGCTTTAATATTGTGTTCGTCCATCTCCAGGTTGATAATGGCGAGCCATTTAGGGAGTTGGTAGCCGTATACTCCACGTACTCGAGCAATCTCAGTATCGACAGGTAGAGCCAGCACATACCCATAGAAAGTTCGGTTCCACATTGAGCTGAGAAGCTGCGTCGCACTGTAACTATTTATACCGGGCCGACGGATGATGATCGCGATCGAAACCTCATTGTAAGGATCGTTATCGCACACCAGGTACGAGTAAAACGTCAACGCGACCAAACCATAACCAGGAATTGCTTGAAGAGGCTCTAAAGGCGGTGGTAGCTTCGATTTCAAGGTATCAAGTGGTGCGAGAAAGACAAGTTGAACACTCTTTGTGCGATAATAGAAGTTGGGAGCGTATATCTGACCGACCCTCGAATCGACCAATCTCTTTGGGATCTTCCGGAAGAAATCAAGGTTGGGTCCAACAGCTGGATCGCGGGATACCTCTTCCAGGTTCGGATTCATACGGTAGCGGTCGTAATAACCGCCTTTAGGTACACCGACCTTCTGACCTCCAAATTCAACTTGGACGGTCTGATGCTCTGATCTACTCGGATATCGTAGGGGTCAGCACGGCACCAAGAAGGGGAGATGGTTGACACGTACGAAGTAGAGGTCTTCGAGGACGTGGCAGAAGACATAATGCTGGTGATATACTTGCACAAAGACTAGGATTTGCTGTGTTCAATTCCTCATAAGATGCGCAGTGAGAGATGACCGTGGCTGCACCCCTTCGAACGGGAAACGGCGACTGGGATTACTAGGACTTGTGATGGAATTGTCAAGAAGATGATATAGGCGGAATTTCATTGTTTGAACATATATGACAAGTACAACTCTCTATACCTCCGTCTACCGAGGCAAAGACTCGACCTTTGGTTAGGAGAGCAAGGGTCTGTCCTGTGTGGAGGTATAGTTCGGCGCGGACCCACAATATTTCAGGTCGGATAGTTGGTTGCTCCGACGCGTCGCCGCCGGCCCTGCCGTGCACATTCCTCTGATGCTCTTTTGATGCGGCGCCATGCTCATTAATCCTCGTTATTTGATGGGTGGGCCCCACGACGCCACTTGATCTGCTATACCGAGGTCGCCCGTGACGGCACAAACGCGCGAGAAAGCACCAATGCCGTGCCGGGCCCCTCTAATTTTTCTCACAAGCAAGCTTTGTCGAGGTTGAGTGTACGTTTAATTCGATTTTTAAACCGGGGTTCAAGTTCCTCATACACCGTCACAGATCGGGTTTCGGGAAGATAGGAGACAATCTTACTCTAGTATGGAGACTCCGAAAGTCATCGAATAACAACAAATTTGAACATAATTACGATGGGACACGAGCATCTTTTTCCGGCAAATATACGATAAGGGTAAATTTGAGCATAGGTAGAAAGAAAAGCTAGATACCAGAAGTGATATTCGCCTCACGCAAAGCAACTACTATTGAGGAGCTAGTGGTTCAAGGAATGCGAGTCAGCCACAATTGTTGTGCCGTTGATAATATTGTATCAGGATTCCTCAAGATCTGAGAGCTTTTCATATCATACAAGGGGCGGGAAAGCTTGATACTCCGTCGCATAGCGCTTTCAACGTGCAGGATTCTCATACTCTTGGAATTTTTACTTTAAGCCTGCACGGCAGTGATGATGAACCCAATTATAAGACCGAGACGTCATAATGCAATTCAATTTCTGCATCAACAAAATGAAAAATACATGCAAGGAAAAAGGTCCACCAAATAGAACTACCTCAAGAGTCGCAGCTGGCATGATTTACCAACTTGCGATAGTGGCCTGAGATCATGGCGGTCGTGGAGCATTTCCAGTAGCTATGCGGTGTATTTGAGCTCGAAAGTATTGCTTGCTCATGTCAGGATTGAAAACAGTGAGGGCGAGTCAGAATTACAAGTAACTTACTGTTTCTGCCCCTCCACCTAACATTCTGATTTTCAGAAGCCTCGCTACAAGTGGGAGGGGAACTTTCGAAAACGATGCCTGGGCTTGTTTATCAGAATAGACATCATCATCCATCATGAGTCGTGGGAAATCTGCGTTGAGAACTGCAGGCCTGCCAATGCCGACGAGATCGCACACGCCAGCCTTCAACGCAGCCTCAATTCCTTTGCGTGTTCGAAATCCTCCAGTGACCATGAGTATCAATTCTGGGAACCGATTCCTTGTTTCTGTCGCAAAATCTAAAAAGAAGGCTTCTCGAGATAGTGTAGTTGAGCTGTTGGCATCACTAGTTTCGTCGTTTAACCCCCGGCCCATCATCTAACGTGGTTATCACTGTCAGCATATCCATGTAAGTTCTTCGTATGGGCCTCCATCGGCACACGTTATTACCCCCTCGAGATAGAGAATGTCAGGTACTACACTTACTGTTGGGTTTTCGTAAGTTCCGCCAGATATTTCGAGAAAATCCACGTTAGCCTCAGAAATGAGACGAATTTGAGCCATAGTGTCTTCAAAATCAGATCTGGTGTGATCTGCAGAGTTTAATTTGATTCCAATGCAGAAGGTCTTAGGCACAGCCTTTCGAATTTGGTGGATGATTTCGAGAATAATGCGGGCTCGACGTTCGGCGCTACCGCCGTATTGATCTTCACGACTATTGCTCTGTAAAACAAAATCAGTATTTGACCCTGTATAGTTCCGCGTAGCCAGGAGAAGGTGCGCCTTACTCGTTTAGAGAGAAATTGGGCTATATCAACATGTGGATAAGTCATTCTAGATCATATATCTGGCTTGAGTTCGGGACTTGGACACTTACATAAAAGATAACCGTGTGCCGCATGTATCTCAATACCCGAAAAGCCACACTGGGCCAGAATACGGGCACAAGTCACGAACTGGGCGATAATGCGATCGATATCGAAATGAGTCATGGCTTGTGGCACACCGAAAACGAGATTCCGTACGATAGTCGCAGATAACCCATTACCAATATCAAGAGCAATCTCACTGGGCGCAATAGTTTTCTCAAAAAAACCACGCTCACCTGCGCCTCGAGGAGATTGACGACCAGGGTGGCAAATTTGAGCAATCGCTGGAGTACCATTTTGTTGACAGTTATTCGCGTATCTTCTCCAAGCATTCAGTGAGTCCTGCTCATATTCTTGATCCTCACATGTGGCCAGATCACCGTGGCCTCCTAGGTGACGAACATCAACCTGTATGTTTCCTTTCACACCATCAGTTACAATGCGAAGATGCACCTCAGGGAGCCATTCAGTATCTTCTTACCTGTGAGAAGAGCTCCCCATCCGCCCTTTGCCCATTTTCCGTAAACGCTTAAAATCCGCGTACCTGGCAGGTGCTTCTTTTCTGCCAGCCCTTCAGCCATTGCAGCCTAGGAAGAGGCTATCAATTGCTGTCGTGAACATAAGAGTTGTGTTGCACTTGAGTTTACTTTCACTAAACGGTTGGGTAGAACTAAGCCGCATGGTAGCTTCAGTGGGTCTTTGATGGCTGATCCCATATTCGAAGGATAATTTGTCAACTATGGGTTCATCCTTGAATGAGGGCTGGGAGACAAGGCATTGTGGCTTATAAGAAGTGCAGTCCAGTTCAGATGTACAGATTGCGGATAATCAAGGATAGCTGCCGAGTTCGCTATTAGAAAGAGCTAGAATAGGAAAATACCTCGGCCTTCTGTGGCCATATTAAAATTGGAATCCCGTGATGTTGAGTTCTAGATTATTCATCGTTGTGTGCTAACTTACTTGTCAAACAAGTAACTAAGAGTCGACCGTAACCTTGTCAAGGCCGTCGGGCCAACAATCTTTCCGCTTACCCAATCAAGATACAGGCATGTATTCACCTGTCCCGGTAGTCTACAGTAAGATCTCCGATGACAGATTCCCTAAAGCTTCGACTAGTGTCCCAGACAAGTATAGCAAAGCGCTTAGAACATCTCCCCGATCTTCCCGATGTCGAGCACAGTTTCACAAGTTCCTACGATGGACATACGATTGCCAATTTGGAAGATACCCCTCGTCGTGACTACGCCAGGCCCTGCATATGGCATCAAGGCGAGACCATCCTGAGCAATGTCCCCATATTCCGTGGCTACCCCAGCCAGCAGATTTCACACCATGATACCTAGATATTCTCCGTTGAAAACGGCTTGGCGCCTGAACATCCAGGCCCGCGAAGGACTGCTACGCGGGCACAGTCTGGATCAACCAGCACCCGCAGCAATTCTGGATAATCTCCACCGCTTGGCAGTGATGGGGGGAAGCACCGGAGATAACTGGGCAGCAAGTAACACCCTGGAGGCTCGCGACCGCAGACTCTCGCCACCGATAAGGAGGCAGATTCTAGTCTACCCCATGCTGGACAACCGTAACACGGCTCCGTATCCGGCCCTCTGTGATTTGATTCTGCAGTCAAATGAGTCCGGCATTGTATCTTGATTAGCCTACCTTGGGGCAGATTTTGATAGCGACCGTGTATCGCCTGACGCAGCTCGAGCCGACGTATTTGGAAATCGGCATTCTGGACACCTACCGTGACGAGGTGCTGAGGTCCGCCTCGCGGATTGTGGCGGCCAATATCGAGGTGGAAGTCGACTGTTATCCAGGGCAGCCGCATGGGTATGATAAGCTTGCGCCTGTTTCAGCGGCGGCGCAGAGGGCTATCACGGACCGGGTGCATGCGGCCTCTGCCTTGTAGTGTGAACGAATGGGGGTGGGAGGTGGGAGGTGGGAGACTTGGCAACAGTTCATCAGATTAGGAGGCAGCCCCGTTACTTCTTTCAATGGAAAAAAAGACTCAATTGGTCCCCTGCAGGTTGTCGCTTGCGCTTCCCAACCGAGACCCTGTAGCAGAGACCTGGACTTCCGTGTGGCATTGCCAGGCGGAGCTAAGCCAAGCTCCCATACGAATGGATCGATTTCTAGGCAGAGTCATTACTCCATAAGCGTGATGATGAGAAGAGTGTGTTGGGGGCTGAGGCGGAGAGAAGGGAGTACGAATAGAGGCGGAGCTCTGGTGGGCCACCTACGTACTCGGTCCAGTCAGTGAGGAGTACGCTGTGAGTAGCGTAGCACAACTCCTACTGTGTACTCCAGGCTAGATCCGGATGCATAGCATAGCCAAAGAGATCACCCATTAGTGGCCTCTTTCCAGTGCTCCTCAGCATAACCGAGCTGCGCCTAACAAGGTGTGGCGCATGAAGCTGTGGCGCACGCAGGGGAATTTGCACGAAAGACCTCCCCAATCGAGTCAAGTTCACGCGGTGGCCAATGACAAGGAGGCTGAGGGAGTCATGAGGCTTGGAGGCGATCTGTTTTGGATCGTCGTCAGGGTAAAAGGCAAGTGGGCCAGGAACAATCAGAGTGCGAAGTGGTCCGAGTGGACACAACTTGCACTGCCCACACGACGATTCCGGCAACGTCGCCGCTGCGCCTCTCCGGGCTCGAAGGGACGAAGACAGGAGATCCAAAAGGAAAACTTAGAAGATAAATATCTGCTTGCGGTCGCCGCCCGCATAGATTTTTCAAACACACAGAATTACTAAGACAAGACGAGAACGCCCCGCCGAAACAGAGTTGTTTTGCCTCCGCAAAGTCTAGATTCTCCTTATCCGGTGGCAACCCCCCCCCCCCCCCCCCTTTATCTTTTCTCTTATCCTCCGCGTCCGCTCAAGACCAACACTCTTTTCCTCACAACTCTCCTACACCCCACGGAAAATACTACCACTCTCATCACCCATCATGGCTGAATCTGTATCAATGCCCGTTTCTTCCGCCGGTCACTCCTCGCGGTCACACTCGCGCCCGGCGCTCTCCATCGATCTCTCCAGCATTCCCCCGCTCTCACAACCAACACCACCTTCCAACACTCTCCTGATCACCGAGCTACACGATCTCATTCTCTTCCAGCCGTCATCGCTCGAAAGTATCCGCAACCAAATCACCGTCGTGGCCCGCTTGCACTCCTTCTCTCCGCTCCCCTCTTTCCGCCGCATCATCTGCTCTTTCCACTCCGATGAAGACGCCATCGCCGTGCGCAAGATGCTCGAGGGTACTCGCCTGTTGAACCGCAACGTGCGCCCCCGCATCTACTTTGGCGAGCCGACCCCGATCCTGAGCCAGGAAGAGGCTCATCGCAAGCAGCTGCTCGAGGCCCCGCAGCTCGATAAGCTGTTCTTCATCTCCCCGCCACCTTCCCCGCCTCACGGATGGCAGATGCGCAACGAGGACCCGCCCAACAAGGATGTGCACGCCAGTGATCTCGCCCACGCCCTGGCTCAGCTCAAGACGCATCAGCCCGAGCCGATGAACGTGGATCCTGCCACCCCGGTCTCCATTACGTCCGAGAAGCGCACGGGTAGCTGGCCTCTTGCCAGCTCTCAGCAGCGCAGCCGCAGCAGCACCATCATCTATAACCCTGAGGACCACGGTCACAGCCCGAATCTGCCCGCTGTGATGGTTGAAGATATGAGCTTACCGGTGGACGAGGATGTCGACATGGACGTGGAGTTGAGTCCCGTCGAGATGTCGGTCAACAAGATGCCTCCCAAGACGGCTCGGCCTCCAGTGGAGCTGATGAATTAAATGGGCTATGAGATGGATTTTATTGTGAAGTTTTTTTGGACAATTTTTAGCGATGGGTATATCTGTGCATAATTATCCATTGCATTGCGATGGGTTGTGAGCATTCGGCGTTGGGCAACAGGGTGGACCCTTTTTCTTACTATAGCATTATCATGGATTCGGGTTTCAATTATTTCTTCTAGCTTTCTTCTATTGAAAAAGTTAGTTTATGTCAATAATAAAGCATCTCATTTTGACATTCCTCTCTCTCAAACAACTTTAAACTTTCTACATTGTATCCCACACATCCATATCTTGAACCTCTTGAACACTTCACAAATCCACATCATTCGTATATTTGCTTTCCCAATGACTTGACTGCACCTATAATTAGCATCATCCTTATCTCAAACCTCTCGAGATAGACCGCTTCTCACCTTGAGACTCAAGCTCCATACAAGGCTTGCACGAACACCCACCCTTCCCAAGACCCTGAAACTGCAACGCATTCCAAACCAACCGCAACTCCTCCAACTCCCTGGACTCCTTCCTCCCACTCTGACGCTTAAACATCCTCTCCTTCTCCCAAGCAACCTTCTCCGTCGTCCGCGTCTCCCTGTCACCCATTACATCCCCATCCAGCGTCAATCTCCCAATCTGCAAAATGACTAAATCTAACGCATCCGCTACCCTCTCCGCACGCTGGGTAATCCTCGTATCCCGCAACTGCTCACAAAGCCGTCGGCAATAGTCTAGAATAGTAATCAACCGGGATCGAAAACATTTGCTCCGTCCTTCTTTGGGGTTCTCGATGAACATGTCTGTGAGGCATTTGATGTTTGCGGTGAGATGGCGCTGGGCGAGGTGTTCTTTGCTTGATTCGGCGGCTTTGATGGCGTCGAGAAGGTTGGTCATTGAGCCAGAGAAGGACGATCGGTCTGCGATTTGGTGGCAGAAGTTGAGGCGTTCGTTGTTGTCGTCTGGTGTTCGGAGGATTTCGATTATCGTGCGCATGTTGCGTCGGAAAGTTGTGCGTTCTGCGGCGAAGTAGGCGGGCCAGGATATTGATGGCATTGTCGTGATGAGTGTCATGAGAGAAATTGTCGATTTGGATGAATGGTGGTGGATGGGTGCTGGTAGACTGGGAGAGAGTTTTGTGAGGTGGAAAGGTAGGTGGGGGTGGTGATGGTAATGGTGATGATTTGAATATGGGGGCAGAAGATCCTATTTTTGTTTCTTTTGAATGAATCCCATGAGTCCAAGGACTGTGATGTAAATATAGAAAGCTCTTTGTTCATGTTATGTGCAACTGACCCGGCCAGCCTGCCCCCCTCGGTCAGTCTATTGTCTAAAGATGACAAAACTCATTACCCGCTGGTTCTGGACAAAGACCCCTATATATAGGGTCAATATAATCTGATGTTTGTCTCGGCAGTTGAAAAATATCCAATGCGACATACCAGGAGCTTCAATTCACGTGATCATTTTGAAGCAGATTCGACAGTGGTAATGGAGCTTGCATACCTAAGCATGTCCTGGAAACACACGGTGTATCTTGTAGTGTCCAAATCTTTCTAGTGATATGTATCCTCATATCCTCGACTCTCGATTGTCCTTCGGCATTAGAAATACAGACTAGAAAAAGAAAAAGTGGAGTGGGATCTTCAAAAATACCAAATACAGATAGCCAATGATGGCAAATCGCTCACCCACGAATTCTTGAATTATTCCGAGTTGACGTATTAAGTTGACGTATTAGAAGATAAATGATGAGTGCCGTGAGAGGATTGTTATTGCCAAATTTGACTTGTATGTAGAAGTCAAGATGTACGGCGATTAGATTTCAATTTCAAAAGTTCTTTAAAGAAATCCGACTATTTTCGTGGTGCACGAGACTCAAGGAAAAGTGTAGTTCACGTTTGCTGCTCGTTGTCTGACAACGTATCATAAAACGTAGCGGTCGCCAATGTTTTCCTGGACTTATGAACGTAATCGAAGCGCCAGTCAAATGGATCTAATATACATCACAGAGCGGAATGTGTGATAGAGTATTGTGCTGGATGGTCGCCACCTAACCGGGACTTTCGGAAACCCATTATTATGGCCATGGTAATGAATTCTGCCGAGGTTTCCGTGCGCGAGATTGCAATAACCCCTTAAGGCCAACCACAAACTCGAGCTAAGCCACACGGCACTAAATCACAGCCTGATCAACTGAACTGGCGAGAATCTCACACGGGCTGGCTGTAAAGTTTACGCAAAACGCCAAAGCCTCATCTTACATCTCCAGACCATGGGCTAGCGGCAGCGATGACTTCATTCAAAATATCAATAGATTACCTCCATGCTATGCTATGCTCCTTCTAGAAATGGATCGTCAAGAGAGACCGATTCGAGGTAGCCTGATCCCCTGATTCGCGAAAGGTCAGGAACCGAGCGACAAATTCCGACCAGTCGCTACCATCAGCCCTACCCGGCGACCACGCTAAAAAGGCTTAGGGGGTCTATTCTCCCTTCGTAGTGGACCTTATGACGTCCCTTGGCGCCACTTGCGTTTCCGAATTGCAGGCTGCCAAGAAAACCAAGACAAAGTATACCCGGCCGAGCTGTGCTTATCTGTTGCTTGGTTGTATTAGGCTGCCTTATTTCTGCTCTGCTTTTTTTAGGGGGCATTTTTTCGTCATTTTTTCCTTTCCTCCTATATAATCGAGAGATACCCCCAACCCTCAATTTTGCATCAATCATCCATATTCCTTCAATTCACAATGTTTGACGCTATCAAGAACTGGTTCTCTCCTGCTCAGGAGAACGAGAACAAGTGGGATGCCCGGAACGTGCAACTCCAGCAGCCCAACAGCCCTGCTGGCCCCGTCATGAACAACGAGGCCGTTACTCAACAGCCGGTATGATTTCAATTTGTCTTATCAATGATCGTCGACATTTTAATTGTACCTAACCAAAAAAATAACAGGGTGGCCCCGAACAGATGAATGTTCACATGCGTGGTGGTGGTGAGGGCGAGGATGTCTGCTGTGGAGTGTGAGTACCCTACCACCGGTCCTGATAGTGGAATAATCGTTGACGTCTGATCTCTTGAATAGCTGCGCTGGTCTCTGCTGCTTCGAGTGCTGCGAGTGCTGCTGTTAGATCAATCACCCATCGCCCTGATGTCCCCGATAAGCCTGGAGTTTTGAATGCCGGAGCGATTCACCTAGCGTTGTTTCTTTGTGGACACTCTTTCCAGCAGAATATCTTCAATAATGCCATGATGAATATGTACATATCTTTGAATACAAAACTATTATCGTCATTTATCTACGGAGTAGGAAACCATAGAATCAGCTACAGTCATTTCGAGCCACTATTTCTGCAATCTTGCTTTAGTTCGTGATAACGACCTGGACCCAGAGTTCCTCTTCTTTTTTTACCAATCTTTAAGTGATTACAAGTGAAAGGCACCTCTGAAGGCGACGCCGCAAATGACAGCCACTAGCACCAGGAACAGCCGCTTTTCCACCTGTGACTTGGGATGGCGAGCGCCGTTTGACTGCGCGCTGTATAAAGGCTCCTACCCTCGAACACCAGTTACAAGAACCAAGACCTCTAGCTAGCTATGCATCATTCGGTATTTATTATATAAATTTTTGACGAGGTCGTTAAGACTCTACTTTACGCAAGATAGTTCTCTTTTATGTTTTGGCTGCCTCGGACATAGTGATTTGTATTGGAGAGAGTCCCAAACCGAAGGAGACTGACTCAGCGAGATTCGTCCAGGAACGATGAGCAGATCAGCCGAGACTTGCAGTTGGACGTCTCGCCACACCATGAATTTTGTTTAGAGATCTCAGCAATGAACCTGTCCCAAATAGTGGCTGATTAATTTATACCTTGATTAACTAGTCAAAGTAAATACCGTAACTAAGTTGGTGTGCGATAATATCAGGGTCCCCTATTATGATGAGTGATCATATCCGTGCTTGGCCGAGGTCAGAGGTCTGATTAGAAATACCCACATCGTCAACTGGTCAATCTTTTCTTCTAATAAGTAAGGGTGACTCAGTTGCGAATGCTTGCTCAGAGCAGTGCTTTGTCTGTTCCTCCTCCGACTACCTTTCTTAATTTTTACAATTCCCTTTTACAAACCAGCGGAAAAATCGAGTTTCCTATACGAAATGGATACGCAGCAAGCCTTAATCCTCAAAGAGGTCCAAAGGCCATTGGTACTAGACACTCGACCTATCCCTGAGCCAAATGGGAATCAAGTTCTCGTGAGGATCGTTGCAGCTGGAAGTATGATTTGTCGATACATTGGATTGTACGAAAGAAAAGCTGACAGTCCACAGTTAATCCTCATGATCAAAAGGTATGGTGGAGACGGCTTGTCTGACATCTGACTTTTATCGAACTCTAATCCCTTGTAGGGTCGAGATCGAGGTTTACTTGTGGAGAAGTACTTGCCTCATGCGATCCTAGCAAATGACATCAGCGGTATCGTGGAGAGAATTGGACCAGACGTCAAGAGGTTCTCCGTTGGAGATCGCATCGTTGGACAGTCTAACATCTTGTCGGGGGGTCCTGATCAAGCTGGCTTGCAGCAGTTCTGCATCCTCGATGCAAGGTTTGCTGCTCCCATACCAGACCATATTAGCTTTGACCAGGCAGCGACATTCCCCGTCAATGCCATTGCGAGTTTTATCGCTCTGTTCAGTTCGTCGGGATTGGATTTAGCACCAAAGTTCCTGGGCCACGGTTCGGACTACACGAATGAAGCGATTGTCATTATTGGAGGCGGCTCTAATAGTGGGAAATTTGCCATTCAACTCTCTCGTCTCGCAGGCTTTGGGAAGATTATTGCAACTGCCAAGGTCCGCGATGGAGGTCAATCATTGCGTGAATTTGGTGCCACTCATATTATAGATCGGGAAGCCATGGATGTGGAAGATCAGATCCGTGCGATAGTTGGCGATCAATTGTTGTACGCCTTTGACACGGTCAACGGTGATTACTCGGGTGGTTTCAGCCACCAGCTGGCGCTCTCACTTCTGTCAACCACAAAGAAGGGGTCTTTGGCCACATTGGTGCGTGGAGAGGCTGATCCTGAAATTGCAACTACAAAGACTGCTGGCTTCAAGAAAAACCAAGTTCTCGGGGTTAGTGACCTGCACCAAGAGCTGGCTGCCAAGTTCTGGAGGGAATTACCAGGTTGGATCGAAAATGGCGAGCTGAAGCCGTTAGACTTTGAATTTATTGACGGACTGGACGCGATGAAAGTCAATACCCTGCTGGACGACTACCGTGATGGTAGAGCGGTAACTAAGACCCATGTGCATCCCGATCAAAGGGACTTCACTCTCAACCGATAGATACTTCAGCAACCTCGTTCATAATTTATCACATCCGACATTGTATGTAGCACAGAGAAGGAATAAAATTGCCCATGGCATTGAGAGGGCTTTGCTAATTAGGGATACCATCTGCGCAGGTCTATCTTAATGCTGCCTTCAGCTGATGCATTGATAATTGGAGTTTGATTGATAAAGCAATAGGGATGTCTTGATCGAATAAGGTTAATTTCAGCACACGTTCTTTCCCTCTGGACGTCACATATATTACCATAATCGTATACAGCTTTCAACTTGAACTCCATGGGTTTGGTCTCTGGATACAGATAGCACAGGGTTCTTCAGTGATCTCGATAAGGAGTTGTACGGCTCATCGGTATGTCGATCAGGGCGCAATATATAATATAGGGTAAAGCCTGATTTTTTGCGCCCATTGTATCGCAGTCAAGTTGTGAAATGCGTTACATATAAAAGGTACATATCTCCTCTCACAGTGCAGTTAAAGCTCTTCAGAGCCCACGACGAACTAGTATATCACGCGTAATAATGCCTTCAGGAAGTCATCTTCTTTAGCAGCCGACCTAGGGAAAATTTTGTTCGATTCCCTTGTATAGTTCCGAAGAGCTGTAACATTTGGGAACTGTTCAACTTTTTTGCCGGTTCGCCGGGAATCAACTAAGTCAACCAGATTGACGTGCACCTTGGCAAGTGCCTATGAAATTAGACTTATGAACCGTGAAAAATTGGGGGAATATGCATCAAGATGTTCAATACCTTGCGGCACTTAGAGATGCTCTCAATGGATCGACAAATATCCAGCTCGATGCATAGAGCCTGCCAGTTTTCTAGCTTTGTGGCATTGGATCCATAATGAACTTTGAACTCCGAGGAGAAAAACAACGAAATTTCTCTTCTATACTTTCTCGAGCCTTTTTCCCAGTTCATTTGACGCGCGAGAAGATTAAATTCCGAGCTCAAACATACCCTGGGGCTTCTCTTGAAGGACGGGAAACGGATGAAGTAATCGGTCTTTTCCATACTGAAAATAGCGATAATTCAGCATTACGGCATTGACGGAATGTACTGTATATAAGTATGGAAGAAGTTAGTTCTTGGATATAGCTAGGGGCACCTTGAATGAGCGGGCCCCCGCTTGCCTCACTTCGATGCATGGATACCCAAACAGTCTAAGAGCCAATGGGAACAATTATTTCAGCCTCAAAAAGCAAATCATGACTCGCAGCGGCACTTGCCGGTTGATAGATGCATTATCCAATCAAAAGTCCAATAACTGGTGATAATTTCCCTATGATCACCTGGAGTTCAGGCGATAGTTACCTCACTCTGATTAGGTAACCCGAATATGAAAGAATCTAATGTAGTGCATTCGAACCACTAGTGAATTTAATATTAGTTACTCTTGAATCTAAAATCTCAACCCTAATTCCACCAAAGTTAATCTCAGATGAGTCATGAGGGTAGCCTGACGATATAACCGACGGCGGTGATATTTTGACCTGGGCAAGGGTAACACAAAAGTTCTCGCTATCCAGTTTGATCGTATCTGGGCGAACTCGGTACTGTTACCCATCGAACTTTTCCGCTTGACTAATTGTTCAAGGCGATAATTTTGATCCTTACTGCTTGTATACTAAAGTTTTACTAATTTGATCCCCTTCTTCGGTGTACGAATTTCCCGTTATTAGACCCCAGTGTACAGTACTAGTGAACATCTTTGCAACTTCGCACATCTCGATGGTACGGAGAACAGAGTTCGGCTGTGGCTCCAGGTGCTTAGTCTACAGGCTTACTATTTTCAGGCCTAAATTAGCTGCGAATCTACGGATATTAGAATTTTCCAAATTCTGTTCCTGTAATACAATTGCCCAAGGGCAAACAGAACATCAAGTCTAAAGGTCCCGCCGAGCTAGGCCGAAAGAGGAAATAAAGTCATCGAGCCAAAGGAGGCGGCATCTATAACCCTAAAAAGTGGGCCCACTGGTTTGCATCGGAAAGCTAAGCTGCAGACGGCAAAAAGGTCATCCCACGAGGTCGTGGGTCTGGAATATAGAAAGGCGAAGAAGACTAGGTCTCTCGGAGATCACCTTCATAAGTCCGTTGCTTTGAAATACAAACGCGTTCAGAACACATTTTTGACTACGGCATCCTAGGTTAAGTCCGAGTGCTTTGAAATGCAAAGGACAATTCTGCGAATACAGTCTAGAGTTCTGGAGGTTGGAAAAGATAAATAGAGTGGCCGTGCCCCCAAAATCTGAATACATATCTCATCAAAGCCCATCCATTCTACACAAACCATTACCCGGATCCAACCTACCCAAGTTCTCTATCAACCACTATGTCCCGGTACGCAGAAGCTCATTCAAATCCTGCTGGCCCTGGCGATGGCCGTCCAACCGCTCTTCAGATCATCAAGGATGAAGGAGTAGAGGGCAAGCTATCTGGAAAGGTGGTTGTCATTACAGGCACTTCATCGGGAATAGGAATCGAGACAGCTCGCGCTCTGTCTTTGACTGGAGCAAAGCTGTTGTTGACGGCACGAGACCTGAAAAAGGCCACGTCTGCTCTGGAGGGAATACTCGAACCAGAGCGCGTCGAGCTCGTTGAAATGGACAACACTTCGCTCAGCAGCGTGCGTGCTGCCGCGAAAGCCATCCTCCAGAAGTCGAACGGTCAAGTCAACATCCTAGTCAACAACGCCGGCATCATGGCCCTTCCCACGTTGCAGTACACGAAGGACGGCTTTGAAATGCAATTCGGAGTCAATCACCTCGCCCATTTCTTACTCTTTGAACTCCTCAAGCCAGCTCTCCTCTCCAGCGCCAGCGCTGAGTTCTCGTCTCGCGTCGTCCACCTCTCTTCTTCTGCCCATCATGTGGCCTCGATCAATGAATCCGGTGACTACAATTTTGAAAAATCCGAATACAACGACTGGGTTTCATACGGACAATCAAAGACCGCCAATATCTACACGGCAAACGAGATCGAGCGGCGCTACGGGTCACGAGGACTCCACGCTTCTAGCGTTCATCCTGGCATGATTGCAACGGCGCTGATGCAACACATGGACCCCGCAATGGTGGAGGGCTTCAAGAACAACGAAGAGTTGTATAAAGTGATGAAGTCGCCAGAGCAGGGGGCTGCGACGACCGTGTGGGCAGCGATCGGACAAGAATGGGAGAAGAAGGGAGGAGAATATCTTGCCGAGTGCGGAAAAACCACACGGGGCAACGACAATCATGAGATTGGCGGGGTTGGGTTTGCAGGCCATGCGTATGACGCCGAGAAGGCGGCGCGGCTCTGGGAAGATTCCCTGAAGATGGTGGGGCTGGCGGATGATGTGTAGGGCGACGTGAGGCAGAAACAGGGCGATGATGAGGTTCCGGCTCTATATCACCGTTTCTACCAAACTGCTTTCTGTCGGCTATTGCTCAGAAGGTGACAAGTTGCCGGGCGAGGTCGGCGAGCATAGCAAGGATGAATCGCACATTTGATAACTTTCGATCCGAGCTATTCCATTTTCCACTGTTGAGCCATCCCGACTTTAAGCCTTGACAGGTTTTCGTATGCATTGCCATTGAATTCTATCAATTTTCCATAATGTCTCATGACGAGTTATCGGTCCGGGTGCATGATTTCTCTTCTTTGGATAAAGAGAGCGCAAACCCAGTCACAGGCTCAACGTAGATCAATTGAGATCTGATAATTTCTCTGATTAAACTCTTCCAGGGCTCTGGGAAAATTTCCATTGCTAGAGAAACAGTCTCAAGCTCTTGACAGTTTCCCACGCTTTTGAGTAATGCTCTGATGGCTCGTCAGCCTCTTACCTGTTGAGCTGTCTTCGTTTCTGTGCACTTGGATTCCCTCTTCAATTAGTCAATCACACTTTTCTAATGGTTCCGGTAGTTACCCGTCTTCCTATTTCGTAGTCTACGCAGTTTTCAGCTCTGCTTTGACAACGACTTTGGCTACTGACTGTCCCGCGAGCCGCAAGACCAGCAGCTGTTAGTGCGGTGGGACAGGCCTAGCACACTCAGTAAAATACATGGTAAGTATAAACGGGCACAATTATACACTAGCGATAAGGAGGCCATTTGTATCGTGTGAGTAGGGTGTGAAAGAGTGTCTAACCATAAGTCTTCTTACTTTCGGGGCAACATACTTTGCATCATAACATGCTATTTACAAGACCGATGTTAGATTGACCAGCCGCAGAAAACCCATGTAATGATCGACTGTGCCTCTTTAACCACCACTTGACGCTGCGTGCGAGAGCGGCGGTGGCGGACAGCTCCTCTACATCCTGAGTCGCATAGGTTCCTCCCCCCTCTTCAACCTCCAGTGGTTGCTAACTTCCACCAACTCATCGCAGCCCTCCACAATCCTAGCCCACTTCTCAAGAAAACCGGGCGTGGCCTCCCAACTCTTCATCTCGTGCGGCTCGCCCCAGATAATGAGTCCTTTACGCCCGGCGGTCACTTCATCCGGATCACTTCCGGGTAGAAAGGTCAGTGGCTGTGAAATCCTAGAAAGTTTTACAGAAGCGGGCGCGTCTCGCCGTCGCGGGTCTGGCGTCGAGCTCAATAGGTCACCGACGAGGTCCTGCAGTAGCTCCCAGGGGTCAAAGCTGCCTTCGTATCGGATCAAGTTCTCGCGGACGCTGGGAAAGGGAATGACGTTGATCCAAGTAGAATGATCGTGAGTTTGCTGGAAGGCGGTTGGGATCAGGGAGGGAGGGATGTCGGGCTTAAGGGGGTAGAGAGTCGTGTCGTCACGGCAGGGTGAGGTAATGGTGCAGATGGTCGAGCCGGCGAATACGGTATTGAGGGTACGCATATTCGAGATCAAGGCGCGACAGACATTATAGTGGATGAGATGGAGGAGGTGGTCTGAGGAGAAAGGAAAAGTGAAGGGCTGGATATCCAAATTTACGGGGGACTGGAGGTGGGTGGTCGGGGACCGTGATTCACGAAGCACGACTGTACGTTTGGCTGTAGAGGCCGATATGCCCGAGTACGTGGGAGGCGGCCCATGGGAGAAGGCCGTGATTGTTGCGCGCTCTGGTGCGGGCGAGATTTCTTGAGAGGGAATGTGGTCGGGCTCGTCAAGGCGCCAGCGCCTGACCCGGAACGGGCGCGACTCCTGCAGATTGCCCGCATCTCTGCTCTTGAGCCGTAGTCCTAGAACAGGTCTCTGAGTATGGATTGCGTTAAAGGGGCGAGGGGCAGACTCACGGCGTGCTCTTTGATTCTTCCGGTTCTGGACTTTCCTGCGCTGCTTGCTGGCCTCGGCCTCGGCCTCGGCTTGTGCGTCATGATCATCGACGACCTGAGTCGCTTCGCTCTGGGACCAAGAGAGCCGAGTCCCGACATACTCCATCGTCCCGGTTCAGCCGGAGCCTCCGTGTACTGTAGTACCTCGAAATGGAAGCAGAAAAGAGAAATGCATATGTACCATGATCCTTTGCCGGTCCTGGTTCGGAGCTGAAAGATATCGCCCCACCGTTTCAGGTCTGCTAAAGTAATACAGTAGGCCGATCCTGAGCTAACCCTTACTCTAGGACTAGACGTTGTTTAGAAACTATATAGGGCAGTCTAGGCTGGAAACGGCAAAAAAGTCATCATGACCCGCAAGTCGTGGAAAAGTGGAGACACGCATTTCCGTGATGAGGGATTTGTCATGTAGAAACTCAGATTGCCGGCGTATTTGTATGTAAACGTGGGTAACACTTGGACTCGGGTAATGGGGACGACTCAATCCCCTTTTCTTTCTGTAGACTTACGGATATCTTCTTCAATCGAATACTCGGCTTTCTAATGATTCCAATCGTTGTTCTTCCTAATAAATACAAGTCTATGCACTATGACCTTGCTTTGACACCACATCGTACCTTGAGCTATCGTATGCCTGAACTGGTCTAGATAGATTCATCGCCGCCACTGTTTGTTAGACTGTTCAACCCTGGCATCTTCACTCCATGTTTCTGACCCGGGGATGCTGTACTGCATTTTCAGGGATTAGTTTGACTTGGAGAGTCTCTCCTGTCAGACGCCTTGTGTCAACGGCCTTCGCACCAATTTCATGAGGTCGTTATTCCTTCTTAACGGTAATCTTTGTTTTGAAAGAATCGGCTATTGAATACGCCGGTCTCAAGATTTTCATTTCTCATGGAAACACGGATGAACATCAATTCCATCGAGCAAGGCTCTTTTCCGACGTGGTCTTTCACTCCTCGCGTTGAGATGAAAGAGTCCTTTTGAACGACTTACTTGTCTTCAGGGGCAACGAGTATGTTATTTTAGTGATACACACTCTGTGACTGCCTTGGGACAGGCCATCGCTAATGCCTGCGTTTTTTTAATATATACACTCGGAGTCTGAGATAACACCAGCTACTACAGCACATGTAGATAACTTCAATGCCTTCTCCTTCGACATCATCCCACAACGGGTGTCCTTTACTAGAGAACCACTTCCTTCATCCCACCAGATAATGCACACGATCGCGGCATCTGAGACTCACAATAACCCAGAGAAGGGTAATTTATGCCTTCGCAAGGCGTTAGCTAATCAGGCCCGGTCCTTAAGTCACCCGAACTACTGACTAGTCATGATCATGCCTTGTGTAGGATATTCTGCGTTTGGAAAACGACAGACTCCTGGGGAAGATGCTTCATGAGCAGAGCTGTGTCCCAATAGAGCCAAACCTCCTTGTAATTCAATCCGTCCACGGCATCGGCGAAGTCAGCAGGGCCGATAATAGAAATCCAGCTGAGTGGGATGCTGACAGTCGGCTCTTCAGTGTCGTTTCCAGAAAGCCAGATATTGCGGGTCCACTGGGTCATGATAGTGGTGGTACCATCCTCATTCTTGACTTCCCAGAGGCTGTGGAAGTCATGTCGCAGTCTTTCAAATTGCCCGAAAAGACGCTTCATCCACGCCCACATTTCGTCTCCACCGTTGTACTGGGCGTTGTTTTGGTTGTGGAAAATGACATCTTTGGCGTAAAACCGCAAGCCGGATCCGTGGTTGAAGCCATAGGAGTCAACCGTATCAACATATTTTTTGAAGAATTGTTGAACCGGAGTCTGTGGACCGGTCGCATCCCAGGTAGGAGCAGAAACGCAGCTTACCAACTCAGGCATGATTGGAGAACAGATTCCACGAAAGGAGTTGCAGAATATACCGATCTCTTGTTTGATCTAGACTCATGTCTTGATGTTCGTAAGCATCTTATAGTTAAAGGTTACGCGGATGCCACTACCGGGAACCCAATGGCCCCGCAGCGATTTTTTGATTATAATACTGCCGAGGCGCAAGTCTTTTTATTTGTCGTAATCCATGCAATATACTGCAGGCTGATATTTCAATTGTCGATGACCGTATGTGGGCCAGAATAGCCACTCTCTGGTTCCCGACCCGAGGTCATCAATGCCCTTGATCAGTAATCCCTCGCCACCTAAGCTCACCGACTTCTGGGTGACAATTTCTTGAACTAAACGCAGAATGTAAATAAAAGGCCCCAGAACAAAGTTTTTAGAATTGATGTGTGTCAGACTTCCCCTCATCTATTCAATCAATCTTTTCGATATGGGTCTCGATTACAAAGTATTCACCAGCAGACGCTCCGGTGTGAATCGGTCCACCCCAGCCGGTCACGATCATCTCAAGTGGGTTCCGACCACTTCGACATTGATATTCGGCCAAAACGATGCGGTGCTGGTCGATACGCAGTTGACCATGGCTGCTGCCAAAGAGTTGGTAGACTGGGTTGTAGCCACTGGGAAAAACCTCACGACGATCTATGTCTCTCATGCCCATGCCGATCATTTCTATGGCACAGACGCCATCCTCAAACAATTCCCAGACGCAAAAGTCGTGGCTACGCCGGAGACCGTCTCTCGGATGGCTGAAGCAATCGCTCCCGAAGGGATGGACGCCTTTTGGAGGAGTCTTTTCCCAGGTCAGATCCCGGAAAAGCTCGTGATTGCCAAAGCCCTTGAGCAAGACCACTTTATTTTGGAAAATGAGCGATTGGAAGTGGTCAGACTGGGTCATACAGATACGGATGATACAACGGCTCTCTGGGTACCTGCAATCGGCTTGGTTGTTGCGGGCGACGCAGTCTACAACAACACCCACCCATATCTCGGCGAGTCGAAATCCCTCGAGGCCAGATCAAGATGGGTGGCAGCGCTCGATAAAATCGCGAGCCTGAAACCGAAAATCGTCGTTGGCGGTCACAGTGACCCATCCAAAGGATTCTCCCCCGATGCCGTCCAGGCGACCAAGGATTATTTGAATGACTTCGCGCGACTGGACGAAGAAACATCCACTCCCGAGGAATTGTACTCCCAAATGATGGAATTGCATCCCACTCGATTGAATGTTGGCTCGTTATGGGGAGGTGCAATGCTCGTGAAAAAATAAATCTATGCATTGTCTCCTTGTTCACTGAGTAACTAACGGGTTGAAACAGTTCTCCATGATTTAATATTAGCTTAGGATAATCCAGAGTATATTATTTTGAGGAAGTTTGTACCGATTATACATTTTGCTGTTACCAACAGGCATATACGTACGTAGATTTACTGCTCAGAGGTAGATATCGATCTTAGAGCCTTCTAATCTCACCATAATCTAAAATCATAATCTAGAATCGATAAGTGCGCATCTCGAGCTGTCAAAATTAATCTAAATCCTTAATCATTAATACTTGTGTCGCGGCAGGTTTCTTGTGAAACACGTCTTGACTGATCATTGCGTTAAAACAAACCAAAAAGAACGGTACTCTGTTATTAACGGCCTGGGCTCTAAGTGTATCTTAGCACGAGAAAACATTTTACGCAAATAAAAAAACAATCCATATTAGCCCCTTTCTCTTCTGCGCAAGAAACCTCTTTGAAACCTTGGAATTGGTTGCGGCTATTCCGTCTCAAGAAGAACCAAGCCATTTTTCCAAGAACTCAATCTGTCCTTTAATATTCTGTTCAAACAAATCCCCGGTATAAATATCAAAATGGCCTGCACCATCAAGATATAATAGCTGCTTTGGCTCTCTAGCCTTTTCATAGGTGGCCATCTGAGATGCCGTAGTGACAAGGATGTCATTACCAGGAATGACCATCAACAGAGGAGTCGGCGAAATACGATGCACCATACTCTGTCCTTCGAATGCAAGCATATAGAGCTGCGTCTGGATTGTAACAGAGTTCTCCCATCGACCACCACAATCGTACGACCCGCGCACCTGCTCGTAAGCATGAACTCCGGGAAACATGGCAGTAGTGGTGCCTGACTGTGCTGCTTCTAAGTTTTCCGCAATAAGCGGAACCCTTTCTGGTGCCGATCCTGTAGTTATACGAGCACGCTCTTCTAGAATATCCGGGATACGGTCTTTGAAGGCCAATGATCGCGTTTCTCCGGAAACTGCGGGGCACTGTACGATAGCAGCTTTGATCCGTTTGTCCACAGCAGCTGCGTACAGAACGTTTCCCCCGGAGAAGCTCGTGCCCCAATACACTATGCGAGCTTTATCCACAGTAGGAAATGATGTTGCGAAATTGAACGCATCGTAGTAGTCGGCTTGTTGAAGGGTTGGGTTTGACTCTTGCCGCGGTAGTCCATCACTGTCCCCCCAGTTCCGATTATCATAGACGAGAACATTGTACCCGGCTTGCTGGAATCGATCCGCAAAATTCGGCAGCCAATAGTGGCGGACGCCTCCCAGCTACTTATTGCAAATGGATCTAAATTAGCAAAGTTCACACAAAAATTCAACACATCAATTTTTCAGAGAGTACGCACCCCGTGGGTCATGATCACACAGGGCGATTTCCTATTTTGGGGATAGAACCATCCCCGGAGTATAGTGCCATCACAAGTTTTGAACTCAATTGTTTCACGAGGGAGGATCATTGTTGCAAGAGATTGATTGTTCAAGGTGTATGTCGAAATTGAGGATTGTCGAATTGGCTATTTAGGACCGACGACAAATACATAAGCAGCGGCAATGGAATAATATTGTCGTGCTGTTATTTATTTATTTATTTATTTTTCTTTGGTCCTTGCATTTCAAACCTCGGTTTTATTAACAATGAACGACTAATCCAAAAATTATCGACGTTCTTGATCGCTTGATTAAGTTCGCTTTAGCCGATCGGGGTTGCTCAAATCATCAGCCAGGGCAAATCAAGCTTTCTGTTATGCCGAGGTGGCGACGGTATTGGCTTCCTCCATAGGCCGCCGTACCCAATTTTGATTGGTTTATATGTGCCCACTGAAATCGATTGACAAGCTGACTTAAATTTTTCAACTTGGATACTCAAGTTAGTGAATGTGAGGATTATGTGCGCTGTCGTATCTATCATCCTTATAAAGTGGCTGTCCAATGGGTCGTTGTATTTCATGCATCCCCTCGCGATGGAATGAACTATTGGGCTACTAAAGTTCGCGGTAAGCGATACAGAAATATATCGTTTCGGCCATGTGCTCGGATAATTCTTCCATTGTAATACATAGTCTCATGTTGGCAAAGGAAAATTCATAACTACATATGTCTTTACAGGAGTTATCGGTACTGGTCGTCTGAGTTAAAAGAAGTTTGGTTTGAGATCA